TTCCTAAAATGATGTATAATTCTAATTTTTTTTTGGGGGGAGGGTAGGGAAACCCCCTTGTGATAGCAGGAATCCTTGCACTGTCTTCCCCAAGCATGGTGGGTTAATGGAATATGAGCAGTGATCCTTCAGATTCACAAACTCACTTGTTCCTGAACTGTTAGTTCTTAGGTGTCCTGTAAAAAAATATATATTAATACATTAAATGCATACACTGAAGAATTGTCTGTCACATTGCGCTTTTAAAAAGTTCTGATCTTTATAGCATGTCTATTCCTTGACAGTTCATTTGATACGTAACGGTTTTAAAGCATTCTTCTTTTGTGCTTTAAAAGTGCAAACAGTTACTTAATAGGAAAAGAAAAGAACAGGCTGATGGAAGAGGAGTCAATAACAAGGTGCTGACAGCTGAATCTACATTCAGGGATTGTAACCACGGCCAAGTCCATTTTTGCAGATGTGGCAGCTAGTTACTCAGAGGACGCTTCCTGGTGCATGCAGAAGACTTCATATGTATGTGGAGTAGATTTAAATAAGGCAACTCAAAATATATTTAGGTCATTTTCATTCACTCACCCATTTACTGTATATAAGACAAAAATTCTGATGCTACAGAATGAATAGAATTTGCTTCCATCTGAATATTTTTCTATTTGGAAAGAGCTATCATTTGCTACAAGACACTCTGACTGCTTCCTTATCCTCTTGTTTCCTCTGGGTTTAAACTACACTCATCAAAACAATTCATACAATTTGTATCAATAACCTATTTTAATATATATTGGAAAGCTTCTATGGATATTAGTATGACACAGGATACCCGTGCCTCCCCCTCCCCAATTTTAATTTTTGTCATAAAAATGTAAACTTCTAAATAGTTTTTATGCAGATGTCAAACAATTATAGTATATAAACTTGAAATTTTTATATCGTCAACAATTTTAGGTTATATTTTAGCGATTAAGATTTAAATTATATATTTAATTTTACCTGTTGCTATATATGTATTGTCTTTGTTATACCCAACTGTAAATTCAAACGTATCCCTATCGTGTTTTATGACTTTCCTGATATTGTATGTGAGCTGGAACTGGTCTGTGACTGAAATAATAAAATTATTATTAATAATATTTTATTATTATTATTATTATTATTATTATTATTATTATATCTTCAGGGCTAAGGATTTGCAGCTGAGCAATCTGAGTGAATTATGAACTGGTTTCTCAGACAAATGTTACTGCATCACTGATAGCACAGCCATGGGAAGACTGGAATTTTGCACGTTTCTATAGTGCCCAATAAATTTTGCACATTTTCCGTGGGTGCCCAAATATAGAAAGTAGTATCACCTTTATTTTCTTTCTTTAAATATTTATAAACTGCACTTTCATTAAAAAAACCCCACAATGAGGGAGTTCATGTTACCATTGTATATATACATACACACACCCCCCTTCATAGTTATGATCCATAAGTTTTATTTCATAATATATAAACCATATACTTAAAGAAAAAAAATTATCACTCTCCAAAAATATATATTCTCTGCAATCCATTTCTACTAAATGACCAATGTGTCAGCAATTATAGCAAGAAGATTTTCTCAATGGAAAATTCTGCACATGACTAATATGATTTAAATAATTTTAAGGACATTGCTGCATTTTTCAGTTTATCAAGTGGTTGTGTTCAAAGTCCAATAACTTTAAGAGCACAGAGAATTTAAAATTTTCATCTTTAAAGAAGTTAATTGTTTCCCTAAATTTAAGTAAAGACTCTGCTTTATAGCCCTACGTCAACCATAAATATTCATTAAATCTGCTTGCTAACTCCATAAACTAAGCCCAGATGTTTTGGCTGGAAACACATTTATTTATTTATTTTTAAAAGACATATAGCATGCTGTAGAGAAAGGAGATCTTTTTTCTCCGTTATCCCAATACATATGAAATACTTAGAAGAAACATCTATTAAAATGTGAACTACCTGACGGTGGATTCCAAACTCTAGGTGTGTGTATATCTCTCACACACCTTTATTCAGAAATAACAAATTCTACAAAATTCCCATCACTGCCAACAAACATTTTATGAAGAATGACATCTGATCCGAAGTTCACTGCCAAAACAGTAATTCAATTCAAATTTAAATGGACTTCTTTCAGAGTTGAATATTGCAAACATTAATTCAGATTACAGTTTAGGATGCATTTCACAAGTCTAGCTAACTACAGCCAAATATTTAGCAGATTATTTCAAATCAGTATCTGAACTCCTCTGCAGCTAAGCCTTATGGACCTGCCTTCATTGTGCATTCCCTCTCCTTCCCAGATTCCCTTCCCCAAGTATTCCGTTATTCTCTTCTTCCCTACAGCCCCACAGTCTTCCAATACTCCTTTCCTGGGCCCTTGCTTTCCTAAATGTCCACTTCTTTTTCGCTCCTTCACTTTCCCTGCCAGTCCCTTATTTAGGATCTGAGCAACTGAGCCAATGGCAACCAGAGACACTTGGAGCAGGAGTGGTTGGGGCTGATGGGAATTGGAGTCCTATAGTATCTGGTGAACCACAGATTCCCAACCCCAGCATTATGGCAAATCTGGTAGTAGCTCTTCAAAAATTCCACACAGAGTTCTTTCCTGGCCCTACCTGGAGATGCCAGAGGTTAAACGTGCGAATCTCTGCATACTAAGCATCTGGTCCACTTTTAAGCTTACAGCTCTCACAGCAAAATTCCTAAGCATTTTATAGTACAGTGATGGAAAGCAACCATCCAAGTCACTCTTGTGTCTGACACAATGCTTGAGGGAACAATGTACGCCACTGCCTCAAAAAACAAAGGTTCTACATAAAAATGGGCCTTCTCTGGGGTAGCTCCCACTTGTGGAATGCTTTCCTCAGGGAGGAATGCCCAGTGCCACCATTATCTGATTTTTAGGCACCAGGCAAAAACTTTAATCTTCCGTTCTGTAACGTTAGACTGTTTTGCCTCTTTTTATTTGACAAATGTTCTGTGACATTGGGGCAGTGGTAATTCTGTATTGGTGCTGGAGGAGACTCTTGAGAGTCCCATGGACTGCAAGAAGATCAAACATATCCATTCTTAAGGAAATCAGCCCTGAGTGCTCACTGGAAGGACAGATCCTGAAGCTGAGACTCCAATACTTTGGCCACCTCATGAGAAGAGAAGACTCCTGGAAAAGACCCTGATGTTGGGAAAGATGGAGGGCACAAGGAGAAGGGGACGACAGAGGACGAGATGGTTGGACAGTGTTCTCGAAGCTACCAGCATGAGTTTGACTAAGCTGCGGGAGGCAGTGGAAGACAGAAGTGCCTGGCGTGCTCTGGTCCATGGGGTCACGAAGAGTCGGACACAACTAAACAACAACAAAAATTCTGTATTGATTTACTATGAATGTTTGTATGTGATGCCAATAAAAGGTTTGATGATGATGATGAATCTTCCACTCATTTTGGGGGGTGGGGGGTGTGAGTTGGATCTGCTATTTTACACATCTTATCAGTGAACATTTTAGGTTGCATTTGTTCTTGTGTCACTCTGTTCTGTCTTAGTTAGACCACACTTGGAATACTGTGTCCAATTCTGGCCACCACAATTTAAGAAGCATGTTGACAAGCTGGAAGGTGTGAAGAAGAGGACAACCAAGATGATCAAGGGTCTGGAAACTAAGCCTTACAAGGAGCGCTTGAAGGAGCTGGGTATATTTAGAGGAGACTGAGAGGAGATATGATAGCCATCCTCAAATATCTTAAGGGCTGTCACATGGAGGAGCATGCTTGTTTTCTCATGTTCTGGAGGGTAGGACTCAAACCAATGACTTCAAGTTGCAAGAAAGGAGATTCCAAATAAACATTCGGGGGGGAACGTTCTGACAGTAGGAGCTGTTCTGCAGTGGAACAGACTCCCACAAGAGGTGGCGGATTCTCCTTTCTTGGAGGTTGTTAAACAGAGCTTGGATGGCCATCTGTCACGGATGCTTTAGCTGAGATTCCTGCATTGCAGGGGGTTAGACTAGATGGCCCTTGGGATCCCTTCCATCTCTATGATTCTGTGAAATAAATATATAATAAAAATAATACAGATTTCAAGAGCAGCTCAAATGCAGTATCTGTGACTGTCCCAAGAGCTATGTGTACTTCCTTCCCATACATAGGGGAAAGTGGTTTTAAACTTGGGCTAAAGATGTCAGTGCTTGGAATGAACTAGTTCACTGAACTAGCTGAAAAGTCTCTGAACTACACGTGAAAGTAGTTCCCATAATTGCTGGGTGAATTAGTGGTCACTTAAGTAATTTTCCGGATAGAACTTCAATTCATCTCCATTCCATTCCCCACCTGCCCTGCAGAAGGCCTAGACTCTTACTTTTCTTTCAAAAAGAAGTCAATTGGAGTTGGAAAGCAAAGCGTGGAGGCAGCTTTTTATGACTTATTAGGCAAATACAGAGTCACTGTTGTTGCTAAGGTCATTTAGTCTCTTAATCATGGCTGCCAAGTAATTAGAAAGAAGGGGTGTGAGGCATTTCTTGTATCATCCCGGTTGAAGAGTGCAGTCGTACCTCGGAAGTTGAACGAAATCTGTTCCAGAAGTCTGTTCGACTTCCAAAACATTCAGAAACCAAAGTGTGGCTTCTAATTGGCTGCAGGAAGCTCCAGCAGCCTGGCAGAAGCCCCGTCAGACATTCGGGTTCCAAAGAACATTTGCAAACCGGAACACTCACTTTCGGGGTTGCAGCATTCGGGAGCCAAAATGTCCGAGTACCAAGGTGCTTGGGATCCAAGGTACGACTGCATCTCTGTTTTCCAATAGCAGTACCTGTTGGGTACTTGTGTGGCTGCCATAAACAGGGCAAGTCTACTTTTGGACCCTTCAGCACAGTAGCTTGTAAACATTCTGAATGTTGAATTCGGGGGGGGGGGGGGGACGACGAACGATGATGCTGATAAACTTTTTATAAGCTAAAACATTCATTTGCATGTAGAGCTATAGCTCACTTGGTAAAGCATGAGACTCTTAATTTCTGAGTCATGGGTTTGAGCCCCACGTTGGGCAAAAAGATTCCTGCATTGCAAGGGGTTGGACTAGATGATCCTCATGGTCCATTCCATCTCTACCATTCTCTGATCCTATTAACTTGAACTGAACTAGTTCCTTCTTGTATAGCGGGAACCTGAACTAGATCCCTTTTTAAATTAGCTTTCTGAACACTTGAAAGGGTACATGGGCAAAAGAAAATCACTCTGCTAGGCAGACACCATTTTAGATGATACCAACGATGATGCAATAGCAACATTTTTGTATGTGAAATTGCCATCATATTGTGGTGTTTAAGTTAATGATCAATATCTGAATAGACAATAGTAAACATCAGCTTTCTGGCAGCTTATGGTTGGCATCACAATACAGATGCACATATACATCCAGCCTACATTTTCAATTTCCAGCCCAGAAAAGGAATATGCATGCAAAACCTGCTTGTGACTACATCTCTGTTTTGCTGGGTTAGGTAACAGTGCAGAACTCAAATGCAACATAGCTTTTAAAGAATACCACACACGTGGAAGCTTCTTACTTTGGTTGTGCCAAGCAGCCTGGTGCTACAATAGTGCAACTTGCATCATCACTCTGCAGGTTTGTAAGTTCTACCATGTTGATCATCACATCATTTGTATGACCTGGAAGTTTGGGAAGAGAAGCGAGTATCTTCTCCGCTAGGTTGTCACCATGATGACCAACTGCTCCTGAAAAAGAATAATCCATTGACTTAGCAAAAGGTTTATTACACGAAATGAGCATTCAGAACAAAACAAAATCATATGACTGTGTACACAAGAAGAACAGCTGAATGATGTCAATATTAAAATGGAAAAGAAAGTGAATTTTAGAAGTTGACCATCTGGAAGACAGGTATTCAAACAAAGATCACCATAACTGTATAAAATGAATTCACACTCTATTCACATGGAGGAAAAACAGTAAACTAGATCCCGGTGTCTAGATCTCTTATATACAACCATGATTTGACAGTAACTGGAAAACTGGTTAAATCCTGACAGATGGGCACATATCACAGAAGTATGTTTACACTTTAACTGGCATCTCAAAGGTTTATTAACTTGGGATGGATTTGAAATAATCTACAGTCTCCAAAACTGCCTTGGCAAGCCACTTGGATTCTTCCATAATGTTATCACTACTGCCTCTTTCAAGGAAGATGGGAATTATGTCCTCTCTTAAAGTAACACTAACCACCTCCAAGGATCCTAATGAAAGCTCATCCCTGGAAGATTTCAGCAGCCAGGAAGAGCAGGAACCCAAAGAACAAGATGTTTCAACCCTTGGAATCACTTGCCAACCTGCTCAAGTTACGCAAGCTGAAAAGTATCCCTAACAGCATAACCAGACAGTGTTAAGAGGCACCTGTCTCCAACTCTTTAAAGAACCACAATATCCAAGTCAGAGTAAATACAAACAATTATATCAACAAACTGTAATGCCTTGGTCAAGCTTGACTCAATGGGCCTATAATCAGGCATGGCCAAACTTGTCCCTCCATCTGTTTTGGGACTACAACTCCCATCATCCCTAGCTAACAGAACCAGTAGTCAGGGATGATGGGAATTGTAGTCCCAAAAAACAGCTGGAGGGACAAGTTTGGCCATGCCTGGTTTATATAGTAGCCCAAACTTGATCAGATAAGGAGCTATCCCTGACAATGAAGTCATTGCCAGTTCACTCACCCACATATAACCTTCCCTTACTCCAGTATAGAAAACCAGATTTAAAGTGTTTCTTAACATATATGTTTGGCGATTTCATTTGAGGCAGGTGCTGCTCCAGCCAAAGTGGCCCTGGTGTTTATGCTGAAATCTAGGAGCCTTAGAACACTCATTTAAGACTGCCTCCACCAACTCAGGAATGTTAGTGGTTCCGTTCAGAAGTTCCTACAGTAACATACAAAGGTTAGTATTCTTGTAACGAAGAAATAGCTTCAAGAAGAAACAAACTGTTAATCCCTCAAACATCTTACCTGTCAAATCTAATGTCCTGTCCACGAAGATGACAGAAGCTCTGTGTTGTGCAGTTTTCCTTCTGGTCTTAGCCTGGGCATAATTTGCCAGATCCCCTGCAATTATCTTACTTATCGTCCCAACAGCAAAACATTCCTCCCGCACACTGAGGTACTCAAACAAGCTGTTGAAATCAGAAACCAAGGACCTGATCTGAAGCTGCAACTCTGAAGACAGAGATGAAAAATCAACATCACTCAAGTGGGAAATTTTCTTCTTCTCCGGTCTAGCTTTATTGATCCGAGTCAAATCCTCAGCCATCAAGGGGAAAAACAAGGAGAAGGCAGGTGCTACAAAGAGATGAGGCGAGATGGGTGCCAAGAACAAAGGGGCGTGTTGAACCTCTGCAGTGTAGTTCATGTTTCCCATCCACTGGCAGAGCTTCTCTTCAAACTGTTCAAAGACCACCCGGCCGACACCTTCAACCTCAGTAGTGCCAGGGGCATTGTGGGCCTGCAAGTGCACCGCATGGCTGACAGCTGTGAAAACCACGCAGTACTGGAAGTTGCTGAGAGTGACAATGTCACGGATTATGTCCACCGTTCTGCCTTTCAGCAAGCTGCCCACCACAAAGACAGCTTTGGGCTGGTCCGCGCCTCCAGATTCAAAGCTGGAAAACTCCTTGACATTGATCGCCCCGGCCTGCAGCAACCTCCCGGCTCCTCCGCACGTCCAGTGAAGGCTTTCGGCGCAAGCAGGGTCCATGAACACAACAGCCCGCTTTGCCTTGGCAAACACCTGCCCCCAAGCTTGCTGGCAGAACTGCGACATCCCAGCAGGGGCTGTGGGAGAGGAAGAAGTGGTAGAGGAGGAAGACATCGTGGGAGAGGATTGCTGGAGTCCCCCTGGCACTTCTCAATGGGTACCACTCCAGACGTGGGGCTGCAAGAGGTGTCAGTGAGGCAAAAGTGAAAAGAACCCTCTGCTATGTGTTGAAGCGGGAAGCGCACCTCCGAGGCCCGTCAGGCGGCGCGGGATACTTAAATCAGGCTCATCCTAAGCCACTTCGGCACTTCACAAGCGGGTAGTGGAGTTGACAGCACCGTCGGCCTCTGCAATCCGCACACACCTATCTTTGCAGCTGTCGCGCGATGCGACGTCATCTTCCAGCTCCCGGCTCCAATTGGCGGGCCGGGGAGACCAGGGGGCGGGGCACTCTTTCGGGCGTTTGTAACAACGAAGCTCTTTGGCCGGCAAAGCGCCCCTCTCATCTGAGGGCGGAAGTTCGCCTACCAACCCGGAAGAGTCGCGGAGGCTGAATGGAGCCTGGGCAACGTGTAGCGGGGCGGGACTTTTGAGGGTTGTGCCGGGCGTTTCTCCTACTGTTTTCGGTTCTGAACTGTTCTTGTCAACGCTCGCCTTATTATTATTTTTTTAAATGACGGTTTTGAAAGACAAAATAGTATTCGATGGTGTTTTCATGTCCTAGTGATAGCAACAGCACACCCAAGACTAGCTACAGGTCTCGTCGGCTCGCATAATTGTCTCATCAAATTTAATATCTGTTAAACAATATATTGTTGAATGTCATAAAAGCCTGAATTCTGTAGAGACTTGTCATAGTTGCACTGATTAAATGTGCGTGGGGTGTGTGTGTGAAGGTTTAACAGGAAAATAATCTGAGAGTTTGAGTTTTAGAGGGGAAAGGGTTGAAACTAGTTATTTTTAATTAACGGGTAAGGTTGCAGTCCTAGCTGTACCTAACTTCACGTAAGCACCATTGAGTTTGGTGGGGCTTTGTTCTGAGTGAACAGGTTTAGGTTTGTAGCCCCATTAATGTAAAACATTTATTACCCATTTTTCAATGCAAATACAGTTCTAGAACAGGTTGCAATTAAAACCAATCCACCTGCTTGGGAACATTAACTTAATAAGCAAGTCAGCTGAATTGCAGCCAGCCAGCAATAAGATAAGCATAGATCACGATCCTTTTTGTAATCCATGGAATAGGAGGACAGTGCTGTTGTACTCAGGTCCTGTTCACAAGCATTTTATACATGAGATGGGATGGTGGATCAACCTTTGTTCTAATCCAGCATTACCATCAGGTAGAAGTCCTTGAACATATTTAAATAAGCATGTATACCTACACAACACTGGGAGTGTTATGAACAACTAACTTCAGCAAAAAAAAAGGTGTGCAATTCTTAAACCAGCCCTCTACAAAAGTCCACACAATCCAGACTACAAACTACAAAGCACTACAGGAAGACAGCAGGAACAACAAAATACTGAGATGTATTTCTGGATCTGTTATTCAAGATTACTTGAGTAAATGGACAAAGTTACAAAGAAGCTATCACTAGCTAATCTGTTCTGGGGGGAAACCTGTTTTCAAAAGTCATTAATGCAAGTCCCTTTCATAAATATGATTTAATTTGAATCAATATTCATTCACCAGGCCAAACCATTTTAATGCCAGGGTTGAGCCATGGAACAACATGTGAGGTGGTAGCAAATAGAGTATAAGTATATGCAAATTGTTTTCCCCCTCCCCACTGAGTGACTTAAATAAATTTATCAACCTGGATGCCTCCCAAAACAAATGGTCTGATATAAAGGCAGGCCTTAAAGCTAGCACCTCTTATTTTAGAAATAAATTGCTAATGCTGATTAAAGGAGCTGACTTCTCTTCACTAGGCCAACTCTACCACAAGCTGAAGACACTGAGGGAAAAAAGCAAAGGGACTTACAGAATGGAAGGTTGGTAAAGGTTATGTTTAAAGGCACAGGGACTATAGAATCAAATTAAGGTATTTAGATGGGTGGAAAAGAGAAGATCCCAGTGGCTTCACTTGTACAGTCTCAGAGAGCACTTAGCAGGCATAAAAACAGCATTCTAATATCCTAGAACTAGGAAATGCCACTCTAACCAGGTAGTGAGTGGGAAACCTGGCTGGTACATCAAAACAAAACTACCTTGCTTAAGAAGGAAAAGTGCTTTGCAGTAACAGTCCAATCATATGCCTCAAATCACACCCCCTTTTTGCAATAAGAGAACTAATTAAAACTGGATAAAAAATATAATCTTTAAGCATCTGTTTTATTTTAAGTCCCTTCCACGTGGGCACCTTGCAAGTAGATACACACACCTTTGAGAAACAGGTGAGCCGTTTGAGTGGATTGAGAATGCATCTCACGTGCGTTTGTGTGAGACGAGTGCATTAAACCCTCTGGACTGCACGCATCTGACTACAGCACTGACTTTGTAACTACTTTGTAATTGTGGTTTCAACACTACTGCGTGTCCCAGCTACCCTCAGTGGGGCGGATAAAGTAGTGCTGGCGTGCAGGTGTTGCTGCTCAGGGACAACCCCACATCCGTTTTTTTTTGGGGGGGGGGGAGGATCTCCTCAGTTTCCCTGTGCACTCTTGTCCTGGGCAAGTAAGCCCCGCTGAGATCAGCAGGGCTTACTTCAGAGTAAGCACGCTTAGGGTTGGCAGAGAAAGGCTTTCGGCAGGAAAGCGGCGCCCACCGACGGGGCCCAGGCCTGCCCCTTCCCGAGCGTGTCAGTCGCGCAGCGGCGGCGGAGGGGAAGTGCAGGCCGAGGCGCCGTCGCGCTTGCCGCCGCCGCTCGGCTTCTCCGGAGGCGGGGTAGAGAGAGAGAGAGAGAGGCAGCGGCAGCCATTGTTGTTGTCCTTCCTCCTGCCGCCGTCAAGAATCAAAAGCGGTCGAGGTTGGGGGGGGGGCGCCCTGCGGGACTCGCCTCAGCGAAGCGCAACCGGGCCTTCCTCGTGCAGAATCAGCAGCAGCAGCAGCCATGTCGGCCGGCGGCGAAGTGGAGAGGCTGGCGGCGGACCTGAGCGGGGCCGGCGCCGGGGATGAGGAGGAGGAGTGGCTCTATGGCGGTACGAAGCTTCTCTCCAACCCCACCACCACCACCTTCTTTCATTTCTTCAAGCTGCTCTCCCTCTCCCCACGCCGCCATTATGCTGCTTGCCGGGCCGGGCCGCCCCTCCTCGGGTTTCGGCCGGCGGGAAACGCTAGGCCCTGCCCCGCAGCGTGTCCGTTGCCAGGCCGCAGCCGGGGCCTGCTCTTTCCGCGGCCGGCTTTTCGGGCTCCCAAAGGTCCGGGAGACCCCTGGGAAGGAGGCGGGTTGCCCTTCCCCTGCCCGTCTCCTTAAGGGAGGCTCGGTAGGCCCCGCTGTGGATTTGGAGCCCCATGGGTTGGAAAGCGAATAGGCACACCGGGCCCCATCGTACATTCAACGGGGAGAGTTAAGCCCCGCTGAACTTGCGCATGCATATGGGGTTTTTTTAAGCAGCCGAGAGGGGCCCCCTGGATGTAGTTGGGGTGCCTTGTTGTGGATCGATTTGGGTCTTTGTGAAAAAGGAAATAAGTCACGGTCTGATTCGAGGCCTCGTGCTTTGGTGGGAGACTCCTCCCTGACTCTCTGTAGCCCTGGGTTTTGTTTTTTTAATACTCCGCCCACCAGCTTTTTAATACGTTTTAAGTCGACCACCTCCATATCGAGGCACTTCCCTTCTCTTTGGAGTTGGCCGAGGCCTTTGAACCAGTAGCGATTTTTGAACGTTATGTTGTTATTAGTAGTAAGGTAAATCAGGGATACTGGGGGAGTTGGAAGGCTGCCAGCTGCAATGCACCAACCTGTTTTGGTCCTTTGCCTTCCTGCCTGAGAGACATTGGGAAGCCCAAGGTGTTCAGAAACACATTTATTGAGTTTGTTTCTAAACAGTACAAAGATAGTAAGAAGAAAGTAGATAGTTAAGGCACAAACGGTATGTCATTATTACGCTGATGATGATTCGTTAAATTTGCATACCACCCTTATTCCATAGATCTAGGGGCAGTTCACAACAGAAATATACAAGATAAAAACACAAGATACATAATAAAACAAGAACACCCCTCCCTCTATATTGCTGCTTTACTGGAGGTGTGTGTCCCTGTGTGTTTAAGGGACAAGGTTACAGCTTGCAAGGAAAAGGCAGGAAGCAGGTTACAACTCACTAAAGAAAAAGTACAAAGAAAACACAGCTCACATCTGTTGGTGCAGAATCAATACCATACCAAAAGCAAATAAATAGGTTATTGGTGGGGTGGGGGGAGTTGTCCACTGGAACTTATTGTCCAGGTGCTACACAAATTGCCCGTGCTACTGCAAGAAACCCCAAGTTATGCCACCTCTTACATGGAAATGCTGTATGCACTTCAGCAGAGATGGGAAAATATATATATGTGTGGACGTCACAGCGACTCTTAAGGCTTTAGGGTTGATAACCTTCTAACAGCTATCTTTAGAACTGCCATGGCGAGATTGGAATCACCATCAAAAGTTGGATTCTTTGAAATTTTGTTGAACATCTTGACATGAATGCTCTGTTTTGTATTCTGCCCATAGAAGTGGTTTTGCATTATAATTGCAACACAAGTGATAGGTGTGCTGTAACTTTCACAGCTTCATAACATGCAGATTTAACCAATAAAATTTTCCCTGGAAATCAAACAATGTGAGAAGATTTGCCTGTTGACATTGTGCCTGTCATGCATTTTTTAAAAGTAAAGAAGATGCTAGGTAAGAAAGAAGACAGTAAAGCTAACTTGCACTAGGAAGTGAGATAGGTTTACTGTACTTGATTTCAGAAAAGTAATTTTTTTCTTGCTAGCAAAACATTTGAAGTAATGGGAAGTAAGTTATAATGGGATAACATTCTGTCTCCATTATAGTAATAAAAGACTTTCTCCAGTTAAGCAAAAATTTCACTAATCTCCGTAAACACAAGGTTTATCTTTGAATATATGTGAGTAATCCAGTTTGGAATATTGGGGAACATCTTTACTGTTTTATGTAATTATTATGGGATTTGAAATCTAAACACCAATGCACTCGGTTAAAACTTACAACCATGGAAACTATTTGGTACAGTTTAGAATTGGAGCCTTATAAAACTTAAAAACTTTGAACCCATTATGAATTCACGTGTAGGAGAAGGACTAGTAAAAAGGGAGACAATCCTGACTGCAGATAATACATGGTTTGAGAAATGCAGCTGGAATATTTAGAAATGGAATCTGTGCATTTTGTATAAAATGAAAACTGGAAATTTGTGAGGGATTCTTGTTTGTACTATTGCAGTCAGAGATCATTTTGAGGTATTTTTTCTTCTTGTTGCTTTTTGTAGATGAAAATGAAGATGAGAAACCTGAGGAAACACCTGGCAAGTAGGTATTCTTTTATTTGTGTGTATTGTAGTAGCATTGAGTGTGAAATGTGTTTCGATAATACATGGATTTATTATTATTTGTTGAAGAGCTACTATACAATATGCCATGCTGGTGGCGCTGTGGTCTAAACCGCTGAGCCTCTTGGGCTTGCCAGTTGGAAGGTCGGTGATTCGAATCCCTGCAACGCGGTGAGCTCCCGTTGCTTTGTCCCAGCTCCTGCCAACCTAGGAGATCAAAAGCACCCCAGTGCAAGTGGATAAATAGGTACCGTACCACTGTGGTGGGAAAGTAAATGGTGTTTCCGTGCGCTCCGGATTACGATGTTCCGTTGCACCAGAAGCGGTTTAGTCATGCTGGCCACATGACCTGGAAAGCTGTCTGTGTGATGAGTGCCGCAACCCCATAGTCTCCTTTGACTGGATTTAACCGTCCAGGGGTCCTTTACCTTTTTTCTCAGCCTAACCCATCTCACAGGGCTGTGAGAATATTATGGAGAAGCGGGAGGACCATGTACACTATCCTTGAGGAAGGATGGGATATTAATGCAGTAATAAATAAACATACAGATTTTTATGGAACACTATTTCATCCATCCATGATATAACAACAAGTATATAACCCATTTTAAGTGGAACTGATTTTCTTGTACATCTTAACACCTCATAACTTGGTTAATGTTTTTTATTATGATTATTTTTAAGTGCTCAACCTCCGAGTGGAAATGAAGAAGAAGCCGCTGCTGAAAATGGTGTCGTGAAAACGGTGATTGAAACCAATTATTTGATGTACTTGGATTCTGAACAAACTGCTTGTGGTGACTAATGAACTCAAGTCAATGTGTTTTTTTGCAGGATGTTATTATCCAACATTCAGTTAAGTCAACCCAGGTGCTAAATGATTTGAAAAATCCAAAGCTTGATAGTGCGGCTTCTGGAATTAGGCTCATCTTTGAAAGCCCATCCAATAAGTCAGCTTCACTGTCCTCTTCCTTTTTCCCCCCCTTCCTTTTCCACAATGGTGTTGAACATCAGTCAAAATCTGGTACAACATTATGAATAGATTTAACATGATTGCAAAAACAATTTAGTTCAGTAGGAGTTTGTTTGTTTCACCAAGTCATGTGATTGCATTTAACTAATGCTGAAATACTTGCCTTGTTACTGAAAAACAACAAAACAAACTACCTGATACAGACAGTCTTCATACTACATGCACATAACACAGCCCCAATGGCTGTTTGTTGTGAAGAATGGTAGTTTTAGAAGAGACCAGCTGGGTAGATAAGTAGTATTTTAGCCCTTGTCCCAATACCTGTTTTTTTTCTCTTGCATTGAGGTTTGGAGCAAAAATAAATAAATCTGGTGGAGTAAGGGCTGAGCAACCCCTCCTCACCTGCCATATCTCTGCTCATACTGGATCTTGCCTGAAGCTGGTTTTCTCTGGAAAAAATGCTGATAGGACTGTGCTACATTGCATTTGTGTCTGATATATAAATTAGTGCCATTTCATTTGTGAGACTGTACTGTGAATGATTCATGGATTATTAGTACTATTATTTAAGGGGGGAGATTAAAATAATATTTCCAAAGCTAGCAGTATCAGTGAATAATTTGTCCAACTTTGTGGAGGAGTGGCTGCTTAGCTTTCTAATGCATTTGATAGCATTTTTGGTTGATGCCCACCAGTATTTTCAATGGATACTGTGGACATATGCATAAGTATTTCAGACTTATTTTTATTATTGTGTTATTTCTCATTCAGCACTAGTTAGAAAACCTTAATAGTGAGGATGCTTGTGTCCAGATCCATTGTAAGTCAGTGGCAGAGCCCATATTGACTTCAGTGGTGCACCATAGTAGTACATATGAAAAGGTCCTGGGGCTGTGAAATGAGCCAGATTTCCTACTCTTTCTCTCTTGAGATGTCAGTGTTTATCCTCAACACTCAGTTTTCTGCTTAGTTTTTTTATTTTTTGGAAGTCTTAAATGATATAAATATTACCCAGATATCAAAAAAGCAGTAACATTTTTGTATTTTGAAATAATTGTAGTGAAAGTACTCTATTAAATATTAGTCTGCCTTTGTTGGTCACTTACTTACATTGAATGTAATTTGTAACTGTGATCTTTTTTCTTGTAGAAAGCAACAGAGGCCGAGGATGACAGTGATAGTGATAGTGATGACGATGAAGACGATGTTCAGGTCACAATAGGAGATATTAAAACAGGAGCCCCACAATATGGGTAAGCTGTCAGCAGTGATGTGGGGCAGATTATCCTATGCAGATTACTCTAGTTTGCATTGGAAAATTATCAGAAAACCCATATCACTGGTTGGTTGGTTGGTTGGTTGGTTGGTTGGTTGCTGGCGGTCTCAGCATCTGACTTCCATGACACAAGGGATCTGATCTAAGGCAGGCAAGTGAATATTCACTTCCCTTGTCAAACTGTAGCAAGGAAACGTGTAAGTTGTAACACTTTTTGTTTTTTGTTTTTCAACCATCTGGCCATGTGTTTGATCAGGCCAGTTTCATTTTTGATGGACTAATCACACGTGGGCTTTTTATAAGTAACATACAAAGCTCAAAATAAAAAAAAAAGTTTTTTCCCTTTCAGTACTTTGCCAGGTTGACTAATTAAAAAGTAACACAATCCAACTGATTTTAGATAATATAGCTTTATAATGCAACATCTTGGTTTTTCATAATATTGAAAGTCTGCACTTATGCTGCAGATACTTTGAAACACAGGATTCAAAATGGGAATATGGTGCCAGCATGTTCCTCAAATTCTTAGGGGTTTTCTGTGCCTTGGATAATGTTGTTACAAAATATTAGGCTTTGTTTCATGTGCAAATAATGGGTGCTAAAGTTGGCAGCTGTCAACCTTCCTTTTTCCACTTAATAATACAAACACTAATTTTTAGGTATGGAGCAGCCCCAGTGAATCTCAATATCAAGACAGGAGGACGATCTTACGGATCTTCTGGTAAGTGTCTTCTGTGCTGTCAAAAATAAAAAAATAGAAGAAAAAAATCAGCTTTCTGTAGTGACTATCCCAATCATTATTGTACAGCAAGAAATTAGAAAAACATTGAAAATGAATGCATTTATTTACAACTGTAAAGTTATTAATTATATCATTGCAATAATTTTTTTTCTCAGCAATATTAGGTAGGTTCTCCTGAGAGATGTTCCCAGGGTACCTATTGAAAGTCTTTCTTCCCCATGTATCTGTAGTTATTTCATTGTTTTCAATTATTTGTCAGGCTTAAAAACACAGAGGTGCTTTAATTCTGGATGTAGAATTGTTAATAGTGTGATGGTTCTTATGATAATATTTTGACACTTCTTTGTAGGTGCAAAAGTGAAAGGAGTTGATCTGGATGCACCAGGAAGTATTAATGGTGTTCCACTATTAGAAGTTGATTTGGATTCCTTTGAGGATAAACCTTGGAGAAAGCCAGGTAACAAATTTTGCTGTTTGAATTTTTATCACTGTAGAAGCTTGTCAGTGAGATTGTATAAAAATGTGGGTTTTCCATGTAGCAAATTAGAACTTAAGCCATTAGTCAACTAGAAAGTAGGGTGATCACTATTGCTCAGAACCCAATGAACACAATTTATGGATAAGAAGTTATGTTGTTAATTTCTTAAATCAATGTGGAATAAACCCTTACTTAAATAAATGAATTTTCATGTACAAGAATATGCCTGTGCATCTTTTAAATCATCGTATCAACAGAGCAGTCCTCTTAGCTGCATAGGTGTCTCTTGAGCATCTGCTTGGAGTCTGCTTTGCTGCAGTTGTTCTTTGCTAGATTATGTACCATTTGGTCAAGTGCTCTCTCCCTTGTACTGCAGTTAATTAATTGTCACTGCTGGTAGCTAATATGTGCTGCAGGGGGGAGTAGAAAACACCCCCTTTTAGAATGGTTTTCAGCTATGTTTCACTTAAAAACCAACAGCTTAGTGGAGGACTGGGTTATTTCCCTTCCTCTCTGCCAGTTGAGTTGTAACTTTTAGACTGTGTTTTATCCCTCTTCAGGTGCTGATCTCTCAGATTATTTCAATTATGGGTTTAATGAAGACACCTGGAAAGCATACTGTGAAAAACAAAAGAGAATACGAATGGGACTTGAAATTTTACCTGTTAACTCAACAACAAATAAAATTACGGTAATGAATAGACTCTCTGATTACCAAATTATGGAAATGCTTTTCCTTCTGAAGTTGGAATAGCACTGTCTCCGCAGTGAGTGTTAGAAGTCTTTGTGTGGTTCAAAGTACATACCTACTTTCCTTCCTCTTCCTGTCACCCAGAAGTTTTGCTCCATTTCTTTGTTGGCCTTTGTGTTGATAGTGTGGAACCACCAAGCTACAACTAGCTTGTAACCTGTTGTTAGTTGTATTGTAGCCCATCAGTCCATAATGTGGTGTTTTAATGGGCAATGTGTTATTTAACTTAGGCCGAAGACATTGCTATGGAAGTAACTCCAGGGGCAGAGATTCCAGATGGCACATACAATCTTTTTAAGGTGAATGTTGGTAAACTTTCCTTAGTCACTCTAATCACTGTTTGCCATACCATTTCCAAGGTCTGAATCTAAGCACAAGTGGGCGTAGCTGTTTTCCCCAAGTGTTTTGATGTATACTCCAGATGTGCTGCATGTAGAACCCTATAATTTACCTTTGCTGCTGCAAGCCTGTGACTTGATGGCCTAATGTACTAATGATTGCTATGGCAGTTGTTTAATTCCTTGTATGCTGCATCCCTTTAGTCAGATGACTTTCTAGTTTATGGAAGTGTCGATGTTTAATGTGTTTTTATTTTCTGTGCAGTATTCAAGTGAGAAAACATGCTGGAGAATGATCAGAACCAATTGAATGGATGGCTTCTCTTGTGGCCTCCCCACCCCTTTCTCACTCACTGATATCAGGAATGATCCACTTCTGTATTATTGGGGGCAGAGCAATTTACTCCCTCATAGATAACTCTATAAAGCTGGCAGTAAGGATAGAGGAACACATTTTTTGGCTGGTGTTGGCAGACAGCTGTCGTCACTGACCCTTTCACTCTGATGTGCATGGAGAGCTCCAGGGAGGGAACAGTTTTATTAGCCTTACAAGATACCGGGAAGCAGCAAGAACATTGACTGTTTCTGAAGTTAGAACCTAGACATGAAACTCTGCCTTTCCCCTGCCATACGTTCCCGTAGAAGGACTCACAGGCAATGCAGTGTTTATCTCTTTCCTGCATGAAGTGTGTGAGTTTTCTGTCCTCTTGAGATCTCTGTGCTGTGTGGAGAACTTGGGGGAGGAGAGGAGCCTTGCTTTGTGCTGGATAAATGGTAGGAGGTCTCCATTAGGAACTGCATTTGTGGACACCTGAGTGTAAAAACTTTATATTAAGGGACGACATGGTGTGAGATGATGAGTAGGTTCCTGGTGCCAAGGAACTAATATGTTTTTGGAAAAGTGGCTTCAAGATTGATGGGGGTGCTTTGTTTTTCCAGAATGCATATTTGAGTACAGTTGAATAGAATGTGTAAGCTCATGCAAACTCTTTGTTTCTTAAAGTGAAAGTTGGAACTATACAATTCCCTTTCTTTAAAACACTTTCATTTAGGTTGGGCCAGTAGGGGCCAGGTGGAGGAGGTTTTAGCCCAAGGGCAACCAGTTACCAATCACTTTCTATGCACAGTTGTCTAATATAATTAGTTTTACTATATAAATAAGAATGCCTGATCAATGTGCATACTATATGCCTGCAGGTAAATTTGAATAGAGATTTTGGATTGGATTCACTAGCCAGGTTTTCCATTCTTTATTAGCGTTCAGTATTCCAATTCTGGGTACAGAAGACCTAATTGATGTCAAATCTAGACAAGGCTGATGTAATACTAATCATTTGAAGTTTGCTCTTTCCTAGTTCGTTTGTCTCTTATTTTGTATTGTATCCTTTAAATGACCTCAGGGTGGCATTAAGCCTAGCAGCAATTCTAAGAAGTAGTGACTTTCAAGGCCACCTTGCAAACTTAATATTTAAATCTGGATTTGAACTTTGGTTTTCTACATTCAAAGTCAGAACTCTGACTGCTGCACTGCAATAGCAGACTTTGAATGCTCCTGATTTAAAATTCTGTGGTCCAGTGGTGCTTTTCACTAACATCTGGTGAGAATTTGAAGGCTAGATGTGCTTTGCTGCCTTCAAATAGGGGGAGATCTTTGGGAATACATTAGACTTTTGGTGATAGTATGGATGCCCAGATTGGAGAGTTTTAACAGTCCAGATGGCTCTGCTCTCTGAGACTACTTGATGGCATTGGAGTGGTATGTTGGTGACATTTCTGAGCATGAAGCTGTGAAAATGGATGTGGTTTACCCTACGTGCCCTGCTCTTTGGCAATTTATACAGTCTTAATTAGCTGTACAACACCACAATGTTCTTTTTGCCTAAATAGAGGGAGAGATTATTGCCACATACATAGCAGTAATTATTTGTTGCCTCAAGCAAGTAGCTAAGAGCACCCTGCTCTATTGTAAAAAGCAAGGGTTTTGATTCCTGTCTCTGCTTAATTTGTATGTTAAGTTTTGTTTACTTTACTTGAAGAATTTTCTTAGCAAGTGGGAGGCATTTTTTTAATGACACAGTTCATGTGCAGGACAGTCTGCATGAAGACTAGTTAGATTATTACAGTCCTTGTTCAATGGCTTGGAATTCTTAAATTTATAGAGACACAATCGTTCTGTAGCCTTGTTTCTTTCTGATGTTGAAGATTGGCATGATTATCTGAAAGGAGATGATCACATGTAATAAGACTACAATTACTGTAGCTTTTTGCTCCAGATGCCATGAAGAACTGCTTTTCCATGGTGGAGACCATGAGTTTGTTTTGCTTTTGTTCTGGTAGAAACCTGGTTGTTCAAACTTTTCAAAAGTTCACCATACTATAATTTTCAGTTTCTCTCCCTCTCCCACATGGAAGAAGTATGCTTTACAGAAAATCTTACGTAGGCTGCAGCAAAATAATACAAACATTTTTGGCATTCAGAGAGTTACTTTTTGCTCATTCATCAAACATGTCCAGTGGAATTTTTTTTTATTTCTCACCTGTTCCCTTTTGATATATCTGATCTTTATGCTGTAGCACAAACTATTTTTGAAACTCCCCCAGATTGAAAGAAGGTTTATCATAGGCTTGTGTGGGCGACACAGGCTCTTTTGGGTACATGGAACTAGTTGCAACAGTCTTTGAATCCAGGCCATAATTTTCCTGCGCAAGATCTGCTAAGATGAGCAGCTATAATTTGTTAAGAGTTTTGTTCTTCAGCCTTGTACTTAAGCATCTTGACTTGAGTACTTGACTTAAAGATGCTTCCTCCCCCCCCCCCCCAATACATTAGACAGTGCTAATGAAGAAACTTTATTCTGAAGGTGCAGCAGGGAAGAACTGGAAACATGGAGAAAGAAATGCCACTTCCACCAACCAAAACTGAGTTTACTTCTCCCCCTCCCTTATTCAAGACAGGCATCCCATCAAACAGGTCAGTTGGATATTTTCAAATTGCCATAGAGAGAAAATACCTTCTGGCTGTTACCATTCTCTTAAACTGAAGAAAAGAAAAGTTTGCTATCCTTGTCTCAAATCTTAACCTTTTTTCATATTTTAGTTTGCAATCCTAGATGTATTTGAAGTGTGTGGAATTTTACCAGGAAAAGTTAAAGGGATTTAATTATATTTTAGCATGATCTATAGTAAGAATGTGGATTTTTAAGTCCCTGTTTAAAGCATCTGTGCTAGGTAAGTACAGATAATGAGCTGGACTACATGATGGTATCACTGACAGGAACAAGCTGCTTCCCTTGTCCTTCCTCCACAAGGACTAGACTGGAAGCTTTTGTTTCATTTCCCCATTAATTGTATCTTATCAGCAGCATGCTCACCTACACAATGCGTTAAGTATAGCTTGTTTGAAATGAGCCAAATTCAGACCATAGTTTGTGAAACGGTTTTGTTTAAACAAACAGTAGTTGAGATTAAGCAGTTTAGGGTTTGAACAAGGCTTACTGTATCTTTTCTTGAAAGCACTGTAGTAACCCACAGGTGGTATTTCTATTTTAATGTTTTGCTTAATGTTTTACTCTATCCTACTCTATGTGTTTTGGTGCTATGTACTAACTGTTTGCTTGTGATTTATGATTATAAATCTGTGTGTAATGCTTAGGGATTTTGTTAAGTGATGTATTAAAGAATGAACAAACATCACTGTCATGATTAATAAAATATAGAAATTTCTTCCTTGACTGCACTAGCTGTGTGCATGAAGGCTAGCTTTGGCTCATGCCGATTGGTGATAAACTCTGGCTTATCATGATATCCAAACTGGCCAAGGGTTGGTTCAAATATTAAAACCTAACCATGGTTTGGCGTTCCATGAATGAACCCTGTACTTGCCTGTTTCCTTTGCTTAATAACTTCCTCATTTGGGCACGAGCCAGGAACATAGGCCTGACCCACCATTAGCCCTATTATTGCAGGAAAGTGACACAAACCCAGGGATTAAATACAATAACTTAGTGTTCTTTTTCTTGATAACAGCATTACTGGCTGTGCCTCATCAATGGAAAGCCAGATCAGAGTCCCCAGTAGAGACCTGGATAATTAAGTCTGGGACACCTTACACAGAGAAGGAAAGGGGTCAAAAAGGGATAGATTTGAGGAGGTTTTGTTTCTGCTCTTCTCTTCCATCAATAAGGGACAACATACTCTATATCTACTATGTGGAAAGGCCAATTGGGGGTTCATTGAAAGTGGGGTAATGCCTGAGGAAAAGAAAGACCTAGAAAATTTATCTCACCAGAAACAGCGCCTCTTCTCAGTCACAGCCGAGCACTGCAGCCAGAAAAACAAGTTCAGGTGTTGGGAAGTGGCAGGACCGATATGGGAGGGCTGAATCGCCGGAACTAAGGTAAGAAGTTAAAAGGGACATGGTCCTTTTTGAATTACAATGTTCATTTTACTCATTGGTTGCATGTGTTTAGGCAAGGCTGCTGTAGAATAGCATTCTTGACTTTAGTGTATGCCCAGGTTTTGCAGCACAAACCCCTATCCTTAATTCCACAGTATAAATGTAGTGGGTAATAATAGCCACACTTCTTACATAGAGCAAAAGTGCTAAATCGTAGAGTGCAGTGATATCTGGCGATTAATACTATCAAAGCCAGGTAGGTTTTGTTCTTCTTTCTCAATATAATAAGCATTTGATAACAGGGAAGCATAGAAATAGGGCAAGCTTCACATCAAAATAGCAGGTTTCATATGCTGCTAACAACAGGATACGAACTAGTTTGTAAACCGTGTGTGCCTGTGTATCCCCTTCTTTCCATTGTGGAACACAAGGTGGATACCCACCCAGTACTTGCCAGACTCATACCTTTAGATAGCTGGTGGCCTCGCATCCCTTCATCACACACCATAGCACCATACTTTTAAAGTATCAGTTTGTGAAATTACAAAGTAATTCTTTGCAGACAGGATGAACCTCCCAACCCTTAACTTCCATCACTTTTAACAATAACAGCTTTTGTGACAGTTGCCGCAATAGTAGGTATACCTACTTCTCTCCAAAAAGGTTGTTGATTACTAGCTTATTGCCTCCAGCTAGATGAAGTGTATATGTCATTTTTGTCAGTCTTCAGGCACTGATATTTTGTGTTTTGATTTGTTTGGCTATTTAATCTACATGTTGCAGACCCTATATTAACTTTGTTTTCCCACCTAGTTCCTAAGTATAAGATTTTAAACCTATATTTTTAGTGGTTTCTGATTTGTACTCATTCAAGGGTCCACAAATTTTGCTTGGCTTGATCACTTCTTCAAGGAGCAGGATCTTGGCACTGACCTTCCACTATAACTCTGAAACTATAAATGATTTCCAGGACAATCCCTTTGCCCTTGAAGCTGGGGTGGGGTGGTGAGGCAGGGATCATCATCACAGCTAAACAGTACTTCTGAGATACTTAGGGCTCTGTTGGATTCACTACAGTCGCAGCACAAAATAGGCTTGTAGAAATATTGTCTGCTGATTTTGGACACAATTTGTTGTCTTTTACCGTATTGTCCTACCTTTTCCCCAACTCCAAGGTTGAAAGGAAGGTTGGACGTCATTGTGCTTGCCAGAGGATGGTAGAATACTGATCATGCTGAGTATGATCACTTAAGTTGAGTGAAATTGTGGACCCGTGTCAGTGTAGTTCATATTATGTTTGAATGTTGAAGCCTTTTAAGTACAGATTAGGGGTCCTAATTTTCTGGTGTATAGTCTGCCTCTGTATGCTTGCTGCTACCCTCTTCCTATTGCTAATGATCAATGCAGCTTCATCTCCTAACCATTATTTTCTGTTTTTTCAGAGCAGGTTACACTAATAAAGATTTAACACCCTAAAATTCTTAACTGCTGGCAAAAAGGTTGTGTTTGTCTTCTGCTTTTAGTTTGCCTGCTTGCGTGTTCCCTTGAAATACTGTTGAAGATTTCAAGGCTTCTCTTAGGTTACGTTCTCATCAGCTGTTTGTAAATTTTGGCTCCTTTGTAACTAGTGTAGAATTCATTCATCCATATATTTATCATCTGGTAGTTAATGTTTGACTTAGCTGTGTTTTGTTTTAACAATATTAAAGTTGTTGACTGTTGTTGCCGGACTATTTCACTTCTGTAGCTACAGGCACTGTGCAGGGATAGAAAAATGTCAATTCTTAAAGGGGAAAACTGGGGTGTTCCCTTCTTTAAAAGTTAATCTGGAAATGATGATGATGATAGAAGATTTATTGCTTGCCCTTCACCACAAGGTCCCAGGACAGGTCTCAACAATGTAAAATACAATATTAAAAACAGTTTAAAACATATTATGCAAAAGGCGTGTTACAATAAGCTATCCACATTTTCAACTCTCTTCTGAGCTCGGCCACAAATTTCGACTGTCCTCTCAGCCACATGAATATTGGGAGGTAAGAGTAACTCTTGAGAGCTAGCTTTTGTATGCTGGCTCTGTGTCATACTTGGAGAGGGAATACTCTGGTTTTACGTTAACTTGCTTTGTTTGTATTTACTTCAGTAGGATATGAATGGTAACACTTTGTCTAGAAACCACCCAACAAAAAAAGTTGAGGTTTGCTTCACTTTGGGGTGTATGTTACAGCAGATTTGGAAACGTGCCTGTCAGAAGGATTTATAGTTGAGGCATCACTGCCTGTTCATGAATTGATCTTCTCTTCTTAGGCAATAATATTTGCTAGGAATTATAGTTCTTTACCCTGTCTAAGGATTGAGAGTAGAGGTCAACAGCAGATGACTCCAAAGCTGAATCTGCCTTGTTGGGGAGATCAGCTTTCAGCCTGAAGGCAGGAGGTGCAGAGAGCAGTAACAACATGTATTCCACTTGTTGATGGAGAACCTGGCTCTCACAAGTTGTATACTACTAGTTGGCTACCAGAGTTTCATTTGTTGGATAGGTGCCTTGCTTTATATATGTGATAAACAGCGTGAATAGTTCATCACGTACCTTCTTAGTCATGCAGTCTTTCATTTTAAGTAATCTTGTGAAACTTTAGCTTCTATTACCTCCACCTTTAATTTCAAGGATTTTTTTCTTCAATAGAAAAGCAAGTATATGCTAGGTTTGAATAGATGCCTCTTATGGTCTAAACCACAGCTCCAGTTGCTCGGTCCCAGCTCCTGCCCACCTAGCAGTTCGAAAGCATGTCAAAGTGCAAGTAGATAAATAGGTACCACTCCGGCGGGAAGGTAAACAGTGTTTCCATGTGCTTCTCTGGTTCCCCAGAAGCGGCTTAGTCATGCTGGCCACATGACCCGGAAGCTATAAGCCGGCTCCCTCGGCCAGTAAAGCAAGATTAGCGCCGCAACCCCAGAGTCGCCCGCGACTGGACTTAACAGTCAGGGGTACCTTTACCTTTTTATTTCCTCTTCATATTGCTAATTCTCAGTGATACCGCTATACAGTATTTTATATTTAAACAGAAATACAGTATGTTTCTTCTTGGGGGATGACACATCATCTATTGAGATGATCTTGCTGCCTTTAATAAACAAAGAAGCAGAAAAAAACAACCCTCAGCTGATTATCCTTGTTGAGTAATAGCCTTTTGAAACGTATGCACAAGGCGTTTGAAAGGCTTGAGATGTGTCCCCCCAGGTCTTTCTCTGGTCTTGTGTGTCAGTGTAACAGTTCCCTTTTATATTTCTTTTCAGAAGGCTTTCTGGTACAATAGATGTGATTGGACAGACAATCACGATAAGCCGAGTAGAAGGAAGGCGGCGTGCGAATGAAAACAGCAACATACAGGTTTCCTTTTTCCCTCTTACATATGCGTATTGGGTACAACAAGACTGACTTTGCTTTCACCTTAGCCTCAGTTTAAAGAATTGAAAATGTGATGCATATAATATTTGATATGCAAAAGGAGTGAGCAAATAGAAAGCATATATTTGTTTAAGCCACTTGTCAAGAAATTGGAGAAAATTGCAGCTTGAAAGAACCCAGTGGCTTGTATCCAATGTAACCATCCCATCAGTGTAAGGATTCACACTTGTGCAATGGGACGTCTCCTCCCCCCTCCCCCGCACAGCCACTAAATCTGTTCTTGGAGTTCCCCCAACACTACGGAACAGATTTCGGGAGGGTGTGGGGTATGCATTGGAAAGTAGGGGGAGAAGTTGTATTTATTGCTCAAGTGGAAATCCTTGCACTGACAAGACAATGCTTAGTACTGCATTGGTTACAAGTCTTTGCCCCTTGAAAAAGGATACATTTAATTAAAGTATGGTATGCAATGAGTGCTCTTAGGGTGTTAAAGTCATCAGCATCCATTACCGCTAATGCAACATAGAATTGAGGGTAATGTTTGGCCCAGGCATGCTCACACTTATGTGTTCCCAAAGTTTCACCTTGCATCTTCTCATTTCAACTGGTACACATTTAGAAGTGTTTGTTAGCGAGTGAGAGATCAAAATGCATAGGATATTCCAGCAACGACTTGTATTATCCTTTTAATCTTCAGAGTTTTTACTGAGAAATTTCTCCTGTTTCTGTTGGAAGGCAAATGCACGTTTCTTCATTTCAGAAAAAACTTTACTTAATCTGTAAGTTAGGGGGAACTATGCATCCCCCCCCCTTTTTCAAAAGAAAATTGTAATGTTGGTTTTGTTTTGTAGGTTCTTTCTGAACGCTCCAGTGCCGACGTGGACAACAGTTTTACCAAGCCCCCTCCGTTTTTTCCTCCAGGAGCTCCTCCCACCCATCTTCCACCGCCTCCTTTTCTTCCGCCACCTCCATCTGTCAGTACTGCTCCCCCTCTGATTCCTCCTCCAGGTAAAAAAAAAAGATGCAGAAAGGAAAAAAAAAACCCCATAATTAGCAGTGTTTCTATTTAGATAGCTAAAGTTGTGTTCAGGGTGTGTTTTATATATTTATCTATAATTGGGATTTGATGTTTTTCTGGCCAGTAAAAGATTTGCAGTTTGCTTGACAACTTTCAAGAGTTACCTTGGCTTCACATGGTCCTCTCTTATGAAGGGTTTTTCACATCTTTTCCTCATCTTTCCTTCGAAGGCATTTTTCTTCATTATTTGCATTTTCTCCTCCACGGGTGAAGATCCCCTTGCTTCACTGACGTTGCATTCAGCTACAATTTGCTTCATGTAAGGGCTGGTGACTTGTGGCCTCCAGGCAGAATTGGATCAAAGGAAGGCTGCCAGCTGGTGAAGGAGCAGGGCGGTAGAAATGCTGGCCATGCTCCCATCACTGCTTTAAATTAAAGTGAAGCACTGATTTTTAAACCTTTGCATAGGCAAACTGCAAACCTAAATGCTATTCGGTCACCTGTGAAAATGAAATGCATTATGAATCATTTAGCTTATATTAAATCTTAAGCTGCTTTATGACATATATTTAGGACACTGTTTTTATTCAAACCATAATTACAAATATTTTGTAACCCAATATACAGTGGTACCTCGCAAGACGAATGCCTCGCAAGACAAAAAACTCGCTAGATGAAAGGGTTTTTTGTTTTTTGAGCTGCTTCGCAAGACGATTTTCCCTATGGGCTTGCTTCGCAAGACGGAAACATCTTGCAAGTTTGTTTCCTTTTTCTTAACACCGTTAATACAGTTGCGACTTGACTTCGAGGAGCAACTCATAGAACGCGGTGTGGTAGCCTTTTTTGAGGTTTTTAAAGACTTTGGTGATTTTTGAAGCTTTTCCAAAACTTTCCCGACACCGTGCTTCGCAAGACGAAAAAAATTGCAAGACGACAAAACTCGCGGAACGAATTAGTTTCGTCTTGCGAGGCACCACTGTACTTGTAAATAGTGGGGAAACGAGTTGAAAATTTCATCATTATTATGGTAAACAATTGTTATTTGGAGTTACAGTGGAACCTCGGTTGTCGAACGTGTCCACGCAGCTTCCGTTTTGAGTTTCCCTATTGTATTGAGGCTTCCGCTTTCAGTTTTTGGTTTTCGAAAGTTTCGGAAATCGAACCGTCTTCTGGAATGGATTACGTTCGAAAACCGAGGTTCCACTGTGGTACATAGTGCTTGATTTCTATCCATCAAGAAACAAAAGGAACTCCTACGTTGAACATCTATGGCTCAGTACATACACCATGGGTGGAATTCAGCATAGCGCTAAAGACATAATTCCATTGATGCAAACGTTTCTGTTGGAAATGCACTTACACAAAATCAAGTTAATTCCTACCCTCCTATGATTCGTATAGGGCTTTCCTTCATTTTCTGTTTGTGTTTTTCTGGGATTTCACATGTCTGCACAGCGGCTGCATGACTTTCCAACCAATTTCATTCCAGCAAGGGAAGGAGGGGAGTCATGAATGTAGTTCTGGACAAACACAGTTTGCTTCTGGATTACCTGGAAGCATTGGGCAACTGCATATGAGCCTCTACTTCCTTTTCTAATGCAGCAGTTGGCATGAAGCTGGCTGGAAAGTTGCACAGAGGCTTCTGGCAGTAATGTCAAACCACTGTCTGTGACTCTTATTTCAATAACTTAACTGCTGCCTAGCATGGTAGGAAGTGGATTCCTGAGGTGGGCTAGTCTTCAAAAGCAGTCCATACCAACTGCTTCCCTTTTTTGCCTATGTTCTTTTCCATGTTTCTCTGACCCTGTAAACATTAAAGGGATTATTGGCCCTACTTTCCATTCTCTGGATGATGTCCCTTTTCTAAGACTTTTGCTCTCTCTTCCTGGCCCCTTTCAGATTTGGCATCTTTGTGGCAAATTGCATTCTTTACTGTGTGCTTAAATTCATATGGGCTAAACAAAGTGGGAAAGAGGAAAAGCTAAAATCATTTTTATACACAGCCCAGGTAGTGCATTGTTAATGTGTAGTACAAAAAGGCCATGAAAATTTACAGTGCAGTCACGAGCATGGGACTTATATTGTAGTATGTATGTTTAGGATTGCAGCCTTGGTGCTCTTAAACAGGGGTCGGCAAGGTTTACCTTGCCTGTGCCGGTTCACTCCAGCGGAGATCCTTCCATGGGCCGGATTGTGTGCTTCCGTGTTTTTCATTGTCTGTGTCTACGCAGATGCAATTTCCGGTGCCACAGAAGCGAGTCATCGCGCTGCGCCAGTTTAGTGCAGCGCGTGGGGACTTACCGAGTAGGCGGCTCAGTTCCAGGGGGGGGGCTCTTGGGCCAGTTAAACAACCCCCATGGGCCTCTTGTGGCCGATGGGCCTTAGGTTGCCAATCCCTGCTCTTGAATAACATAATTGCAGTTGGTATACAGCTTGCCATGTGATTATGCTGGAAATTTTTGAACAAAAAGGGAGCAACATTTAAAGTACAGTAATTCTGTAGCATAGCACTTGCATTCGTGGTTGGTTGGAGAAATAGGAGATGTGTTGCCTTCAAAGAAATAGGAATGTAAAGAATAATATTAGCCTAAGCCTTGGGGTGAACTTCTAGTCCCACCTACAAGTAAGAGGCAATCTTAAAGAAGAAGCTTTCATCTGTTGAAGTTCAAAGTTAAAATAAATTGCATGTGTTGTGACTTTAGTTGAGCCCTTTGGTGAAAGGAGCAGAGGACTGGTAACATTCAGACAGGTTGATGAGATGAGCCCAGCCAGAAGATTTTGTTTGCTATCTCCTGTATTTTCAGCCCATTTGAAAATAACTTATAAGTAGTGGCTTTGGCTTCTCCAGGCTTATTTTAATTTTGCTTCTGCCAGCATTCTGTCTTCAAAGCTCCTACCAAAATAGAACCTGCCCATTCCTCATTGGTTTAAAGAGGGAAAAGTTTCTTGTTAGTTTCTTGTTACCTAATATTAGCTTGGAACTACTGGCCAGAACGTTTAAGCATTCAAATATAAAACATCCTTCAGAAGATCCTTTGAAAAAGGATCTCACTTTGAAGTTTGGTCTCTTGTACTGTGTTCACTTAGCCACTCGTGATGCAAATATCTTTGAGACAAAAAGAACCATCACTGTTTGAAAAGATAACACTAGAAAGTTGAACAGCTGCTACTGGAAAGGACTCTCAACTAACAATTGCAGTAATAATGTCTGGGCTAAGATTTTCAGGAATTAGGAATTTTTAAGAATGCCCATTCTGTAGACTTTCCTACAATGCTTTGGAAAAGCAGCTAAATATGCTTGTTGGTAAAATATGTCATGTGTCTGTGTTAGAAACGTGGAAGTTATTCTATTAATGCCATAAAGTCAGTGCATTTTTTATGACAGTATGGCCCAGTTAACATTAACCTGTCATTTTACATTTTGAATCTGCTGTCTTGTCTGTTAACATTGAGGATATAAAGGCACAGGTGGGTTTTTGCATTGACTTGTGCATGCATATCCATACGAATGTACAGCGAAAGGAGTACATCCTTACAGGTGTTCTTTAAACTGATTATTGTTGCATAGGTAACTCCATTAATTTGTAGGGTTAGATTTATAGAACATGCTTAGTGTTGATAATAACACTTTTATATTCCAGATGCTATGAACCTGGAATTCAGTGGAAAATCTTTATAAGATTGTTAATGAAGTTTCCTTGTGTTTACTCAGTGTTGCCTGGACGATGAAGTCATGATAAATACGGAATCTTCAGAGCAATCTGTTAATTTAGGGAAGCAGCAGCTTTAAGTTAATTAATATGGGTGTGTTACTTTCAGAGAGTTTTAAGCAGCGACCCCACACCACAGAACCTTGTTTGGCACATGTGTCAAGGTGCATGCTGTGAAGCCTCCCCGCTCCCCATATTTATGAACTTAAAGCCACTAATGTCACCTTGCATTTGGCCCAAATCCTGCCGCTGGTGCAGCTGCCCACTAATTCATCCTTGGATCAAAGCCCAATATGGAGTGGCAGTAGCTGAAATTGCTATCAACTCTTACTGGCTTTTTAATACGTTGTTGGCATGAGTGCCATGATACCTGTTCTGGTAATGTGGGAATCAGAATAAACTCATTACTGAAATGACTGGGTGCATTTTTTTTGTTTTTAGGTATACCAATAACTGTGCCACCGCCAGGTATATTTATCTGTTTTAGTAGTATGAAACATAATGTGAATGCAATTTTGGTATAGGGGGACAATCTGCCACTTCCCTTTTTTAAAAAAATTAAAAAATGTACTTTGATTTCTTTGGAGAAAATAGCTAAAATTCAGAAATAGTTTTTAATTGCCAGGTAAATATATATAATTGAAGAACTGGATAAAATAAATGGAATAGAATAAATATGCTAAGTATAAGATTGCAAGGATATGATGTAAGAAAATAATGGTTTAACTTTGGGCATGTCATTCCTTTTCACTGTTATACAGATTTATCTTAATATATATACACAGCTTGCATGTATTGGGTTTTTCAGGCGTTAATTAGCAGTGATAAGCTAAGGCAACTTCTTTGTTTCTCAAATATTTCAGGCTTCCCTCCCCCACCTGGAGGACCACCACCTTCCCTAATACCGACCATAGAAAGGTAAATTTCAGTTTGTAGAATGATCTCAACCAAGCACGTTTTCCCTGCATGTCAAGCAAGGTGTGGTTATTGCTTCAAGTTTAGAGAACAGCTAGGCATGGCTCTTGACTTGCTCATGCCAACAGCCTCTGGTGGCAGTGGGTGGGGAGGAGAAGATCTATGGAGTCTGTTAGTAGGTGCAGAAACAGTGCAGGTCCCGGGTTGCTACTTCTTACTTTACCTTGGGCTAAACTTGTAAGGAGGCAAAAGCAGAGAGGAGTGGTGGTAAGCCTTAGTGAGGAGAGCTGTGGTATATATTACCAGCTGGCTAAAATTTTTTGATGCTTTGTTTTGTTTAATTCTTAGTGAAGTGGTTGCTTGTTGGATTGGTGGAAGCGCTAGGGAAAATAGTGACTAGCTATCTCTGTAACTGCTCTTGCATTTAGTATTTTTTTCTGGACGCTCTTCCAATAGACAGAAAAAAATAATCCTCCCAATTGAGTTATTTTGAAGGCTCCAGGAGATTTTCAGGTTGTCCTTTCAGTTAGATTAAGCCCTCATCATGCTTTTTCTTGCTCCTTTGGGCACTCTTCCCTACAGAGTCTGAACTTTCATTGCCTTATGTACAATCCCCTGTAGAGTTTAGTCCCTCTGTCAAGTCCTTTTCTCCTGCACTGCTTCCTGATTGCCGCATTTCCAACATACATTTTTCTTACACAGAATTATTTTGTTCTTCCTTACACTTCTAGTTGAATGACGTTCTCCATAAACCTAAGAAGCTGATAAACATTGCTTAAGGTTTTCATTATCTCATTTCTAAAGCCACAGTCCAAAGGTGTTTTATAAAATATTAAACTGTCTTCAAGAAGAAAAATAGCACTCATCTAAGTATGGTAGATGAGGTAAATATAATTAATTCAAGATATATGGGGAGTAATAAAACATATAATAGAAAGTAAATTAAACCATACATATCTTTTTTCGCCTTAGTATTTTACTTATTTCAGCTGATATTTTCCCCATTCAGATGAAACTTGGAGAATGTGAAGTTAAGTAGGATGCAAGTATATTTTTACTTCCCAGCAGGAGTACTGCTGTTCAGCGTCCATGTCTCCCAGCCATGCTGTTCTCTAGGATGCTGTAAACCAGAGCTAGATCTACCCTTGGCCAAACTTCCAGTGAATGCATGCTGGAGGTGGAGGTGACTACTATTCCCCAAACATACAGCACACAGAAAGCACACCAGACAGGCATACATGCACACCTCTCCTCAGGTGATCCATGCAGATCATCTGAGAAGGGGTTTTACTTGCCCTCTTTTCAGGACAGTCATCTGATGAGTGGGGCAGTTTGCATCCTCAGCCTAGCACTGTGATGAGGACACAAACGACTCCATCCCCACATGACTCTGCGCCCCCAGTGCTATTGCCGCCTGGAAATTGAGCTGGTGGGGAACATATGGTGAGCTTGGGGGTTTACCACCCGTAATGTAAGCTATAAGGAGCTCAAATAAGGCATTCCACTTCTCCTTTCTTCCATAGGTGTCCCTGCTCCCCCAACAGATTAAGCACTCATTATTTCATGGCTACTGAGCATGGTCACACATCATTGGGCCATGGGAGGGGGCTGCCTCCTAATTTTTTTAAAAAAACAACCCAAAATTTGTACTTTTTGCTCCAAGCATACTGATATAGCTCTCTTGTTTCTCGGTGGCCCAATTTTGGCTCCATTTCTGTCAACATTTATCATCTGAGTTGGCTGTTAGTGTGTATGATGAATAGCAGTCTCATGAATAATGATTTTATATGGCAGACTGTCCAACTGGGACCTTCATTCACCCTGTCCCTTGTAGTGAATAAAATAAATGTGTGGATGAATTTGCCACATTTGATTGCTTGAGGGGCAGGATAGATTCCTTGCCACATCAATCTGTGTAATGTTTTGCCTGTGCAGATCTAACAGATGATTATAGCCACTGCTGAGCTGCACAATAAACACTCCTTCCAGTGTTTGGGATAGAATCATAGAATTGTAGAGTTGGAAGGGACCATGAGGATCATGTAGTCCAACCACCTGCAATGCAGGAATCTTATGTCTAATGTGGGGCATGCAGGGTTGGTCCAGTTGGCCAGATTGTCTTCCGTCATCGCACCAGATCTGAAAGCACAGCATGTGTAGAGCAAGAGGCAAAAGCCACAGTCACTCCAAATTACTTTGGCAGATATGACATGATGGTGATTTTATTACCCAGCCTTTACCCTGAGGTCTCAGGGTGGGTTATAGTACTTTAAAATACAACATTAAAAATAATTTCCACTCACAAAAATAGAGTGGGCCCTAAAAATATATATTATCAAGTGTCAAAGACCAGCGTATTGTTGGCACCTGTCTGTCTCAAGAGACAGTAGAGTGCACCAGTCATACCACTGTGTTAGCAGCACCGAAATGATGTCCCTGTGGCAAAAGCCTGGGCAGTGTGAATAGAGGTCCTGGGCTGCCCAGACGACAGGACCCCTCTCTTGGCCTCACTCATGCGGCCCAAAAGAAAGCAGAGCAGTATACATTGGCGCCAGCTTGGCTGCAGGAGTTGGTGGAAGGAGGTGTACAAGGTGCCATCCAGCAATCTCCACTCTGGATTTGTATAGGGTTTACTCCTCAGCCTTTTCTTCCCACAAGATAGTGGAGGTTTAGGATCAAAGGTAACAAATCAGATACAGTGGTACCTCGGGTTGCAAATGCTTCCGGTTACAAACACTTTGGGTTACAGACTCTGCTAACCCGGAAGTAGTACCTCAGGTTGAGAACTTTGCCCCCTAGGGGCCACTAGGGGCGCATCAGAAGATGGCTGACAATAACATCTCTCCGACCCACACGAGGTAATTTGGAGGCTGTGATGGGAGTAATAGCCTCCCTACCCCCCCCAAGATTGGGGGGGCTGCCCTTGCCTGCTGTGCCCTATACCACCCCCGCATTTGTGGGGATGGGGGCACTAGGCAGAATGCCCTTCTGTGGATATCGGCGCTCCTGGACGCTGCCTCTGATCCGCGCCTCTAGCTGCAAGAACTTCAAAAGGAATAATTAGGAAGAAGCGAATGCACATATTTCAAGGAAGGAGGGGGAGTAAAGACTGTTAAGAGAAGAGATCTCTGATAAACAAGACGAGTCGGAAGAACAAGAATTAACCAGATGAAGACACACCAAGACTCGGTATGGCAAAAGGACTGGATGGGGGAGGGGAAAAAACTTTCCTTTCTTTCCTCTATGTGATTAAACAAGAATCCCCCCCCTCACAAGTCAGAAATGTCGTTTGAAGGACTTAAGCTGTGGATTTATGTCTGTGTGGAGATAAACTTTCTAACCAAAGCATGTTTTAAGAAGAGCGTGGAATGTATAAGGGCTTTGGAATGACGCAGTTAAAAATACCGTCGCCATATTGGGAAGTTCTGTCGGAGGACTTAAGTCTGGGAGGAGAAATAGAGAAATAGAGCTGTTTTTATATTGTGGGTGAAACTTCTCAGAGGGACTTAAGAACGACAGTTCTGTGATTAATGATGGAAAGAGCGATGTTATCTATGAATGCGATGATATATGGAAACCATCTCGATTTGAGGATTGGATGAACGGAAAATTCACACAGGATTATTATTGGTGTTTATCGGCTTAAGGAGATTATCAGAAGAGATCATAAAGAAAAAAAGAGAAAATATACGAACAAGATGAGATGCGGAAACAGCAAGATAAGACTAGATAGAATTATGAACTTTGTTTGGACTGATTCGGACATTAATGCAGTAGCAAGAAGATGATCAGAATCCCCCTTCGGATCTTGAAATATGGGTCCCCTCAACAAAATTTAAAATTCGGCTTTGTAATTCGGAATTTATGTGATGTGATTTGATTTGATTTGATTGGTTGGTTAATAAAAATTATTTATAAAAAAAAGAGAGAACTTTGCCCCAGGATGAGAATGGAAGTCACGTGCCGATGGTGCGGCAGCAGCGGGAGGCCCCATTAGTGAAAGCGCGCTTCAGGTTAAGAACGGTTTCGGGTTAAGAACAGACCTCCGGAACGAACAAACCTCCGGAACGAATTAAGTACGTAACCAGAGGTACCACTGTAATGTTAAAAATGACACTACAACAGAGAGGTGGTTGCACACTGACTTTTAAAGTATCACATGAATGATTACATCCCTGGTATGACAAGTATCATACCCTATCAGCTTCAGCAACCAGAACTCGCTATTTTAAATGGTGAGATGAATTTATTGTGTGCTTCTCTTTCAACAGTGGACATTCCTCTGGCTATGATAGCCGCTCAGCTCGGGCATTTCCATATGGCGGTGGTAAGTGTCTTCAAAGCTGCTTGAAAATGGGCTGATCGGGTGGCTACACTTTTAAGTTCAACCTATGTTGAGTTAGCAGGTTAGCAGCTTGGTGCAAAGCCTGCTCTTTGAGACGCTTCTAACCTTTATTTTTATATGTAACCTCTTCCTCTTGTTCAGGATGCATTGATGCAAACAAGCTTCTCATATAATAGTTTTTAATTCTTTGGGAAAAATGGTGCTCAGTTTCTGGTAAGCATGTGAAGCTGGTAAGCATGGTGTATGACATATATTCTCCTTTGCACACACAAACAAATGCCATCTGCTGTGTTTGGTTCCTCTCCCTTGTTTTTTAGTCAGGTATTTACTCTTTGTAGTTATTACAAAGAAGAAGAAAAATATTTCACCAAACATTTTTCAACCTTTTTATTTTCCTTCTAGAATTTGACAGGCAATAATGTTCAGTGTGCAGACATTTGGCTTAAGTGCAGGTTTTGATAGCAGCATTAATTAGAGACTTGTGTACTGTTAAGTTATAGAAGCAGTGCCCATTCTCTCTTCCTCTCCCCCTCTTTCTCCCGCATCTTCATGAGTCAGATTAAAAGTACAGTGAATTTGTAGTGACCAAGCAGCAAGAATGAAGCTCCAGTAAAATGGGAGGAGTGTGTGGGTATGAATGAACAAACCAGAATTTTGCTTCAGGTAACAAAAAACAGATGATGCTCAGAATGACTCCTTTAATGGAAAGCAGATGCCTTTATTAATCTGTGCTCATGTGAAAGTATTGAAACTGCCTTCTCTGTCTTCCATATTTCAGAGGAGGTCTCACATTTGGTGCCTCTATCCTCAAACAGCATATATTATGGGTTGATATTTTCTTCATGAAAGGCTATAAGGGCTTCCTCCAAAATCTCTGAGCATTGTTCAGTACATCTGCTGGAGAGTTATACTATCTTAAGTGTGATGCAAAGCACACATAAGGGCTGGGTTTCTTTTCTGTGCAAGTGTTTTTGGAGTAAACTGACTGGGAGAATGTGTCACTTCAGAATAGGACATCTGCAGAAATTGTCCCCAAGCACTCATGAAGAAAACACAACAGATCTTAAAACGCATCAAACATCACATTCAGAGCACTGATTCAGATGTGTAGACCACAAGTTTCGCATGGGTAGGATGGTGTTTGAAACAGCATGGATGTGAAACTATCTTCCACATTAGGCTCTTTTGGGAACTAGGTACGAAGAGGGGCACTTCAAAATTATCAGAATTATACATTGTAAACAACACTCACTTTTTTGGCACGGAATATGTAAGAGTCCCCAAAGTACGACTAATACTGGAAGCACTTTATTCCATATTTCATTCTGCGTATTTTGGTTTAGATGGGAATACCATCTTTAATTCTCACAGAGATGCTGCAGATTTAGATGAGAAAGGGAAGGAAGTTTAGTTCTTGGGCCTGATCTGTGAGAATACTGCTCTTCCTGCAGCACAATCCTATTCATGTCTACATAGAAATAAGCCCCATTAAGTTCAGTTGGGCATCCTCACAGGTATGAGTATAGAATTTCATCCTGCCTTTGCTCATCTACCTTTTTTCATATACACTTCTGGCAGCCCTTTCTGATGTTTTTGACGATTATCTGTAAGCTATAAAGGACCAACTAGGATTCATCAAACATGTTTTCTCTTGACAAATAACCACAGGCAAGAACTCAGTGATAATATGTAGCCTTCTTACTTGTGAGTCTTAAATTGATTTGATTTGGTGGAGCTCAAAGTTCTCCTTCTGCTTGTTTAACCCCCATAACAACCCTGTGAAATAGGTTAGGCCAAGAGGCAGTGACTGGCCCTAGGTCACCCAGTGAACTCCATGGCCAAGTGAGGATTTGCACCTGGTTTCCCAGGTCCTAGTTTGACATCATAGGTGTTAACTCCATAGGGCTGAGATGTCTTCAACCCCCCAAAGTCTGTTGAGATAGGGTTGAGCCTCCCTCCAGTACTGAGAGGTTGGGCCTTGTGGCAGCGGGTCTCGCAGCTATGACAGAAGTCCTCACTGTGCCAGGCCTCGTGGCAGAAGTGGGCCTCGCAGGAACTTGTGGCAGCAGCTGTTCTCGCAGGGGCTCACTGCAGTGTGTGGTGTGCGTGATGTCACACGTGCGTGTCGCATGCTCAAGCAGCGGGGATCCCCCCCCCCCATGTTTTGCCGAACTCAGCACCTTTGTCTGATATTCTAACCATTATTCCACATGTTGACCTGGCTGTGACGTAGATAGTAGAATCAGTATTGCATTTCTCTTTGTCCCTCTGTTGCTGCCTGGTTTCCTCACCACCCCCTTCTCATACTGTGGCTTGGCACACTAGCCCCAAAATCTTGCATTTGTCTCATCTAGTATCTCTTCTTGAAAGAAACAGAAAGGAACTTCAGTTAAAAATAGAAGAAGTCCTAAAGCCTAAGAGGTTACACAAGTTTCAGGTACTTCAGAGCACTGAAAGGCTGTTCTCTACTTTTTAAAAAAATGTTTCTTAAAAAAATAGTTTCTATTCTCTCTTCCTTGACTATATTTTTGTATGTCTCACAGAACTGAACCAAGTGCAATTTTCCCCCCAATATATTTTTTATTGAATTTCAAATTTTTTACAAATTAACTTCAGAATAAATAGCTACATTATTTCATGTATTGACTCCCCACCCACACCTCCACAGTGTTTTTATTCCAACTCTCTATATATCAAATTACTGTCTATTACCAATATCCCTCTCCCTTGTCATTTTTTCCTTCTGCTACTCCTGTCTTGAATTTTGCCCACAATTTCGTTTGTTTTCCAAATAGTCCAAAAAGGCCTCCATTCTTCTACAAAAAGTTCATCATTTTAATCTCTTTATATTGCTGTCGGCTTTGCCAAGTGTAATTAGTTTTTAAATGGTTGATGAGTCAGATTTAATGAGATTTAGTACTAAGATCTGCACCACATTTCTATTGATTGATTCCACTTTTTAATAAGATTTTATTAAGGCTTTATCATAGTACAATACAATAAAAAACTAACCTAACTAAAAGCAGAAAAAGAAAAGAAAGTGCAGAGTCCTCTCTCAAAGGTAGATCTTAACCCTTGTCTCATACAGAAAAGTTGTGGTTGATGGATGCTACATCCATGACAATATTGGAAGTTGGGGAAATTCTCTGTAAAGTCCAGCTATTTCTTGAAATTCTAGTTGTCTTCTTTCTTCTCTTCCACCACCCCCAAATTAAAAACAAAAGCAAATCATAAAATGTTTTTCCTTCCTATGATCAAAAATAACATTTCTGTGGTGCAAGAAAATTACAAAAATACAAATTGTTCTGCTGTAGATTATAGGCGATGATGCTGGAAATTGTATTTCAGCAATTCTTTTTCTTCCACCATTTTCTGCTGTTCCATTTTCTTCGAGAATTTTTATATCCACCCTCCCCCGCACCTTTGCATGCTACAAATGGAGCCCTTGAATACAATTCACTTCAGAATCCTACTCTTGTTTCCCACCCCTAAGTTCAGCAGTTGTTAACCTCTGCAGTGCTCCTCCTGAGAGTCATTAGATGGAGCACTTGAAAGATTTATGCATCGGCATCACCATTCAGCAACAGCAAAGACTAATAATGTATTAATGAGTGAGGCTGCACTCCCAATTAACTGGTGTGAGGAAAGGAGTCTGGGAGTTATGAATTCCTGATGTTCAGGCATTCCTGTTCCCGAGAGGAGAGGCAAGCAGGCACTTTGCTCTATTTCCTTGTCTCTGCTTAGTTATTGTCTCCCTAACCCTCTTAACGTTAGTGGGGAGGAATGGGAGGGATGTTGCTGGGGCTATGCTAGAATTAGTAGTTTGAAGATGGCAGCCTAATATTTGCATCCTAAGCACCGTGAGCTTGAGGAGGGTGGGGTTGCTGGAGCAGGAAACTGGCCAAGGGGAGAGAAGCCACCATTGCCTGTGGCCTGGATGCCTCGGGATCATGCTACTCTTTGGAAGTAAGATCATTGGCTGACTTCCATGTTAAAGCATGGAACCATGGTTAAAGTGTAAAAGCATGATGGATGTGTGTTGAAGATGTTAGCAGTGTAAGTAACTTCTGAGCCACACAGTACTTCTGTTAAATAGCCAGCGATGAATGGAAATGCAGAGCACTGGCCGAGATCTAGTAAGGCCTCTGTGAATGCAAAAAGTATGTCGGGAGTGCAAGCTGAAAAAACACCCTGTGCACACTTTGGAGCTTCACCATCACTACAAATTGTTCTGTAATTGGAAGGCACGCTGAGGTGCTAGATCCCTTTTCTTCTTCGATAAATCCCCCTCATTTTGAGTAACACACACCTTACCAGAAGCTTTCAACTGATAGCGGTTTCATTTTCTGACAACAACAAAAGCCCTTTTTCTTTTTTCGTGTCCACCTCAAATTAGCTTTTTATCTAAGTAGGTTATGCATTTCCACACAGATCCCCAGTGACTAAAACACTCCTCGCTGGTGTTTTTGCATGTTTCTTTGGCTTAAAATGCTCAGTGCCTAGTAATCTTTGAGCCTTTCCTTTTTCTGCACCACTTAGAATTTCAGTTTCAGAACCGCAGTATTTAAAGAAGCAACACTTTAAAGTAATAAGTACTTTTAAAGAAAGATCAGCTGTGATCACAAAATAATACGAAAACTTGTGTTTTAAATAAAGTACCATTAAAACACTACCGGGGAGCAATCCTTAACTGTATATGACTTTGTGTTTACTGTTGTGAATAGTGTAAGAAAAGTAAGCAAGTATTGATACACAGCAGTTATCCAACAAACAGACTGGTATGAAATTAACCTGAGAGTTAATTGTTACATGTGGTAAAGTAGCATGCAAATAACAGGCCCAGAGTCACTGAACTTGCCTTCTAGGCTTCAGCTAAGCATATAAGATTGGATGCCATTGATTTCATATCACACTTTTCCACTGTTGTCAACTTTATTTCTTTCTAATGCTGGCATTTTTTTTCTTCTTTAGTCACCTTTCCGCACCTTACAGGTTCCGCTCCATCGTGGACTAGTCTCATGGACACAACCAAACAGTGGGATTATTATTCAAGAAGAGATAAAGAGAGGGAGCGGGAGCGAGACAGAGATCGAGAAAGGGATCGTGACCGTGACAGGGAGCGAGAGCGGACCCGAGAAAGAGAACGAGAGCGGGAGCATAGCCCGACTCCTAGTGTGTTCAATAGGTGAGTTTGAGGGTTACGTCTAATGCTGCTTGATGGTGGGAGTTTTGTGTCTGTACTAGAGACATACTTAAAGTCAGCATGCAGCTGTGTATTCTCAGGGAACAAGGGGTGGGGCTCACATTTTGTTTGTCGTTGGAACCATAGCCAGCAATTTCAGATGCAAACCAGAAGTATGACAATAAGTGGTACATAACAAATGCTTTGCAAGGCAAATTGTGCTGAGCTGATGATTTTTGTTGTTAATTCCTGGGAAGGAATTGGCTCTAAGCATTCAGAACATTAATAATAGAAGGGCCTAATGGGTTTGAGTCCCCTAACCATCATTTTACAGCTGAAGTTCCTACAGTAACTGATTCCAGTCTAAAACTTTCAATTTCTTACTGCTTTGTGAGTTCAGTTTTTCTGGGATGAGAGCTCTGAATACCTGAGGAGGAATAAAGTACTGTTTGCTAGCAGTTCCAGCTTTGCCATTCATCCTGTTAAGCAATACCAGGGCTACAATACAGTGGCGACAGTATTACATAAACTTTGGCCCCTTTTGTTTATGCAGCAGTTAAGCCCCGCATTTCCTCTGTCTGGTGATCGTTGAATACCATTTTCACATGGCAATATTTTGACTATTTCTAATCATTTTTTGTTCTGCCTTCCACTTAAAAAGGTTTTATGCATTGGGTATTAAATTGGGTTTTAAAAATCATTGTTATAGTTTTCCCTTGTAGGTCAGCAAAACAAGTTTGCATGATCTTGGTTAACACGGGATTTAAAAAATGCTATGAGCGTTAAAGAATTGACTTGGAAGTATAAGATGATGATGATGATGTTTTGTTCATATAAGACTTTTGTGTGGGGGGGTGATATTTTGTGTGTGTTTTGTGTTACAAATTACTGGGTCAGTGTGTTAGACGTTAAGATCAATTTAACATCTGTTTCTTAGGCAGCTTGATTGAAGGCCAGAAAAAGCCTGGTCATTCAAGGGTGCTTGAAATGAGCCTTAATGTTTTCCAGGCCCAGAGAAGTCTCTGTGTTGCTGCCAGACTTATCAGTCAGGGAAGGGGTGGGGGAGAGGAGTGGGGTTTTTTTATGTGACTAAATTATCCAACATCTGCAGTAAAGCTGCTGCCACATGGCGATGTGAGAAAGCAGGGGGGCCTTGGTCTAGTAAAAACTTGATTAGGGGAGTAACAGGGAAAGTGGGAGGCTTGAGAACGGCAGATCATGTAGATATGACACCCTTGAACAAATTTTGCTTCATCGTTTAATAGTCCTGTTTTTAACAATTATTCAGCAGCTTACGAAAACATTGTGACAAATGAATAAAGAAAGGGGGGGTGGAATGCACACAGACTTTTTACCATTTATAAGTGGATAGCGTGACATTGGTGTACCAGTATAGCTTTTGGTCTTGTAGAGAAACTTAAAAATTAGCATCCACAAGCCATGAAATGTGGCATCTGTTCTTCACATCTCTACTGTCACACTAGAAATGGTGCCGTTTCTGAAAGGAGTCTGGGGAATTCGCCTTTTGTAAACCCCCCCCCCAAAAAAAAACCCACTTTGCAATTAAATTTTGGAATCGATAGCTCAGTTGGTTAGAGCATGGTGCTGATAATGCCAACGTTGCAAGTTCAGTCCCCATGTGAGACAGCTGCCTACTCCTGCATTGGGTTGGACTAGATGATCCTTAGAGTCCCTTCCAACTCTTACAATTCTATGAAATTAGTTTTCAATTCAAACTAAAGAGGATGTCCATTTCACACTGAGCAGGATGTGGTGCACAATTTCTTTTTTTAGGCAGTAACCTTACAGGGTCTTTGGAAATGGCTTCCTTCAGAAAATAAATGTTGGACCCCTGTTGTTATAATTAAGTGGAGTTCATCCCACCCAAAAACAGTCTATTTATTGTGACCCTTGACAACTGAGAGATATTTTTAGTACCTCAATATTATTTTGCCTGTCATTTGTTTTAATCTGATTTTAGACTGTATTTTTAAATTGCTGTAACCCACCCTAGGACCTTATTTATTTATAAAAAATACTTGTATATCACAATTTCATTTAAAAAAACCCAGAGTGGTTTATAATAATGCATCCATGTGTGAGCCATTTTTGCAATGGAAAACACAGAGGATTTATAAATATATTTCTTGGGGGCTTTAATGGCATACAGTGTGACCCTTCAATCTTTATGTCCAACTCTTTAATATTTTGCGTACATAATGTATCACAGTAGCCTAGAGCCTCCTTGGCATGGAAGGGAAAGGCTGGGATTGAAAGAACAGTGGAACAAGTCAAAGTAGCCTTTGTCCCTCTTGAAGAGCAGCTGCTCAGATTGAGATGATACACAAGACAGCTCTCCCCTTAAAGTTTAGGGGTTTAAAAAAGAATGAGTCAGTTTCAAGGTGCTCTTTTGAAACCTGGTCGTAGATCAGATGAGATAAATGGCAGATCAGAGAAATGTGCCATTATAGCCAAGGTGCAGGTCCTTAATTGAACACTGTGTGAGTACATAATTATTTGTGGGTAACTTCAAACTCTGTATTCACTTCAGATATTGTTGGAAGACGTGAAGGATATCAGCTTGATAGATTGCTGCTTGTTTTAACAAATACAAGATTCTCAATGTAGTGTACTACAGGTGATATTGATCATCCCATGGCCATGCTGGCTGGGGCTGATGGGACTTGGAAGTCTTAACAACATGTGGAGTTCAGCACAGTGGCTACTTTTGGGTCAGCATCATGGTTGGAAAGGGTCTTGTGGGTCCTCTAGTCAACATTCCATCCTGCTTGATGCAGGAAATGCACAGTAAAGCATCCCTAACAAAACACACCTAACGTATAGAGATGTCCAGTCTCAGTTTGAAGACCTTCAGTGAGCAAGAGCCCATTAGTACCTTTCTAGCTAATTGGGTCTGTTGTCAAATTGCTCTTGCCGTCAGGAAGTTTTCCCTCCATGCTCAACCAAAATGTCTTGTGCGCACAGCTTGAACAGCCGCTGTGTGTACCCAGGCATCCCGGGGGGACATCATAACTTTAATCTTTTTCATTTGTAGTCAATCCCAAAGATTAGATGTATACTGACCAACAAATGTATTTGGATAACACTCAATGTTAAACATGATATTTTGAATTATAATTTCAAGCTTAACTGAGTGAAGTGGTGAGCCACTTATTTTTTGTTTGGGGAACTTTCATTCTTTTAATTTAGCAGATGGAAACCTTTACTGCAATATGAAGAAACAGATCACATTCCTTATTTTTTTGATGGCATATTAACGGCTTATAAATATATTTGGTACTTTGTGTCCTGAGATTTTCAAAGGAGGCCATGAATATTTCTCCTTTATTAAGGGTTAACTATCAGACTGACAGTCTCTTCTACTGTTCAGCAGTACAGTCATCCAAGAGAACAATTTATTTGTAGGTAATGAAATCTGATTTTACTAATGTTGGTATTTTTGATTCCTTAATACATTTTCCATTGTCAGGACTGTACAATGGTAGTTTCACACTGTGTTAGGTTACAAATTCCCATTTTGGTAATACCTTCAGTAGGAAATTGTGTTCTGCTGAATGTAGAAATCACATGAACACCTGTATTTTCTCTGTGCGTGGGAGGAGACAAAGATTATTGATGCTCCTTTAGCATTTGTTTGTCTGTCTGCTGAATGTTTTTATTTTCTTGCTAGTGATGAGGAGCGATACAGGTACAGAGAATATGCAGATAGAGGCTATGAACGGCATAGAACAAGCAGAGAGAAAGAAGAACGACACCGAGAAAGGAGACATCGAGAAAAGGAAGAGACGAGACACAAGTCATCACGAAGGTTAGCTCTTTAATAATCTTTGAAGTAATGCTGTGGGATGACTGAAGTGTCACGGGAAGACCTTGGCTATTGATGTGCTGCTTTTTAGTTGCTGACATTTAAAAATAGCCAGAAGTTGAGAATATACCAGTAGGATATTAGCCCTTGTGTCATATGACCAGGATATAAGTTTCAGCCATGGGTGATGGATTATTAGGATTTCTCAACCAATTTCATATTTTAATTGATGCTCTAGAATAGATGTTAAGGAAAGCCTCTGCAACTACATGGCAGCCATGTGTTCTCTGTGTGCTCTTTGGGCAGCGTGAACATTGGGATTCACTTGGGCAGAGCGGGGAAGAGGTGGCATTGCTGCCCCCACCAATGGCAGTGGGCTCAAATCTTCCAAGGCGAGCTACTGCTAGCAGCAGTGTCAGCTGCTGCTCATACTCCGGGGGGGGGGGAGTTAGTTGGGGGAAGCTGCCAGACAGTGCCCATCTCAGACATTGATCCTAGATCTACCAGTGACACCAACTGAAGCCTGCAGTTATATTTATTCTGTTGTGTGAGAAAGGAAACTAAAAGGCGGGCTTAGATTACTAGAAGTTGATCTTGGTCTCCGAGCAACTCTTCAGATCATTGTTGCAAACCTATTTTAAGGCTGCCTCTAAAATGTAGTACTTTCTATGTAGAATCCCATTAAAAATCTCTGTTCTCATTGACCAACAAACTCTAGCCCTATAATGTTACTTTGATTATGTGATGGCAAAGATTTCATTGCTGCTATAGGTGCCAGACAACCCGCCCAGAGTAAATGTTGGCAGATGGCAGAATCTATACTGACAGGTGTTTTACTTCACTCCCTTTCTGGTTTTAATTTGCCCATGCTTAGGGGTCACGTGGTGATGCCATCACATGTACTTAAATAATTAGCTTGATGATGTCAGGCTTAAGAAGTAGCTTCCGTTCAGGGTGGCGCACTGAGCTTGAGACTCCCATTTAATAGCTCTGTGTCTCATTTCTTTTTCTCGCCCCCTCTTAGTAACAGCAGGCGTCGCCATGACAGTGAAGAGGGAGACAGCCACAGGAGGCACAAACACAAAAAATCAAAAAAGAGCAAAGAAGGAAAAGAGTCGGCTGGTGGCGAGCCTGCCCCGGAACAGGAAGACATGGATGCTACTCCTGCGGAATAGGCATGTGTGGTTTTTGTCTACTTGCTTAAATTAGTGCCAGAAATAGATGGCTCTCAATCCTAATTATTTTTTCTGGGTCTAAAAAAAATTGCTCTTCATCTTGTTCTGTTAGCATAAAGCGTAAGTTTAATTTGGAATTTTGAAAATAAAAAAAAGCATTTTTCATGTTAAAACACATTGTTTGTCTTGCCTATGCAACTAGAAAAAAGGACAGTAACACATAAGGTACACACGGAGAATTGTGCTTGGATAGTGAGGTTGTGCCCTGTTACACAAACTCCGTCAAAGTGCAGTGTGCAGATGTAATGCAGAGGGTTTTTTCCCCAAAGAGTAAAGAAAGTGACTGTACCACAAATGAGGTGTCCCATCTGATCAACACACACAGATCCTAGTAGAATGAATTGGAACCAACATTTGTTTTGGCTCTTCAGATTAATTTTTAAAACAGCCAGATCTTCAAATAAGTCTGAGTCTTGGCTACTACTGTACAGTACTAAGTAGCCTTTTGTATGCGATGCTTCCCTGCTCTCTTTGATCTTCACTAGTTTTCCCCTCAGCTACTTGATCCAGGCAAACCAGGCAATTTCTCCTCCTCTTCTCTGTCTATGCTGGTAGCTTGCTACACCTTCCTTCCTTCCTTTCATTATTATGTTGATTCAGAACTGACCATCACAGAAGATTGTGAGCAAAACTGAGTAAAATAGGGCAGAACACTCGGTTCATGTCACGAATTAGATCCACAGGGGAGAAATGCATTTTTTGTGCTTTTTTTTAATGAAAATAACCTGGCTTTACAAATTACAGTTATTTTAATGGTAAAAATGAAATTTCATTCACAGTTATTACATACCGGGAAACAAAATATTTAAAAATATCTGATCCATACTGATCACAAAGTGGGATTTCATGTATTCAATCAGACTGCTTTCTATGTCTTGGAATAGATGCTGTCAACATAATAGAAAAGTATTGCAACAGTTATTCAGGAGTTCAGAATATTTTCAAATTACAGGTCTAAAGTGGTTTTCCTTGTTTATAAACTGTTGATGGAACATGTTTCTACTGCTGCTTGGAATAGATATAAAAATACAAACATGAGACATAGCGCAGTAAAGATGTGTACCCTAACTTATGATCTCAGTAGATTTCCATACTTTAAAATTGCATGTTTTTCTAACACATACCACACATTATTTTTTTCTTCAGACCATTCCGTTTGTGTTATGCACATTTATACTTCACAACGTTTTCTTTTACAAGTATACAGTTGACCAGAAAGTGGAGTAAACAAACGTCCATATTAAGTGGCTGATTTTGTGTCAGATAATTTTTTGCTCTCCAGTTGCAATACATCTCTATAAAAAAGTGCCAGGCCAGGACACAATGGTGAGAGAAATTTTCCCCTTCAGTTCTTTGAGCATCCTCGCCAAACAGGCATGCACCATACCTGAGATACTCCTACCATTAACTGCAAGGAGGATGTCACCACACCTGGAAGGAGGCAATATAAAATTGGTTAGTGGCACTTCAGCAGCTCCAAGGCAGGAATAGCTTGCACACCCCCACTATTTTTTATCAGAAAGGTAGCAGATATGAGGGGAAATGAGAATAGTCAAGTCAGGTTTTGCTAATTAAGGTATTGCTAATTAATGCCAGCTGAATAGACTTGTTTTATATAAATGCTTCAGATTTCAGTCTGACACTTCCAGAGGCAATGACTTTTATAACATCATGTGTCTGCAAGACTTTTGGACTGTGTTTCTAGTGTTTTTAATACTCTGTAAAAAATATACCCCTGCATTTTTTTCTAATTTCTTGTTAATATTTTGATTTGCAAACACCTGCATTTATAAAGTTCTCCATTTCACCAATGGAATTGAATCAGAATTTGCAAACCACCCACCTCTTTGAATTTGAACTCAGAAGTGAACATTCCGTTCTTCCCAGTTTTTCCTATTTAGGAATCACTTTGCCTTTGAACACAGTTATGGTTCTATGTGTCCTGCCCTATAGCTCTATCTTCTGTTATGGATTTTACTGCACTGGCATAAAATTAAACCTACTTTGATCTTTAATAATCCCTTGACTCCTTCCAGGCTTCAGCTTTCTCTGCAGACAAGAAGGTATTTTAAGATGAGTACCATGCCCTTCTCCCTGCCTCAACTGTTCCAGTAATAAGCAGAAGTACTGCCACACATGGTGCTTTGTGGCTTGCAACTAAATGAAAGGAGAAAGCAGTTTGAGTACTGTGCCTGGTCAACCTTTCAAACTAAGGGGTTGAGTTTTGCACTAGTGAACCTTAGCCCCAAGTGCTGGTTTGATATGTAGCTCAGCAGCATAGAATTGGACCTTTGGGGTCAATTCTCACAAGCTAGGTGAGTAAAACGTACTTGCGGAGGTTGTGACTGCATTTCTGAGCTTTCACATACCTTCCCCCACATACAAAATGTACGCATGTACGCATGTGAACGCCAATATACATAAACACGGCCTGCCTGCGTGATCCATCCATCACAAAACAGGAGTGAAGTGATTTGATGGACAGAGTGTGTATGCCTAATCCCATCTCACATTCCCACATGAAGAGCATGCAAGTTTAAGAGCCCTGTTGTATGTTAATTCTGCACATCAAACTGATACATGAACCAGCAGCCCCAGTTAACTGAGAACTGTTGTGATAATCTGGATGGGAATGATTGTCTTATAAATAACTGCTAAACAATGTGGTTTCATTACCTGATTCTTCCATCGTTATACGCTGGTGTCCCTCCAACAATGGATTTGATAAAGAATGGCTTGTTCCCACTGTGTTCTTCATAACCCCCCACGATACTGAAGCCAAGACTTCCCGCTGTATTTCTTCGTAATACAATTTCTTTGCAGCTGTATAAATACCTAAGGAAAAAATCATTCTACTTAATGGTCTGTTGTACAATTAAATCAAAATTATTGATGATATTCTGCTCATTCACCTTTTTTTGGCATATTGGACTTGAAAAGAAATGTATATGCCAGATTGGTATAGTTTGCACAAACTTGTAGTTTCAGTTTGGATGTTTTACACACACATTTAGCAGTGTTGTACAGAGTAAGTTTCACCCATAAATATTCCGTTCTTGGGGTTTTCCGGGGAAACTGTTCTTATCTGCCTGTTTGGATTAAGGGTAGTGACCTTCATGTAATATAGAGCACCTTATTTTTCTGACTGAAGAAGGGTTTTGTACAAATTGGACCTGTCCTCTTCTTGCTGTTGGGTCCAATAAAGCCTTTCGCAGATACCAAAGTAGCAACCACCTTTTTAGTATCTTTGTCTTACAAGCACTAAGAAAAATATGCTTTAATTTTGAGGAGGTATTTAAAAACAATCCTTTAAAATGATGTTTCCATTTTGGGGGGTATTTGTTTGTTTGCTTGTTCTTCAGGGTTTTTATGGTACTGCTAGATGAGGCCCTTGGGAACTACAAATATTCACCTGCTGGCAAGATACAGGGTACTTGTTTGTGCAACAGTTAGCTGGCTGCTAATGTGAAAAGCAGAAGCCTCTTGGCCCTTGTGCACAAGGCTAGCTCTATTGCTTTGCCATCTGTGTGGGGCTTTTAGCATCCTGAATCCCATTTCTCATAAAGACATAAAACTCACTAGATTTAACAGGGCTTTCCAAGGTCATGACCAAATGTTACCAGAATTTAGCCGTTATTGATAGCTACTCACTAAGTCACATATCAACATTCTGTTAAGTAAGAGCATGGAGGCAACCAACCTGCTTAAGAGTTTACATAGACAAGCATTTTGAACGTATGGAACATACTAAGAGGAGAGCTTGAAGGAACCACTTTTTGGTTTACAGGTTATGCTCTTGGCCACACTGCTACACCAGCGTGTGGGCTTAGAGAGCAATAAAATCCACTATAACCGTGAGACCAAGAACAATTCCAGATCACGAGCTACCATATTCCAAAAACTTAACAAATACTAGATTGCATACTAGCTTGCAATTTGCTGGGTGCTCAAACTTTGGATAATATCTTGAGCTTCCACAATACCAAACATATCAAAATTAGGAATCTTCTCTGATGTATAGTGTATGATTTGACCTTTTTGTCAACTGTTGATTGTTGTGTGGAAAGGCAGGGGAGAAATGTAACAAATGTTTGAACAAGGCTTTCAAGAATACAGCTATAGTATCTTTACAGTTTTGAAAAGAACTGAAGTAGTTAAGGCAGCAGCTCTGGCCAAAGGAATCACAGTCGTACCTTGGAAGTCGAACGGAATCCATTCTGGAAGTCCGTTCAACTTCCAAAACGTTCAGAAACCAAAGCGCAGCTTCTGATTGGCTGCAGGAAGTTCCTGCAGCCAATCAGAAGCCACGGAAGCCCCGTCAGACGTTCGGCTTCCAAAAATAGTTTGAAAACCGGAACACTCACTTCCGGGTTTGGATCGTCGGGAGCCAAAGTGTTTGAGATCCAAGGTACGGCTGTACCAGAAAAACATGTGATGCAGGTGGGTGGCTCAACCAAAAATTTATTACTGTACAAGAAAATTGAGTGGGGTATTTGCTGGTCAGCACTGCTTTTATTGGTTAGTAAAGGCTGGGAATGGCTTGGATTATCCAGTGAAACAAGCTGTATTAAAAGATGGGGAGGGCTGGGGGGTAGATGTGTTTTGTTACAGATCAGACTTACAAACACAAAACCTATCGGACTTCCTGTGCGTATGTAACGTATGTGTAAGTGCATTAGGCAACTGCTCTGAAATGAGTGCTTTTTAAAGAAGAGTATCATCTCTAAAGCTATTTATGTCATTTGACCCTCTTTTATTTACCTGATCATTTCATTACTTAGCTTGTGAAGCTCCCAAGGCCAAAACCATTTGGAAAACTACTGTAAACTGTTGGGATGCAATGCTGGAGAAAATAGGATTTGTTAGACAAACCTAAGTAAATAAAACTCAACAGCAAAGCAGCACACGAGAAGTATCAAGCTGAAAAATATCTCCCCTGGTGAACAATGGATTAACTTGAAACATGTAGAATCTATGTGCGAAATGTTTCTATTTCCCCAGGTAGAATTATGGAGCTTGACAAGCCTTATGACCCTAAAAGTTTCTCCTGGCTTTTAAACTGACCTGGAGAAGAAGCAAAATCCTTCCACCCAAATCCGTTCCTTGCAAGAGGAGGAGTTTCCTCCTTGCCCTGGTACCTGCCTTGCAGCCTTAAGACCATGCAGAGGGAGGCAAACGCAGAAGGGATGTTTGAGGGTTGCACTGCTATTGCCATCACTGGGAATTATGACGTGACAGTTGGGCTCAGAATCAGTTGTTTTCAAAGTAATTTTTTGAAGCTGGCCACATGAGCTTGCTGCATCTCTAGCTGCAAACTTTTTGGGCTTTCAAGTCCACACGTTCCAAAGCAGCTGACTGATTCTGAATATTTGAGGTTACCACTAGTTGGAAATTAGGGGTAGTGAACCTTATGGACTTGGCCATTAGCAACAGCTGTATGAAAAGCCCTAAGAAAACTGTCGATTGTGATTCATTATGTGTTTCTGTTGGTGCCAAACTGAACAGTGCACAAAAAAGGTGCTAGCACTGTCTTTCCAAAACGAATCGAAGAACAAAATTTATCAATGCACAGACAAGCAGAGCCCACACCCATCTGATCTGCTTGTCACAGTGAAGGCAGCCAGAAGTAGTAAACAAACACAAAAAAGCAAAAAAAACACATTTGCTTTTCAGCCTTGTAAATGCCATTGCAGTGGTTACGTGCTTTGCTTGGCTTCATGACGGAAGGACAGCCGTTTCATTGAGGTGGAATTTCTAAATTGGTCTTTGGTGAGTCATCGTTTAGATGCTCTGGCAGTGCATGAGCAACAACTGCCTGCCCTCCCTGCATTATGAGTAAAATAAATGCTGTTACGAAACGGACATGCTTGCTAAAACTCATCAGTCAGAACTACAGACTGAAGTTTATTTTTCTGGAAACTTGAGAGGAAGGAGCAAAGGACTACTGAATGCAGAGTGGACAGGAAAAGAACAAAGAAACCCAGGGTCTGAAAATATGTGAATAACCTTAAATACTAATTTTAGGTGGCTATCTACCTATAAATACCAGAGAGAATGATCCAGGAAATGCATACGATAGTAACCCCCCAATTACTGCTACTCTTATTACTGATAAGATTTAAAGTAGACCCTTAGCGGTTTCTTTGTAATGCTCGAACGGTAGGCACAGCACACCCTGTGAAGTAGTTCGCCCTGGTCAATTCAGTTGCTGCAACTCCACTTGCACCAAGCTGTGTACCTTTTACTGGCTTAAAATGCAGCAAGGTTGTTCCCCCAACATAGACATTCATGCACTGCATTTCAAATTGCATTTGCATTGTACACATCAGCATAGTTTGACGCGTTTCCAAAGTCGCATCTGCATCAGTAGATGGATGGGGTGTGGGTATCCCTCCTACAGCTTACGTTTTCACACCCAGAGGTAGATGGTTTGAGGGAAAACACATCAAAACGCAGCATTTCTCAACAAACTACAGCATGGATTGTGGCTAACCCTGTGTGCCTGGGGCTTCACAAACAGCAGAGCAATAGCGCTGGATTTAAGGAAAATGGAAATGTATACACAGCCTAAAGAGCGAGGCTTCCCCTTTATGCTACACTTGCTTTGGCATCTGCCGAAGGATAAGGCTGCTCTAATTGGCCATAGGATATTAGCCAATGGCAACTTTGCTCTCCACTCCAAAATATATTCTTTCATCTTTGTCTTCACTGTCCCCTGCTCTCCCCTTCTTGCCTCCCGTCCTCCTCCTCCTTCCTGTTCACCCCTTCCTTCGCTCTCCCTCCTCCAACTCTCCTACTATTTCTGCAGTGATTTATTACGGTTTTCAAGAAGCTGCGCATGCTGCTTTAAGTACGGTTTCCAAAATGCAATTAATACCCTAAAAAAACAACAACAACAAATGATTTCTCGGTCATCTGCACTCCCAGCAACGAGCCTAAAATATACTGCATCCAGGATCATTATTTCCCACCCACGCGGTCCCTCAAGACAGCTTGATAACTGCAAGAAGGTTTTGGGAAAATATCCTTGAGGCCCATCTGACCTGCCTTAAAAGAACAGCTGGGCAGTTGCCCTCACCAGTACCAAATGGGAACTCTGGTACTGAGAGGTTACATTCTCAGACGAGGGGGAAATGAGTTAATGTGTATTAATGTGATGCATGCTCTGGTAACAGGACCTGAAAAAGGGCTTCCAGATGTGAGGCACTGAGCTCAGAGAGTCCAATACGGAGAAATAAGACGGTGAGCATAAACTCACTTAGGTAAGATTAAAGTATCTGATAACCTGCTCTGTTAAGCGTTTTGACTCCTGGGTGCCTGGCCAAACAAGCAAGTACTAGCAAGAAACGCACCTCTGTTCCTATTGATTATAATCAGTGTCCAGCCGCCTCTTGCTACTGACTGCCCCCTCCCCTTTAATAATCTGAATTTAAGAAGACCGATGTACCAGTTTGGCATACTAATCCCTTCTGGTGTTCGTATACACTGTGGCCCTTTTCTGCGAGTGATGCTGCAGCTGGAGATAGGATTACAATGAATTTCCTGTTTGCAGACCTGCTGACATTGTGGGCGATTTTCCTTCAGTAAAAGAGGCCATGGGGGGAAGGGGAAGGATGGGGAAGCGGTAGTGCCTGCATACAGACTTGGAATATGGCAAAGAAATCCTGGTGAAAACTGCTGCTTACTTTCATAGAGAAAATCCTTTCCACCAAGATCTTTTTTTAAAAAACAACAACTTTGTTTTCTATGTTGTGGGCAAAAGCATGGCATTTATTTTAGCACTGAGGTACAGAGAGAAACTGCTAGGGGGTTAAAGGTAAAGGGACCCCTGACCATTAGGTCGAGTTGCGGACAACTCTGGGGTTGCGGATCTCATCTCGCTTTATTGGCCGAGGGAGCTGGCATACAGCTTCCGGGTCATGTGGCCAGCATGACTAAGCCACCTCTGGCGAACCAGAGCAGCACACGGAAACGGCGTTTACCTTCCCACCGGAGCGGTACCTATTTATGTACTTGCACTTTGAGGTGCTTTCGAACTGCTAGGTTGGCAGGAGCAGGGACCGAGCAACAGGAGCTCACTCCATCACGGGGATTACCATGCCTCATTTACAGGGCTGACACCTTTTAACTGCCATCTTCCTGTGCCTTCAAAAGCTGAACGGCGTGCAGAAATTCAGCAGGTGAAGCTTTCCCTATCTCAGAAGGGCAGTGGCCGTGAGTCATTGTTGAATGGGTCTATCATGCAACTGTTAAAAACCGTAAGAACCATGCCTTCCCACCAATAATAATAAACGATGATAATAATAGTTATTGTTTATTAAATTTGTAATGACCCATCTTTTAAGATTTCACAGAAAGCTGCTCATGGGAGCTGCTTCCTTATGCGGTAAAGGGGATACCAGCCCATTTCATCATTGGCTAGTGCATGCCAACAGTGCCGGAACTCACCATGAATGTCTCTCTTGTTCTCTTAGAATGGCAATGGCACCCACCTGAGAGGTGCCGGAACTGAGTTCCAGTGATTTCCGGCTGGAAAGAAGCCCCATGTGTCAGGCATATTGCACTCCCAAGGATCACTTTTCTCCTTTTAGTGACCTAAGAGGACTCGTTGCTATGCTAGCCAGAGAAAAACATGTTTGTTACAGTTTCAGCTCAGGGCTTTTTAAAAACCCATCCTGATAAGTTGTTGTTTGTTTGTTTTTCCTCTCACGTGCCCCATGGCTTCTCTGTACCATGACAGGCCTCTCTAAATCTCTCCCTGGTCATCTTCCATCCTTTTCACTCTGCTCCAGGGCTGGGAATCTTCTTCAGCCCAAGGTCCTTATTCTCTAGCAGGTAACTTTCTGGGGGCCAGTTGCCAACGCTGAGCATCGAAACAGATATGGCCTTTGTACAGTAGGCTGCAGTCCAGCCATTCAAATGAACAGAGGGTTCAGCACAAAATGCAAGAAGACTTGGTACAGTTCAAGGGCACCTTCCAGCCAGGCAAAAGACCTTGAAGATGTGGAGGTGGGCCTTGAGGAGAGCCCTGAGGGTCAAAGAAGCCACATTAGGCTTCTGTGCTCATGATACCCCACCCCTTCTCTACTCCATAGCATTAATTCTCTCCCCACACCAGGGCATAATCTATTCTCCCTGTTGGTTCTGCACCATCATATTTTAGTTACCTCCTTTAACTGTTGCTGTATCAAGAAGTCTTCCAATTCTTATTCCTCCTCCCCCATTCTCTCCACTCTCATCTCTTTGCAAACTGTCCTCCATTCACTGCAGTTTTAATGCTTGTTCCATTTCTGTTTCTCCTCCCCACCCAGTCCATTTCTCTCCTCCTGGTTGCCAAGTGATCTGGAAGTAGCCCGCCAGACTTTCAGCGTAGAAGTCTCAGGCGCCACCTACAACTAGGAACGCTCAAGGATTTTATTTGCTCCATACTTTTAAGCCCTGCAACCCAATTCACACTCTCTGTATTGTTGTGTCAGCTAGGATGCAGCTATCCTTCTGTTTTTGCGCTCACTCGGTTTTTGTGATGCAGGTCAAAAAAGTAGTAGTTCAAAAATGGTTTGTTTTCTTGAAAAAACACATTCAAAAATAGTTTGGGGTGAGGTGTTTGTTTGTTTTTAAGTCACAGATTGAAGTGGAAACAGGGCTTATGAATAAACATATAGTGGTGCCCCGCAAGACGAAAAACCCGCTAGACGAAAGGGTTTTCCGTTTTTCGATGCGCTTCGCAAGACGAATTTCCCTATGGGCTTGCTTCGCAAAACGAAAAAGTCTTGCGAGTCTTGCGATTTTTTTCGCCCCCCCTTTTTCTAAGCCGCTAGCCGCATAGCCTTTTAGCCGCTACGCCTTTAATAGCCGCGAAACCGCTAAACCGCTAATAGCGCTAATCCGCTAAGCCGCTAATAGGGTTGCTTCGCAAGACGAAAAAACCGCTAGACGAAGAGACTCGCGGAACGGATTAATTTCATCTTGCGAGACACCACTGTATGTAAACTGAGATGGACTGGCAAGAGACTGATCTGCCTATCCCTAGGCTCAAAAGTCCGGTGCCAACTCCACCCTACAAATCGGATTCCGGGAAGCAATTTAGATGAAACGATGCAGGCATTATTCTATCCCTCCTCCCCATTTTTTATGGGCTAGGGTGGTTCCTTGTTCTCACAAAGAAATGGGGAAGTCCCTAAAGCAACGAGTGTTTGGAAATTCTGCTAGGAGTTCTTGAATAGACACGATTTTTTTTACATTAAGGAAGCCTACTTTGTTGAAGAAGCATCTTCAACAAAGCCCAATCATCACCTAACACAGTGGTTTTCAAATCTTCTCTCTTTAGTGAATATTGACTTGCCTGCTGCAGAATTCTTCAGCATCCATCACAGTACCCCCAGTGTGCTGAGAGTACTACATTCAGTTCATGCAGACTCTGGCCAAGCCTGTTGCACCTTACCATTGTGCAAGGGGAAATCTAGAACATATCCCACGACACTTCCAGCTGCACACTACAGAAGATGGGCAAATCTCTGTCAATGATTTGTGTCTGCCATTACCAAGCTTCTCATCTGAGGAGTGTTATGCCTCTAATAACATATTACTGCTGTATGTGAGATATACATTCCCATTTAGACAGAGGATAAACTAATACAACATAACCTAGATAGTTCATATATTTTGATAAGTGGAAGATGAGATTAAAACAAAAAGTGAGTGTGCAAAGCTGCAAAAGGAGTCTCTTATATAACTAACATTTTCTCACTGATGGACTGCTGGAGGGAAGATTTAGCTCGAGGGCAGATTTAATTCAGTGTCAGCCTGGTAGGATCTCGTTTTTAAAATTCCAGTTCAGAGGAATGCTGCAATGATTTATGCCCCGCAGAGTCATTAAAATGTGCTGTGTGAGTGGGTGACAAAGTGCGCACTCTGCGGTTTTACTAAAAATTGTAACACAGCTGCTTCCGGCCCATTAGAGAGGTGAATGTTTTCTTTTCTTCTTTTTTTGAGGGGGAGGGGGTTTGGATAATTTCAGCCCATGAGCGCGTACATGGTTTTTGAACATCTGGGCAAAGTCAAACAATTTAAAATGGCATATAACTGAAACGGTGTCTGTGCAGTCTGCAAGCTGCAGGGACTGTCTGGGAGGACGCAGGGTGGTCTGGCGTTCAAGATCCTGTATTCTAAGAGCATAGATGCAATCTCTGCAGGGTTTCTCTTGCTACTTTGACAGCCAGAGACATTTGCAGAAATGGGCCTGCTCAGGATCTTTTCTGCTCCCTTAAATACAGTCCTTTCTGTGTGGTGTGTGTGTACACACATGTCAAGTCTAGAATTAATTCAGGTGTCAATGCAATACATCAACTCAGGGGAAAGAGCCAGGTAAGCACCCCAAAGGCATCAATAGTGAATCTGTGACCCTCCAAGTGATGCTACTGGACTTTGGGATGTGGGTGGTGCTGTGGTCTAAACACCTAAGCCTCTTGGGCTTGCTGGTCAGAAGATTGATGGTTTGAATCCCCACAACAGGGTGAGCTCCTGTTGCTCTGTCCCAGCTCCTGCCAACCTAGCAGTTCAAAAGCACACCAGTGCAAGTAGATGAATAGGTAGCACTGTGGCAGGAAGGTAAACGGCATTTCTGTGTACTCTGGTTTCCATCACGGTGTTCCGTTGCACCAGAAGCGGTTTAGTCATGCTGGCCACATGACCCAGAAAGCTGTCTGCGGACAAACGCCTGAAAGTGAGATGAGCGCTGCAACCCCATAGTCGCCTTTGACTGGACATAACCGTCCAGGGGTCCTTTACCTTTTACCTGTACTGGACTATACTTCCAATCAGTGCTGGCCACTAGACATGCCAGATGGAGCTGATGGAAATTAAGAGTCCAGGAACATCGGAAGGGCCACAGATCCCCTATCCCTGCCAAGTTTACCCTTTCCTCCATAATCCCCTTTCCTCCATAATTGCTTTTAGCACATGGAAACACTCCTTGGACTTACCGTGGGACCTCGAGCCACATCACCCAGGAAGGAGACCATTCGCTCGGGCTAGATGAGTTCAAACTGGCATCGAGCAATGAGAGGTCATCGCCATCCTCCAAGGTCTCGCAGTCTTTCATTTCTAATGCTTTGAGGACAACAGACGAGGAGATGTTTTTCAAAAGGGCTACAGCCTCCCCACGGCTCACACCTGTCAGATCAATTCCATTCACATTGAGCAGAATATCACCTGGAAGGCAGGAAATGAAGGGGGAAAACACCTGTTAGCAGTTAATAAAATACACTTTTGTCATTCAAAGCTGTACTTCTAAACTTAGGAGCGGCCAACTAACAGCTGGGAGGTCCTTAGAGCAGTTTTTCTGCCTTTTATAAAATATGTTTTTGAGGTCAGTTGTAGGGGGGGGGGAGGTTTTTCCTTGTTTTGAGTGTGCTCTACCCCAAACTCCATTCTAAGAACAGATGCCAATGGGGAACTTAATGTGTTTTGGTACAGTACCCATAGATATAGATGGGTTGTTGCCTACAGGTTTGGAAGATCTGGATTCAAATTCCAGTTCAACAAGAGATAGCGTTTGATATGTTACTGACTTTACTTCAGTTTCTTCCCACCCCAAAAAGAGAAAATAATAATAATTTTGGGGAAAGATGGTGATATTTGTTGTCCTGAATGAGCAACCAAATCAGTTTGCCTGTGATGATTGCAAACAAAATAAAACTGCAATATCCTTCTAGATCTCTGGTTGTAGAAGAGCTGCAATTTAGACTTGTGCTCTGCTAATGAATCACTACAAGAAAATGCAATGTTGTGTTTGTTTAAAAGTAGACTCCTGTGCTTGCCTACTCAGAAGTATGCCACACTGAATTCCATGGGGTTTACTTAAAGTTAGGTGTGTAGTTAGGTGTGCTTTCACATTTAACTATTTCCCCTGAAATCTGTTGGGAATTGTTGTTGTCTTTAACCACCAGTCATTGGCTTGGCCTGCTGCTGTTTTGCTTTAAACATTGCACCAGTTCACTGTTATTAATATCAGCAGGGCTGATTAACTCTAGTTTTGGGTGGTATGAATATGCGCTGTCCCAAATGTCTATGGGTGGAGGGATTATTTTAAGAAATAAAGCACCTTCAGAAACAAAACAAAACTCAAAGGTATGAAGCTAATTGTCGACTATCTTCCTCACATTGCTGCATGAGAATCACAGACTTCTTGCAAGACTGCAGATAAGGATGGATGACTCATAGAATCATATAACTATAGGGTTTGAAAAGACCCTAGTCCAACCCCCTGCAATGCAGGAATCACAGGAATCCCTGACAGATGACCATCCCACCTCTGACTCCATCTGACTCCTTCTAGCTACTTTCATGTAATCAGGATGCTAGAAAAACCAACATTTTCTGGACTTTCTTCCCAGAGGATACAGCATTCAAATGTTACAATTCCATGTATGTAAGCCAGATAATTACATAGGGAACATGATGATGAATATACAATTGTAAGAAAGCTTCCATTGTTTCCCGAGACAGATGGATGCCAACCAACCAACCAACCAACCAACCACCTTGTGCACAGAGAGAGAGCCATTTCTTGCCCTTTAAGCAACCCAATTTTGTGAACAAAAGGCTGCTTGAAGCATGTTAGAAGCTACCTAATTCATGATTAAGCCATTTTGAGAATGATGTGGAATGCTAACACTTTTGAAAACTGAAACCAAATTTGGAAGTGGGTAGTACTCTGAAATACAAGACACCAGTCTTATGAACACCTCCTTGTGGCATCTGGAATAAATTACAAGTGAATTTCTTCTCTGGTTCCAATTTATATTCAACTGTTTTAAACAGTGGCTCCCTTTTGGACCCACATATATAGCGCTGATCACAGAGCTTGAGTTTTAACAAATAGGTTAGATCGACTTCAGGACTGGAAAAAACTTTTTTTATTGGTATTCACTAGTAAAGTGACTGGGAGACCAGCTCATTTTCATTTTTGTTCCTATATCCTACCTTTCTTGCAATAAGCTCAGAGTATACATAGTGGTTCTCTCACTTTATCCTTAACAACCTTGTGAGTTAGGTTAGGTTGAGAGAGAGAGAGATTTACATACAAAACATTTGTGATACTTGGCAGCTTTCATAATACTTATTCCAGTAATTCTGAAAATATTTCCATTTCCTATGAAACACATCTGGCCATTATCTGGTCTCTCTGAGTCAAATAAGACTGTGCACCCATCTCAATAACTGTGGGTGGTGAGTCAGAGTCCTGTTTCTTTTTACAGCAATCAACATATTTTCTTATTAAGTCCTTATCTGAACAATACTAAATTATTATATGGTTGAATTATTATTCAGTGAGAAATTAATTTATGAACAGATTTCCTCAATCAAGATGGTGACCAGAATTCCTTAAAACTGCCTATCTGGTAATATGTGTGCAGAAAGTCAGCACTATTTGGTTATGGTTTTTATGTCTAAAATCATATTTTGTCTTTGGGGGGGGGGGGCTAATGTCAAAAATCACAGTAAAAGTGACGATATCCCCAGATTTAACATTACCAGGGCATCATGGACAGTGGCAACTGTACTACAAGGTAACTGAGAACCAGGCCTAACTAAATGCAAGAACAGAGTTGCGGTTACAGTTCACAAAGACATACTCAGCTCAGAAGTGTGCTCTGAATTCCTTTAGTCTCACCTGTTTTGATCCTGCCATCTCTGCTGATGACTCCACCTGGTTCAACACTTATAACGTAGATAGGCAAATCCCATTCCCTGTGGGAGAAGGCACCACCCGACACAGTCATCCCCAGCGACTCCGCGTTGTCTTTCCGAACAACCACCACCTTTTCATGACAGGTGACCGCATGGAGGCCAGTCTGTGGGGCACAAAGGGCAAACATGAGCAGAGGACATGGACAAAGCTTTTGGACGGTATGATCGTGATCAGCTACTTCATAACATGGTTCACCATAATCTGATGGCCTTTATGATCAGGGTCAATGGCCCATCTAGTCCAGCATCGTGTTCTCAAGGTGGCCAACCAGATGCCTGTGGGGAAACCCTCAGCACAACGGTAGTCTCTCTCCTCAGTTTCCAACAACTGATATTCAGAAGCAGCACTGCCTCCATCAGTAGAGGTATACATAAGTCGACCGATGCATTGTTTGAGCCAAAGCATTTTTTTAAAAAAAATGAAACACTCTAACTTGCAAGGAAGTGATGGTTAAGCCATAACGCTGGACATCTGACCCACTTTTGCCTTAATGTTTGAGATTAAATTTCTCCACATGAACAAGATCATGAGAAGAACATTCCCTGCGAAAGCGCATAGGCGCACATTCAGAGGTTGTTTACCTGGCAGTATCTTTTCATACCACTATGAGATACAAAAAATGGTTGCAAATTATATTTGTGTACAGCCATTCTGCAGAGTGTTTTTTTCTATAGAAACTCTGGGAAGCACATGCCTTAAGGACGAACTTGTAAAGAATGCCTGGTGGCAGGTTTCCAAGCGAATTATTGGTTCCTCTGATCACCTGTACATGTGAGTTCTGCATGATTGGACAGATTGTGTCCGCTTGAAATTGGCAGAATAGTGAAGTATTTGAACTGCAGACTTGAGTTCCATACGTCCTGGATGTTTTGGCAATTTCTGTCCAGACACTGCTTTATTCTGGCTATATCCAGGAAATTCTGGGTGTATGGCAACTCTAGAAAAGCCTCCTCCAACCTGGTGCCCTCTAGATGTTGACAACAACTCCCATGATCCTTGACCACTGGCCATGCTGGCTGGGACTGATGAGAGTTATAACACAAAATCTGGTTGGGAAAAGCTAATATATAAGATCTGTTTTTGGCAATCTAAGACCTCCTTAAATTCTAAAATGTACTCCAAAATCCTTTGGAGATACAAGATAGCTAGGTTCCAGGAATAATTCTAGGAGTTCCTTCAGGAACTTCACTGTGACAGTGCCAAACTCTGATGCATCTAGCAAAGCCTCTAGAATTGTCTTGTGTTCTGATGGATGCTGGTGTGTCCCCTAGATCAATCCCAGGCAGAATTGTAAAATTGGAGTTTTTCCTGGACTGCAATTCAGTGGCATCTCACGGCTTAAAGTGTATATGAAGATGCAAGCAGTGGGGTGTGCCTCTATTTGACAAAGGAGCAGCTTACTTGTAAATGAATTTTGCATATACCTCAAAGGGCATCCAACTGGATCATATCTTGAGTACATCTCTTGTTTTAAAAATGTAAATAAAGCATTCTGTTTTTATAAATCTGTTCATCTGAAAAGAATCTCATTTCCAGTCTTGTGATCAGAAATTCTCCTCACTGGCAAGTATTCATTTTTGAGAGGAAATACCTTTTTCATAAGTCAGGGCTGCTTCTTACTTTGTACCCAAAGTATGAAAATTATATGCTTCCTCTGACTCACACATCAGTAATGATGCAGCTATTGCAGGCTGTTTACACACTGTTCTATGAAATAAAATTATGTAAACTCGATTAAGGTTAAAGGTGATGTCCAGAATAGGAATGGGAGCTAAATTTGGTTTTGTTCACATTTTAATGGAAGCCTACCTAATTCATACTTCCTGAAACAATGTAAACCAAAACACAGCTAGCCTTCAAGACGTACACTTCTCCAAATTTTTCAATGCAGTTCTCCCACCAAATAATGTGCACAAAAAATCATAATTAGTGAAAATGCCATACAAATGCATTTAGGGGTAAATGTTTGCAAAATGTGTAAATCAGACAAAATTGTGTACAAAAATGAGTACATTAGGACTTTAAGAAAGATCACCAACTGATATGGAAATGTGATAAACTGAACCTAAACCTGGAAATGTGAGAAACTCAGGGAAACCGAAATGGATAGATTTGTCTACCCCAGTTCAGAAATCAAGTTGTCACCTACTACATTTTGTCGTGATGAAAATTCTGCCACAAGTTTTTCCAAAGCTTTTTTTCAACATGACGTATTATAAACATAAAGCAACTTGTGGAGTCTCGGCTGAGGAAAAGTAGGACAGCAGGGGAGATAAGGATGAAAGGAAAGGAAAGGTTTTATTTTAGTAAACACCACACCAAACTTTGGCTTTCTTACCAATAACCAACTCAGCCAGTCGAAAGGCAATGTTTAGCAATGGCAGTGTTCAGCGTGTTCTTTCCTAAACAAGTGCTTTCTCTTCGTGATTTTGACATTACCTTGGGCGCCCCTCTGACAAGGGGAACACAACAGCTTGCCTGGTTTTTAATATTTACTGTAAGATAAATATTTACAGCAGATTATCTCTCACTCGGTGTCCTGGCGGTTGTCTCACAGGCAATGGCCACAGCTGGATGTACCATTTTAATTACCTGAAGGCTGAAGCTGATCCTTCAGCTACAGGGTTTTATGTCCCTCAGTGTAAAGGGCAAAGTCTTTGAAGGCTAGAAGATAATGTATTTATAAGCAAAACACAGCCATTTCAGCCTACTAAGAATAGTAGGTGGTATTTTAAAACCTGGTTTGACTTTATGTACAAGCTCCAACTGATCTCAAAGAAAACACAATTCAACTTGCACTTCGCCAGGGATATAACTGTAGGCCAGCCTGGGGTGAGGGAGCGAGAGGGTGTTCAGGCTATTAACTGACAAATTCCAGCAGGGCCAAGCCTGCCATGCATAAAGAGGTGAAGCAACCTTCCTCAACAGTATCATAAGGCAGAAACTGATAATGGAATAGTACAGAAAGACTTTTTGAACTGTTGGCAGTAGTGCAGCCAGGAGGTGGGCGGGCTATCATTTGGACTACACTTCAGGCAACAAAATTTCTTGGCCTGGAACTGAATCCAAAGCTAAGTGCTTGTCCACACTTCAGCTTCTTCAACAGGTTTTTCGTTTCCTGCTTTCCCCAGGAAAACCTGCTGTTTACAAACATCAATCTGAAGAAAACCTGGTTGACATTTGTTATGAATCAGCAGTAAACAGTGGGTTTTCCCAGAGAAAGCAGAAAGGCAAACGAAAAGCATCTCAGACCCAAATCTAGAAAACACAGGGCCTGCAGAAGTGTGGCTGAGCCCTAAACCACCCCACAATTCTTGCTGTATTGGGTCTTCTTGTGATCTCACCAAGCCAGATCCAATTTCGTTAAAGTAAATGTTGAGGAAGCTTTATTTTCCCATTGAGCTGTGCTACTCACTGAAATGGGATAAGGGATTGAGGGGGAAGCACCTAACCAATTCGGACAGACTTCTCCCTCACAGCTGTGCCTGGGACCCTGGACTGCTAGAATGTCCTGAATCCTTAAGACTGGAGAATTCCAGAATCCCCAATCCAGAGAAAGCTAGTCATTGCCAAAACCCAGTAAAACCAATGTGACAAATACAGAAGCACACATAGGGTCCCTTGTACCCTTGGCAAGGAGCTGTATCAGCGCGCGCACACACACATCCAAAACATCACTTTACTGCAATAGCCACATTTACAGTATGTGCCCCAAGTACTCAAAGCCTTTGGAGGCAAGGAGGAAGGGCGAAAAAATTGCATGCCTTTGTGCTGTGGTGCAAGAAGGATGGGACGTTTCTCCCATGTTTGATCTCGCCTTGACAGTGGCAGTGTGTTGACACACACACACATACAACATATATTCCATACAGTCCCCCTTTCTCCTACGACTCAGCTCCAGACTCTCGTCTAAATTCATGACCTTACGCAGATAACTGGAGACAGATTTCTGGGGTGATTTTTGCTCATCTCCCGGGGTCTGTTTTTACCTTTGGAGATGTGTGCAACTTTCTTTGGATTGGGGATATAATCAAAGTTTTATATTTTATTTTGGGTGTACAAAAGGCGATTCCACCTTTAGAGATTAATACATGGGGAGTCCATATTTTTCTCCTCCTTTCAAATTCATTGCTTCTTTGTATCCCACCTAATTTATCTATTAAGCTCCTTGGGACTGGCCAAACACAAACAGCTATTCTGTAAAGTGCCACGTATAATGTGGCTCCGGCTGTAATATCTATCAAAAGGATTGGCAAAGGGTTAACTAGAGAAAGGTTAAAAGGCCAGTGCATATTTTTAGTCTTTGGAAAAGATTATTGGTACATGTTAACAATCTCAAAAAAGAAGAAGAAGAAAGGAAAAGAATGCCACAAAGAAAATCTGGAACAGAATAGCTTTAGATAAAAGGAGATGTGGCAATTGGTTTAAATTGCAGAAGGGAATCGTATAGCTGATATTAGGAAACAGCTTTAAGAAAACACTGATGGAATTAGTTTGGAAAGCATAAAAACATAGATAATTCTATGCTAGATAATTCTTAGGGTTGCTCTTCTTACTATATGAGGACAAGGAGGTATCACATCTTCTTGCCTGCTCCCCCTCCGTAACATAAAAGTGTATGATCATTCTCAACAGGCAAAATACACTCCAAATTGCTGCTAATGATGTCTGATGCTTCATTTCTTAATAGTGCCTCACAACTTCCCCAAAGCTTGGTGCTGGACAACTCAGTGTTTACAATTGGCACCGGCTTCAGAGCCAGCCTATTTCCACATGGAGGCAGGCAGGATGTCATGGTTTTCTTTGCCAAAAGGGATGGCTGAGCCCTTTTATAATAACAAATGATGTTGAAGGTTGGAGTTTATTCTTGGCACTGGATATTAGAAACTTGAAAGCAATATCAAGCCCACATTTACATCTGTGTCCTTGGAAATGTCGAAGCGGAGAGTCAGCTCTCGAAGAAAAAAGAAATGGGGGTGGGGTGGGGTTTTTAAAATCAAATTATCCTAGAGAGAGTAGAATGTTTTAAGTGTGTCGACAGAATATACAATAAAATCCAATTTGGAGGTGGTGAAATTGACTGTGCAATCTGCCCCCCCCCCCAAATCAAAATATCGAAATAAAATAACTAGATTGAAGCGTGAGTGTGGTGGCATTTTGAGCTGGAAGCCTGAAGGCTCTCCAAAACTCAACAAAATCAGTTTATAATTACATTTTGGGTGAGGATGAGGATAGTTAATGTACATAGACGCTAAATTTAGCTCCTCAGGCAGAAAACAACTTGCAATATAGCAACTTTAAGCTCTGACTGTGTAAAGAAAACCACTCCCCCCCCCACAGTGATTCCCTTGAGCAATTTCAGCTGCAAACAGGACACATCAGAGGAGATCAGATTTTATTTGTTTAATTTTTTAAAATATATATTTTAAGGTTGCCTTTAAGGGCAAAGGCTTACGCTTTCTTAGAGCAACAGAAAGCAAATGATGTTAAGAAGCACAGTTTAATTTATTTCAGGATCAGCTAATTTGGAACTGCAGCCAATGATGAACTGGGAAGAATGTGCTACAGACATGAGACTGTCTCACTTGCAGGTTCCAAAAGCCAGATACCAACACCCTGATGGGCCCACTTTAGGGTAGCAGTGTTTTGGGCAGAAACACCCACAACCACATGCCCACCGAAACTTGAAAGACTGACTAGTAAAATCTAATGGCTCCCTTCTGCGATTGGATTGAAGACTTGCAGCATATGAATAACTTGCACATAAATGCAGACTTGCCATGGACAAATTCAATGATATATAGGGAATCCATTCTTACAAATACTGTAATAGGTTAAGATCTGGTAAATTACAATAACAAATACAATAACAACTTTGTGAAGTATAGAGTTTGGAGTTCTCCCCTCCTCCCCCTTTTACTTTCCCTTCTACTGTTGTTATACTGTTGTTCCCTTCTATACTGTTGTTAAGTGCTGTTTCTCTTTTTCTCTCTCTCTCTTTTATTTACGTCTCACCATGTTTAGTGCACATATAATTATGTACTTTTAAACTTTCAATAATTAAAAATAAATAAATAACCGGATCCAGTGTTGACACTGGACAACCTGCAGGAATCTTGGCGAATCTGAAATGAATTGTTGAAATGTATAAACCTGAAAATCATAAATAATTTATTTTTTAAAAAGAATCTGAAATGATACACTTAACAAGGATCCAGGAGGACAAATGTGGAAATGGGAGAGATCAGATATTACCTTCCAGATTCCAAAAGAAACTTAAAAAATCAATTTAATATTGTGTTTTAGATTGTTGTAGCCCAGCCTCGGACAGCAAGGTAAACAATGGTATGACATTAAATTAATAATTCTGAAATCTCAGAAACGGTTGTTGGTTTTTTTCAATTTGACAAACCTGGCTCTCTCTCACCCTTCTCTCACTCCCCCTCTCTCCTGAAATTCAACATCCTTCTCACACTGGGCATGCAGGATCCTTCCTCTTGCTGGGTCAGACCATTGGTTCATCTACTAGAGCAGAGCTTTCCAAACTTTCCATGTTGGCGACACACTTTTTAGACGTGCATCATTTCTCCAACACAGTAATTCAATTTTACTAGCAAACCAGAGGTTGAACTAACCCAGTGATGGCCAAACCTGGCCCTCCAGCTGTTTTGGGACTACAATTCCCATCATCCCTGACCACTGGTCCTGTTAGCTAGGGATGATGGGAGTTGTAGTCCCAAAACAGCTGGAGGGCCAATTTGGCCATCACTGAACTAACCCCTTTCCAACCTCAGGAGGAGCGCAGGGAGCATTCATGCGACACACCTACACACTGCAGCTGACACACTAATGTGTCGCGACACAGAGTTTGGAAAGCTAGAGTGTTGTCCCAACAGCAGGGACGGGGAACCATTGCCTTCCAGATCTTGTGAAACAAGCTGACCCCAACGTAATGTGTTCAAATAAGTTATCTTTCATGTCAGCCCACTCCTTTGCTCAAGAAGCTGCTTGGCTTTGTTTTGACTCAGCTTCACCTTGGATGATATTATATATATATATATATGGCTGTTTTAGACCAATAAGAATGTCAGCTTCCTTTTGCTACAGAAAGGTGAAAAACCAAGGAAGTCACAGGGTAATAGCACAAAAGAGCTGACGCACAGAGGACAAGGGGTGTTCTTACAAATTACAGTGGTGCCTTGGGTTACAGACGCTTCAGGTTACAGACGCTTCAGGTTACAGACGCTTCAGGTTACAGACTCTGCTAACCAAGAAATAGTACCTTGGGTTAAGAGCTTTGCTTCAGGATCAGAACAGAAATTGTGCTGCAGTGGCACGGCGGCAGTGGGAGGCCCCATTAGCTAAAGTGGTACCTCAGGTTAAAAACAGTTTCAGGTTAAGAATGGACCTCCGGACCGAATTAAGTTCTTAACCCGAGGTACCACTGTATAGGGAAAGGGAGCAGGAATGACGTGCACAGCATGTGGCTTTCCTTTCTAGCCAACTCAAAAACAAGGCAAACAAGAGAGATTAAGTAACGTTCCTCAAAGCAGCCTTCTGAAATGGTGACCTCTATTGAAGAGGTCAAAAAGGAGGCAAGCACAGCCTATCAGCTTGTCATTGTGTGGTCACTAAGTTGACATTGCTGACACATGGAGCAAAGAGAGCAACGAAACTTGCTGAAAGGGTATTTTATTTGAATGATCTCAGTCATCCCCCGGTTCCTAGGGTCCAAAGAACATTGTCTTCACCTGAAGAGGCTGTGTGCAATGACAAATTCAACAGAGCTGGTATTCTACTTAATTAGAAAACTTCTCCCTCTGCTCTTTTACCAGTGAGGCTCTCAGAGCAGCTTACAGGAGATTATAATCGAATAAAACAAAGAAGCAGCAAAGCAGATGAAATTCCAGCAGAAAGCCGCTTTAAAACAGATGCCTAAAAGGTGTAGGGAAATAAAAAGGTCTTCACTTTGGAGGAAGCGAAAAGGAAAACGGTGGGGACAAGGAAGGTTTACAGATGGCATGCCACAACTGAGAAGTCCCTTTCTCAAATAGTCACTGGTGGCAGAAGGACCAAATAGAAGAAGAAGAGTTTGGATTTGATATCCCGCTTTATCACTACCCTAGGGAGTCTCAAAGCCGCTAACATTCTCCTTTCCCTCCCTCCCTCCCTCACAACAAACACTCTGTGAGGTGAGTGGGGCTGAGAGACTTCAGAGAAGTGTGACTGGCCCAAGGTCACCCAGCAGCTGCATGTGGAGGAGTGGGGAAGCGAACCCGGTTCCCCAGATTGCAAGACTACCGCCCTTAACCACTACACCACACTGGCTCAGAGACAAACCTGACCTCCTCCAACAGAGGAGCAGCAGCTGCAGGGGGCTTTCATCCCAGGAAGAAAACAACAACACTCAGCTCAATACTCCAGTTACTCTGGAACTGCAGAAGCAAGGGGAAAGGCCACACTGGCCTCATCGCTCTGCTAGTCTGCTAATACCAGGAACAGAAGATCAGCCTGGCTCAAACTACATATAAATGCTCTTAATTTCACTGCTTTCATTGGTGAGCAGAGGTGGCTGGCATCCATTGGAGCTTGTAGGGTGGAAGGCAGGGAGCCCAACAGTAGGTGGCGCCATAGCCGAAGACAGGCAGACCCAACTACGGTAATTCTACTTTTGTCCCCATCTGCCTCTCTGTTGAGTTCTACAAGGGCAGCACTGAGACTGAGGAAGAGGAGACTGATAGGTTATGCTGCCCCCAAAATTGGTTGTAAGTAAGAAGGCTTTGTTGTTTATTCATTTAGTTGTGTCCGACTCTTTGTGACCCCATGGACCAGAGCACACCAGGCACTCCTGTCTTCCACTGCCTCCCGCAGTTTGGTCAAACTCATGCTGGTATCTTCGAGAACACTGTCCAACCATCTCGTCCTCTGTCGTCCCCTTCTCCTTGTGCCCTCCATCTTTCCCAACATCAGGGTCTTTTCCAGGGAGTCTTCTCTTCTCATGAGGTGGCCAAAGTATTGGAGTCTCAGCTTCAGGATCTGTCCAGTGAGCACTCAGGGCTGATTTCCTTAAGAATGGATAGGTTTGATCTTCTTGCAGTCCATGGGACTCTCAAGAGTCTCCTCCAGCACCATAACTCAAAAGCATCAATTCTTTGGTGATCAGACTTTTTTATTGTCTAGCTCTCACTTCCATACATCACTACTGGGAAAACCATAGCTTTAACCATACGGACCTTTGTTGGCAAGGTGATGTCTCTGCTTTTTAAGATGCTGTCTAAGTAAGAAGGTGGAGGTTGGCAAAGGGCAGACTGGGATTGGTGGGGCAGGGCCCCATTTGCCCTAATGGAGCCGCCTCCACTGGAGGCAGCAACACTTCCTTGGTCCTCTGTTGCCCTGAGTTTGGAACCTGCTCCATAATGCTCCATAATGAGGGTCGGCCGACAACATCTGATGTCATTTCAGCGCCAGGTTATGACATTTCATTTGCCCAAGCCTTTCGTGTGCTGAATTTTTAAGGTGAAATTTTAATCTGGCCTATTGCTCTTTTTTCCAACTTCAGTTTCTGTGGTATTTTATGTAGTTGTTGTAAGTTTTATACTTTTACCATTAGCTGTTCTGGCAGATTTTTAAAAAGAGATTTTTTTAAAAAAAAGAGAGGCTGGGCTATTTACATTCTAAGTGTAATATTCACAACTTTCTTACCTGCCCTTAACCGTAAGGTACCAGGAAGGGTTATAACAATAAACAAATACACAATTCCACCAGTATGCCAGTTCCACCCCTTGCTTGTGTCACTGTGGCAGCAGCTTGAATAAAGGAAGATATCGTATAAAAGGACTCGTAGGACTTCAGTGAAATTGCTGGCGTTCATGGACAGAAAACGAGAAAGAGAGGAAACCAAACAACTCTCCCTCAGGATGCTAAGTATCCTTACCTCTGTTTGTCAAACCTGAGGTATGAGTAATGGGAGCCCTGCTCCCTTATGAGGACTGACTTTATTGTCCTGCATCCAAAGTCATAAGTTACACACTGAAAAAAGGAGTTTGTTTAAAAATAGCCCCTCATGCTTCCTATTTTAGGATTTAGTACATCACAGCAGTGGCCTCCTATGGATGCTGTGACAGGCAAGAAACTGGCAGCATGCTGAAACTCCACCCTCACATCCCTCTCTTGATAGCAGTTAACCCCAAAATTGACTGACAGGATGACAGTCCTCCTATTAATCTTTTACCAGATGGTAGGAATCTCTGAAGCAACGGCTTTGGCCTTCATGCTCTCCTCCAGATGGAGAAAGTGGAGATAAGCTTCTCTTTGTTGTTGTTTATTAACGTACATTATGTTTTTGCTGGAAAGCACAGTTGCAAATAGAATACGCGAGGGACACATGCATATAAAATTTTTTGTGCCCTAGTTTTCTTTCAACTTCCTCCTTCTCACCCCCTGCACTCTCTCTGCCATCCATTCACAAGACAGCAGCACTTCCCAGGGTATAAACAAAGAGGATCAAGGTTTCTGTGTTTACACAGCAAAGCTAAAATGTGCTCATTTCAGTGATACTGTCCAGAGAGGATACTTAGAGACATTAACACATTAGTCAGGGTTCCACACACTCTTCCCCCCGCCCCCTCCACAGAAGAAACCACAATGTGGGGAATGAGTACTAGGCCTCACCTTGTTAGGATTGTTCCTCAGAGAGGGGAAGAGCTGGTGGCTACCATTGTAATCCCATCCAGCCTCCTGCAAGATATCAGGAGTCTGTTGCCTGGTTTGCCGAGACACAGTGAAGTGAACTCGCTTCTGACTAGCCTGCGTACAGATAGAAGAGAAATAAACCCAGCTTGTTAATCGGTTGCAAAAGCAAATTTCTCAGGACTGGGAGAATGCAAATGTCTTTAAATGATTTTATTAATATGACTCCTTATAGTCCATCATACCACTTCTACATATTTCTCACTGTAGACAGATCCATCAAACAATTCATAATATTAAGTAATCAGTGGCCTATTTAATTATTTAAAGTCTTTTTTGCATTGTGGGTTGTTGTTTTTTTACTAATTGGACAGAGGGTGGTTTTTATTTTGTTTTTGATTCCCTCCCCCCTTTCTTTTTCCTTTCTCCTCCTGTGATGAGGCTGCATTTTAATGTTTTAATGTTTTAATGTATTTTAATCTTGTTTTTAAGTTGTATTCATTCATCTTGTTTTTATTATTGCTTGTTAGCCGCCCTGAGCCCGGCCTTGGCTGGGGAGGGCAGGGTATAAATAAAATCTATTATTATTATTAACTTACATCTCCTTTTTTGTCAGACTTTTGCTGCCAAAAAAGGTGGGACAAGATAGCAAAAATAAAAATTAATGGGGGGGGGGTGAAGAAGAAGAAAAGACTGGTGCTCCCCTGTTGGAAATATGGAAAAGCAAAATGCAACTCCTGGTCAATACAACACAAAAGGCAGTAGTTAAATGTAACATTCTGCCCCGCGTTTGGATCTAGCTATCTGCATCCATTCATTTGTATTATTAATACAAACCCACCCACAATTCTATCCTGGGCTTTTATGGCATGCCATCATACAGGAATATCGGCATCTGAACTTTAAATCCACATAGTCACAGTATTGTCTTGTAACTAAAAACAGATGTCTGAAAAAGATTTAGATTAAAGCCATAGGCATGATATGAAACTAAACCAGCTGGTGGTGTAATAACTAATTAATACACAGATCTATTCTGTATGAAATAATATGAAATGTATTATAAAGTCAGATGGAGATAAATCTATGGTTTACCTCATGAACTGCTTATTTACAAGTAGTTGCAAATGTGATGAACTGCTTGTGCGTGGTGGTCGAAGTGCGGTTGGAGTGACAGAAGTTCAAATAAAGCATTTCTCTGAAATCTCATGGTTCTTTCTATATCATGGGACTGAGTGAGAATTATTGGGGCTGAACTTGAAAAACTGAGAGGTGACATGACAGCTCTTCATATATTTGAAGATGGGTATCACATGGATGATGGAGCAAGCTTGTCCCACCAGAGGGTGGGACCCAAACTGATGGATTCAAATTAAAGGAAAGGAGATTCTGATAAATATTAGGAAGAACTTTCTGACAATAAGTACAGTTTTTCCACATTTCTCCATCAGTTTGCTTCTCCCCCCCCCTTCTAAGTAAGAAAATGTAAGGGCTTCAACTGCATTATTAAACATTTCCGTGGATTCTTTCAAGTTCAGTGGGCGCACATGCACACACATGGGCTCTTTCTGCTTATAAAGCACTCTTGATATTTTCATACATCTAAGTATAATTTGAAATACTAGCCTCTAGAAGGGTATTCCCTTTGATGCACATGCACGCGCGCACACACACACACACACGATACCTTGGTTCTCGAACTCAACCCATTCTGGAAGTCTGTTCAGCTTCCCAAAGGTTAAAAAACCAAGGCACGGCTTCTAATTGGCTGATTGGCCCCGGAAACAATGCCAACAGCCGAAACGGATGTTCAGCTTCCGAAAAACGTTCACAAACCAGAACACTTACTTCTGGGTTTGTGGCATTCGGGAGCCGATTTGTTCATCAACAAAACCATTCAGGAACCAAGGTACCATGGAGACTGGGTCATTTTTACCACCATAAAGCCAAACTCCTCTGTTTGGCTTCAGAACATAACAAGAGTATCCTGATTCTCACAGTGGCTAACTAAATACCCATGAGAAGCCCTTAGGACATGAAGGCAACTGCCCTCTCCCCCAATATTATTTCCCACAACTGGCAATCAAAGACATACTAGCTCAGTTCTTGGAGGCATACTACACAGCTCTTATGATTAGTAGCCACTGATAGCCATGTCTTCCATGGCTTTCTCTAGCCCTTTTTAAAAGCCATCTAAGCTGGTGATCCATCTCCACATTTTGTGACTTGCTTCCACCAACGGGTGGACCTAGCTAAAACTTCAAACCTGCTATCATCATACATCTATGTACTTCAGTATGGGAAACAGGCCAGAATCTCAGATGACGCCACCCACCTACACAATAAAGAGCAGGCTGGAAGCACTTTTGTAAAAATAAAATTCCACGTTGCTAATTCAAGAATGATTTGTAATGCTTTAGGAATACGTCTCACTGAATGAGATTAGTAATGTATTCATTTTAATGAAATATTGTCACAATACTCCGCAGGAATTAGAGGTCCCTTTGATGACATTTAGTATATCATCTCCACTTTCCCGCCAATATTAGCAAATGGATTGCACTTAGGGAGCATAGTTAACTTGGCAAGAGTGGAAGTGGGACAGCTTTCTCTTGCTAAGTGTACAGCTCATGTCTTGAAGTATCATCGCTTATCAGATACGCTCAGAAATGGCGAGGAAGTTGTTGAGTCAAACCTGTATCAGCTGGGCTGCACTTTCTGGACTTCCGTATCGAAGATCGTGCCCGTTAATTGCCAAAACCCTGTCATTCTCCTGAAGCTGCCCGTCGCGGGCAGCAACGCCTCCTTCCAGCAAGTTGAAAACAAACACCCCAGTTTCATCAGCCTTGCGGACCAACTTGATGCCCAGCTGCTCATCCGGGCTGCTTTTGTTCAGAACCACATGAAAACTGTCGTCCCTGTTGCAGGGAATGTCCAGAGAAAGTCCACTGTTTCGGCATCGGTACCTCTGCTCTCTGAGTACGGTGAGCCGGAGGACTTGGCAAGGTTGCCTCAGGACCGACAAGGCGTAGCTGTGCGGCACATTTCTGATGTCTATGCCATTTACCTGGAAGACAGAACCACAAACCAGTAAGGTTAAAAAAAAAAAGGCCCTCTAATTGGAACTGGCACTGCCAGACAGAAAGACCTACTTGTACAGATGTCTTCCTGTTATAGCGACATGTGGCATTTGCCTCCCTCCAAAGAAGCCAAGTTTTCATTATATAATATCCTTTCCCCACAAGGACAGCACACACTGTACTCTTTTCTTCCTCTCCTGCTGATTATCTCCAGACATAATGGCTATTTTTCAATTTTATTACTGCTCCTCCTCAGGCTCCAATATCCTCTCGCCTATCTCAATTTTGAGTCCAGCAGCTTCTCCTTTTCCAGTGCTGCCATTCCCCACTAACCCTGCCTTCTCTCCCACTCTAGTATTTATCTGTTGCCTCAATGATACGTGGACTATAATTGAAACACGCCACCCTCGATTTCTGAACGATAAAAGAATATGGATACTGATCACGGTCCACATCTTCACTAAACAGTATAGATAGTGGGACTGAAGGAAGGCGTAGGCAGAAAACCCACGTTTTAAATACTTAGGAAATCGCATATGTTTGAAATGGCTGTCAGCCATTTTATACCACTGTTTCATTGGGGTTCTCATTGTTTGTTTTCACAGGAGATTTAATCCTATCTCTGCTAATACTTCTAGCACTTAAATTTGCTATAAGGGAAATTAATCAAGCAACGGTTTAGAGATGCAGTTTTATGTAGTTGACCCACTGACTCGAGTCCCTGTGGAAAATACATTCTTTCTCCAGCAACTTGACTTAGCCTTCTCTCAGAGAATGAGAACTGAATACGGAACAGCAAATTTCTGCTATAAAGTCGGAAGTAGGGCTGGATGCATCCTTCGGCAAAATAAGCCACAGAGAAGGGAACCTACCAAATTGGGAGCTTTCTCCATGGTGAAAAGCACCGCTGATCTTCTATTTAGCTCAGTACACTGTGAGGGCTCCTAAGAGTAGTTAAGCATTGCCCCATCTGGAGAAAAAGTATTTGCAGCAGCACCAGGGAGTTATTTCCTCAGCACTGCTTCAGTTAAGGTGACCACATGTAAAGGGGGGTGGCGTTTCTGTTAATACAGCCATTTTGGCAAGCATACCACAAGTCAAGTCTGAAATACGAGAGACTGATGAAGAGCTGGATTTAGGCCTACTGAGTCCACAACGATCCAACACAAAGCATACTAAATACAAATAACTTTGCATTAACTAGGTGAAGGATTGCTGTTGAAACTCATTGGTTTGACTTCAAAATGAATCCACACCAGTAAACAGAAAGATGCTGCTCTTCCTTATGTCTTCTTCCTGTCACCCCTTCCTCTTCTGTGCAGGCAAGGAATGTTGTTTGCCATGTCCTCAAGCTGAATTAGGAACCTTTACACATAGCTGTCAACTTACAGATTTGAAAATAAGGGACCAGCAGCCTCGGAAATAAGGGATCAGCAGCCAAAATAAGGGATTTTCCAGGCACAGGTATGTTCAACTTCTGAGCCCCTCTGAGTCAAAGGCAGAAAGCCCAGCCAGCGGCCAAATGAAGCCTCATCAATAAGGGACAGCAGCGGGACATGGCGCTGGGATAAGGGACTGTCCCGCCAAATAAGGGACACTTGACAGCTATGCCTTTACATAAAAGCAGTGTCTCTACGTACGCTATTAAAAGTCTCCTCACATTAGCATCCACCTCCATTAAGAGTGTACCTTTAGTATCATGTCCCCTGGCAGCAACCTTCCATCCCTGGCAATGATTCCATCTCGGTAGATGTGCTGTATGATGATGTGAACCAATGGCGTTTCGCTGCCTCCCACAATCCTAATGGCAAGGCTTTCGTTGGGATCACTGCGGCTGATCTTAATGCAGGTAATTTCACCATCTGGGATGAGGTGGTATAGCCTTGGGAAGACTGAAAACACACAGAGAAAAGGCCTTTATTCAGAATACAGATCTCTGGTTTTTGCTTTTTTTTTCTTTTGTTTTAAACAAATCTAGCCATAGAACATGGAGCTTTGCACAGTTGACCCAACTAGGCATTAACAGATCTGCTGTATGTTAAAAGGGGTAAGAGATTACATCCATTTGGTTCATGGTGCAAGAAGGATTTTTCCCCCCTAAGCCAAAATAATGCATGCTAATCTTCATCTTTTTAAAATCAGTTGTTGTCTCGGACATCTCTCCTTACATAAAGCAACTTCCTCTGTCAGCCTAATGATTCCATAGTATACAGCACAACGATGCTATGCAGGGGACACAAATATACAAGAAAATTTCAGCAGTATGCTTTAGAGAACCCAGTTCTGTGATCACATTCTGGTAAAAGCTCTTCTCTGGCTGCGTGCATACAATACCCTTAAAGCACATTCAAAGCACATTCTCTGTCTCTCAAGAAATTATGGGCACTGTTACTTTACCCTTCACAGAGTTAAAAATTTCCAGCAATCCCTAACACAGCGAGGCACAGCTAATGAGAAGAGGTAGAGAGTACAAGGAATACTGAAAGTTAGGAGAAACAGCTGGACAACAGATGTATATGAGTCTGAAGTATTAGCAGGACCAGTTCAAGGGGATTTTTGCCACTCGAGGAGAAGCATCCCTCATGCAAGCTGCCTGTATCCCCATTATCCCCTGAGATACTGCAGTGAATACTGAGATGCATTCTGAGTATTTGTGGAAACTAGTCACATCACAGGAAGTGCAATATCTCAGACTTGCAAACTGCATCTAGTATGGTGGGACACTTCTTGAATTGGGTCATTCCAAGTGCTTCAGGTCTTGCTGTATAATAAAACTGGCCTTGTGCATCTATCCGAAGCCAGTTCAAAGAAAATATCTCACTTTTAATGTTGCCATATTAAATCCTTTATTGTTCCAAGGCTAGAGAAGGCCTCAATGACAGAATCCAGTACTACCACCAAAATGCAATATAAAACCTTGAATTTCACAGAAAACTGTCTAGCAGCTAGCTCAAACAAAATCACTTACTGAAGATTCACCCGCACCCAATCCTTTCCCCTATCAAAGTGCTGAAAATCAGGCAATGGTTCTTACGCCGTCAGTATTCTACCCAAGTTTCAATTGCAAAATTGAGTGACAAAACCTAGTTCTTTGAAGCACATTAGATCCTCATTTTCCCTCTGAAAGAATTCTGGTCTTTGTAGTTTACGCCTCGGAGATTTATAATTTTCAATAATCCTTCACAAACTAGAATGCCCAGAATTCTTTGAAGGAAAGAATGCACTTCGAATGTATAGGTTATTTCACATTGCCAACAGCAGTGTCATGTGTATTAACAAAAGCAAGTACAGCTCCAGTTATTATGTCATAATAAACACTCAGATTTCGTATTTCCCTTATCTGCCACCGCTAGTTGTTTCATCTGGGGTTTTCCAGAGTGGACGCTCAACAGAGAGTCGCATGCAATCCCAGCTTCCTAGTGTTGGTGCTGACCTTTAAATCCCTAAACGGCCTCAGTCCTGTATACCTGAAGAAGTGTCTCCACCCCCATCATTCAGCCTGGACACTGAGGTCCAGCTCTGAGGGCCTTCTGGCAGTTCCCTCACTGTGAGGTGAGTTTACAGGGAACCAGGCAGAGGGCCTTCTTGGTAGTGGTGCCCGCCCTGTGGAACACCCTCCCATCAGATGTCAAAGAAATAAACAACTATCCTACTTTTAAAAGACATCTGAAGGCAGCCCTGTTTAGGGAAGCTTTTAATGTTTAATGCTGTATTGTGTTTTTAATATTTGATTGGGAGCCACCCAGAGTGGCTGGGGAAACCCAGCCAGATGGGCGGGGTATAAATAAATAAATAAATTAGTATTATTATTATTATTCCCAGTGAGTGTACCTCTACTGTACATGTTTATCAACACAAGTCTGTCACACTCACACCTTAACTTTGTAAGTATTGTCATGTATGGGAGGCTGGTTCTAAGTTTGAGGTAGCTTGAGGAGATGCGGTCCCTCGTATGTCAGCAAAGCCTGCCCATGGCCTTATTTGGCAGTCAGAAGCAGCTGTCCAATCAGCACCGGGTGTCAAGCCAGTATTTTAATTTCCCAAAGTGCCCTGAAGCACTACTACACTGGGGAAATTAAAATGGAGGGAAATTAACAGGGTGTCTCACCCCACCCACTGCTCATCAGAGGTCTCAGGGAAGGCATTGGCAATGGGCCCTGCTGGAACACAGAGGCCTGGCAGTTGCCCAAGGATACCACCACATTCTGATGACCTACAAGTGCAAATCAGCTCTAACATTCAAAGGAAGGCATTTCCATAACCAGTTAAACTCAAAACTACCAGCAATAATTAACTCCAGTATAGTAATAGTGGCATTTGGATGCAAACATATGCTGATATTTGCTAACTAGATCAAGTGTCTCCATTTCTTACCTACTGACAGAAATGGGCTTCATTCTAAATGCCATTCCCAAGAGCCTTGCTTTCCTTTCTCTGGTGTTCTAATTCTTCTTGTTAGCTACTTTTCATCCCGTTTTGAAAAGACTTCCAGTAAAGGAAAATCTTAACCATCGCATACCTTGCTTTGTCCCCTCAAACTTCCATCTCTTACATAGCGATGAACTGCCAAACCTAGAGAGAAGTATACTTTCTGTCTTGCTTTTGCCGATTCTGCTTCGTGATTTTGCTGCGTGCGTTTGTGGGGCGGGGTGCACTGGATCTGTCAATAATAATAAAACATCATCTCCATGCAGAAATATCTGGTGTACTGCTTTCCTGAAGAATAAGATGTCAAGTCCTTACTTCAGGGAACACCTCTACAGAAAGAAAACTTGTGTGCTGCAATTAATTTATTGTTTAAAAGCATGGCTAAGACACCCTTCTTGGTTTCTGTTAACTATATTCCAAATTCAGGAGACTGTGAAACAGCGGGCAGGAAGGAATGGAACTACCAACCCAAAAGCCAGGTCTAAAAGTTATATCTAAAGTCGAACCTGCATTGACATAATTGTTACTGACACATTTGTCTCAACAAGATGTATTGATGTTGTATTTCCTACGATTTATTTTACGGAGGCAGCGAAAACACTTTGCACATATTCTTTACTAAAGTGGATTCTTTGAACAATTTTGCCTTTTTAATATCTACTACTTAAAAAAAAACAATTACTAGTCACATGATACATTTATCTTTTCAAAAATAGTTTGGGTAGAATTACTTAGATGCGATTGCTTCCAAGTTAAAAATACCTCCTTTAATTTAAGATCCTACTTAGTCGAACTAATCACATTTCCCTTTTCTCTGCTCCTCTTTCTGCTTTGTACAGGCAAGCTAAATCAATGACTTATCTTAAACAGTCGCAATCCCACCAGATTTCTTCTGTTATCTAGCTATTTATGCTCTGCTTATCACCAAGTCATCTGTCAGCTCCACTGAGATTGCTAACTAACAGGGTTTTGCCATATTTGGGTTGCAAACTCTATCCCAGGATCAAAACTGCATCCACAAGCCTGTCTGGTCCAGATTTTGACCAGTCTCCAGCATAAACTATCTGGTCTGTTACGGTTTTCTGTTCTCATGTCTCATATGCCTTCTTTTGTTTGTATCAGTCATCTCCATATATCCCATACACATGGACCTGAATTTCCAGGCAAATAGTTGTTTGTTTTTAGAAGTTATCTTTGTGATGAAATATATGTGGTTTGTATGCTCTCTGAATTCAGTAAAGACTGTTAGGCTATGTGCTCATCTTCTTCTGGAACAAATTTCAAGCCAGTCCTTTGCAAATAAATGTTCAGCATTAATGTTGCTCAGTTGGTCCAAACGGCAATTTTGTTTTTGTCCAGACTGATGTTTTTCCTATTTAGAGCTTAAAGAGCAGGTTTTCCCCGTGAAAGGAATGGAGCAAGGGCAAAACTTCTTTGACTCGTGGGAAGTGGAAAACCACCCAGACTCATGTTTTCTACGCAGAAGTGTGGATGAGCTCTTAGTTCAGCCTATTCAATCTACAGGGACGTTATAAAATTGATACTAGACTTCTGAATCAGTATCTTGATTGTACTAGAAAATGTTCATTTGAATAGCACTGGTTAAAAATAAAGGAGTGAAGTCTAATTTCTGCCACAACAGGAAACATGTATAAAGACAAGAGTGGCAATAGTTTGACACCTGCCACATATTGTTTCAGGGGACCAGTGGACATCAGGAATGATGATCACGAATGATTTACAACAGAGTTTCCCAAACTTGAGTCTCCAGCTGGTTTTGGACTACAATTCCCATCATACCTGACCACTGGTCCTGCTAGCTAGGGAAGATGGGAGTTGTAGTCCAAAAGTCTGAGAAACCTTGATTTACATGAATGGGGATCTGGTCTGACCCAGCCCACCAACCCCTCATAAATAATACCACTTTTTACCGTAGCTGGTTTGACCGTGGCTTCGCTGACTTCTGAAACAGCATACAGCTACTGCCATTGATAAGTGGTCAGGGTGCTCCACAAACAGGGGAAATGCTCTGTATGCTCTTATCCGATCTGACAAAGTGCTGGCAAAACATCTGAGCAGACTGGGGTGCTGTCTCTTGTTCTGGAAAACTCTGACCACCTCCCAATGGCGGGGGCTTGCTCAGCACCACCGCAGAAGGCACCAACGAAACTGCTTCGGTCACAGTAGTAGCAGTTTATGCAGTGCTGCCACAGAAACTGCTGCTGAAACTGACACGGTCACCCACTGCAGCCACCACCAAACTGCAGGTGTGACTGGGAAGAGTGTGTGTGTGTTACATTGTTGGCATGGGTGGGCATTGATGTGTTTGTGAGCATTCACAGGATAGGACTACAAGCTTGTTTTCTCCTGTTCTGGAGGGCAAGACTCGAACCAATAGCTTCAAGTTACAAGAAAGGAGATTCTGACTAAACATCAGGAAGAACTTTCTGATGGTAAAAGCTGTTCGACAGTGGAACAGTGGTGGACCCTCCTTCCTTGGAGGATTTTAAGCAGAGGTTGGTTGGCAATCTGCCATGGATGCTTTAGCCGAGATTCCTGTATTACAGGGGGTTGCACTAGACGGCCCTTGGGGTCCCTTCAACTCTATGATTCTATGACTAATTCCTGTCAGCAGAAACACCTCAGAAATTTATTTCCCATTAATTTCCCATCCCACCTTACTTTAGCAGAGAAACAGTCTCTGAATTGCAGTGTAATGGCAAAAAGGAAACGGAAAACAGGCAGAAGATCAAGAAGGCACAGGACAGGGCTCAGGGCCTCACAAACATATACAACGCAGGTTACTAAAATGAAGAGCCTTCTACTTCTGACATCTTACTGGTGTCTCAAGGCTGCTCTTGCATGGACAGCTGTTAATGTTGCTTAGGGAAGGTGGCTTAAGGAAGACAGCTTCTTGCTCCCTGTGGGGTTCTACCTTCCCTATCTCTCTGTGTAGGCCTTGATAAAAGAGACAAACCTAGATCTTTTAAAATCACACTTTGACTAAATGTTGATTGTCAGGGGACATATGTCTAGACATAAACTGAAGCTAAGCTGACAGCTACCGAAAGGAAAGTTAAAATAATACTGGCAGTTAAACCATCTGAACTGCAGCTGACCTCAGCGAGAGCATGAAATAGGAAATATAATTTTAGAAACAACCAGCTCTTGAACCTTGACAGGATTAAATGAACACGAATTTTGATGGATCAGGAGGATTCTAGAAGCTAGATGGTGACAGCTGACAGCCAACAGGCAATTGGGGCCTTGCTTAAATGTTGTTTCCTTCAAACCCACAATCCTCCCAGAATTCTCCTTGCAAAACCACAGTCTCCACAGTCCCACATCGAAGATGAAATGAGGCCCAATTCTGATTAGTCATTTATTCTTCCTACCAGATGTGCTAAGTGTATAAATCATTTGAGCTCTGCTGTATACGAAACATACCATTCCTCTGTATATATACTGTATATCCCTCAATACCTTCCTATGTTGTTGGCATTAAAGGTACAGTAATAGCTTTAGGATCAGGGAGTAAGAGGAGGATATAGATGAACTGAATTGACTATATGTGTACAGGGGCATATGTATGCAGGGGCGGCCCATCTCATTTTGCTGCCTGAGGTGAAATGGTAAGGTGCCCTCACCCCAGTCAAAGTCACGCTTACTGGGATTGTGTGGTAGCAGTTTCCAGGTTCTGCTAGTGGCACCCCCGCCATGGAAGCTGCAGTGGTGGCTTCCAAGTTCTAGTATGATCTCTCTGGAACTCTGAAGCTATCACTGCAACCTTTTCTCCAATGATGTGGGGGCACTGCGACATTGGGATGTTGCCGCCCGAGGCAACTGCTTCAGTCTGCCTCATAGGCGTGCTGGCCCTTGTATGTAGTACACTATCCATGGAAGAAAACCGATTCTCACCTCTAATGGTGAATAATTTTTTTTTTAGTTCATTTTACCCAAGGAGAAAGAAACAAACACTAAGCAGAAATCTAAGTTCACCCACACCAAAGACACCATCAATAACAAACTGTCTTGTGAAAGCTGTAAGGAAAGGTACGTTACAGCAACCCAGCCAGATGGGTTCAGTATTTTTTTATTTTTATTATAAGTTTCTATGGAGCTTGTTGCACAGAATAACATCTTTAACTTCTGGCTCAAGAATTTAGCATTCACAAGATTCCTATACAATTTCCCACAAAGTATTTTCTGTTTTCACATGTTAAAATTAAACAATCAACTATTTAAAAAGACAACATTTTAAGAATAAAAATCATTACCTTCCTCCAGGGCAACCAAATGGTCAACACTCTCCCTCTCTCTCTCGGCGTGGTTAGCAACGGCACTCCCACTTTTTGTCCTCCGAAGAACACTAAAAGCTCTGTTTATTTTTTTAAAAGACCTGCTCCTTATAGAAGAACGTTCAAAATGTCGAGCTGCAGCAAAGGGAGAGAGAGGTTTATTTTTAAAAGGAATAAAATTATGTAGGTTTGGGATAAAGACCTAAATACTTGTTCTGAGAACTATTAAAGGAATGTTCTGAGAACTATTAAAGGAATACACACACACAGAGAGAGACACTTTTGCCCTTGCTCACAGTTACATATATCCTCCCACCCTCTTATTTCGTACCTGTCGTCCCCCAAAATGGACTTGCAGGGCTTAATATTGATTAGCAATTCCACAATAGTCCCCAAAAGCAATAATTTTGCACTGGCACTGCAGAATTTCACTCTGACCAGTATAGTTCATATAACTGAAGCATTTGTAATAATATTAATGCCATGCCAAAGTCACATTATTGCAAAAAGAAAAGAAAAGCGGGGGGCGGGGGGCGAGGATTGAGAGTTCATTGCAAGAAGCTGTTACTCCTTCCCTGAATTTGCTGGAATAGTCTGTTATCCTCTTTATTTTCCAAAAGCAGTACTAAGTCGTAACAATGGGTCTTCAAAGGCTAAATTGTTATTCTTCAAACAATACCCACTATTATAAATGTGGCCTAATGAATCCGTAACACATTCCTCCTTTTCTTTAGGGTTGATAATAAATAAACAAATTCCAAGTTTAAAGATAAAAATTAGCAATATATATAAGCCAGTACTACTGCGAGGAAAAAGCTGAACTGATTTTCAATTTTTTTTGTAGGTTGCTGAAGGGGTAGACTATTTTCCTGAATCGGTGCATTTTCTGGTTCAAAAACGTTTGGCACCTTTTTTGACAGCAATTCTCTATGTTTCCAATTTTGTTCACAGATTTCATATGGTATCACTAATAACTCATAAAAAGGAGAGATTATGTGGGCCCATGATCAGATAAGCATGCGGAAAACTGGATATTGTTACGTAGTGATATGTGATGCTCAGATAACACGGAGCTAGAATCAATAACAAAACCTGGAACTGCATTGCCAGATGTCACGCAGAAGTATATGCGGAGGTGAAAGACATACAAAGTGACTCACATCTTTACGGTATTTGACAGTTCAGGTAAGGCACATGACTTGAGATGTTCCTGCACTTCTTGTGCAGCTTGTGCATCTCATTATTCTCATTCTACCACCCCAACGCAGTATTACAAAGCCTTTGGCTGCTTTTGTGACATCTCTATATATGCAAAATGAATGGAGAAATGTAAGGTTGGGTATGTTTGTGCTGCTAAACTGCCCCACGCCATAGTGAAATCTCAAGTATTTCGTCATCAATGAGATCATATCAGAATTTGATTTCGAATGTTTCATAACACCTTCCTGCTTTTGCTGTCTAGAACATTGGTAGCACTCTTCCCACCAAAAATTTGTGTTACTTTGTACATTGTGTGACCATTAGCTGATTTATAGAGCAACCTTAAGCCCTGATCTGTGCTGCTGGAGGGTGTTAGGATGCACTTGCACACACCAGCCTGGGGGTTGCGTCAATCACTATAGAGGTTCCCATGACTTTCATGGTAAGTGTGGTACATGGCATGCTGCCACCAGCAATAGCCAGCACAGAACACCAAGATGGGATATTCACGGAGGCAGGGCACAGATGAAACAGAGCTTGCATGAATTCACTGGATCCTAAGGCACTCTGTCCCCCCAATTTGGTGCCAGCACAGACCCAACGCCCCCAAAACCCAACCCTGGGATCTGAATTGCTCTGCTAGGATCTCAAGACCCCCCACAGTTTAATATCAGGTTTTTCTGTTCCCCAAAAAGTATGAAATGTCTTCTGACGAGTATATATGACAGAAGAGGGGTCATTCAGGGAGAAGTGGGCAAAATCTGAGGAGATTCTCTCCGGTTCTTACTTCTAGTTTGGTTGCTTCTGTGGAGATCTGCAGAGGTGGCTCCTGACTGGCTGTCTTCTGAGGTGGTGCTAAAGGCTGGATTGATTAGGCCTGGCTCATCTGTCATTAAGGCGATGGTGGCAGAAGCAGAGAGCTCAGGGCCAAGGGCAGCTACAGTTAAAGGGGCATTAGAATCGGGAGATCCATCCTGCGAACGCCGTTTTCGTTCCTTGGTAAGGCCGTAATGAGATGCTCCTTTACACCTAAACAAAGAAGAGAGAGAGAAACATCATGTTGTGAAAACTGTTCAGATCTACTTGAGGCAAATGGAGACAGACAATAGTGTTTGGGGGTTCCTTTTTTTTTTTTAATGAGGCGAAATTCACAAAAACTGTTTGACCAGAAACAACATAGGACAGAAAAAAGAAAAGATGACTCTATCTTACCATGTTCAGTTTTCTGAGCGGACTGTTAGCTTTCATCATATTAAGTTAACAGTAACAAGGCCCAGCAGTTAACATGAATTCATTTTATTAAACAATAAATTAGACTGGACAGTGAGCAACACTATGAAAAGATTTTTGGCATGTCATGTTTTCCCAGAACTAAATAGGAGAGGGAAGGGGAAGGGGACATCTAATCATAATGGATTAAGTTATTAATTCACGTGAAAAGTCTACTTTTTGATGAAGAGCCCCATTCTAGCAACACAGGCCTGTTTGTGGCTGCAGTTCCACTGCATAGGAAACAGAGAGGCAGGTGACTGATCACAACAAAGAACGGAGCCTATAATCAGCTCTTTGTCTTTGGCTAATGAAAGAGGGCAGTGTGAGGCACGAAAGCTTGTCTATGTCAGCTTACGTTTGGGGAAAGAAAAAGCCACACACATAGGAGGCTGCTGGGCTCGACACCATGACAAACAGTGTCTGTCATAGCAGCCGTCACTTTGCGAGCGCCGTTGCATCTGCCTTCCAGATTCAGTGTTCCCACCGCCTTTGCAAAAGGCTTTCCCATAAGCTCACTGAAACAGGCCTTCCTTGTTGATCCACCTGCCTCTTAGTGAGAGTTGGGATGCTTCGGACGGTCATAGGTTTAGGCCTGGTAACAAAGGTCTCTCCCACATAGGCTCCCCACCTGCCCTCTGGTCATATGCTCATTTTCAAGCTCCCTAGCTCAGTCGACAGAGCATGAGACTCTTAATCCCAGGGTTGTAGGTTTCAGCCCTGCGTTGGGTGAAAGATTCTTGCATTGCAGGGGCTTGGACTAGATGGCCCTCCAACTCTATGATTCTATGGCAAGAAAAGCAACTCTATGATTCCAAGAAAAGCAAGAAGTCAGACAATGCAGGGGCACCATTTCAGGAGGGACAAAGGGACAGTCCCTCTTCCCCCAGTCACATGCATTATTCCCAAGCACACCTATGTTAGGATATAGTTCCATTCCACCTTAAAAGGGTCAGGCATGACTGTTGTGTATCACATGCCTGTTTACATCCAGCACAGTCTGCTGGGAACTTCCATTGTATGTTGCTTTTGCTTACTGCTGTTTTGCTGGAGACGAAGGGATGCAGACATGTTTTCCTTTGTTCCTGAACTATGCTGAATAAAGTGCTGTACAAATATGCTTGCGCATCTCTCTGTCCGCCTCTTCTGCTGTGAGGTGATTTACACACTCTGCTGACAGAGCGTGCACGGGTCTCCAAATGTATCTGAGGCTCGTGTCGCTGTTTGATGCTGTTCCGAGAGAGACCGGCTGCTGGCAGGTGGCTGGAGCCAGCTGGGGGCCTGATGCCTGCCTGATGCCCCCGTCTTCCCAGCAGTATCCCAAAAACCTACACATCTGGTTATTATGAAAAATACACATGAATACACAGGCGTACACACACACAACATATTCTCTTTTTTAAATTTAGTGCAAGGACATAAGAAGAGCCTGCTGGATCAGGCCCACTTAGTCCAGCATCCTGTTCACACTGCAACCAACCAGCTGCCCATGGGAAGCTCCCAAGCAGAAGCCAAGCGCAAGAGCACTCTCTGCGCCTGTGGTTTCCAGTAATTGGTAGCATGCTGCCTCCAATTGTGAGGCAAAGCATAGTCATCTTCATGGATAGCCTTATCTTCAATGAATTTGTATATCCTCTTTCAAAGCCATTTAAGTTGATAGGCATCCCTGCCTCCCATGGGAGTGATCTCCATAGTTTAACTATTTATTTTATTTCATAAAATTCATACACCGCTTGATTGTGACAATCAAACACCCTCAGAGCTCCCTGGGAAAAGGGACCACTCTGGGAATTGCAGCTGGAAGAGACGACTGGAAGAACTCCACAAGATTCTGAGACGGGAAAGTGAACGGTCATAGCTACACAACTTGCAACTCACCAGTTCAGAGGCTGAGTCTGCAAAGAGATGGCGACAAGGCTCAGAAGACCCGGAATTTAAACAAATATTATTCAAATGCGTACACACACAGTCATTTTCACAGCTTATTGTTACGTGGGAGCAATCCTCTATGGCAAAAAAATCTCTCTTGCTCATGCATGCGCACACGGTTTTCGCACTCTGAGAAATGCCTGACTGCCTCAACACGAGGAGCATTCAAGATGAATTGAATCCTTAATGAGAGTCGCACAATAACCATAAAAACCAGGCCACTCTGAGGAAATTGCCTGTCACTTATCTCCAGAACCAACCTCATTCTGCCACTGCAAAAGTTCAAAACATGCTCCTGCTTGCAATGAATTCCGCTTTTTAATCAGTCTCTAATAGGCTTGCCCCACTTTCTGTTATTGTTCTCTTTTCTGTTATTGTTCTCTTGGCTAAGGTTAGCCAATGACTTTCATACAAATGTCCTCTGTGAAGGAACTCCTGAAACAGCGGTAGCCCTTAATAAGACAATGCTGCCTTAATGTATGGAATGCATGCCAGCGAACTGCCTAATGAAGAGTGCTTTCTGCCATGCTGCTCCCTAGCTGAACTTGTTCCTCCCTGTTCTGTTTCTGCCCGGCCATTTCTTTCTTTGCCTTTCAGGACTGGCTCACACCTAAGCCGCATGGCAGATACTTCCAAATGTCCACTCTGCCACTGAAATTAGTAGCGCCACTTTTCGGTGCCTGTGAAGGATGCTCCTACAAGCATCTGTCACCGACACATGAAAGGGTGTTTTCACTAGAGTTGCTAGGCAAGACACTCTATACCTCAGCTGAAGTCCCTCCGTTTAAAGCACTGACTTATATTTACTTTGTAACGTTTACATGATTGTTGTGTGGATTGCAACTAAAGAATGCATGCACAACACTTTGAATACAGCAAAGTGCTATACAGTGGTACCTCAGGTTAAGTACTTAATTCGTTCCAGAGGTCCGTACTTAACCTGAAATTGTTCTTAACCTGAAGCACCACTTTAGTTAATGGGGCCTCCCGCTGCTGCCGCACCACGGGAGCACGATTTCTGTTCTCATCCTGAAGCAAAGTTCTTAACCTGAAGCACTATTTCTGGGTTAGCAGAGTCTGTAACCTGAAGCGTATGTAACCTGAAGTGTATGTAATCTGAGGTACCACTGTACAAATGTTAAGCAGAATGATTATGATGTTTTTCCTAGTCAAGAACCACTGCACTTATTTTGAAAGTAACTTTAGACTAAATGTTGGTGACAACTCTCATGTACACCATATGTAAGGTAAAGGGACCCCTGACCATCAGGTCCAGTCGTGACCGACTCTGGGGTTGCAGCGCTCATTTCACTTTATTGGCCAAGGGAGCTGGCGTACATGTGGCCAGCATGACCAAGCTGCTTCTGGCGAACCAGAGCAGTGCATGGAAACGCCATTTACCTTCCTGCCAGAGCGGTACCTATTTATCTACTTGCACTTTGACCTGCTTTCAAACTGCTAGGTGGGCAGGAGCAGGGACTGAGCAACGGGAGCTCACCCCATTGCGGGGATTCAAACCGCCGACCTTCCAATCGGCAAGCCCTAGGCTCTGTGGTTTAACCCACAGCGCCACCCACGTCCCTACACCATATGTAAGCCACTGCAAATAACGACTATATTGTTGTGTATTTATATGGTGGGAAGCCCCAGGAACATGCATTACTCCTTTCAGACAAACATCTGTACCTCAAAAGTATAACACTATCTGCCATAGCAGCTACTGCTGCCTTTCAGCGACTACTTATGCTGACACTGCTTAGATAAAAGAAAACAGGATTAAGCCAATGAATTCGTCTCTTAAAAAGAACGGTGGTGCATGGCTAAGTTTGATCACATTGGAACAGTTCCTGCTTAATTTCCATATGGCTTACGGTAATTGTCTGCCTTCCAAAACGGGCCATTAAGAAACAACTTAATGACACTGCTAATAATATTTCTGCCACTGAACAGCATCACATCTCTGACAGCGCCCATCAACAGCTTTTATTTGTCCTTGGTTCAAAAGGAAGCTCATTCAGATGCTGCAAACCAGTACTACCTGGAGTGGTGGTCCACAGACTGGCGGGGATCTGCAAACCATCAGCTGCTGGTCATCAACAACTCCACTACAGTTCAGGTTGGGTGGGATGCTTCAGAGACCAAATATGGTATTGGTCTCTGGCACATAGGGTGAGAGGAAATGGCTGATGCATCACATCAGATAGTTTGAGAAGCACCTCCTTTGGCAGCATTCCCACATGAGTGCAGCCATATGGTAGACATAACATCTGACCAGACATGATCCCACTGATGTTGTGTCCCCAACAGTTATTTGCCTGGCCATGGGCCCATTTTTTATGCGCCACATTCGTGTGAATGAGAAGCATCTTGGGTCATCAGTTGTTGCTGCTTGGTGCACAGGTAAGAAAGCACTCATGTCCTTGGTTTGAGTTGTTTAGTCCCTAACAGGTTCCTCATTTTGCATCCCCAAAAGTGAATTGTAAATAAATAGGGAGGAATGCTGTGATTCTGATGTCGGTGTGTGTGTGTGTGTGTGTGTGTGTGTGTGTGTGTCTGGGTCTATCTCAGCCTCATCAATGGATCATGTGGTCTCCAATTCAAGCTCTGCAAAAGCTTTATATGCATCACCTCAGCAATCCTCACAATCCTGTAAGGTAGGCCAGTGATATTATCCCTGTAGTGTGAGGAAAAAGGCATGTGTAAACTGTAAGGACAGATCCTGAAGCTGAGGCTCCAATACTTTGGCCACCTCATGAGAAGAGAAGACTCCCTGGAAAAGACCCTGATGTTGGGAAAGTTTGAGGACACAAGGAGAAGGGGATGAAAGAGGACGAGATGGTTGGACAGTGTTCTCGAAGCTACTAACATGAGTTTGACCAAACTGTGGGAGGCAGTGGAAGACAGGAGTGCCTGGTGTGCTCTGCTCCATGGAGTCACGAAGAGTCGGACACGACTAAACGACTAAACAACAAAGAGCTAGAACTTCCCTGCTTATTTTCTACTACACAGCACCAACCTCTGCCCCAGCAAGATGTTGTTTGTGACCGATAGCAGAGGGATTGTGCCCTACTGCTGCAACAGCTAAGGATATGCGATTATGCCTGCAAAGCCTCCTGTATTCCCAGTCAATTCACCACAGGCTACAGGCCGAAGGGATGGATGCCAAAAGGCTCAATCATCTTTACTTCAAAAAACAAAGCAAGAGAGGGTGTGCCTGTTTGTCCCATGAAGATAATATTGCTATAGTTATTATGAAGTATTAAAAAATAAGAAACTGGAACAAATGCTCTTAAAATGCATGGCTGTTTCACAGTACATTGCCAATATAATCTGAAAGCTTCTAATGTCTTGCTTGATTGGGCATGAATCTGTGTTATTCTACAATCCCTTGGGTAGGGTGGGAAACGGAACCATTTCTTAGGGGGGAGAAGCCAAACTTTAAATCCAAATGATTTAGATCAAAATTCAGAGAAATTGTGCAACTAGCTTCTCATATCCAGCAAAGCTTTATATCCAGTCGACAACATGTAGATTTTGGAAAGTTCTTAATTTTGATGGGAGGATACCCCTTTTTTAAACAACATATTTCAAGCTGTACAGAAAGGACTGTCAAAAGCAGTTTGCAGGGCCAAATGTGGAAAAGGTAAATGGTGAAAATAGAGTATCACTATGTTTGAAGAAGGTATTCAGTACAGCAAAAAGAACTCTCTGTGTTGTGGCTTGGGACGGAACATGCATGGCTTTAATGTCACTGGTCCTACTACAACCATAACCCCAGACTTAACAGCATTTCCACCAACCAATCACTATCTATTGATCTAGTTTAGACTCAGTACTGAATTCCGTTTAGTGTTATGTGCACAGACCTCAGGCTTGCCTGTTTCCTCATCCCTCCTTCTGCAGCACAGTTAATTACATTTTATCATTAGTCCAAAAACACCCCCCCCCAATAAAGTGTGGTCAGTCTTAACTACAGTTTACTGAAACACATTAGTCTCAAATTGTGGTTTGTAAAGTACACTTGTTCCTCTAAACTCTAGTTAAGATTAAGTGCAGTTTAGGGTTCCAATACAACACTAAACTGTGACTAGCTGAAAGTGGAAGCAAAAGCTACCAATCCCTTCCTTGCAGCCATGGTGCAAGCCCCAGATTCATGAACAAAACACTACACCACTGTTTAGCGTTATGCTTGGCTAGATGGATCTGGTATAAGAAACCTGTGTTCTTGCAAACTGAAATTAGCAAAGATATGCGCCTGTGTTACAAGAGTTACAGAATAAGCTTTAATGATTCTGTGGAAGCCCTTCTTGTACTTAGAAACTATAGCCTATTTTAGGGACAAGCCACTGGTCCATTTAGCTTAATATTGACTACACTGACTGGTAGCGACTATCCAGAGTACAGACTGGAGTCTGGTCCAACCCCAACCTAGAGATGTCAGAATTAAATCTAGGACATTTTATGTGCAACGGAGCTACATTTCCCTTCACAGTCCTAGAATTTTGTGAGCATCCTGCTAGTATTATACATTCATGCTGAACATTCAAAAACATTGGCATGCCACTCTGAACACTGAGCTGTGATGACGTACTGCTTCTTTCTATACTTCCTTTGACATTTCGTGTTAACCTTGCAGTGCTTCTACAAGTTTCAGATTATATCAGGTCCCAATGGGTTTCTTACCATCTAAATGCCATCTAAAACCTCCTCTTAGTTCAGGGATGCTGATTTGGGAAGCTTGTGCCAATACACAATTGGGGCAGCAGTGCCCACATTTGAAGCATTGAATAGTTTTTAAGTGCCCTGGGCTTGGTTCGAAGCATCTTTTAAAGATTAGGCTCCAGACTTCACTGGCCTCCTGGCTCTAGTTGCTCCGAGATGCTGAGAGAAGCCCCAGGCAGATCACTGCAAACAATTGGACACTGTCTTTACACTTCTGCATTTGACGGAGCATGGTGTTAATAGCCTCCCAGAAGTCTGGATTTAGTGACATTTACCTCTGACCTCTGTGACCTTAATACCTCCGACCTTCATCCCCCACTGGCTCTTTTAGGTATCGACATTTCAACGGACAGCACGTCCCAATAGTAATGAGCAGTAAATAACCCACGTTGTCCAAAGAAAGCACATCGAATCCCGTCGTTAACGGCCTGCAAAGGGTTGGTTAAAAGTTTAAAGATGTAAATCAGTTGCCAAGTTGCCGGTGAGATGGATGGAGAGGAAATATTGCAAATAAAGGTTTTTAATTAAAAACCAAAAAAAAAAGAGGAAGAAAAGACAGACAGTGATTCTCCTGACCTGATCAATTCGCAATCTGACCTCTAGCAACTTGCAAAGAACCTTTTAAAGAACAAAAGTGAATGACAGCATGTGACTATAACCCTGTCACAGCAGGGGCTCCTTGGTTTAGAGGGAAGAAAATTATGTCTCTCTCTTTCTCTGTCTGTCAAGAAATAGTAGATTTCTACTCCAATCTTAGCCACATGACTTGAATGTGGAAGTCTCACATTAATACTGCACACCACATTTGAACAAATTGTTTCTTGCCTTCATGATGCTGTCTGAAATATTTCCTTATTTTTTTTAATTTTTATTTTAAATCATGATTCATGGTTTCCCAAATATTGCCCAACGTGGCTTATTTTCAAACTAAGAACACATGCAAATATCGTCACAGTCCTTCTTGGACTGTAGGCTCACATTGCCAAAGCTGACAGGTCCACAAGTGTCATCTATGAGGGGAGCACACCTGCCTTGAGTGTAGAAGGTCTCAGGCTCAATCCCTGGTGTCCCCAGAGAGGGCTGGATAAAGCTGGTGCCTGAAACCTTGGAGAGCCACTGACAGGTGTAGACAATATTGAGATAGGGTGTGACTACGATGAGGCGACTTCCTAGGTTTCCATGATGGTGGGGCAGGAAGAAGGTAGAGAGGGGATGCTGCAAGGGATGCAGCCGCCATGTTGAGGAGACAGCAGAACGTTTGATTCTCCCATCACCCCACTTCCCTTGAGCTGGAGAGTCTCTGTAGCTTTCCTGCTCAGAAAATGAGAGCGATATCATCTGTGTCAGTTATTCTGAGGCACCATACCTATCTAAATATTTTATATTTTATTTTCTTTATTGGTTTTAGTGAAGTCTCACTGACACAAATATTTGGGGATTTTTCCTTCATTGCCTGGGTAGAAAGTAACCACGTATTGCATGGGATTCAACCAAGCCTTACTCAGAGGAGACCTGTTGAAATCAATGGTCCTGACTCAGGCGTGTTGATAAATTCCAAGGTGGTCTACCCTGAGTCAAAAGCAGCTGCTTACCACCCATTGTTTCTCTCCACAAACGTTCACCACTGAGCAGGCAACCCAGAAAATGGACAGCTCTTTACAAATATCCAGGGGGCATTGCTAATGGAGCAACTCAGGGGGCCCGATCCTTGGTTCCTCTGCACCTGGACCCAGACTTCCTGCCTCTTCCCCTGGCTTTTTAAAAACTTTAATTTAAAATAATATGTTGCTTTCCCTCTGAAATTTGCTTCAATTTGTCTGGAAATAAATTAGTATGTGCAAATGTTATGCAAATATTGGTCACGGGCCTCTGACCTGAATTTTTAAAGGACATAGCAATACCCCTCCACATCTTACTTTTCTTTGAGGAAGCTCAGAACAGCATACATGGATAACCCTGGCAGTCTCTTATCCAGGCATTGACCAGACTAGGACACACTTCTGTTTCTCAATGTACCCAAATCAGCTACCCTAAGGCCATTATATATCTGTTATTCTACTCATGGGTATCCCCCATGGACTAGGAATGCACACATATTCCAAAACCATCACCTCTGGATGATAGTGACTTTCACTCTCATGTCCTGCATCAAGCATCTGATGTGCTGACAGAATGAATGCAGACATATTTAAAACAAATCCTGCTTGCTTTCTGTAAGTATAGCTGTAACAGCCTGTCAACACAGATGGCTAATCCTCCCAAAATGACCAGCTTTTAGATATATAATGCTCTTAGATCTATCATAGAAAGCACTATTCCTTATAATGTCCCAGATGGGGAAACTCTGGATTTTTTTTACCCTGAGAATCTTAGCTTTCTCTTTTGAAAAAAAACACAAAAAACACAAGCCACTAGCCCTCATGGTGTCCATTTGCAAACAGCTCCAAAATTCTGACTAAAAACAAGATTGAGCACAGGCTGAAGTCTTTATACCCATGGATATATCTAGTTTCCTTAGACTATTTATTTTTCTTCTCTTCCTTCTAGCATAGATTTGAATAGTTATATTAGCAAGTGTGTGTCTCCCCAATTCCCCAAAGGCTTCACTTTAAAATATGCTTTAACATTTACTTTCCTGCTTCCTCAAATTAAGTCGCAAACTCTCCCACTTCCAGACACAAAAGCAATATAGACACTACTTCTCTGCAAATTCGCTTTCAAACTTGCTATTTCATGCAATGACATACTGCTGTTGAATTTTTCTGTTTGCCATGGGCCTAGCGCAGTATTATTTTTCTAGAAAAAGAGCCGGAACTCACAATGAACACCTCCCACATTCTTTTTGAATGGCAATGGCACCCATCAGAAAGGTGCCTGAACTGAGTTCCTGTGAGTTTCCCCTGAAAAAATAAAAGCCCTGGCCTAACTTACCGTATCGTCTTTCATCCACCAACATTTTCTTCAGTAACTGTTTTCTTCGGGTGTCTTCTGGACTCACAGACAGGAGGTATCTCAGAAGATCACCAAACGTCTGACAACCTTTGCCCCACCAAACAAAGCCAGGATTAGTCCATACAAAATGTATGTACTTTCTGGGCACTGCGGTGCTATTAACATGATGGAACTATAAGCACCACCTTATATTAGAAGCCTACAGACCTCCACACATATCTACATGCTTCCAGCTACTATCCAGAACACACCACAAAATCCATGGCCTACATCCAAGCTCTAAGGTACAACCCCATCTGTACTTCTGGCCCATTCATCAGAGATGGACATCTTATGGGTTTCTCAGACCATAACACCCATCCAGTAAAGTAAAGAAGCAGATTAAGTAGGTCAGATTAGTACCCAGGAATTGCATATTACAGGGCAGAATAGTGACAGAACGCCATTTGTTGTCATGTACAACTCCAATGTATCATTAAGGATCCACAACCATTTTCGGACATTTCCTTCGCACCGGCTTTGAGTGGCAGGAAAGCCCTCCCTTAAACACCCCTAAAACTAAAACTGCTACTCACCAGCAACAACAGGTCACATAGCGGAGACACAAAAACAAGGACCAGGTGCTGCAACAGACAGAAATGCCAAATCTATCTCCATATATCAGAGATAGACAGGGCTTTTTTTCCAGCTCTCAGGAACTCAGTTCCGGCACCTCTCAGGTGGGCACCATTGCCATTCTCAGAGAACGAGGGAGGTGTTCATAGTGAGTTCTGGTACCTCTTTTTCTAGAAAAATAACACTGGGGATAGGGGAATATTTTTTCACCCTAATGGCAGCATTTATTGATGTGTCTTCATGGCCAGTGTGGTGTGGCAGTTGGAGTGCTGGACTAGAACTTGGGAGACCAGGGTTCAAGACCTCACGTGGCGATGAAGTTCACTGGAGCAGTCACCACCACGCTGCGAGGATAACATGGAGAGAAGGGGAATCATGTATGCCACCTTAAGCACCTTGGAGGGAAGGTGGGATATAAACGTAATCATCAGCATCCCCATCTTCTAAGGGGCTGTGGGAAGAGGCTGGTTGGTATTTTCTTGTGAGCGAATGGGAAAAGAGAGAGACTCTCTGCCAATGGGTACTATTTCCTTCCCTAGTAACTGGTGCAGATGACGGAGTGACCTTAGGGCCTATGGGTCTGGTAGATATGCTGTCTACACTAATAATAACAATAATTTATTCTTTATACCCTGCCCATCTGCCTGGGCTTCCCCAGTCACTCTGGGCAGCTTCCAACAAAATATTAAAATATAGTAATGCATCAAACATTAAAAGCTTCCCTAAACAGGGCTGCCTTCAGATGTCTTCTAAAAGTCTGGTAGTTATTGTTCTCTTTGACATCTGGTGGGAGGGCATTCCACAGGGAGGGTGTCACTACCGAGAAGGCCCTCTGCCTGGTTCCCTGTAACTTGGCTTCTCGCAGTGAGAGAACCGCCAGAAGGCCCTCAGAGCTGGACCACTTTAAAGGGCCTATCCACCCTTCCATTTGCCCACAGCTTTCCCCCGGGGAAACCTCCAGTTAAGCGCTGAATGGGATCAAATGGCAACCGGGTATTCCAGGGACTACTGCTTGCTCCGATTTATTGCTAAAGAGAAGGCTTTCCAGGAAAAAGTGACAGGGCAAAAGCAAAACTGCTCAGACCCATGCCTAGAAAGCACAGGAGAAGCAGAAGTGTGGGTGAGCCCTCACTCTAATGCCGTGGTTCCCAATGTGGGGCACACACCCCATAGGGGGGCAATTCGATTTTTAATGGGGGGGGAATTTGGAAGCTTGTTTACACCAAGTAATGGCCTTTTAGGCTTCCTCCACATGAATAGGAGTTCACTTTTTTTTTTTTAATAATAAGAATTATATGTCACGGGGGTGGGGCATCAGGATTTTAGAGGTGCTTAGGTGGGGCACGGCCAAAAAAAAGGTTGGGAACCACTGCTCTAATGGTATATCCCAAAGACTCCTGAGAACCCTAGTTTGATAAGCTGCTAGCTGCTTCTTCATACTGCTACAGTTCCCAGAATTATCTGGGGTGAGAGATTTACAGTCAAACCATTTTAAGTCACGGGATATGTTGAGCGAAAACAGGAGGAAAAACAGCATTTCTCCCCCCCAATCATGCATTATTTCTCATTTAAACAAAACAAAAGCCATCCACATAGTCACATGTGGAAAACAGGAGCTATGAAGCATAACTGATGTGTACAAACCACTCTGAAGTGGTAGAAGTGTGCATTTCTGCCAAATGCTATTTTTGTTCCCCTGGCCTTCCATGGCACAGGACACGCAAAACAGACTCCTTCCATTAAGCAGGAATTCTCACCATTGTCTGCAAAGCTCCCCTGATGCTCAGTGGCACTGCATGGCATCCCAGGGTATAGATTTTTAATTGCTTGTCAGCATGTATTTACTGAGCGGCGGAAACATCTCAACAACCAATAGCTGGAGAAACCTGGATGAAAATAAGTTTGCATTAATTGCAAACGAAAAGACCCCCCCCAAGAGACTTTTCGTATATTTCAATGAGTTATTTGATACAGCAGCCATCAAATAACTGACCTGGATATTGAAGATAGATTGCAAAGGATGAAATTTGATGACAGAGAAGCAGGGAGTGAAACATATTCTTAGAATGTGTATCTGGTCTGAATTAGGGTTCATTGTTATTTTTTACCAGTAAGTAATTTAGGGTAGTTTGCCTTCTATAAGCTTTTCCCCCATGTTTAGGTCATGTATCTCCATGTTATGACTTCTTACAGATATCATAGTGTATAGTGAGTGACCAGCATGTTGATTCAATCACTGACAAACCACATCGTCCAGCTGGAAGAAGGGAGTAAATCCTTGTTTCGCTTCCTCCTAGCTGGGTGGATAAGTGGAATCCCCATGGGAATTAGGGGGAGCTTTGTGCTTGTAAAGTAATGGTAGGTCAAAACCCTTGCAAGGGTTAATGAGGACATCCTGCTTCAAGAACTGTCTGTCTAACAGTAGCGACAAATGTTTGGAAGTCCCCTTGTTGGCGTTATAGCTGAAGAATGGTTAAGTATCTAAAGCTGTATCACCGTTCCCCAATCTGGTGCCCTCCAGACTTTGCTTGCAGTAAACTGAAATATGCATTAATCTGGTTTATGGGTGTACGTAGCTGCCAGTTTCAGTTTCTCTCTGTTTCTCATTTATTCCTTTGCTACATTTTTGCATCAAGTTTGTGATTTTAAAAAAGACCTAGTGAAAATTTATCAGTGTTTTAGTGCAGCATTCTCCTAGATGCATTTTTTGTATCCAGTCTTGCCAAATATTTTGCAAACAATTTTTGCATTTTGAACTGCATTTTGTCCCTAACATATGCATTCCTATACACGTCTTTTGGTTGAAGAACCTCATTGCAAAATTTGGAAAGGTGTGGACCTCGAAGGATAGCTGTGTTTCAGTTTGCATACTGGAAGTTGAATGCACTAGATTTGTATTAAATTGAAGGCCCAGCCAAATTTCTCCCCCTTCTGTAATCTGGTCTGCAACGGCCATGCAGCTAATGAGACTTTATATCTACTCTCCATCTGAAAGTTCTCTGTTCTACTACAGTTGCCAAATTCAAAAGCTGTGCACATGCAATGTGAAATGTAGCAACCATTACTGTCCACTCTTATCATCTTCATGTCTTGGATGGATACAACAAGAATGTCCTGGAATTTAATCTCTTCTGGGAGAAGGAAATTTGGAAGGAAAAAAGTCTCATTGGTGATGGTGGCAAAGCAACACTTATGACCCAAGCAATGTTCCAAATCATGAGATTAAGCAATTGTCCAAAAAGTACACACTGCATATTTAGCGAGGAAGAACAGCATACAAAAACAAAGGACAAACATTCATGCAATAAAGAATGTTAGAGCAGATTCTGGCTTTCAAAGCGTGCGCGCACACGCACACACACACACAGACACACACACACTTCTAGGAGAGCCTCCCAGGTGTTAAAAAGTAGAATTAAGACACTAGTTTTACATGAACATGACATGGCCAGAACATATAGTCACGTCCCTTCAATCCCCAGCTGCTGGGAACAGCTGCGCTTCCAAAGGGAATGAGGGATGTACAAAAATATCAACAAATTTCGTACGTGTACAAATAGTCAAAATTCAGATGCAAAACCCTTTCTAATCCAAGGTTGGCCCAACCAAACAACTCAAGAGGTCAGCTGGAGTTGCTGCACTTTAAAGCAGGGTGAGCCTGCGACCCTCCAGATATTGTTGGACTACAACTCCCATCATTCTTCACTATTGGCAATGCTGACTGTGGTTGATGAGGTTTGGAATCCAACATCACGCGGGGCTGCATGTTCCCCACACCTGATTTAAGGGCATTGCCAGCATGGTGTAGTGGTTAAGAGCGGTGGACTCGTAATCTGGTGAACCAGGTTCGATTCCCCGCTCCTCCACATGCAGCTGCTGGGTGACCTTGGGCTAGTCACACTTCTCTGAAGTCTCTCAGCTCCACTCACCTCACAGAGTGTTTGTTGTGGGGGAGGAAGGGAAAGGAGAATGTTAGCCGCTTTGAGACTCCTTAGGGTAGTGATAAAGCGGGATATCAAATCCAAACTCTTCTTCTTCTTCTCCTCAATATAGAGGAAATGGTAATGTTTAAAGAGGTCTTCAGTGTTTGAGGCCTAAGGTTTACAGGTTCAAATAAAAAACTATATAATACATTTTTCATTTATGGCATTGTAATGATGCTCCATTTGTAAAGTTTCCTGTTTAACCTCAAACCACACCAACAAGATGTCAACAAACTTGTCTTCTCCTGTGTTTTGGATCAGTTGTCAAAATAATTTGCACATTAGCCAGCTTATTCTAAGCACAGTCCAAGAAAAATCAGAGGCCAGCTTAATGTTTTCCTTGTGTAGCTATATCAAGGGTAATATAAGATTAAATTTGGATCCCGGAAGAAGATAAATGAATATTGCATTCCTTGACCATTACACAAAGTCTCTCAAGTCCAATGCAATGGGAGGGCCCAAAATGTATGCAAGTACATGAAAAATACACACACAAAGGCATGTGCATCCCATATTTTCCTTCTGCCGACTCCTTCCGTTGGAGTTTGGCTTTGCCAAAGGAAGGGGATCTTGCAGAATGAAGAGAAGAGATAGTAGACCTGTAAATACAACCCTCTGCATTTCTCAAAATAAGAATTTAATATTCAAGGCTGAATCTTGAGCAAGGATGATATATGGTTCTCTCCCCCCCAGCAAATTATATATGTATATATTATCCTGATTTGACAGCAGATGTGTAGTGTAGTGTTTGCAGATAATGAACAAACTCATTCACTTCCTAAATACAGTGGTACCTCGGGTTACATACGCTTCAGGTTACATACGCTTCAGGTTACAGACTCCGCTAACCCAGAAATAGTACCTCGGGTTAAGAACTTTGCTTCAGGATGAGAGCAGAAATCGTGCTCCGGCAGCGCAGTGGCAGCAGGAGGCCCCATTAGCTAAAGTGGTGCTTCAGGTTAAGTACAGTTTCAGGTTAAGAACGGATCTTCGGAATGAATTAAGTACTTAACCCGAGGTACCACTGTAGTTGGAATGGCAGAATTCATTCCACTGACTCTTCCTTGGAAATATGGACATATAGTTAAACTTCAATGACTTAATGGGGAGTCAACATTGTTAGGGTACTTCCCAATGAGCTAGAATCAGTAACTTTGGGAATGGGTACTTCCAAAGTAAGCTGGTTATTTGAAAAAACCTGAAAAGTGGATCTGCCCACAACAACAACAACAACAACAACAACAACAACAACAACAACAACAACATAACACCCCCCTTGGGGAAGAGCGAATAAAGGCAATAGTTGTGAGAAAAATCCCAGTATGTCAACTGGAAATGATGCATAACATTTTCTGCTAAGAAATCATGATCTTTTAGTATAGTCTGTTTCTGGGTAGAATACAATGCCTTGAACTTCATTTGCTGTAAGTGGGGCAGCCTGCTAGGACTACCTGCATCTAGTTTCACTGAAGACCACTGGCATCTGTTACCAGATCCCTTTTCTCTAATATAAGGGCTTTTTTTCTTTATAGGAGATGGATGGGTTTCCGCTGGTAGGGTGCAAAAAGAATCAAAGAGGCCTGCTTGCAACAATTAGAGAAGGGGTGGTCTCGTGGCTGAGCACACCAATATCATGTTTGGTACATCTTATGCCAGCAAAGCGTGTTAGACCACACTTGGGATGTAAGAACTCTACTGCCTCTTCAGACAGACTGTGCTGTGGGCCTGAAGGATGGTGAAGTGAGCATCTAGGCTTGTTGAATGCAATATTCACTGGGCAACAATGAATGATGGGAAAATGTAGGTCAGAAGCTATTAACTAAGGTTTGATTTCCCCACGTCAGTTTTGTTCTTTTAGATCTATCTTATCCTGCAAACTAATGGCCTCATTTTTCATCATCCCCATCTATAAAATTGCATTCAAAACTAATTTATTTGCTGCATTTCAGTTCAGCTGTCAAAATGCCTTTACGTATACTTTGTTATCTAATTGATGTGCCCTCCACCGTACTTAAATCTCTGAATACATAAAGCTACTACGTTCTAATCTCCTTTGTGCATCTGATGAATCTGTTGGGCATGAAAGTTTATGAAATAACAAATAAGTTAAGTCCAAACTTCCAGTTATAGAGAAATACTTTAGGGCTGGCAATCACCATCTCCCCACTGAATCTTCTAAGTGGTGCATGGTTGAAAAGACATGTAGCGGGACATCACCAGTTTGCATTTCCCCACCCACTTCAAGCAGGAAGCAGTGAAATGGTGTTTGGAAGTAGAAATTTCAACTACATGTTACCAGAGAGTTGAAAAATGATGCATGGCTCAGTAGCACCCATGCATCTCCCTGTAATGAATTGAATGGAAGTAAGTTGCGTTGCGACTTACATCTAAGTAAACATGTTAACAAGCTATAAACCACTTAAATGAGAGTTGATGGTACAAATTAACAGAGCAGTTTGACTGAACACCTATCAGCGGAAACAATCTGTCGCTGTATAAAGTGCCAGAGGTCTCGAACCAGATGTTCAGACTCCGCTCACTATGCCAGAAAGGGGAAATCACTGGTGCCTTAAGCTAGCTATCCACTGCTGCCAATATGGGACAGGAGGAGGTACTGCAGCTCATTCAGAAGTTTGTCATGGGGCTCAAGGGGGCTTATAAAAAAAGATAAAGGACCCCTGACAGTTAAGTCCAGTCTCAGACGACTCTGGGGTTGCGGCGCTCATCTCGCTTTACTGGCTGATGGAGCTGGCGTTTGTCTGCAGACAGTTTTTCCAGGTCATGTGGCCAGCATGACTAAGCTGCTTCTGGCGAACCAGAGCATTGCATGGAAATGCCGTTTACTTTCCCGCCGGAGCGGTACCTATTATCTAGTTACACTTGATGTGCTTTCAAACTGCTAGGTGGGCAGGAGCTGGGACTGAACAATGGGAGCTCACCCCGTCGCGGGATTCCAACCACCGACCTTTTGATCGGCAAGCCCTAGGCTCAGTGGTTTAGACCACAGCGCCACCTGCATCCCAAAGGGGCCTTATAGCTGGTCCATATAGCCCAGGCATAGACAAACTCAGCCCCCAGGTGTTTTGAGACTACAACTCCCATCATCCCTGACCACTGGTCCTGTTGGCTAGGAATGATGGGAGTTGTGGTCCCAAAACATCTGGAGGGCCGAGTTTGCCTATGCTTGATATAGCCAAATCCAAAGCAAGTCCTGCCGAGTTCATGTTACTCCCCAAAGTATGTGAGTGCAGGACCACAGACTTAGGTGCAGAATGGGGAACATCCAGAAATGTTAAACTTGTGAGCAGTTTCTTTATGCATACAGTGTCCAGTCATTGCTGTAGAGGTGCAACCACTTCCAAGGAGTCAAGCTGACTGGCTGTGTTGCTGGTGAGCAGTGTGGGGCTATGCTTGCATACCTGGCTGCTGCGTAGATAGCCCTCCTCACTCCTGGACAAATGTCCCATCTATCCAATGGAAGGCCATCCTTGGGGGTGAGAAGCAAAGAGGAACAAGCGCAGCAGGCACCCTAACAGTATGGAATGAAAGTGAGCTGCTTCCGTACATTGGAGGCCTAGCTCACCCTGCCCTAATCTGTTACAATTAACCTAGTTTGGCCTAGCTTTGGCGGCCTGACAGAGACAATCATGGATCTCATGGCCTTTATCTAATAGCTCTGACAACACTGTTCTGTTCTGGCAATACGAAAAGCAATTCCCTCCACCCATTTATTCATGATGGACAAGAAGAAGACTCTCAGCTCAGCCCCTGCAGTCGCCTGTAGGTCTGTCCTTGTAACACTAAAGCACACCCGGCAGATTTTAATTTTTTATTATATTTTTATTAAGCACCCTTGACCTTTGTGATGAATCTGCCTCCAAGCTTCAAGGAGTAGAGCAGCTGGTGAGTGTTTAGTGACCTTCTCCGTCAGCCATTCTATCTTTTGGGGCTTCAAATTGATTTTCTGTGTCTTGGCATGCAGCTGAGTATTCAAAGTGTCCCCTGCGGGCTGAGAGCACACACAGAGAAGAGGCATAAACCGCATGGAGCCGTAGCAACACCACGGCCAGCAGTTTCTAAGAGAGAGCTGAACGAGTGGATCTCAGAGAGCCCTGCACCACCATCCTCAGCACAAGAGGAAAGATGCCTTTCTAGGTGCTGTTTCTGTCATCACCAGTCAGCCATACACCATCCTTTTCATCAGCATCATCCCACAATATTATCTACACTAGTGGCCAAACTGTGGAAACCTTTTGGGGAAAGTGTATTTCCGAGGTTTGATGGCTCATACCACCACTTATTTTTGTAGTACAGTGGTACCTTGGGTTAAGTACTTAATTTGTTCTGGAGGTCTGTACGTAACCTGAAACTGTTCTTAACCTGAAGCACCACTTTAGCTAATGGGGCCTCCCGCTGCCGCTGCGCTGCCGGAGCACGATTTCTGTTCTCACCCTGAAGCAAAGTTCTTAACCCGAGGTACTATTTCTGGGTTAGCGGAGTCTGTAACCTGAAGTGTATGTAACCTGAAGTGTATGTAACCCGATGTACCACTGTAGTGCCATAAAATTATATATCAGTGGAAAGATAATTTAATGAAGAATGCAATGCAACAAAGTTAGTTCAATTATCTGGATTCTATCAAAAGTTATAGCCAAATAACCAGAAAAAGATTGAGATGCAGTAGCTTTCCTTCATCTGAATGTAGCCAATGAGCATGAGTGTTCAGAGTGTTCCTTCAGACAGTGACCTCTGGGTGGTTTAAACAAGATTTATCCTCCTGGAAGCTCACAGCCACCCAGGATACTTCCTTTAGGCTGTGAGAAGGTGAGTTTACACAGGCAAGTGGAAATTTGAATCTAGATCTCCCTGCTCTGAATCAGCTCTCTATCCAATAAAGCACACACTGCAACCAGATTGGTTGTCCCCCTTTCCATTTCGGCATGCAAGGCAGCTTCCTTCATGCAACATACGCATAAAACTCAACCCCAATGGAGGAATTCTTATTTATTCAACGGGATTGCAATGACAGTATTACCTTTTGCCTTGCTCTGCTTTAACTTCAGCAGCTAGCTTGATTCTGATGGTTTGCTGCAGAAACCCTGTCCCTAACTGACTTTGCCTGATGTTACTGTTTCTGAAAACTGTCACAAAGCAGCCAGGAGCAAATACTACATGCAACATGACATCAACTGAAGCCAAATGCTGCCCCTGAAATATAGAAGCGCTTTCCATGAGCACCAGAGGGTAAAATATGTTAGTGCTTTCATTTAAATTGCATTAGTTGCACTATCCATCCTTTTATATGGCAGAAGACAGCAGCAGAGATTTGTCAGAGCATGTTCTGGGGTGGGTGGGTGGGAAAGCAATAGAAGATAAACCCCCATGTATCTCAAATGTTCCTAGAAGAGGCTGTATCAGGGATTGCAAAGCTGCTGGCCTTTATGATAATAAGGGTTTTTGTCTGCCCTGGGGCCTCACAGTACACTGCTATGAGAATGAGAACAAGGACTTGGTAGGATGTCCAACTTGCAGATCTCTTTACCCATAAAGCTCACAGGGTTACCTTGAGTCAATTACTGTCTCACAGCCTAACACAGCCCTAGCTCAGTCACAGAGCACGTGCCTTGCATGCAAAACACCCCAGATTCAATCTCTGGTAAGGCTGGGAAATCTCTTTCCTGAAACCCACAAAAGCTTCTACAAGTCAGTGTAGTAGGCAACACCAACCTAGATGGTCTGGCTCAATATGAGGCAGCTTCCTGTCACAGATAGGACGAAGAAGGCTCAGATCATTCCCTTTAAATGTACAGTGCAACAAAATGAGGGCAGAAGTCATCTTCAGCTTGAAAGAGGGTTCCCTGGGATTGAGTCTTGACATGCATTTCAAAGACTCAAATGTGGATTACCTACTCAAAGCACCAATGAAGGCGGGAACTAAATATGTGCTGTGTCTTGTGTGAACGCCAAGACGCATCTGGACAGACAAGACTTGAGGCCAACACCTCTTAAAAATAATGCCCGTTAACCATCATCTGCAGCAACTTCCAACACTACCACCTTTCAAGCTGCATAGAATCAGCTGTGCTGTAATGTCCTCATTTGCCTGTCTCATGAGGTCTGGGCTGCAGAAGCAAGCAAGCAAAAGCAAGAAACATGGAGCAAAAGCACGCAATGCAGTTCTTGCACGAAGTACAAGGGTGGGGAGAGGGACAAAGCCGCACACACGCCCTCAGCCCATTTACCTTGCAAACCACAGGGATTCACTGATCTGTGTGGCAGCTGAAAGACAATTCCTGTGTACATCAGGAAACCTAATGCCCGGCTTGGCATGCTTCTGAACACAGAGGGAGGAACTTGTTTGACCATCTGAATTATGGGGTTGAAATGGAAGAGGAAGAGGAGCTACACAGCAGGGCTGTAGTATCATTTCTTTTGGGTGACTGCAATTTTCAGAAGGAGCCAGCCAAGCACTTCCTTCTTTTGTGGCAAGTGAGTGGACTGGCTAAAAGTTTTCTGGACTATTTCTATTTGAATACTTTTGAGGCTACAACTGGATGCACACCTACTTGTGAACAAGCCCCATGGTGACTTCTGTGTAAAAGTGCATAGGTCATAGTATTCAATTGGCCATTATACCCTTACTGGTTAAAATGTCTTAATTTTATTCCCAACACAAGGCCATCTATTTGCAGAAATTAAATATATATATATATATCCTTCCAGCACCACTGAGGAACACTCTTGACTGGAGTCTAGGCATGCACTGGTTTGGAGCAGTAGTGCAACCAGGGCATTTTTTTTCCAGGCAGAACTCAGTTCTGGCACCTCTCAGGTGGGCACCATTGCCATTATAAGAGAACAGAGGTGGCGTTCATGGTGAGTTTCGGCACCTCTTTTTCTAGAAAAATAGCACTGAGTGCAACTGATAACTGGAGTGACCCAGCCTCTTACTGTTTCCCATGTGAAACCTTCTGATAATGACTTTGAACCAGAATCATCTGCCAAAGGGACTATATCACCTCAGAGCCCTTTGGATGTAGAGACTGTGAGGGAAATGACCAAAAACATCTCTGAGAAGTTACCAGACTCCCAACATGGAAGAAGGTGCTCAGTCTTTTCAGGCGAGTAGTCTGAGGGCTCATTCACACTTCTGCTTGTACTGTGCTTGCTCCTTTCCCAGGGAAATTTTGTTCTGCTTTAGTACTAAAGAGCAGATGTCAAATTGGAGAAAACCCGAATGGCTGTTTGCTCTGACTGAGTGCTAAAGAGCAGTTTTCCCTGGGGGAAAGCAACGAAACAAGAGGAAGTGTGGATAAGCCTGAATCTGCCCAGTACACCATCCAAGGTTGTTTGCTCTGCTAGGGGAAGGCAGAATGCACAGTGTGAGTCAACCAGACGCAGCTTCTTCAAATTCCCTGCCCCTTCACTCTGGCAGTCATCAAGTCCAGAAGGATACTTTTGATCTGGGCATCTGGGCAGATCATAGTCTCTGGGAACTGTCCAAGGTCCTGCACAGCTTTGATCCACTTGCTTGGCCCTGTTTCCTGCTGATGAACAACTTTGCTCAAGTTCAATTCTTTGCTGGAGTGCAGCCAGGCCAGAACAGGATAACAACAAAAATACAACAACACCAAGCAATCTATTGGTTACTTGAGAAGCTTATGTGTGATCTAAGAGTGGCAACCCAGCACCCTCTGCAACATACCAAGGGATCCTGAAAGACACCAATGCACCACACAAGACAGATGTATTGGGGGCAGCAACAGGTGCTGGGCTGACAATATATTTCTGCAAATCTGTAATATTAGTGTTGACTAATATTTGGAATTCTTGTTGAGTAGCGCTGCAGGCAGGATTTAATTTTAGCTGCTGCTCACCAGGCTGAGCAGAAAAGCTTGCCTTTGTTGCCAAGGCTCAGTTCTAGTATATGTGGAATCATAATAAAGAAGAGGTAGGGGGCCTATTAAGAGCAGAGTTCATGTTTCACATACTGAATGTCCTAGGTTCAATCCCTGGCATGTCCTGTTTCAAGAATTATCCCTTGGAGAGACACTACCAGCTTCAAGGCAGAGAGCCTCTAACTCGCTTCGGTCTTTTCCACATATCTAGGGTTGTGAATCATAGCTCTCATGCCCCTCCATAGTACAACAAAGATAAAAAAGACACACTTTGAGATGCCTTGCTCATTCACCAAACAGAGAAATCAAACCCAGCCATACACAGCATTCTAGATTAGCATTGTACATCCTTGTTGCATTGAAACCTAGACACACACACAAAAGGTAAGTGTCCCATTCTAGCCTTGTTGCACTGACTTCTTTACAACAGGAGCAATATTTGCTGGTTTCATACCCTAATTTTGCTGCTGTGACCCAGTTCACATGCAGTTCTGTGCTGTGGTTGATTTGCTCCCTCCCCTCCCCCCAGCAGAGTGAACCACTAAACAGATTTGGTTGTTGCTGATAACTGGCGAGGCGCATCCAACAGCAAACCAATTGGGTAAAGAGCATGTCAACAAGAATAGCAATCAAAGTGCAGTTAAGGGTTTTGTAGGTTAGAGGGCAAAATAAATTCAAGTCGAGTAGCTACTGTACATAGTAGCCCTCTGTGAGTGACAGGAATGGAACAGAATTCCCTAGGAAACAACTACAGGGAGGAGTTTTCTCTGTGTATGCTCTGATTAATCTCATCTGTTTGTTTTCCTGGAAACTGGATGTCCCAGATGCCATTGTCTCTATTATGAAAGTTTATCTGGTCTGATTTGATCCTCTACAATTTGCTTCCCCTAACCATTATTTTCCTAATGATCTTTTTAAACCATTAAGCTACGTATATAATACCAATTTCTTTTTTTTTGGGGGGGGGGGACGGGGACTGTGTGACCTGTAGTGAAATTCAGAATGCTCCTTGTAAAGGTCCCTGAAATATTAATAGTTGCCTTTTACACTGTTTTCTCAAAATGCTAGCAGCAACGACCCAGGCAAATTACTATTTCTAGACATACATGTGCTCATGCTCGCACTCAGCCACTGCATGTTACAGCAATTATTGAAATGCCCCCCTTGAAACCATATCATCATCATCATTTTATGCATTTTAAAGGCAAATTATGCATGCACTATATGAATTTTCCTAACGTGTGACACCGTACTTCACTAAATCCATTTCACTTTGGAACATATTTTACAGATTATACATTGCTACCCAAAAACCTCAATAAGGATAATCAGCATTCAGAAGGCAATTCATCATGACATTTACAAGCTAACTCAACAAGCATTGTTTATGAGCTACGCTGCCATATATATCTATCTATATATATATATATATGGAAAATAGCATTTATATTCTCTCTCCCTCCCACACACACACACACACACACACATTCACACACACACACACACACACACACACACACACAATGATGATCCTTTAAGTATATTCCAAATAAAGCAGAGTTAAAGAAAATTAACATCCTGACTGTGGACAGAAATGGGGCACATTTTCACATCCCTACAGAAATTATGCATTGTGAAAAGGTTCTCAGCAAGTGAAAGAGTGTGTAGGCTAGCTACCGGTTCATCTACAGAGTGTTCTGCACATCTGCCTGAATCTAGTCCAGGGAAAAAGACTCCCAATCCCAAAAAGCAACTCAGCAAATGGAAGTAGGGAAGGAAAACAATGCTCGTCTCAGCTTTTCCCAGCACTTTAAAAAGAGAAGGTGCCCCCCCAAAAGGGCATTCTTGTTCCAAGCCTCTCAGATTAGGTATGTGACTGTTAAGCAGGTTTATTCATTTATTACACATACATATGTACACACACAGGTACGAAGGAGAAGTAACAAAGGGACGTCTTTTTCCCATTCCTTTTAAAAAGACAACACAGAGACACAACACAGAGACACCACCACAACATCACAACTGTGAGTACTCACAGCTCTGAGTACAGGAAGTGCAGATTCCCCACATTGTCTATGTAGTTTGCAGGACTTAGCCATGGTAGAACCAACAACAGCAGAGCCTTCATTTTCCAAGCGCAAGATTTAAAACTGCTGCCCCTTTCTCTCTCTCTCTCTGTCTCTGCCTCTTGATTTCTCTGTGATGGGACACAGAACTTCAAGCTTTTTTTATGCCAGCCAATTCCAGCCTCCCCCCCCCCTTTGTTTTTTTAAACAAGCCTTTCAATTTCAACACAATCGAGAGCACATTATGAACTAATGCAAATCCCTTAAATGAAGCTATGCTGGAGAAAAAATCATTGACCTGTAAGAGGATTACTTGATCTGATTCTCAGATGGAGGTTAGATGTGAGGGTTTAAGGGAGAGCAGAGCATGGTTGGTGCGAGGCGAGGCAGTGACTTATTGCTGCAAAAAAAGCAGGCTGATGCACAGGGAAAAGACCTGCCCCCTGCCCTCTTCAGAGTGGTTCCTCAGAAGCAGCTGGTACATTTACATCACTGGTCGGAGAGGCAGATGGGTTATGAGCTCAGCTGCATAACAAAAAGAGGGCAGGAAGGAACCTGAACATGGCAAAATGGGAAGCCACACAGGCAGGTCAGAAGCAGGAGACGTATACTGCAAACATGGACTGTCCTTTCAACGCTCCATCATGACGCTGTCTGATCTGATTCAGCCAGATGGAGGGAGCGGGGAGCTATAAAACAGGAAGGCTTCTGATTATCCAATCCAGATTTGATTTTGGCAAACTGTGCAGGCAGGGGAGCAAGTATTGCAAGTGGATTTAAAATGAAAACAAATGCAATTAGGTTTACACCCTTTCCAACACTTGGACTTGGTATCCCATTAAATAAGCAGGCTGCTTCGTTAATGACAATGTCTTGATGGGCAGCGCTCAAGTGCACAGCATGTAATCAAGTGATGCGTTCTGCTCATCACTCTGGGGTAGGTAAAAGGAAACATACTGGCAGCTATGGATTTCCCTTCCACGTCCTTCTTTCTGAGATACAGTGGTACCTTGGTTGTCAAACTTAATCCATTCTGGGAGTCTGCTTGGCTCCTGGAACCATTTGAAAACCAAGGCGCAGCTTCTGATTGGCTGCAGGAGCTTCCTGTACTGAATTGGAAGCCGCGTTGGAGGTTCGGCTTCCAAAAAATGTTCACAAACCCGAACACTTACTTCTGGGTTTGTGGCGTTCAGGAGCCGATTTGTTTGGGAGCCAAGGCATTCAACAACCAAGGTACCACAGTATGTGGCTAGTTCATAAAATGTTGCCTCCAAAACAGCTCCGTGTGGATCGCCAGCCCTGAACAGTCTATTATTCATCCTACTTGTAAAATTCAGCTTCTATTACTACGTAGCATAGGTCCTGGGAGATCTTGCCAATAATAGCTTCTTATAGTCCCTACTGACCAGTATACTGAGGTATCTCAAGGCTAAATGCATGTTTTCCTAGAATGCTCCTAGACTCTGTCCAGGAAGCTGGCCATACAGATTACCCAGCTAGCTGACATCATCATACAAGTCAACCATGTAGAATAGTTGGGGTGAGAACAGTGCAGGTAATTAAAACATCCCAGGAAATGGTTTAATGGCATTTGCTAAGGCTAAACTGGTCCCAGTATGGGCCAGCACTTAGACTGGAAACCTATATAAACGGTGGGGCAAGATATAATTAATTTCTGGGTGATGGTTACTGCAATGTTAATTTTTTAGCTGCTCTTCAACCCAGGCTCTTGGAGCAGGTTACATATTAAAACCATAAAGACAGTGGAATGATATGCTATAAAAAACCCATTACCAAACGCAGCAGAGTACATCAACCCAAATGAAACCTGAATTGCAGGTGAGTGTCACCCCCACAAAAGCCCCTACAATCTCACTGTCAAAGCTGAATTCAAGAAAAACCCAAGAGAACATAGCTAGTACCACATTGCAATAAAACAACAGGTTTTGGCTTGCAAGGGGTTGGGTCAAATGCCTCAGGAAAGGAAAGAGAAGAGGACTATTTAGACCAGGCCACCTGCTTTCTTGGGTCTACTTTCTGACATAGAGCAGAGAAAATGGCATTAGCTACTGAACCAGTTTCACTATGTTACCTGAGGTCAAGTGGTGTCCCTGAAGGTATTTGAGGAAGCCAAAAAGTGGATTCAAGCCCAAAGCAGACAACAAAGCACTACTGCAAAAATAGAACTTGGCCCATTTCAAATTCCTTCAAAGTGCAAAATAAATCTTAAATTTAGCCCGACAGCAATTCAGTCAACTAGGTGGGTAAGGGATCATTTTAAATTTAATGAAGCACAAGGGAGGCAAGCTCAGACAGGTAGAAATTAAGTACAAATTAAGAAACTTGCCCAAGACTACATATTTTCTGAGAATGAAAACAAAGACAGATTTTTCCTCCCTTCGACTCTGGTCCAATCTAGCCAACTAGAGACCACTGCCTCCATGTGAAAACCCCCAAAATCCGCAGCTGGGCAATATCTTTATCTGGGCCAACCAAAATGTCACAAAATAATGGGCTTCAGAGTATTGGTTAGGAATTGGTTAGTATTGGTTAGTTTGTAATATCATATGTTACAGCAAAAGAGAAGGCCTTGGGTTTCCACAGCTGGCTGTATCTTTCCTACAGTTGTTAAAGGCAATTCACACTGGAAAATACACAGTAAATGCAGCCCTCATAACAGGTGGATCAGAATGATCCCATGTTGTAAATCACTGTGCCTCAGCTCCACAGCAGAGATGTTCATCACAACCAGATAGTCCTGATCCACCCAGTGAGTAAAATATTACAGCAGAGAAGGGATTCATACAACCTCAATCCACATGGTGAGTCCTGCCAAAAATGTTATTGTGAAGTGTGGGGAATCTGCCACACTGGGGAGGTCATGTTTTATATTTACAAAAGAAAACAATTCAGAAGAAAGGGAACAAGAATGAGAAATAATATTGGCCTGGCTTTATACTTTGACTACTCTAATTTTTCCAGTACCCAATCCAATAGGTATAAGGTGAACATATTTATGACATTATGAGGATCCAAAACGTAATTGGTTAATGGTTATAGAAACCCCTTCATCTTTTGAAGGCATGATGTTCTTCTGATATCCTAAAAAAAAACCCCAACGTATTTCAGGGTCTGATGGGAAATGTGTAACCTGTTGTTCTGTATAGACCATCCATATTCCATTTTAATATGCCCGAACCCGTATACCTCAAACATATAAAAATCAGCATCCACACACACACTTGTGGCACTTTCACACACTGCTTCAATATCTTAATGAGGCCCTAAGGTGTAAAGTATCACCAATATAAAGCTACAGATTTCAGCTCTTTAAGATTTAACTAAAGTGAAAAAGAATGGGGAGCTTTAAAGATTCATTTTAGGAGAGGTTTTCCTCGTGTTTTGTTTGTGTGCATAACATTCATTCTTCTCATACTGTGACTCAACAAAGTGGAATAAGGCTTTACCAATAGCCCTTGAAGATATGATATATCTCCCTCTGGTGTATCCAACTAGGGCACAGTCTTCCATTAGTAACTGCTACAGCCTCACTAGGGAGACTCACCTCCTACTTTTTACTTTACTAACCTGCAACAGAACCTGTTTGTTTTCTTGTGGGGAAAAAAAGCCATTAGCTGTCACACAAAGGACACTGATGTGATTCCTGTCAGTGAAGGGGGGGGGAGCGGAAATATACAGGAGGACTTACCCATTCTGAAAATGCTGCTCAAGGTTACAGCGTTGCACGACTTCCGAGCAGTGCTCTGTGAAAGGGCAGCTAACCATTAGTTTATCCAAGAGTTTATTGACTAATATGCTTGACTTTCTGCAAGACTGTAGGGTCAGAGTTTTGCGATCCACCGGGCAAAAGTCTTTTTCCACTAGGAAATCCGTAAGGCAAATTGTGCAGTAGGTGTGGCCGCATGGCGTGTCCAGAGGTTGAAGCAGCGGTTGCAAGCAAATGTGGCAGATGAGATCGTCATCCACATCTTCTGTGTAGCTATAGACATGGTTCTCTTCTGGGAAGTGGGGCTGGCCACAGATCAAACATAAGGGTTCTTCTGAGCTTCCTTCCACTCCTTCTGATGGGTCTTTTTGACTCATCTTGGGGTAAACGGCACGAAGGGTAAAGAAAATGTAACTTCTATCTAGATGTTAATCTTAATCCACAAAACTGCCCGCTGTTCCTGTGGGTCTTCAAACCTGCAGGGGAACAGAGCAAAGATCAAATAAATTGTGTTGCAACTTCTGTGGTTGATAATTTTAGGGAACAGGACGCAACAAACAAACCTTATTGTGCAAGCCAGTGATTCAAAGCTTAATAGGAGTTTGTATTAAAGAACAAATAACAGCAGAAATGGGGCTATGCAACTGTCAGTCAAATCCGTAAGTGGTTTTTGTCAGACAGTCATCTTTCGGCTTCTGCGCCCTCGCCTCTCCGCCAATGTGCAATATGTGGAACTATAACATTATTATTCAATGTTTATTTCATTTACATTTTGCCTTTCCACCAAGAAGCTCAAGCTGGTGTCACCATTCTCCCTTTTTTTATCATCACATGTGTGGCAGGTTAGACGGAGAGTGTGTGACTGGCCCAGGGTCACCCAGTAAGCTTTAAGGCCAAGACGGGATTTGAATCTGGGCCTCTTCCATCCCAGTCCTTAATTTTATCCTACACAACACACTGATTCTCATAATACTGACCTACCTTACAGGGTTGTGAGGATTATTGACATAAAGATTACAGAAGAGTTTGAGCACTCAAAAAATAGATGCTCTGTATGATTGTTGTTGGGATGCGGGTGGGGCTGTGGTCTAAACCAGGCGACGGGGTGAGCTCCCGTTGCTCGGTCCCAGCTCCTGCCCACCTAGCAGTTTGAAAGCACGTCAAAGTGCAAGTACATAAATACCTTCCAGTGGGATGGTAAACGGCGTTTCCGTGCACTGCTCTGGTTTGCCAGAGGTGGCTTAGTCATGCTGGCCACATGACCTGGAAGCTGTCTGCGGACAAACGCTGGCTCCCTCGGCCTATAGAGCGAGATGAGCGCCGCAACCCCAGAGTCGTCTGAGACTGGACTTAACTGTCAGGGGTACCTTTACCTTTACCTTTATGATTGCTGTTACCCAACAAGTAGGGAACACAATGGGGCAAGATAAACCTATGTGTTCCATGTTGTTTAACTTGCGGTGTTGTTGTTTTTACTCACATTATTCCTTAGGGTTGCAACCAGCACCTGCGCTTTTTCTTCATGTTTTCTGCAAGCACCACATCTCCATGAAATGGGTGATAAACACCATATATCATACATATATAGGGTGACAACTTCCTCTGGTTTGCTCTTGATCTGCTCTCATGTCTTCACAAAATCCTAGTGGTGTATATCCAAGCTGTGAAACAGCTGTTAAAAACACATGGTTCATGCTTGGGGCGGTGGAAGGCAGGGAAGGACAGATGGATTACTGATCTGCATGGATGACCCCAAGACACTGACATCAGGGTCAATGTCTAAGACTCTGGGTGATATAATGATGACACTTTAAAATCATCCTTATGCCACTTTGCAGCAACTTATTATTTACCTCATCACTTGGCTGCTTAGCCTAAAGAATAATCACTCACAGAATATATTTTTAGAGTTGGTGTGAAGTTAGTACCCAGGGAGTCTCTGGAAAAATCTCGCCATTGTGGCAAAGAGCTGCAAGTCTGAATTTTACTTAATGTACAACAGCCGTGTCAGAAGATCCTGGAAATCACTGCGGCACTGAGTTCAAATCTCACTTTTCGGCTTGTAACTTCAGAGTAGGAGTTCCTGGATATCTCTGCAACCACCGTGAAGTAAACAGGAGGAACTTTGACGCGTGATGTTGTACGCATCCCAATCTCCTTGTTAATACAGATTTTCCTTTCTGGGGGTGGGGGTGGGGACCCTGATTAATATTGTTAAGACTGGTATAGTTGTGAAAACTCCCAAGGTGTCACTGTTTCAAAACAATATGATTTAAGTTTTGGGATATAGTTTGTTTCTGACATGCTGTGTGACGTGTCTTAGAGGTATTGTTGGCATCCATTTTTCTTGACAGGTGGAATGCCGAGGGTGAATAATGATAAAATGAGGAAAGGTATGGACAGTGCTGTGCTACCCCGAATTCTGGTTAAGGGGGAATGAGAAGGAAAATAGCTTGGCAAAAGGCTTCCATGTGGAAGTGCCCTGCACCTCCCAAACTGCAAAAATACATTTCCTTTCTTCCTGCCTCATTCCACACCTAGTTATAATTCAAGGCTGGCTTCCCAGGGGTCCCCACAAAATTCTGCAGCATCTCTCTTATTGAAGGCATAACTCTGCCTGCTGCTTCAGTATGAAATCCATTCCCTGGGGAGACATTATGTTTCTCTAGCATTCAGGATTACATATGAAAAAGAAAAGTACTATAACCGCTATAGCCCTGAAAGATTATACAACAATTTCATTAATGCCGGGGGGGGGGGGGAATCCCTTCTCGATTTACTACTTGTGGCAGGCATCAGATAAAAGCAAAGATGGATTAGGGTCACTATACAATATTTATGTTAGCCACAGCCTATATCCATAATGCAAGTAATGTGCTGTGCCTTATTCTGTCGTCATTCCCTGGAGGTGTCAGGTTTGATTCTGTTTATTTAATCTTGAGGATACCAAAACAAAATAGAAAGGTTGTATAAATGCATGATTAACAACCCGGCATTCAGGTCATTAGCAGGGCAACTCTTAAGCATGTTTACTCAGAAGCAAGACCCACTGAGTTCAATGGCTTGTATCCAATGCTTTTCCTACTTACTGAAGTCCCATTGAAGTTAATGGACATGACTTAGATCCGAGGGAAGGTGCATCCTGTTTCCTCGCTTAAGGCATTCCCCACTGGACCATCCTGCTGATGGGCCCTTACGCACCTTCACTTGCCTCCTCCATCACCACCACCACAAGGGCCACAGTGATTCAGCTTTCCACCCGATGTACTAGCACTGTTCTTCCAGAAGGAGGAAGAGGAGCGGATGATGCATGGTTACAAGGCAAAAGTGTGTCTTTTGGTCCCACAACTGACTCAGGCCACAGCATGGGACCCAAAAAGATGTAAGTCTTTTGGGTCCACACTCTGGCACAGCCAAAGCACAGGAGCCCAAATGGGACATCCAGGATTGGGATCAGAAGTCAGGGTGGCTTCTGTAAATCTGGGGCGTCCCACATAAAATGCGGGAGTTGCATAGTGTGATATAGAGGCCAGCCCAGTGTTAAAGTAGGCCTGAGGCCTACCGTGTGAGATGTGGCTGAAGCTGAAGACCTCATGAGGGAAAGCCAAGAGATCATGGTGGGGTGGAAAGAGTTGAGAGCAAGAAAGGGTTGTGGCCAGTGGAAAGGTGTAGCTACATTTGCTATTTACTTATAAAAGTATTTATATCACCACCCTCTCAGATATCAGGAAGGTGTACATATTTTTTTTAAAATTAAAAACACACACATTAAAAGCAGTACAGTTCAACACAGTTTTCCCCTGTGCACTGTTCTCTGCCAGCATTTTAATTGCAAGGAACCCAGGCAGAGCAAAATGTATGTATCTCCGCCTAGAGCATGTAGGGTGGTGATATATGCAGTGAAATTTCAGCTCCTACCACACCAGCTAACCTCTCCCTTCTCTTGGATCTCTGTGGGAAACAAAAATTAGTGAAGAAGATGCCTGAGGCTGTGTTACTGATCAGGGTGCCACTAGGTGCTTAAAGGATCGGGGCACAAGTCTACACTTCTCCTGCTCACCAGACTACCTCCCTAACAATACACCTCCTGGTTATGTTTCTGCATCAGTTATTAACTGACCAGTCCCTCCCATCTGCTTAAAAATTCCAGTCAGTTGACAGAACTTGTAATGATGCCAACAATACCTTGATGCTTCAAGGGATTCCAACATGCTGTCGAAAAATTAATCAGCTTTCATTACAGGCAGTTAGAGGTTGCTACCATTTTGGAAACGAGTGCGGCTGACACACAAAGAATTTATCGAAAAGTCACCTCAGTGAGTCAGCATCTGGGGTTGTGAACAAGAGCTTCAGATTGTGAAGCTATTGCTCTATCACCTCTCTCTCTGCCTCGCTCTCTCTTGTGCAAGACTCCAGAGCAGTTTATCCAGTTGAAAGCAGGTTTAGCTGGAATATGGTGCTTTCTTTTACAGGTCATGAATACAATTATATCCACAATGATAATAATAAAAAAAGCAGGCCAAGAGAGCAGCATTGCTCCCTTCAGGCCATATTCTGCTGTTGTAATAAAGAAGATCAAAAAGACCCAGTAGAGACACATATAGTCAAGTCAACACAGACACGGGTATGTGTCAGTATGTTAAATCCACAAATTCCAGACTGTAGGCTTTTTACTTCATACTAAGAGTCTGACCTAATGACATCCTACACAGTGCTGGCACAACCCACATCCTAGTATACAGAGCAAGTCCCAGGTAACTTTCTGCACCCTTGGAGACAGATACTGCAGCTCTGAATTACTGCCAGTTCAAGTGAGAAGTTGGCAACTCACTCAAGAAGAAATGATACTCAAGAAGTGAGGAACTGCTAACGGGAACGGTATTTGGTTCCTGGGCACTGCTTGGTTTCCTGCTGTGACTCATAGTGATGCGGGGAGGGAGGGAGACATAGCAAGGTAAGGCAAGACTTTGTTGGATCAGGCTCTTGTGCTGTAATCAAAAGATGACATAGAAAATTCAGTGCCAAAATTTGCTACCTGCTGTTCTCTTGCTCACAGGAAGTAGCTCATTCCTGAAGAACAAGCCCATGGAAGGGCTGATTCACATGAAACATCTTGTGGCTTATATCGTGCCTTGCAGAATGCGATTTGTACCTCGCTGTCTGGCATTCCACAGTGTAATACAGGTGATCAACCCAACATAAGAGCCACTTTAAATATGCTGCTGACATGCCTGGACTGAGTCTTTGGTGACATCCACACCGTATGTTTAAAGCTCACGGATTCTCCCAAAGAATAATGGCAGCTGTGGTGCGTTAAGGGCGCTGCATGTCATGGAAGATCATCTTATATAAGTTGTTGTGGGGATGTTTAATAAGCTTCTTGTTTTATTTGACCCTAAAATGATTTTGTGGTTTTTGCAACTGTAGCATTAGGAACAACTGCTCTATTTATATATGCAGCCTGCATTTTTTTCTAAACTCTAAATACAACCCTGTTTTGTTATGGCACATGGTTAAAAACAAATACATTTTGACTGCCTGACTGTCTTTGCTTTTCTTAAGCATCACGAGACTATTAACCTCAGGGCTGGGGATTCAAGTCCCATTCTGGGGGGGAAAGATTCCTACATTGCAGGGGGTTGGACTAGATGACCCCAGGGGTCCATCCCAACTCTATGATTCTGTTCATCATATTTGTATGTATGATAGTAACCTTAAAGCACTGATATCTCAACTAAAGTACAGCCAAGATGTTCAATGGATGTAAGTATTTCACTTGCAGAGCACATCTGAAATGAGTAAGTAGAACCTTTGATGTCCTAACTTTAAATACTAGAAGTGGCTTTTCGAAGGTAGACACCAAGTCTTGAAATCCAACAGAAAATCCAACTGCTTCTCATACCACCAAAACTATTACAGCAATTGTCTTGTTTTTATGTCACCTACCATTGGCTGACATCTGATGAGTTGTAGCACAAGATTTATTTGCATGGTTCATCTGAAACATGCTTATTATGTGTGCCAATAAAAGAGTGAGACACATAAATAGATTTAAGGAGGCCACAACTTTATTTTAAACGGGCAACTTTTAATAATTAACATCCCCAGACCAGTCATTAAGGAGATCCCTGTGCTCCTGAGGCCCAGCATGGCTGTCCCACCAATTGACCTATCCCCAACTGGGCAAGCCTGCCCAATCCCAGGGTCGGTTGAATGCCAGCTCCAAATGGCAGCCACTTGTACTTTGCCACCCCAGCTTGTCCCTAAGGAGATGTCAATCTGTGCTAAACTCTCCACCTTTCCTTGACAATGATGTTACCTCCCAGGCTCTTTCTCACCTCTAAAGGGCTCCTCCTCAGCCACTGGCCACCTGCCAAGCCGTGACAAAAATTAACAAGTCCAATTAGACCAATTAAAGCTAGAACACATCCCATCCCAACTACAGCGCCCTGGGGAAGACAACAAGCCGGCTCTGCAAAGGCCAATTCTGCAGAACATGCAAAAATCCCCCCCTAACCCTATAAGGTGGATCCAAGACTCTCAGGGCAACTGCCAAAAACTGGGAGAGGAGAGCACTGCCTGCCTCACAAAACTAACCTTGGGCAAAGGGCGAGACTGCCTTAAATATGCTGGTTTCCCCCTTCTTGTACCAAATCTCATAAGGAACAATTGCCCTCACACAGTGGTGGACTTGGGTACTATGGGGCCTTGTGCAAGGCCGAAATCTGGTGCCTCCTTCAGCCCTCATGCTGCGTTCCAAAGCTGGGAAAACACTAACAAAGCTTTAGGAAGGAAATGGGAGGACTCTAGAACCCTGTCAGAACCTCCTGCCTTCTTCCCAAAGCCCAGCGCCTCACTTACTGGGCTTTGAGACGGTGCCCCTTGGCTCACACAGGCCTAAATTTGTCCCTACCTCACAACTCTGGCAATGTGGCCCTCCCTGTGGCTGCTCCTCAAGGCCACCTCAAACTTCTTCCATCCTACAAGCTGTGCCCGCAGAAGCTAAGGCACATCAGGTCCCATGGGATATGCTTCCACAAAAGGACATAAAAGATTTCAGCCTATTATTATTATTTATTAAATTTGTATACCGCCCTTCATCCGCAGATCTCAGTGCAGTTCACAACATAAAAATACAACATAAAAACACAAAATACATGATTTTAAAACCCCAATAACATCCCCATCCCACAAACACACCTTAAAGGGGTATAAGATGTTCATCATCCAAAGGCCTGGTTAAAGAGGAACGTTTCTGCCTGGCACCTAAAGGTGTGTAATGAAGGTGCCAGGCAAACTTCCCAGGGGAGAGCTGCCACAAACATGGAGCCACTACAGACAAAGCCACTTTTCTATAGGAAATGCTTTTAAAACAAATACCAACCATAAGTTAAGTGTGGCATTTTTTAAAAAAATAAATATCTAAAACAGTGCAATTAATTTTGCAACGTTAGTTATCCAATGCTACATTAGAGTCACAAGAAAACGTCTCCAAGGCCAAATTCACATGAAAGACTATCATTACTTATTTTTCAAAACTACTTGTGCTAATTGAAATTGTTTTAGATGCTTTGTTTTATTGCTTGTGTTTACTATCCTCCTTTGGGAGGAAGGGCGAGACATGCATTGAACAAATAAGCAGGGATTTTGTCAGCCAGAACTCACCGTCACTCAGTTTTGGCACCTCTCAGGTGGGCGCCATTGCCATTATAAGAGAACAAGGGAGGCATTCATGAGTTCGGACACCTCTTTCTCTAGAAAAATAGCACTGCTTATCTTCAGCTCTAGCCTTTGATACCAGGGCAGTCAGTGGCCTTACTCAATGTTTTCCCTGGTACCTGAATTATTATCAATGAGAACACCCAGGACTAAACAAGTCCTTTCCAAGTAGGGTGGCGCCTACCTTGTGGAATGCCTGACTCAGCAGACCTAGGAGGCAACTTTTTAGCTTCCTTCACCAGCTGAATAACAACTTCCAAATAACCAAAGGCCCATGCATCTATGAGCTGATTCCCTCACATTTCCAACACGACAAGAATCAAACAGTCATTGATTGTGTGCTTCTTAGGAGAGGATTTTCTAATAGCTGAAGCTATAGATAAACACCACACTTCACTAATACATTTCTATTATCACGACACCTCTAAAGCAGGCTTTCTCAACCTCGGCCCTCCAGATGTTTCGAGACTATAATTCCCATCATCCCTGACCACTGGTCCTGCTAGCTAGGGATCCTGGGAGTTGTAGGCCAAAAACATCTGGAGCACCAAGGTTGAAGAAGCCTGCTCTAAAGGAATGTGTATGCACAAAACTTGGGCAATTGTAGCTCCACCCCCAGTGGATTCTGTTTATTGATTGTCTTTCTTCCAAGCAGCTCAAGGCAGCAGACAAAGTTCTCCCCACCCCCATGTTATCCAACCTATCAGGTAGGTTGGGCTGAGAGGCTTCAAGGTCACCCAGTGAGCTTCATGACTGAGTGGGGATTTGACTCTTGGTCTCCCAGGTCCTAGTCAACACACCACACTGGATCTGAATTTTGATTTGGAAATGTCCATGCAGTTCTAGGAAATAATTGTTTCTTCGACAAAGGTTTCAGTAAAACCATACCATGTGTTTTCGACATTTGTGTATGAGAGAGAAAAGGGGGGAGGGAATATACGCTCCCTAGTTTTTGTTTGCAATCATATGCACACTTCCCTGGGAGTCAACCCCATTGAACACAGCAAGACTTCCTTCCAAAGGATTACAATGTGCCTACATATGAATCTAATACAAAGCAATGCAAGTTTCCACAGACACCTTGTAAACCTTACAACAAACCAGTCTCAGCTGCAACAACTTAACTCTCCATTCTTTCTTTATTAAAAAAAAGAAACCTTGACACATCTAAGCCCTTCAAGTCCATTTTGTGCATTCTAAACACTCAGTCATAGTCACAGACAACAGAGGTACAGGATACTAAAAAAAAATAGACATGCTAAAATGGTTAAAAAAAACAAAAATGGTAAAAAATAAGGTCATGGTAAAAAATATAGCAATGGTAAAATATTTGTATTTCACACAAATCCTCTGCCACAGTTCCCACATGTATATACAATCTAGTCATTAGCACACGATTAGAAACAGCCCCACCCCAATCATTATTAGTAGTAGTGAATTTATTACTTGCCCTTCTCCAGAAGCTCCCAGGGCAGGTTATACAACAATTTAAAATTCAGTATTCAAAGCAGTTAAAACAAATTGCAGCCACAGGAATAGAAACCAGATGCTATTTTCTCATGGAAGCAGGCTCCAGCGTGTATATTCTTAGATGGAGGGCCAAGTCCATGTGCCAACATGTGCTACATGTTCAATCCCCCAGTACAAGCTACACTGAGCCCATGCTCTGCATCTTACAGAGGAGAAGGCTTACCTTGTCTCTAGCTGTATTCCATATAGCGATGTCCTGCGGCAGTTCACACATATTTCAAAAGACCAGTGACTTCAGAGTATTTCACCTTCCAAAAAGAACGCTCTCCTACCTTTCCTACTTCTTGAGTAACCTAATCAACATAAGCTTTGACAGATACTTTCTTGGCTGATTCTGAAGGCAAGAAAAGTCCTGTCCCAAGAGGCTGATCAACAGCAAGACAGACGTGAACTTACTGCTTCACCGGCATGCTTCTCACCTATACATCAGGAGCCAGTCATGTGGTGTAAACCAAGTCAGGTGCCTGATCTCTCCTGAACTACTCCTCAAAGTATGTACTCCTCCTAATTGCCCTCATAAATGCAACGGCACTGCCTGCAATAAATCTTATTATGCAAATGCGTAGGGCTAGAGAGTGCAAATTGCTCGACTGCCACTTAAGTTGTTCCTCTGAATGTTCAGGCAGAGTTTTTCCCCCCAGGCAGTCCGGTCACATCATGAAGATCCAAGGACACAGTTGTCTTGATCTGGAAATATGACTTTTTGGCAGTTAATAAAGATCACTCAGGGTGCACTAGTTGGAATCTGAGAAACCAGGTTCAGATCCTCATTCAGCTGTGAGGCTCACTGGGTGGCCTTGAGCAATTCAATTCCCCCCCCCAAAAAAAATTGACCCTGCAGGATTGCTCTTAAACTAGGGTTACCAGATGTCCCCGTTTCCCGAGGACAGTCCCCGGATTTACGAATAAATCCCTGGACAAATTCCATCCCCGGAATGTCCCCGGATTCCATCTAATGTCCCCAGGAAATGCAGCAGCGGCAGTCTCAGCAGCCTGGAGCAGTCAGCTCTGGCTGGCTTCAGGAGCTGCTCAGAAGTCCCCAGATGATGGTGGTGCAGGGGCTCTAAGATGCAGCTTCCAGGCTCCCTCCACCTTCCCTGACCCCAGCAACTAAGCTGTGAAGGGAGGCTTCACGATGCCTATAGGAAGCAGCCTCCCAACTCCTACTTGCGTGCAAGTAGGAGCGGGGCAGGGATCTCTCAGCTGTGAAGGGAGGCTTCATGCTGCCTATCAGAGCTTGCATGCAAGCAGGAGGGGGCAGGGATTTCTCAGTTAGGCAACCAGAAGCCTCCCTTCCCAGCTGAGGGATCCCCACCCCCTCCTGCTTGCACGCAAGTAGGAATGGGATTGGGGCTGCTCCGGTGCGAGAGCAGGCATTGCGCTGCCTGAGCCTTGCTGCTGCTGCTCTCAGCCATCCTTCTCCGCCTTCCATGCCTGACCCACCTCGCACCGCTTCCCCACCACCACCACCACCGAAGAGCCAACAACTCAGGGGCTGCCCAGGCTCATGGAGAAAGGAGATAGAAGCCTCGGAGGAAGGGGAAATGTGGTGGTTGAGGTCAAGGTGGCAGCCACCCCTCTGACACCGCCATCGCTGCAGCATCAATGTCCCAAACACGTAGTATTCATTTATTTAAAGTGTCCCCGGATTCATTGAAAAAAATCTAGTAACCTTATCTTAAACATACAGCCCAATCTTATGCTTAAATACTGTAGCTGTCTTTGTACCTCCATATAAATAAAGTGTCACTGAATGCATTGGGACACCTTTAATTAAACACAAATAGGCTCAGGCTTCACTGCTGTGATATCACCTACACTTTCCATCAGAGGCAGATTTAGGGCAGTGTGACCAGTTCCATGCACCGGATGCCGAGCCTAGTGGGTGCTGCAAGGAACCACAATGATAATGTAGTGAATTGGGCAGATTGGAAAGTGAGAGTTGGGTGCCAAATTTTGGCCTTGTATGGGGCACCATTGAAATGTGAAAGGCCCTGTTTCCATTGAATTAAGTGGAATTTCTGAATAAGCAAGGATAGGATCAAATTACAAGCTTAAAATGAGGTGTGGATGAGCCCCAAGTATGGAAGAGCCCTAAGACAAGTTATTGGGGACTCCTATTTTGAAGATGGGGAATAAAGTTGGGGAAGGAAGACTCCATTGTCATGGACATACACATAGAGGTAAGCCGGACCTGTCAAAAACCTGATAGATACATTTTTAGACTTATGACTACCAAGGTCAGCAGTGGGAAGATGCCTGTTAACTGAACTCAGAAGATTGGAAAGCCAATTAAGACTAAGACATAATTAGAGAGGTATCTTAATATATAATTGTGGGAACAAAGAAGCCATCGCGTAATTGGAAAAATGAAATCTACAAAGCTTAAAATTAACATTATAGAGTACATTTTATTTAAAGCACTGCCTGTTATGTTTTCTCAGTTCATTGGTTTAACTGCTCTAGACATGTTCTCCTCCAGCCATTTTTACAAAGGGATATTACTGGTCTCTCTGTATCAGATGCGTTTCCTTAATCTACTTTATGGCAGCTAGTTTAATGGGAGATGCCTGATTTTAAAACTAAGCTATCATTACCCTCCTGATATATCTAGTTACTAAGAAAATTAATATTTTACCATACTCCAAAATTCCTTAAAGGTTTAACTAATGACACATCCCAAACTCTTATTCAGTAGGGGTTCTTTTTTTGAACACAGCTGGCCAGCTAATCAGTAGCACTCAGTGCAGTCATGTTGCTTCCCAGGAGGGAATAATCAAACAGAATTGCCATTCATTTCAACATATCCAATAGACCAAAAAGCAGGAAGAAGTACAGGCAAGGGTGCATCTGACAGATACATTTCAGTCAAATTAGGGGATGTGTGTCTAGCTGAGCAATGGAAGCTTTCTCATGATTTTGAAAGCAAAACTTGTTAGGAATATATCTGATGAGCACATGGCAAGGACTGATGCAAGAGTGCGAGGAGGAGGAAGGAAATCAGGAATTTGTAGCCATGCAACACAGCAGGGATATTTAGGGACTCGAAAATCCTTTCTCTGACCACTAGAGGTCCTGCCCATGGCCCCCTGGGAATCAAAGAACTGAGACTGACACTATAACTCCGAGAATCCCCTGGTGGGGTGGGGAGGATTAAAGTGAAAGCCAAGCTCTGTAGGCAACCAAATTCTACGCTAAATTTCCATGCCTCTACAGCAAAGCTTGTTGACAGGCATGAAAAATGGGAACATCCCTTCCTTAAACCAAATTCATTCTGTTCTACAAGCTATTTTTGTTCATTCTAATTGAATCAAGTCCATAAAACAAATAAAGAAAAGAAAACCCAGCGTTTAAAAAAATCCAGCAGTTTGGCTAAGCCAAAAGGCACACGCATGTAAATAAAAATGGAGCCAGCACAGGATTTTCGTCCCATGGGGTGAACTTGGCATTCCTCTACCTCCTCTCTTCGGATGACATAAATACTTGCCTCCTAACGGGGCCATATGTAAAAGATTGTTATGCAAGCTACATCTGCTGAAACCCCCTCTTCTGCCTAAGGACCATCTTCAAATTGTCCCATTTTCTTGATCGTATTGCCTTTTCCTGTGTGCTTCTCATGGCTGTTCAACTTTAAATTGTTTGCATAAATGTGCCATTACGCATTTCTGGTGCCTTTCTTGTTTGGTTTTAAAATTTGGTTGTTTGCTTCAAAGTGGAACACTACACAGCCCCTCCTGCTTTGAGCAAGCCAGACTTGCTCTTCCTGAACTTGATCCTCAAGAGAAGATTGAGCATGTGACAACAAATATAGTCAGTAGCCTTTCAGTTAACAGTAGCAGGGAGCTCCTCAGTCTACATGTGTCCGCAGTACAAGAACCAACCTAACACTGCTTAACTGCCTGAGCAACCAACAGGGCACCAAAGAACCAGGGGGAGATGACTCTGAATGGGCAAACAAACAACAAAAACCCTGAAAAGTAGCTTTTCTCAGAAATGTTGCATAATAACTGCGTGGGTTTGTGTGGCACAATGTTTTGCTTGGGGCACTATTTAAGCAAGGCCTGCGTAATTCACTCACAGCTGTCGGGCTTGACAGCAAAGCCACCAACACAAAGCCTTCCCAGTAATAACTTGGTGCCAATCCATCATTGCATGGTTTTAGGTGAAGCATAACTTTAATGCAATACATGAGTGAGCTTATGGTGGAATCACTGTTCATAGATTGTGGGGGGGGGGGAGAGAGAAACAAGGGTGGGGTGAGGAGGAGATGTGTGAAACCTTTTGCATATTTTCTTTCAGTTTGGCAAAATGTAGCCAGAAGCAGTTTTATTTTCATCTTCAGCTGGCTCAGTTTATATAGAGAAGCCAGCTGGCTTCCCATACAGTGTGCCTGAGATTCCTGGAACTCAAGTACAATAAAAACGGAGTTATTCCCCAGACGTTAAATTGATAATTGAGGCCTTTCAGTTAATTTGATTTGGATAGCCAGGCTAAACAAACCGCAAATCTTGAGGGGGCGAGGGTGGAAATGCTCACGTCCCTGCTTGTACGGTAGCATCTGTGTTGGATCCTAATAGTTGCACTTGAGTTAATGATTGATTGACCTGTCCAAGTTCTCTCTGGAATTAATTTGGAGCAGAGTGAGTAATTCCTGGGTGTCCCCTGGATGTCTGAAAAATAATACATTTGCACTCCATAGTGGGTCCAGGGTAAATTTGGTGCCTCAATTTGGTGTCTACACAACCAGACACATAATTTTATTATGTGTGTTTGATTTTTAAACTGTCGACATCGTCTGTATTTTTTATCCCATCTACTGTTGTTAAAGTTTATTGTAACAAATATTTCATACCATGTTCTACAAATAGCTCAGAGATATTTTGTGATTGAGCTGCTTATAAATCTTGCTAAACCATTAAATACAGTGGTACCTCAGGTTAAGTACTTAATTCATTCCGGAGGTCCATTCTCAACCTGAAACTGTTCTTAACCTGAGGTACCACTTTAGCTAATGGGGCCTCCCGCTGCTGCCGCACGATTTCTGTTCTCATGCTGAAGCAAAGTTCTTAACCCGAGGTACTATTTCTGGGTTAGCGGAGTCTGTAACCTGAGGTACCACTGTACATGTCACCACTGCCATATGCCAGAGCCCAGGGAACCTCAGCGAACCTGAGAGTTTTCTTTGCCATGCCTCAATCATGCAACTTCCCAAACCAAAAGGGAGGAAAGCAGACAGTTTGAGTTTATTACTATGCCTTTCGACCAGAAAGTGGTAAAATGCAGCTTACAGATATTTTAGACCTCTTTTTTTTTAAGTCTCATGCCTCCCAAATGCACCGACCCCCGATGCCAAAGAAAGCAGGAGGAAATCCTCAGGCAGCTGCTCCTCTCAGCCAGCAACTCTATCAAGGTTGTGAGGGGTAGAGCAAATGGAGCAGCTTTCCCTTGAAGGGCCAAATACAGCCTTATTCCTGCAACAATGTCTCTCAGACAACAGCTGTGCTTGTAAGAGTCCCAAGCTGGCCTGATGTGATGATGTCACTATGGCACAGCAGATCATAGAATTGTAGAGCTGGAAGGGATCCCAAAGACCATGTGGTCCAACCTCCTGCAATGCAGGGATCTCAGATACGTCACAAAAGGAAAAGGACCCCTGGACGGTTAAGTCCAGTCAAAGGCGACTATGGGGTTGTGGCGCTCATCTTGCTTTCAGGCCGAGGGAGCTGGCGTTTGTCCACAGACAGCTTTCCAGGTCATGTGGCCAGCATGACAAAACCGCTTCTGGCGCACAGAGGACCGTGTTGAGTGCTGGAGCGCAATGAAACACCATTTACCTTCCCACCACAGTGGTACCTATTTATCTACTTGCACTGGTATGCTTTCGAACTGCTAGGTTGGCAGAAGCTGGGACAGAGCAATGGGAGCTCACCACCATAGCGCGGATTCAAACCATTGACTTTCTGATTGGCAAGCCCAAGAAGTTCAGTGGTTTAGACCACAGCACCACCTGAGTCCCATGCACACATATAAACCTAAAACCCTCCTTCCTTTAAAACACTGCATTTTATCTTACACCCTTTGGAACCCGCAGCCTGATGCATGTTTATCCAACAGCAAGTTTAACAGGACCTGTTCCCATGTAAATGCACATTGCGTTTCAGCCCCTCCCACTTGCTCATGTGCATGTGTTTTTCAGATGCATGCACATTTCTTCATTTTATTTCTAAAGTACATGCACCACCTTTCCTTATAAGATGTTCCAGGGCCACTCACAGGTCCCAGGGATTGTATCCAACATTGTCTGTACCCTAGCAGAACAGACTTCTGCTCCTCCACCTTCCTCTGTCTCAAAATCCTCTTTGCACCTCAAAATCTGCTCTGGGGGACTGGGGGACCTTCCAGAGCAGATTTTTCTGAAGGGTGCAAGTACCTGCAAGGGGTGGAGCGAAAGCTGAATTACCGTGTGAGCCAAAGTCCAATTGCAGAGTGTTGGATTCCATCCAAGGACTGCAACTGCAGTTCACTTTCTAAAGATTTTCTTGCACTTGCCACTTAGCTTTAAGGCCAGCTCTTGTCCAACAAGTCCAGTGGGTTATCAACCAAGAAGCTGCAGGCAATTTTGAGACATACCACAGAACACTTGTAAGATAGTATTCAAATCGCTCAGTTACATAATTTCAGCACATGTGATAGTTAACTAGGTGCATTAACTCTACTGCACTTAGCATATTATGTTTTAATTATGCTGTGTGCTCATGCGGTTCCTTTAATCTACAGGGCTTCCAAGTATTCGGACATTATTAAAAGAAGCCTCATGCTTCCACGCATGAACTCATCTCACTGGTTAGATGACATGGAGTGTGTTTGGATGACTTGCCCATAATCACATATTCCTGAATGAGTCTTGTGCTAGAACTGAAGCCTGTTTAGGAACACAGGAACATAGGAAACTGCCTGATACTGAGTCAGACCACTGACCCATCTAGTTCCCTATTCTCTTTCTTGGGCACTGACTTTTTAGGTTTAGGTTTTCCTAGCCCTGCGTGGAGAAAGAATCTAAAGCCAGTGTGGTGTAGTGGTTAAGTGCAGTAGTCTTGTAATCTGGAGAACCGGGTTCGCGTCTCCGCTCCTCCACATGCAGCTGCTGGGTGACCTTGGGCCAGTCACACTTCTTTGAAGTCTCTCAGCCCCACTCACCTCACAGAGTGTTTGTTGTGGGGGAGGAAGGGAAAGGAGATTGTTAGCCGCTTTGAGACTCCTTAGGGTAGTGATAAAGCGGGACATCAAATCCAAACTCTTCTCTTCTTCTTCTTCTTCTGCATGGAAAACTCACCTCCTGCCATCCCTTAGCTGCTCTAGAAATAGATTGAATCACGCAGCCTTTATTCCACCAAACTATCCTTGGTATCTCTGCTTTCCTATTGGCTTTCGTCAAGCCAACCATTTCATCACAGCTACATTTCATATTCACAAGCACAAGGGCATATCAAGTGTTCCTGTGCAAACCAAAGATGGTATCTGCTCTCACCACTTCAGATATCCTCATACTTAGGTCACATGGCAAAGCATCCAAGATGGCGGTGGTGGCATCGGATATGGATAGCACCGTCTCGCACAGGTTTACACGTGCACACACTGCACAGAGAATTTCAATATTTCAGCCAAGTCTGATTATAATAAACAGAAAGACTGGCGGGGGAAGGAGAGGCAAGGGCTTGGATGGATAAAGATATATTTACATGCTATCACAACCAGTGTCAGAAAACAATGCACGCTGGTTGGCCTGCACGATGAGTGGGAACATGTGGAACGTTGTGGGGAGGAGTTATGTGAAGAAAGTCTGCAAATAGGTTTGCAGGATGGGTGGCTGCCATGACAGGATTGTCCTCACATAGCCACTGACTAAATGCCTGAGCTACCTGAGAGTACCTCATACCTGAACTTGAAAACTAGAGGTCTAAGTGGGTGACACATTACAAACTGACACATGAATATGCCTTGTAGACATGGAGAGCAAGTAGCTAAGTAGACCAATTCCATTTATGTAAACAGCTTCGTGTCAACCCACAACCAGTCACTGCCATTTAACATCTTGAAGTGGTATGAAAGACTCTTGACACAGTGGGAACAACCCACATGCCAATGCCCACTGTGTGTGTGTTTTGTCTGTCATGTGCAACAGTCACGAGTCATGGAGGCTGTTCTGAGCAATTTTTTAAAACCTTTTTTCCTGAGCAATTTCCACCCAATTACTCCTATATATAGTCCAACTCTTAAAATTTGGCTACATTTAACACTCACCATGTCAGAGGTTGTCAAACTCTGCCTGTTTGGAATTCTGAGGGTGCCCTGCAATCATCTGTCACATGAGGAAAGCTTGGCTCAGTTAATTTCCCTCTCTTCTCAATTGCCAGGAGAAATTAACCTAGTGTGAAAACAAAAGTCTACAGCGCAACAGCAGCTCCTCCTCTCTAAGCACTGAGATCAAGCAAACACCTATCCTTGAGGGTTGACTTCAGGGTGACTTGAGAATTCTCATCAGTCAGACCCTGCTTCGGGATATATGAATTGTTTTCTCCCATGGTTTTGAATAAATGGCCGGACATGTGTCTAATTTCATTTTACCTGTCTATTGAGTTCAAAATGTGGACACTGCTTGTTACACGGTTGATTGGTTTATATTATTATTATTTAATAATAATAATAATAATAATAATAATAAGAATGCTTTACTTTTTGTACCCAGCCTATCTGACTGGGTTGCCCCAGTAGCTTTGGGTAGCTTCCAACAGGATATATAAAAACACAACAACAACAACAACAACAACAACAACAACAGCAACTGAATATCACACATTAACACCATCATCACCACCACCACAACAGGGCACCACACATTAAAAGAATCCCGATACAGGGCTGCCTGCAGATGTCTACGGAAGGTCATATAATTATTTATCTCCTTGATATCTGATGGGAGGATGTAACTTCACTTTTCACAGTGAGGGAACTGCCAGAAGGTTCTCAGAGCTGGACCTCAGTGTCCAGGCTGAATGATGGGGGTGGAGACGCTCCTTCAGGTATACAGTGCTTTTTTTCTTAAAAAATGTTTAGGGGTACTCTCATTTTCCTACTCATATTGAAATGTTGCCCTTCAATGAGGCCAAACATAGATTCACAAAATGTTTAGGGGTATGCCTCCCCCTACATCACCTCCAGAAAAAAAGCAGTGTATACAGATATCCCAAGAAGCAGGCACTGGCTATTCATAAGGCTATATCTATAAAACATATCAAGGCTAGATGGACCAGTAATGGGCTATTCTCCTTTAAAATACTGAAAACAAAGTTATATGTGCTCTTCCATACAAAAGTTGCACTTTAGAAATTAATGTTCTTGATGTGGGGGGAATGTCAGAGTTTTCTTTTAAAAATATGTATTTGGGGAGTTTCGTTTCAAACTGGACATTTGAAGTGTCATACTGGACATGCACAAGCAGTGTGAATGCTAGTCAGTTTGGAAAGTTTTTTTTCCTTTTCTTTCTTACATGGGAAAAAAAGATCCTTGATTTATTAGGTGATGTTACATTCTGCACAACAATACATTTTCCAAGCCAATAGAGTGAATCAAATCTCTTATCCTGCCTGTGTATTTTATATGCATTTCTCACCAAAAATGCTATTCTATTGGGAGCCACTGGAACCTTTTGCTGAGTTCTCACATAGCATATCCATTTTCTTCTCCAATATACATGCAGTATTCAGAGCCAGGAACATTCCTTTTCTCAGCTCTGGGCTATATATCTAATAAAGGCCTGCAGCCGTTAACGCCCAGACCCAGAAGTCCAGAAAAACCCTCCAGAAAGTACCAAAGACGCTGGAAGAACAAACCTAGGAGCAAAATGAACTGAGTCTGACCAAACTGCGGGAGACAGTGGAAGACAGAAGTGCCTGGCATGCTCTGGTCCATGGGGTCATGAAGAGTGGACACGACTAAACGACTAAACAACAACAACGATGACTGCAGTGGCGCTGTGGGTTAAACCACAGAGCCTAGGACTTGCCGATCAGAAGGTCAGCGGTTCAAATCCCTGTGACGGGGTGAGCTCCCGTTGCTCGGTCCCAGCTCCTGTCAACCTAGCAGTTCGAAAGCACGTCAAAGTGCAAGTAGATAAATAGGTACCCCCGGTGGGAAGGTAAACGGCGTTTCTGTGCGCTGCTCTGGTTCGCCAGAAGTGGCTTAGTCATGCTGGCCACATGACCCGGAAGCTGTACGCTGGCTCCCTTGGCCAATAAAGCGAGATGAGTGCCGCAACCCCAGAGTCGGCCACAACTGGACCTAATGGTCAGGGGTCCCTTTACCTTTAATACCATTACATAGTTCAACATGATGAAAATTCATTGAATAACTCAATAGTTACTTTGATGCAGATGCAACTGGTAAGAGCAGGCATAGGCAAACTTGGGGACTACAATTCCCACCATCCCTGACCACTGGTCCTGTTAGCTAGGCATGATGGGAGTGGTAGTCACAAAACATCGGGAGGGCCGAGTTTGTCTATGCCTGTGTAAGAGGTTAGCCAGTTGCCATTACTTTCTTATTATCATTATTATGCCTACTTCCATTTAAGTGGATAATGATTGATTGATTGATTGATTGATTGATTGATTGCATTTAAATCCCACCTTTTTCTCCAAAGGATGTCAAGGTGGTGTACATCATTCTCCCCATCATCATGTAATCCACACAACAACCCTGAGAGGTTGGTTAGGCTGAGAGGCAGTGACTGGCCTGAGGTCCCCCAGTGAGTATCCTGGTCAAGTGGGGATTTGAACTCTAGTCTCCCAGGTCCTAATCTGACATAACAACCATAATACCACACTGTGTCTCAAGTTGAAAGGAAGAGTGCAGGATTAAGGGGGTCTATGAAGCCACACAAGATTTAACAGGAAAATCCCATAAAGTTGTGCTTCCTACTACAGTCGTACATCGGAAGTCAAACGCCTTGTGAGTCGAACGTTTTGGCTCCCGAATGCCGCAAACCCAGAAGTGAGTGTTCCAGTTTGTGAACGTTCTTTGGAAGCTGAATGTCCGACGCAGTTTCCAATTATGTGCCTGAAGCTCCTGCAGCCAGTTGGAATCCGTGCCTTGATTGCCAAACTGACTTCCGGAACAGCTTCCGTTCGGCTTCCAAGATAAAGGGACCCCTGACCATTAGGTCCAGTCGTGGCCGACTCTGGGGTACGGCGCTCATCTCGCTTTATTGGCCGAGGGAGCCGGCGTACAGTTTCCGGGTCATGTGGCCAGCATGACTAAGCTGCTTCTGGTGAACCAGAGCAGCGCACGGAAACGCCGTTTACCTTCCCGCCATCTACTTGCAGTTTGACGTGCTTTCCAACTGCTAGGTTGGCAGGAGCAGGGACCGAACAACGGGAGCTCACCCCGTTGCGGGGATTCGAACCGCCAACCTTCTGATCGGCAAGTCCTAGGCTCTGTGGTTTAACCCACAGCGCCACTCGCTTCCAAGATATGACTGTATAAACATTAATCCTTAATTCTGATTCCTCCCCACCCCCCATTAAATTGGAGCCTTTAGAAAACAAATGCATGCACTGTATTTGCATGTACTATATGTGACAAAACAAATTCTTAAAGTGCTTCTTACAAGTATAGGAACATGAAAAGATTTGCCCATTTCAAATTTTGGGAAAGGACAGAGTTATGTACACCTCATGTACATAAAGTATCTGCAAATGCCTTACACAATCCCATAACAAATGGGAAACTAACTTTTCAGATCTGTTTTGCTGCACAACTCGTGCTCTACCAAACTGCACAGACTCTACCAACTGGCATGTTTTGGTGTCTCCAGGTGCATCTCCAAGTTCTTCTCTGCCCAGTCCTTTTGTCCCTGCAGTCCCAGGCAACCAACAAAAACAGGAGATAAATTGGGACCCTGTCAGGCCACCATATATGGCTGCATTCAGCTTCCTGGGTCACAGGGTGTGCAGAGTTAAAAGCTGCTTTGATCACACTAGAACATCAGCTGGCTGTATCCAGCACACCACATAAACCTGTGTTCGAAACCAAACAGCAAATAGCTTCCATCAGCTGCTAACCTAAACATGTAGACCTTGTTGATCGCAGCAGGACTGACTTCTGAAAACACACACAGAGCGTTACAGATTTTTATGCAGTCTACTCCTTTGCAATCTGGGGCAAATTCTGTGCAGGGGCAGGTCTATCCTTGTCCTTTTTTTACAAAGCCAAACATGTTAGCAGTAACAAGAAACTATATACGGGAAGACTTTAACGACAGGAGATTTTGTGAGAGAGGTTTCAGTGTGGTTCTGGTGAGATTTCACCATATAAACCCGGGGTTTTGCCAGCCAAGGGATATAAAACAAAGCAATTACAACTGATGTTAAGAAGGATGTTGTTTAATTAGCATTTAGGGGAAAAATGAGGGATTTAAAATAATCCATACAGAAACTATAATCCAGCTGCATTTAAACTGCAATCCTTAAAACGCTTCTCAAGTATGTTGGTTCTACAGAGTAATCAATGTGAAGATTGCCGTCTCCTTATAGTATGACTCTGCATTTTTACCTGACAGTAAATCAGTGGGACTTACTCTCCAGTCAGCCTGCACAGGTTTGCCGCTTCAGTGAATTAAACCTTCCAACACAATGTTACACGCAGCCTCACAGAGGCCTTTCTCACAATAAAAGCCACAGTGGAAGACTGAAGCAGAAATTTCACTTCAAAACTATAAAAGCAAGCACATTATCCAGCTCTTTTAAAAGCATGCAAATATTTGTTCCCTACAATTAGTTCCTCTGACAGGTTAGGATTTGCTTCTTTAATAATAGCCTGGAGCCCATAAGCGAGAATGAAAGTTTAGAGCAAAACAGCGTAACTCAACTCACCTTTCGTTACCAGTGTATGCAACTAGATTCTCAATTCATTTGCAGGGTCATAAGGTACATCCCGACCAGAAGAAAAGAAAAGAAAGCAGCCTTCTTCAACAGATGTCTAGCCCGACAACAAGGCATTCGACAACAAGGCATTCGAGCTCCCAATCTGATACCTGCAGGAAGAAAACTTTTTTAATTGGCTGGCCCACACAAGGAAATGCATGACATCACAGACGGCTGGAAAGACAAACTTTGCCGTGTGCACCTGAGAGATTTAAAGCAACAGTGAGCCGCACCCAACCTGTCATCTACCCAGAAACAAGTAAACTACATGTGCCTGCCTGCATACGAAGTTCAGATAACAGGCATGTCATGTGCAGTAAGATTTCCTTCCTTTTAGGATGCTCACGTCTCTTCTGCTCTCACCTTTTATCCTTCGGTAGCAAATTATTATGAAAATATGCTACAGATTTAGTAAATCGTAATTAAGACTAACCACAGGTTTAGACATAATACTGAACTCAGTTAAAAACAGAAGCGAAAGCTACAAAATTGCTCCCAGTTTTGACACAGGAGGAAAAGGAAGGGGAGTGTGAGCCTGAGGCTCATCCAGGGTCATTCATTCACAATCAACACACTACTTATCATTTTGTTTAAATATTGCCTCCGGCCTTGTTTGAACATCATAATAAACCATAGTTAAATGTTGCACCAATCTTTGCTACTTTGCTCCTCCCTGGTATTGTGCAGAGGAAACAAACCACCATTTCTGGCGTGCTCTTATGTCCAAACTTGGATTTGTGTTTTATTTTACTTCCAACAAGCCGCAATCTTTTGTTCTCGTTTGTTCTTGGCTTAATTGTTGTGGTTTGCTTGAGAAAAAATGAACCATGTTTTGATTCCCCTGCATACAAGAAGAGTTAAGTAAAAACAAACAAACAACCCCAAAATGGGGTTGATGGGAGTTGTCGTCTAATAACATCTGAACCATATTGGCTACCCCACAGTAAGGCAATAACAATGGTTTACCATGACATACAAAAGGGGCCTCTGTGTCCAAATTCAAACTGCCTTCACTTCTACTACACCCACTCACTAACAGAAAACTGATTTCAGATCCCAGCCGGCACGTAGAATGGCCATTAAATAAAACGTCCTCAGACACTGGCTGCTACTAAGGGAATGTCAGTCAACCACCCCGACTATTAGCAAGCCACCAGCTTAACCAAAGATGGTCTCTGTAATAAGAATTTTAAGGTCTTAGATATATATTAAATGTTCATAAATGTACCAAGCAAACACGTACATAAATATATAAACCACATGTCTGAAGCAGCACAGGAAGACAGTCCTGAAACCATTTTGACTCCCAAGCTGACCAAATGTTTCTCTGCAAAGAGAGAGGAGGTGAAAAAAACCTTCCTTGTTACAGGAATTTAGTAATCACCATTCAAAGGGTGACAGACTACCAGAAAAGGCAATCAGATAAGGCATTATCAGATAACCTGGCAGACAGGAAAAACAACAACATTCAAATTTCTGTTGTAGACCACCTTTTCTGTGATGTAGGTATGATGTTTGTGGGGGGTGGTCTTGGGTTACACCCCTTCTGTGATGTTTGTATGATGTATGGAGGGGTGGTCTTGAGCTCCAGGGCAGGGAATTTAAAATGTCTATATAAGGGTGGGCACACCTTTGTTCAGGGTCCTCCTCCTTTCCTGCGTGTGAGGGGAGCACCCTGTTGCAACAGATCAAGAAAGATCAGGCTTACTAGCTGCTTTGCTTCTCAATATTCTCTGATTGGCCTTTGTTATTTTCTCCTACCAATAGGGAACCCACGTAAGGAGACTATACGGGCTCTTGGATACCCCATAAGGGGAAAAGGGCAGAATACCTCATAAGGGGAAAACACCGCCCAGCAGCCGTAACATTTCTGCTGTATGGAAAAGATAGATATGAACATGCAATCTGAGTTAACACAAAGAAAAACAAATCTGCTGTAGAGAGGTGCCAGCAGAGAACATGCCAGAATTTTGAGTGTCTAAGAAGCAGAGCAGCTTTTGAGCAGGTTTCACACAATTGGCACTTTACTGAAACAAAAATCCCTCTTTTGTTCTGAAAGGCAACTTGCTGCGGGAGGAAATACTGGTCCACCAACTATGTGAATCACAAACAAGACAACCCTTCCAACTGCCTTACTGATTGTTGGGAAGTGCAGTTTCTTTCCAAAGCAAAAGAAGCCATTTTTGAAGATTTCCAGAAGGGACGGCCGTCCTGGCCTGTTGGACTAAAAACAATCAAGTGTCTGGTAGCACATTAGAGAGGAAATTCTCTTGGCCTGAGCTTTCATGGGCCACTCTATCAGATGCACGAAATACTCACCTCAGTGGGCAGGTGTATACCCTGAACATAAGAAGAAAGAAGAGAAGTTTTCTACAAAGTGAGGCTAAAAGGTCAAACAATGCAGAACACCGAAGTAGGTGAGTCATTGTACCATGTGCAACGCAAACTAGTTCCATACAATGTGGAACTTGGGACTCATCAAATCCTGGGAGTGGCTGGCTCACTGCAGAGACTAATTGTACCTCTGTATGTGCAGAGGATCTTGCTCTTTTCATTATCAGTTTTGCTAGTCCAGAGTTGGACACACCCATTTTGATTGGATTTTGTATTAATTTGAACAGCCTCTGCATACTGCTGTAATGAAAGCTGCTGTCTCTTTCGTGCTTGTGCTTTTAGTCTCTTTAAATAAAAACACAAATCCTTATTTCAATACCAAACCCTCCAAGTGTCCTTATTTTCCAGCAACAGTCCCAGATTTACAGAAGGTTTGATCCCATAATGGCCCACTTTTACTTAAAGGTAAAGGGACCCCTGACCATTAAGTCCAGTCACAGATGACTCTGGGGTTGCAGCGCTCATCTCACTTTACTGGCCAAGGGAGCCGATGCACAGCTTCTGGGTCATGTGGCCAGCATGACTAAGCCGCTTCTGGCGAACCAGAGCAGAGCACAGAAACGCCATTTACCTTCCCGCCGGAGCGGTACCTATTTATCTACTTGCACTTTGATGTGCTTTCGAACTGCTAGGTTGGCAGGAGCAGGGACCAAGCAACGGGAGCTCACCCCGTCACGGAGATTCGAACCGCCAACCTTCCGATCAGCAAGCCCTGGCTCTGTGGTTTAGACCACAGCACCACCCGCGTCCCATCCACTTTTACTTAGGACATCCCTATTTTCATCTACTAGGGTTAACTAAGAACATGTTTGAGTGTTGAACTGCAGTCAGAGAGCCTGTGGTATTTCCTCCTTTCCACTGTCTCCCAAGCAGTCTGCCTCTACAGCCACCCAGTTTGATTACTGAGAACTAAGTGTCTGGTGCTATGTTATTAAACAGACAAACTGCATTGCTACATTGGATTCATTAAAAGCTGCTTGATGCTTATGATTGAAAAAATGCTAAATCTGGGTGTTGCACTTTTTAATCTCCAAACTGAGAGGCAGCCTGTTTGACTGAAAGGAGAGCAACATCGTATGCTGGTCTCAAAACAGACAAGGGCCCTGTTGCTGAAATTATGCCCCACGATTTAGGAGTTTACTGCCTGCATTTCTGCAGGTCTTTAACACATCCTTGTGTGGCTTACCACAGAATGGTTTGCTCTCATAACAAATAATGGCACGTTCCATCTGAATTTGTTGAGATGTACTGCTGATAAAGATCCGTATACTTTAAAACTGCAGTGTGGTATAAATTTACCCCCCAGCACAAAAAAGCTGAAAACAGAGGTAATCCAAAAGTGTTGAAATAGAAATTATTTCATGAACTGAAGTATTTTTGCCATTGTGATGAAGTGACTCTCCAGACTGACTGATGGTTAGAAAGGGGTGGGGCAGGACAGGAAGAAGGTCCTTGGAAAGGAAGATTAAAAGTAGCAAAGAGGAAAGGAGAGACTTTAGAAAGCAGCAGATGGGTGGAATGGATAGAGGGCAGAAACTGGAAGAAAGGAGGAAATGAAAATAGGAGTATGTATGGCCAGGAGCTGGCAAAAGAGAGGAGAACTGATGTTCACATGCTGTTTTCAAGCAAGAAGCCAAATCTAGGATTGCGTGGCTCTAGCATTCCTGTTAGAAATACAACCTGCACCGAGTTCCAATCCTTTTTCTACCAAAAAAAGGTACAGCAAGAAGGGGGAACCCCCTAGAAAATGGGGAAAGGGACCAGGAAGCAAAGGGGCAGGAAAAGAAGAAATATCCAAAATATTTCAGACCTGCCAGTAGAAGAAAAGAGGAAACAGTATTAACAAAATATTGAACTTGTAATAGAAGCTCCCCAATGAAGGACCTGGGAGGTTCAAAACTGGATATTTACTTCTTTCCCCAACTCATTTGCTTCCTGCTCCCCACCTGTAATCTACAAAAAGGATCCTCCTTCTACCCTGAGTTGACCAGATTTCAAATCTGCAGTGACCACAATATAGACTTCTTATCTGCTCCATATTAAAATGCATCACCTGAACCAGAGCTTCTTTGGGTGGCAGATTTTAACAGTGGGGTTGAGGTTAATGTGGGGAGCAAGGAAGCAACCTTCTACATGCAATGTGTAATAACGTTCTTGCAAAAGAAGACTGCTCCACACTCAATCTCCACATGGTATGAATTGGCCTTAGGACCTGGAGGATCACCTCCTCTCAGAGAAAGACTGCAGTCCTTGAAAGAATTACAGCTCGAGCATGCAATTTTTCTGAGCTATAAATCCTGCTAAATGAGAGGGCGAATGTGTGCTTTGCATGCAGGAGATCCCAGACTCAATCCCTAGCATCTCCAGGTAGAGCTGGCAAAGACCTCTGTTTGAAACGCTGGAGAATTAGGTGGACCGAAGGGCTAGCCTACGGCAGAGTCCTATATTCTTTACCAGGGCTGTCCAACTTTTCATACCAAGTGGACTGCAAGAGTACTTCAACACAGAACCTGCAGGCTGCACACTGCCTTGTTGTGTGGTGGTAGTGGGGTGCCACCCCAGCCCTTGCTCTGCCTTCCCAAAGCTGGCCAGACAGGGGCTGTGAGAAGGAGGCACAAGGCTCTGGCAGGGTGTCGTGAACTGGCAGGACAATGGGGATGAGGCAGAGAAAACTGGCGAGGGGTGTAGCCTGGACTGAGACACGCTGGGGCAAGCTAGGGATGGGGAAGGAGAGGTTGGTACTCACAGGGTGATGGAGGATGATGAAGGGATGGGGGTCAGTACACAGGAACCAGAGCAGCAGGACCCATCTCCAGAGCCAGAGTCTGTCTCCCCAAACATGGTGAGCTCTGAGGCGCAGGCAGCAGCAGGAGAGGTGCTCCAGGAAGCTGAGGCAGGCAAGGGCCCACAGCCCAGCTCCTTAGCTGACCAGGTGGGGATTGCTAGCTCTGGGAGGAGGGGTGTGATTCCTCAGCTGGAGTTGGCTTGGAACAGGTGAGGCCCACATGCCTCATCCAGCCCAGGTGCTGCAATCAGCATGCAAGGAACAAAAGGGAAGCAGAGCTGAGGTGCTGTGTCTGCTCAACTGCCCACGTTGATGGGCCTCAGTTTGGATGCTCCTGAATCTCTGCAGGAGTGTGCTTCTGTTTGGACTTTTGACAAGTGGATTGATCCTCAACTGGGGGCTTAACATACTGATTTGCTGCCTGGTAGGCCAAGGGTTCAGGACACAGGGTCCTAGAGCCCTCCTACTTCCTTCCCAAAGCTGGGAAAGCACTAACTTGGCTTTGGGAAGGAGGCAAGAGGAATCTAGGACCCTGTCGGAGCCCTCATGCCTCCTTCCCAAAGCCCAGTACCTCGCTTACCCAGTTTTGGGAATGCAGTACAATGTCAAATGTTGCCAATGGCTACTAAAAAAGGCCTCGAGGGCCACATGCGGCCCACAGGCCTCTCATTGAATCACCCAGTTCATTACTATGGACAGTGAGACTTACACCCAACTAAATGAACATATTATATAGCTCATTAACACTGTGGCCAAGGTGTGATTTTATGCTGTGAAACAGAGTTGGAATAACCAACTATGCTGCCCAGCAGAGGCGCCAAACAAACAATGGCCCTGTTTTCAGATCATTGCCAGCGATTTCCTGAAGTAAAAAGAGCCTGTTTCAGATTTCTGCAACTCGGAATGCAGTGAATTATCAGCTAACAATTGTACTTTCCCCCTCAAGATATAGGCAAATTTAAACTTGGCCTTGCAGTGAGGTAGCCTGGAGGCTTCCTGTAAGAATTATGGCAGCCAGCCAGACTTGGGTCCAAGGCTGTTCAGCCAATTAGTGTGCAGAAGGGAGAGGAGGAATAGGTCATAACTATGAATATGATTTTAAGACACAGTGGTATCAGTCTTGGAACTGTGTTTCCCTCTGATAAGAAAAACACAACCTATTAAATCTTAAAAGCGAGAGTGTTTCTAGAGATTAGCTATAGTAACCCATGAATCGCACTATAGGTTCTTGGTATGATAAAATACACATTCACAGCTGGAGAACGTAAGGTTTTGAAACCCCACAAAGCAGCTGAAGGAAAAGAAGAAAGCAGCAACCCACAGAGATCAAAGGCGCATTTCACCAAATAAAGCTATTTCTTTTGGGCTGATTTTTCTTCTGCTTTGTTTTCAGCCCAAATAATAAGTTTGGGGGGTGGGGAGGAAATTGCAAACACTTGCTAAAGTTTCTTCTTCAACACTGTAGGCTCCCTAAGCTTGCTTTATTAAGAATTGAATTTATACACAATACCACAACCGCCAATAGAAGACAGAGAATTCTAGATCCTGGTCGTCCATGACAATTATTCTGTATTTGGCAAAATCAGAAGGGTGCTTAGGCTCTGACATGTACTCAAGTCAGCACCATAGACCAGTCCTGATTCCCAATATGCTTTTCCTGCAGCACAGATAGAAATAACATAGTATGGACAAGAAGCAGACTGAGGCAGTAATGCTCCACACCCCATTTTCCTAGTGAAAAGAAAGGGAAATTTACTGCACCCATATTTCATGTAATCTTATACGTCAGAGATAAATATTCCTATTAGAAATGTCATGCAATGTCAGTAAATTTTGGGTGTGTGTAATTTATACAACCAATGATTAATAAATATGAGAGTCCATTCTCAAACATGTGGGGGAAACTACTTTGAGGTTTCTTACAAACAAGTTGTGTATACATTTTATTAAATAAATAAATGTGTTACATTTTGCCATTGGACCCTCATTGTTTCTTGGTTACATGAAAACAACAGTATTATTAGAAGATCAGGGAAGGGTTATTTACCTCCTCACAGCCACAATAATGAACAAACTTGGTAACAGAGAAGGTGGGCAAATAGCTAATAATTTTTTTTGAGAAACGGAATGTTACAATGCACTGGAATATTTCACCCATTTTCCCCATCGCAAGATGTTAGTGAGGTGTAACATTACAATTTCCTTTTAGCCATTGGATGATAATATGTAAAGCTTTGAAGAGCATGCCATGTATATATAAAAAAAAGTTCAAGGATTAATCTCTGCTCCTAGCACATTCATTAGGTGAATTGAAAAGCAAGCATGTTACATAACCAGTCTAGAGACAATTACGTTTTCTCTCTCCGAAGTTCACAGTATTAATAGCCATCTAACTCAAGGGAGGTGAATACAACCATGCATGCAACTGTGCTTCGATTCACTGGCTGCCATCCAAAGAGCAGCGCAATTAGTTATGCATGCCGAAGAGCACTATGGGATTATATTTTTCAAACCACAACACACACCCCATATCACATGGCGGAGCACATTTGAAACCCACAGGACTTTCAAAAGCAGTTTCTAATATGGCCTGGGAGTTTGCTGTTGAAAAAATGATTGAAAGTAAAAAAAAAAAAAATCCCACAGGACACACCCAAGGATCCTGGCCACTGGAAAACAATGTGTTGGGGTTGGATGGTGGGGAAGAAAGATTATTTGTTAGGAATAGATCATAGCAAATTGCAATTGTTCCTGAGCAAAGGGAAACTAATGCAGCGCCAGAATGTAGCCTCTGACAAGCCAGTTATTTTTCCTGTTATGTGTATAGATTAGTAACTACAGTGGTACCTCGGGTTAAGAACTTAATTCGTTCTGGAGGTCTGTTCTAAACCTGAAACTGTTCTTAACCTGAAGCACCACTTTAGCTAATGGGGCTTCCCGCTGCCGCCGCGCCACCAGAGCACAATTTCTGTTCTCATCCTGAAGCAAAGTTCTTAACCCGAGGTACTATTTCTGGGTTAGCTGAGTCTGTAACCTGAAGCGTCTGTAACCTGAAGCACCTGTAACCCGAGGTACCACTGTAGTTCAAAAGTACATACAGCATCGTTCTCTTTTCTGCTGCATCTGTTTGCCACCAGCACTGCCTGCGCTCCTGGGAGGTGTACACCAATCTTGGCCTAAATATCGGTGCAGTAGGCTAATATCACTGTTATGTTGTATGAAGTTGGTAGGAGACTAGGGCTGTGAACACCCTGTGCCATCAAAGCACATTTGAAGCATGTTCTTTTCCTCAAAGAATTATGGGCAATACAGTTTGTTAAGGGTTGCTGGGAATTGTAACTCTGCGAAGGATAAACTTCATCAGGCCAACCAAGGCTGACTCTGTAACATGGCCAAGCCTGAACCCAGATTGGAATGGATCTAAATAATCGGTGTCATCCAAGAATGCTTGTGGCTGCATAATGATATGTTGTTGTTGTTGCTGCTGCTGCTCCTCCTCCTTATTCTTCTGACAAGAGACTATTATTGACAGCACCAACAATAATGGGAGGGGAGGAGCAATAGTGCGGCAAATGAATGCTGCTGATTGACAGTACCGGCCACACACTTTCTTCAAAGCAAGTAAAGCTTTCAACCAGTGTTTTAGTTGTTGTTTTTAAGAAAAACAGGTGCCGGTACTCACCATGAAGTTGTTACAGTGAGTGCTACACTTTTAACATTTGAAAAATTTCCTCCAGAAAAAAAGCACTGCTTTAAAGCCCTAAAAGGCCTCGGTCCAGTATACCTGAAGGAGCATCTCCACCTCCATTGTTCTGCCTGGACACTGAGGTCCAGCGCCAAGGGCCTTCTGGAGGTTCCCTCACTGTGAGAAGTGAGGTTGCAGGGAACCAGGCAGAGAGCCTTCTTAGTAGTGGCGCCCGCCCTGTGGAACGCCCTCCCACCAGATGTCAAAGAGAAAAATAACTACCAAATTTTTAGAAGACATCTGAAGGCAGCCCTGTTTAGGGAAGCTTTTAACGTTGAATAGGTTATTGTATTTTAGTGTTTTGTTGGAAGCCGCCCAGAGTGGCTGGGGAAACCTAGCCAGATGGGCGGGGTATAAATAATAAATCATCATCATCATCATCATATTATAACAATGATTCATCTAGTACATATTTAAAGGAACTCACCTCTGGTTTCAACAGCAGCTATTTAAATTATTTTGAGTTTGATTCTTAGTTCTTACAGACCCTTGAACTGTCATTTAAATACTGTCTCCATCATTTTCCCAAAGCTCCATGGAAGATTGGAAAAATGGATTAGAAAATGCTGACATATTCGTAAAAGCTTGCCTTGAATGTTGATGTCTCTTCCTTGCTAACAGCTAACAGTAAGGCACTGTTTCTAACACACGGCGTTTTATGCACATTACAAATTAAGCAAGCTGTGTGGAGAAGAGACTATAAAGTCCTCTCCTTTCCCTCATCTCCTGAGAAGTTTAGCAAAGGACCATTATCTCTAATTTAGACATCTGAAGAGAGGATGCAAAAGCCAGGAAGGAAGCTTTCAAAATCTGTACAAAAATACTCTTAGAAAAGGCCTTCCAAAGGGAATATTACAACAGGATACAGTTAAGAAAAACAAGAGACGAGAATGAGGAGGAGAATGTCAAACTGTAAACAAAACAAAACAAAAAAAATACATCGGGAAAGTAACCCAAGGAAAACATCTCGAAGCACTGCAAGAATGGTTTGGGGGTAATGTATAATAAATACATGGTTAAAATGTTTCCTGCTTAAAACATACTTCTAAAGCATGTATGTAAACATTTGGGGGAATTAACATGTACTTTTCCAAATGTACAATTATATGATGCCCAGAAAGCAGAACTTTGTGGACTCCCACTGTTTGTGTTCATCTTATAGCTCCTTTGAAGCCATGTGATGGGATATAAATCTCAAAAGTACATAAATGCATGCATGCATCCATCTGTAAATCTAGGCCATACATACTCACTTTAGGCCACCAAAGTATCAAGACAGAATTCTTTTGACATTATAAGAAGATACTCTGCTCTCTCCTCACATTATTTCCTGAAGTACTAAAAGGCCTGATAGGCAAACTCCACTCGGGATCCTTTCTTGGAGAGACTTGAAAGCATGAAATACTCAACGTTTATATGGTGCGTTTCATATGTTCAAAGCTCTCTGTGTACATTATCTCAGTATTAACCATCACAAAACCTTGTAAAGTAGGCTAGTATTATCTCCATATTTCTCAAACTCCATTGAAATGAATGGCAGCTGTGCAAGAGACAGTAAATGGAGCTCTTTGGGTTTTTTGTCTTAGGCTTCAAACTCTCTTGAGCCAGCCCTTGGATTTGCCAAGATGCGGGTGGCGCTGTGGGTTAAACCACAGAGCCTAGGACTTGCTGATCAGAAGGTTGGTGGTTCGAATCCCCGCGACAGGGTGAGCTCCCGTTGCTCGGTCCCTGCTCCTGCCAACCTAGCAGTTTGAAAGCACGTCAAAGTGCAAGTAGATAAATAGGTACCGCTCCGGCGGGAAGGTAAACGGCATTTCCATGCGCTGCTCTGGTTCGCCAGGAGCGGCCTAGTCATGCTGGCCACACGACCCAGAAGCTGTACGCCGGCTCCCTTGGCCAATAAAGCGAGATGAGCGCCGCAACCCCAGAGTCTGTCATGACTGGACCTAATGGTCAGGGGTCCCTTTACCTTTATTTTATCTAAGCATTACTGGCAGGGGGCAGTGTGGAATTGTGTGCCAATTTCCATTCTTAAGTTTCTTTCACATATGTGTGCAAAGCCTTCTCCCTGGTTCCAATGTAACTGAGAAAGATGGCAAGGAATACGATCTGGGGACTGGGGCATTTTTTGTTTGGAGGAGGGTTGAAGTGAGTAAGAAGAGACAAGATACAGAGGTTTATCCAATTATGAATGTTTTTTCGTGGGAAAGGTAGATTGAGAGAACTTTTTCTTCCTTTCTCATAACTCTAGAACCAGGGACCATCACCCTCTGAAGCTGAACGGTGGGAGAGTCCAGACAGACAAAAGAAAGGACTTTTTCGCACAGCACATAGTTAAATTATAAATTGACCACCACAAGTTGTAGTGATGCCCACTGATTTGGATCGCTTTAAAGGGGAATTAGAAAAAATCATGGTGGGTAAGGCTACCAATGGGTATCCGCCATGATAGGTGCATGCAGTAGGCCTCTGAATCCCAACTGCTGAAGAATGTGAGCAACAGGACTCTTGCGTTCATGTTCTGTTTGTGCCCTTCCCATAGGCATCTAGTTGGTCACTGTGAGAAAAAAAGGACGTTGGACTGCATAGGTCTTTGGTCTAATCCAAAGGGGCTTTCCTTATACAGTGGAACCTCAGTTGTCGAACGTAAACCGTTCCAGAAGAACATTTGACTTCCGGACCTTTGGACAACTGAGGCGCAAAGGGTTGTCAGCAATTTCAATGGTGAAAATTGAGAAAGCCGTTCGACTTCCGAGGCATGTTCAAAAACGGAAGCAATTACTTCCAGGTTTTCAGCGTTCGGGTTCCAAAACATTTGGCTTCCGAGATGCACGAAAACTGAGCTTCCACTGTATTCGCAAACAAGAGAAAATGTGATAGTCTTCAGTGTGTGGTCTGTATTTTTAGAAATCAAAAAATAAGTAAGTGAAAAACCCAAACACTACGCCCTTGAGGAAACTAACCATCGCTAGCAAGAGCTGCCTCAAGGAAATACACTCACCACACTATAGCTGTGTGAACTGCTGCCATGATGTGGATGTGCTCTGACTATGGGAGGTAGGATCATGATCAAAGTTATATATAAACAATTTTAGATCAACTACCAGAAGAAAACCAGGGTGGAGGTGTAGGGGAGGGAGTTTACAGGAAAATATCCTTTATTTATAGTATTCCTCCCACTGAAAACTTAGGAAAGAGATTGGAAGTGGCTTTTCTGATCTCGGCAACATAATTCAATTATTGGATAGTATAACAGGATGCCCTAATTGGGAATGGGTTTTCTGGACTGGGATATGTAGGAATAAAGAGGATAGCCTACATTTCAAGAACCACAGGCCGCAATTGTCCTGGAGGACAGAATCATTCCAGTGCTCTGCCTGATCACATGTCACATGTGAGACCGAAACATAATATGACCCTTCTATGGCTTAAATTTCGGAGTGCACCCTTGTGGCTGGCATTCACAAGGATCCTCAGATGTACATTTGGATGCAGTTATCATGGGAAAATCCCATGTATGGCTTTACTTGAGAATGGGTCTCAGTTTCTCAGAGCTCAGACAAAATACATCAGTGGTAAAGCAGTGAGACTAATGAGATACTCTCTGTTTGCCATATGAGTCCTAAACCAAAATGAAATAATACTTCAGCCAAGCAATAATGGCAAAAAAATGAAGTGCTTATTTTTTCCTTCTTGCTAGTGCATGATATAGTGCCAATGAAATGCAATCTAGAAGCTCTGTCCTGTTCGAATCTGCTATTACTTCTTACATTATCTGCTAGAATAAAGCATGAAAAAAGAGTCTGTCTAGGTCTTGACACGCTTGACAAAAGTTTTTGTTTTCCTACCACAAAATATAGGCCTGAAAGGTTTAATTGATTAGAATTGGATTAATCATTTTTGTATCGATCAGCTAAAAAGGTGCCCTAACTGGTGGGTCAAAAATTGTTGTTGTTAGTGCGCAGTTATAAACACTACCAATGGCAACCATCACTTCCACTAAAAGTAAACTTAGCTGGTGATTAATGACAGAATTGTAGCCAAAATGGGGCCACTGAGAAATGAGAGGGCGGTGTCAGCATGCGTGGTAGAACCCCAAAGTTTGCAGAAGCAGAAATTTAAAAGTTTAAGGGATGGAACCTACAGCCCAGTGAGGACTGAGCATGCTCAACAGGCACAGAATATTAAGTGTGGGTGGTTGGGGTTTTTTTGGGGGCGGGGTTGAGAAACAGAAAACTCTGGGGGAAGGGGAGTGAAGTTTGATATTGACTGTATGCAGTATTCAAAATTATTGTAACCTCTAGTTTTCAGCAGTATATTTACCAACACTTCCACTGCCTCCTGTCATTGCCTCCTTATAGGAAGTACATATTTTTAATCAGCATTTAAATTAAGGCAGAAACTCAGCCACAGCACCTACTTATAGTTCCAGGGCTAAACATTTATTTCAGGTGGTAAGCCAAACTTTTTCCCCTTTTCTTTTTCTGATATCTGCCACCTTGCAGGAGAAGAGAGTATTTGTTAAGCATGTTCAGAGAAATTGCAGTCGCTTGCAACACAGCCCTGGCACTTCTTATCTTACAATTTAATCCGTCAAAGCTGGCTGTTTCATTAGGTAATGAACTCAGTCTGACTTATACCAATGAAGTTGGTTTGGAAAAAACAGGGCTTTTTCCCCAGCCAGAATTCACCAGAACTCAGTTCCAGAACCTCTCAGGTGGGCACCATTGCCATTCTAAGAGAATGAAGTGAGTTCCAGCACCTCTTTTTCTAGAAAAATAGCACTGGGTAAAACCATTGTCAAGCTTGTTTGAAGAACATTTGTTCAGGCTTGTAAATGGGTGACTGACCTGGTGAGTAAGAATTGTCTCCAGGCAAAGAAGCTTTTGTAAGGTAGTTACTATTTCCTTTAAACAGTAAATAACTAACACAGGTATTTGAGGGCAGGCAGGCTATCTCAAATGCATGAACTAATAACTTTTGTGGCTTTACGTGCATAGTTGATATAACCATTTAAGGAAATCCTATTTCCTCCGCTTGCATTTTGGTCCCCACTTCCTTCAAATACATCCAAGGTTGTCATTGACGTTGCATTTTAAATCTGGGTTGCAAAGACCCTAAATTTAAAGTTTTCTCAAAGAATAGTCATTGCCTCCAGGAGCATTTCTGCAAAGACCATTCTGGCAGCAGATTTATCTATTGGGACAAGACTAGTTACTCATAGCAAAGCATCATTTGTCATGTTTATGAAGATAGGCAATGGAAAAGACAACTGCAATTGCAAAGGTTGCAAGAGGTTGCCTTGGTCTTTAAGAGATAAAAATGAATGAAAGAGGCCATTGATTCTTCATATTTGTTCAATCCTAGGGGTGACCAAGGAAGGGCCAAAACCATCTATCTTCTGCAGCAGAAACAAAATGGACATCCCTAAGGGGGCATGTAAAAAGACAAACAAGAGACTTCCTTTTAAAAATAGTGACTCATGGAGAGATTATTATCTTGCAGACCAGAAGTAGAACACATACACTCATGTTGTCTTAAGACAATACCATTTTCTCCAGCTTTTTACAGTTTTGTAAATCAGTTCTGTACAATCAGTTTTTCAGCCCAGACAAGGGAAGCCATTAACCTAACTTTAGCACCAGGTGACCAGTTTGAATAGAGCTAGATGCGAATTTTGACTTATAATAACCTTATTTCATGAGTTACTCATGCAGGGGGGCAAAGCACGTTGAAAGGGGATGCAGAATTATACCTCTAGCCCCACCTCAGCATCACACAACTCCTTCCTGAGATTATTCACGTGCTGGGGGCTCAAGTCCATGAAGATTTATACCACAATGCATGCTAGTCTTTAAAGCGCTGACGGACTCTTTGTTGTTTTGGTTCAATGTGATGGCGGCAAATCATATGTAGATCTGGCGTTTTGCAGAGCTTCATAGGTAAAAGAGATGGGACCCTTCCCTCAAAGAACTTGTTGCTAAATTGGTCAGTGAGGAAAACAACAGAGGGATGGGAATTAAGATGTGGTAGTTGAGGACCAGTTTGAAATAAAACCACAGGATCTTCAAGCACATTGGGGGTTGATGATGTTCCTGAGCACATGGGCACAGTTGCACGCTGGAGAAACTGTTGTGGTTACCACACACACGCACAACACAACCCATTCTATTGGCCAGAGTAGAGGGCTTCTTTCAAGCCCAATTTCAGTGGGGAAGAGTAGGAGAGGGAGGGGGTTCAGTAGGTGCCAGGTAAGGCTCATGAGAGCACCATGTTGCTGACTCCTTGCAGCTGATAATTTAGTACATTGTCAGCGTAAGGATTTGATAACCACAGAAATAAGTGGCCCAATCATATGCATTTACAGCACAATCCAAGTATGTTTGCTTGGAAATAAGCCAAGACATGCTACCAAATTAGTATGCATAGGATTGCAACCTCAGTCTGTGGCTTTGTCTCAATGCAATTTTTTCTAGCTCTCACAGAGATATAAATCACAACATTTTAAGGAAAGTGAGGCCCCCAAGTTGGAACCACTCAATGTGCTTGTATCTATCACGTCACTGATGAGTTCCTTTCTAGTAAGAGACTCAGAACTTTAGAAGAAGATAATCAGTGGATCTTGAAGAAGAGCTATTAGTCACGACTGCTTAAATGGGACCAGCATGTTTAGAGCTAACAGACTTTTCATGCCAGAGGCTGGGGAAGCACAACAGTGGGTGACTCTCAATCATACTAGATCAGCCACAGTCTGATCCAGGGAAACAATTTATATATTTTAACCCCCTCCCCAAAGGTATGCCCATGACTGCCATTAAACTATTGGAATGTAGTGAAAACCCTGTATGACAATGATATATATTTTTTTAAGTATTGGTGACTGGAAACCCGCCCCCCCAAAACACTTTTAGCAGTTCTAAGTTAAACAACCCTTTTTTTTCTTGTTTCATTATGTGGGAACATCCCAAAAATAATATTTCAAGCTCACCGTCTCATCCTGCTGAGTCTGCAGACCCTTCTGTTAAACCATCTTGCTCCCACGTATAATGCTGATGTGGAAATGTATTACATTACTTGGTAATTCTTTAGTTGTTTGTATGGGAGGGAATTTGTTTTCTTTCATGGGGAAGACTGAAGGTTTAAGGCCTCTTTACCAAATTCAAGCAAGTCTGACTATTCAAAGATCTTCCTGAGATTAACAAGTACCTAACATGCGCGCGCGCTCTCTCTCTGGGTCAGTATGGCTGCAAGAATGTGAGGCAAAGAAAAAAGCTCTTAAACACACAGATTCTCTTGTTCATGGGTTGGCAAACTAAGGTCCAGGGGCCAGATCCGCCCCAATCGCCTTCTAAATTCAGCCCGCGGATGGTCCAGGAATCAGCATGTTTTTACATGAGTAGAATGTGTCCTTTTATTTAAAATGCATCTCTGGGTTATTTGTGGGGCATAGGAATTTGTTCATCCCCCTCCCCCAAAAAATATAGTCTGGCCCCCCGCAAAGTCTGAGGGACAGTGGACTGGCCCCCTGTTGAAAAAAATTGCTGCCCCCTGCTCTTGTTTAACACTTAACATGCACTAGTCTACATCCAGAGAATGCTAGTAATGCTTTTAACTCCACTTAAATGAGTGGGAAATAAGTTGTGGTTAGTTCATCCTAATGATTTCATTTGGGACTTGAGAACAACTTAATTTCTCTCGTTTCTGGGCTCTGAGTTTGTTTTTAAAAAGGTGTTTAGGAGTACATCAAGGAGGAGTTTGTGAAGAGAAAACAGACACGAAGGTTTTAAACCCACCTATTGAATGTAGGAATATTCACAGAGCCATATTTTCAACGTATAAACTGTGCTATTTTTTCAGTTTCATATACAACTTTTTTCTTGAATGAGCCACCATGGAATCAGAGTTTTAGAAACAAAAGCCTCATCTCAGGTTTGCCTGATCATTGTTTCCAAAAAAGATGATATCACAACCACAAGCTTCAAATAAACAACTAAATATATTTAAGTAAGAAATGGTGCTGACCAGTATAAGTCAATATAAGTGACAACTAAACATCAGGAAGCACTTTCTGACAGTAAGAGCTGTTTGTTAGTGGAATGGACTTCCTCAGAAGGCGGTGGACTCTCATTCATTGGAGGTTTTTAAGCAGAGGTTGGAAGGTCATCTGTCATGGATGTTTTAGTTGGCATTTCTGCATTGCAAGGGGTTCGACTAGGTGACCCCAGCTCTACAATTCTGATTCTATGACTAACTGGAGCATCCTAAACCAGGAATCAATGCTGTCACATGTTTTATTACACAACCAATACATTGTTTGAGCACCAATGTACATGCCACTGTCACTCCCAGGAGCATCTACAGTGTTTTGCCCACAAAGCTGTGCTTCCTTGTGCTTATGTAACTGTCAAGTGCTGGACTTCCCAAGGCTTCAGAGGTCACTTATGAACTATGTAAACATGCAGAAAAGGCCAACCATTTGGCTGGGTATTTTTATATATATTCTTGGCAGCAAGTACAAAAGCATAGCAGTTACATCACAAAATAATAAAACCTGTGCATTATAATGGATGTGGGGAGAAGCTACTGTTCAAATCTCCACTCAGCCATGAACCTGAATGGATAACGTTAAGCAACTCACTTCCGTTAGTTAATCTACCAATATTGTGAGGCTATAGAGACGGAGATAAAAATAAACAACTAAAAGTCACAAAGTATGAGAGAGACCGAGAACATGCACAGCTGAGGATGAGTTAATGTACTCTGTAGTTGGCAAGAAGGTTTTGTTGCTCAGACTATCAAGCCAGCCTTAGTTGGAAGCCTTTACAGGGTTCAGGGAATAACATATGACCTGCACAGACTTATTGGTACAAGGAGACTTCATGGGTAATGTGGTTGTCCTCACCTGAGTTTCTTCATTTGACCACCGTTGGGTGGTCTGAATCCCTACCTGACATCTCTGTTTTGGGCTCGAGTTGAACCAGTGCTGAAACCACATCAAGTCAAGGAATTTGGAGCATTGGCAGAGGGAACAAAAAGTTATTTGCAATATATCACTGTGCTTATTGAAATCCACTAAGATAGGGATAGCCAATATGGCATCTTCCAGATGTTGTGGACTGCATCTTGGGAAGAGGGGCTGGGAAAGACATCTTGGAAAGCTTCCATAAGTCAAATAGGCAGAGCTACATGGACCTATTGTTCAACCTTCATATGCTTTCATGTGATGGAAGATGCCCTGAACCATCTTTGATTTGATTTGCCTTTGGGAAGAGGCACTGGCAAGCTGAAGGAGCTCCACACTGCATGAATGACCTAGCTTGCAGATTGGGAAAGTTTCAACTGCTGTGCATTGTATTATGAAATGGCTGTTGTAGCTCAATGGCAGAGCCCATGTGTAGCACACAGGATGCCCCAGGTTCAATCCCTGGCAACTCCAGGTACAACTGAGAAAAACTCCAGTCTGAAACAAAGAAAGCTATTTCTGGTCAATATAGACCATACTGAACTAGGTGTCCAGATTCAGTATAAGGCAGCTTCCCATCTTCCTGCTCTTGGGGCAGGGTGGTGCAAGAGAACAGAATCAAACCCTTGGTGAAAGAATGGGATTTTCATGGCTCATCTGCTTCACAGAACACTTGCTCCCAATACATTTCCGAGCACAATTCAAAGTTTTGATGCTGACCTGACAGCCCTAAATGGTCTCAGCCCAGTATACCTGAAGGAGCGTCTCCACCCCCATTGTTCTGCCCGGACACTGAGGTCCAGAGCCGAGGGCCTTCTGGCGGTTCCCTCACTGCAAGAAGTGAGGTTACAGGGAACCAGGCAGAGGGCCTTCTCGGTAGTGGCACCCACCCTGTGGAACGCCCTCCCATCAGATGTCGAGGAAATAAACAACTATCTGACTTTTAGAAGACATCTGACGGCAACCCTGTTTAGGGAAGTTTTTAATGTTTGATTGTTTTGTTGCTTTATTATTATTATTATTATTATTATTATTATTATTATTATTCCATTGGGAGCCACCCAGAGTGGCTGGGGAAATCCAACCAGATGGGTGGGGTATAAATAAATTGTTGTTGCTGTTGTTGTTGTTGCTGCTGCTGCTGCTGTTGCTGTTATTGCTGTTTTTCCTTTGCCAAGAACCCACCACTTTGATCCTAAAATACATTTACTAATGGGACAAGCCATACAGTTTTCTTAGCGGCTACTTGTGATCAACATGCAATCTTGTAATTAGGGTGGAGCCTATCTGGTCACAAAGTTGCTTAAAGTATGTTTTTGTATTTTAGAATCAAAACAGCAGATGGACTTTCCTTCACACTCTGCTGATCAGCCAAAATGGAACCACAGGCCTTGGTAAACTTGTAAGAGAATCTGGATTTGAGAGCGGCTGGCAGTAAGCAGTTTTGATTCTTCCCATTCATATTTTATGGGGAGAAAAGGAAAAACAGCTGGCAGTAACTGTTTAATCATTTCAAAAGAAGCAGTAAATCGAAAATTTGCAGAATCTTAGTGCGATTTCACAACTGCCCTTCCGAAGCCAGCGTTACTCATTCCCCGATAGTAAAGCGGTACTATCCAGAGTCCAGCTTCTCTTGCCCTGGAGTATAATTCTCACCCTGGGTGGGAAGTTCTAGTAAAAACCACAGACTCTAAACAAAACAAAAAAAGCATTATAGTGTCACAGTGGAATATAGCTGCTTTAGTTGCTGAAAACGAGCTGAGTATTGGAAGATTATATTTCACTAGAAAAATAGGAGATCACATGCTGCTTCTCCAAGACTGCTTTCTCATGAGCAACTTCTACCAGCTGTGTGTGGATCTGGCACAGTTCAGCCATGTGCCCTATTCATAACTCAAGCCAAATACAGCCGTACCAATGGTTCTCGAACGCCTTGGTACTCGTACGTTTTGGGTCCCAAACACCGCAAACCCAGAAGTGTGTGTTCCAGTTTGCAAATGTTTTTCGGAAGCCAAACATCTGACGCGGCTTCTGCTTGACTGCAGAGAGCTTCTGCAGCCAATCGGAACCCAAGCCTTGGTTTTTGAATTGTTTCAGGAGTCAAATGGACTCCCGGAATGGATTAAGTTCGAGAACCAAGGTACGACTGTCTACCCTAACATTGCAAGCTGCTGAAATGGCAGTATTCCACACATGTACTGAATGTACCTGTAGCACCTTCTCTCTCTTTCTCCTTTAGATTCCAGGTGCACATTTTCTGTGAAACCTCTGGCTTGACCCCAGTCTCAATCATCAACTATAACCCAAACTACAGACAAGCGTAAGTAAGTACATGGGCCTGCTTTAGCTGCTTACATTTATCCACAGGTAGTGTGTCTCTCCCTGCCCTTTTCTCTATTGTCTTTTCTACTTCCAAAATTTAGATCTAAGCTCTGGGGGTGGGTGGGAGGCAGCAGAAGGGTCCAGGTATTTATTTATTTTTACTTATAACAATGCTGTAGAGTTCTGTGCATATTGTTGGCTCTGCAGTCACTGAATAAAGGTAAAGGTAAAGGTAAAGGTAAAGGGACCCCTGACATTAGGTCCAGTCATGACCGACTCTGGGGTTGTGGCGCTGATCTCGCTTTACTGGCCGAGGGAACCGGCGTACAGGTCATGTGGCCAGCATGACTAAGCCGCTTCTGGCGAACCAGAGCAGCACACGGAAACGCCATTTACCTTCCCGCCGGAGCGGTACCTATTTATCTACTTGCACTTTGACGTTCTTTCAAACTGCTAGGTTGGCAGGAGCAGGGACCGAGCAACGGGAGCTCACCCCGTCGTGGGGATTCGAACTGCTGACCTTCTGATCTGCAAGTCCTAGGCTCTGTGGTTTAACCCACAGCGCCACCCGCGTCCCGCAGTCACTGAATACAAAGTATAAATGAATGAATCATTCAGAGATCACTAAGGCATATTATTCAATACTTTCAGCTGGACAATTATGTTGGTTAGAAGTGAAGGAAAGAGACTATGGATTTATCCATACTTACTTTCCTCCACCCCTCTCTTTGCGTAGTCAGGCAGAGACCACCACCCCCTCAATCCCAGACAACACCCGGGTGGAATGGGATGAAAATTGGCCACAACTTTATTAAAAGTTTCAGATGTAGGGAGACCTTGGCTCAGGCATTGGGTGTTTATCCCTCCCAGTCCCCAGCTGGGGATCTGGGAGACCTCAGGGTTATCCAGAATGTGTGGGGATTGGGCTGGTTCTGGAAAATGTATGTTTAAGCAGAGAGCCTGCCCCCCATTTCACTGTGTCACAGGGGAGAGCAATGACAACCTCTCGGCGTATGGCCAATGCCTCCCCTCAAAACAACCCCTTTAACGGGAAACCCTGGGATTGCCGCCACCGCTGGGGGAGCACGGGTCACCGCTTCACGCCCCCCCCTTTAGGGAAGATAGACTAAAGAATTCCACCCAAGGCCTGAAACCACCAAAGGTGTGGCATTTTGCTACAGGCAAGGCAAAACCTGCCAATGCAGGGAAATCCCTTCCCGGTCCTTCAACAGCAACCATCAATGACCGTAGCAATGCCCACATAGTGGTAATGAAAAAAGGTTAAACTGCAAAAGGAATGCATGAAGCCAACTGAAGATTCCCATGTAAGTCACTCTATTGTGTGTGTGGGGGGGGGGACAGACCTAGCCCTACCTGACCAAGTCCCCTGGCAACGCCTCCTCCAGCTGGGACCGGCCAATTGTTGGAATCTTGGCGGGAACTTCCAGGTATCTGGCCCGGGAAGAGGGGGAGGGGAAGCCAGGCTGCCTAGCCGGGAGTTGTGTAGGATTGGGCGGGGCTGTGTGCACCCACACAAATGGTGCCCCCCATTTAATGTGGGGAGCGGTCATTCCAGGCACAGATTAGTGCTTAAAACTCCATGTCTGAGCTCCCTTTTTTGTCCCTAGCTTCCACACACGCACACACACGAAAACCTCTTTAGCATTCAATAGGAGCAAATGTTTTCTGCAGATTGGTTTGCACACAGGGAAAGCTAGAACCTAAAAAAGGGGGCACTCAGACATGGAGTTTTAAAGTGTGGACCATGCCTGGAAAGAGTGGGGGAGGGACCTAACATTTTGTGCATGTGGTAGAGTTGTCCTAAATGGGGAAAAATCTGTGATAAGATTGCTTATACAATCGGCTTAATGATTGGATATTCCATTTATTTTGACCCATGTGATATCACTTGGGTATCCCAAATAGGCTGGTTAAACAGGGCCATCCTGAGCTCATTTGGAACTATTTCTTGTGGCAGGGAGTTCTGTGATACATTTTTCACACTGGATATTTTCATACCAGGTTTTTACTTCAAATCAAATATTCTCTGTCATTAGCTTGCCTAGCAAAACATACATTTGTGAAACACAAACATTTCCTTCTCCACATCCTTACTGGGGGTGGGGGAAATGAAGTTGTCATTACAACTGGAAAACAAGTTAGGATGTGCAAGCGCCTTGACAAACAGCTTCTAATTCGACATAATAATGTCACAAGAGGCATCAGGTAATTGCAGTGTCGATCAGAAGATTGGCAACTGACTGCTGAAAGCTGAAGAGAAACTGAAAAAGGCAAGCAATTAGGGGGAGTTTTGGGAGTTAGGCATATTGCCTTAACACAGCTTTTAGAGTAACTGGGTGGGGAGAATTACACCTGTGACCAAAAAAAAACCAAAAACTATTCGGTCTGACAGGACATGTATTATGGAAATGATGTCTACATTTTTGAAAGAGAGTCATTTAATTTTACGTTAACACCCAATGAGGAAGTTGAAAGGGGACAAGGAAGACTCAGGACTTTATTTCTATGTTAACACCCAAACAGGGAGTTACAGTTCTGCGGCTGAACTGGATCTGCCCCATTCCGATCTGTGTGGGATATTGTAGAAGTCAATGACCCAACCTTTGCTGGCTTAAGAAAGACAGAAACTGTGCACATTTAAAAAAATGTGCATCCATGGTACATCCCGGATCGGTGACATAGGTTGCATAAACCAATTCAACCTTAATAAATAAATAAATAAATAGACTGAAGAGTTGGAGTAAGGGGGGATTCCTAGCTGCTGCTCCAGCACAAGATCATAAATACGAGGTCACATGAATGTTATACATATGTGATTGTGGTGTAAAATGTTGGTAAACATTGCCTTCCTATAGCTGGAAGCACTTATATGATTGACTTCTGGAACCAGCTATATAGGGGTTCCAAGCCGGCGAATAACAACCCAGCTGGAATCATCTGAAAGCACTTTTTCAAGCCACTACATTCACGCAACTAGGGGTGCAGTGGTTCCAGTCCTGCTTGGAGGGTCGTTCCCAGAGGGTGTTACTTGAGGAGTGCTTTTCAGCCCGTGGTGCAGCTGGTGCAGAATTCAGCGGCCACGTTGCTCACGGTTTGAGCATGTTGCACTGATCCTGGTCTGACTGCACTGGCTACCGATTAGTTTCTGGGCCCAATTCAAAGTGCTGGTTCTGACCTATAAAGCCTTAAACGGCCCAGGACCGCAATTCCTCAAGGACCGCCTCTTTCCATATGAACTTACCTGGACCCTGAGATCATCTTCTGAGGCCTTCCTTCGTGTGCCTGCTCTGTGAGAGATCTGGAGGGTAGCAGCACAAGAACGGGCCTTCTCTGTAGTGGCTCCCCGTCTGTGGAATTCTCTCCCTGGGGAAGTTTGCCTGGTGCCATTATTGTACACCTTTAGGCGCCAGGCAAAAATGTTCCTTTTTAACCAGGCCTTTGGCTGATCTAATCAACATCCTAAAATGAGTGCTCACTGGAAGGACAGATCCTGAAGCTGAGGCTCCAATACTTTGGCCACTTCATGAGAAGAGAAGGCTCCCTGGAAACGACCCTGATGTTGGGAAAGATTGAGGGCACAAGGAGAAGGGGACGACAGAGGACAAGATGGTTGGACAGTGTTCTTGAAGCTATCAGCATGAGTTTGACCAAACTGCGGGAGGCAGTGGAAGACAGAAGTGCCTGGCGTGCTCTGGTCCATGGAGTCACGAAGAGTCGGACATGACTAAACGACAAAAAATGTGGCTCTTTGTGTGCGTGTGATTGGATTATTATTTGATTTTATATACTGTGGTTTTTTTTGTGAACTGCCCTGAGACCTCCGGGTATAGGGAGGTATATAAATTCAATAAATAAAAATGAAATGAAATGCAAACTGCAAAGGCTGCATACAGAGCTGTGATATTGATATTCACACCCTCAGTCTTCCATACAATCCCCAGTGTGGGCTGTGAACTTCTGGAGGTGATATTGCCGGGTACATTAAGAGCTCATCCACACTTCCATTTGTCCCATACAGTGGTACCTCTGGTTACAAACTTAATTTGTTCCAGAGGTCCGTTCTTAACCTGAAACTGTTCGTAATCTGAGGTACCACTTTAGCTAATGGGGCCTCCAGCTGCCACTGCGCCGCCGCCGCACAATTTCTGTTCTCATCCTGAGGTAAAGTTCTTAACCCGAGGTACTATTTCTGGGTTAGCGGAGTCTGTAACCTGAAGCGTTTGTAACCCGAAGCATTTGTAACCCAAGGTACCACTGTATTTCATTTCATTTTTTACTGTGATTCCTAGACATGGGTCTAAGAGTTTTTTCTTGTGTCCCCCCTGCTTCCCCTGGGAAAACCCACTGTTTGCCGCTGCATCAGAACAACAGTAAAAACCAATTTGCTCCAGTTCAGCAATAAACAATGGGTTTTTCAGGGTAAAGCTGTGGAACAAAAGAAAAAGCAGACCGATAACTAGAAATCATTGGACAAATGTGCTTTTAACCATCTTCCCCTAACAATAGTGGCTGGGGAAACTCAGCCAGATGGGCGGGGTATAAATAATAAATTATTGTTATTATTATTAATATAGTTTGCCTGCATGCAAAGTTAACACGCTCATTGCAATATGCAAAGCTTGGAGCAACATACAAGACGGGCACTGACTCTTCAACAGGCCTTTAGATTGGGAGACAACCTGGTTGTTACATGTAAATGTAACTTTCCCATCAATGACCTTCTAAAAAGAAAAGAAAAGCATCAGTGAAGAGGAAAAGATGTTTTTGAGGGGTGGGGGGATGCTTAACCCTTCCCCTGCTGACTCCTTTTCTGTTAAAAGTTGAGTGAACTCAGCAGCTTTTCTCCATACAAGGAGAAAAAATGTGGGTCCCAAATTGTTTTCTGCCATTGTGATGATAGGGGAAACAGTTTGGAAGATGGATAATGAGCAGAAAAACAGCAGGCAGGGAAAGAGTCAAGAATCCTCCAACAACTGCAGATCAGTCTCCCAAGGGCTGCTTTCAGTTTTGTTTTCAATCCCATCAGGATTTAAATATTGGATATGATCTGGTTGCAGAATCCAAGTTAGCCCTGGGTCTCTGAGATAATGAAGATCAAGAAAAGGTGGGAAGTGTAGCTTTGTAAGGGAAGAAACAGTGCTCTCTTGGGGGGGGGGGGAGACAGACTCCCATTGAAATGAATGCACAAGCAAATTACCTGTGTAGGACTCCCAATCCTCTAGCAAAGACCAAGGGTAAAAGCCCCCTCCACAAATTAATGCCTCAATTGAGATCAGGGTGCCCATGCTGGCAATTTATGTAAAAAACAAAACAAAAACCAACCCTGCACTGAAGGGCACAAATAGAAATTGTCTCGTTTGGCCCCAACTCACTGATACGGAATGCCACAGAAATGATCAAAGCAAGTTGACTGCATAAAGCGTACCTTGTGAAGCTGGTCACATGGACTTGGGTCCTCTACATCTAACAGAGCTGCGTGGGGATGGAAGAGCCACTGGCTGCGGGGAGAAGGGCTGTGGCTTCTCAGAGTACAATTCTCCTGCAATGAAGAGGGAAGAAACAAGGAAACGAGGAGGATGTGAACTCAGAGGTAGGAAATTGAACTTTGCAAGAGCAACAACTCTAAACAAGGCAAAAGGGGAGACCCGACAGCGGCAAGTCAGAGGAAATGTTACGTCCCGTGTGCACTCATCCTGTTGTTTTCTCTGGTCAGCAGGATTTTGCACGTTTTTGTAGTGGCTCCAAAACCAGTTTGAACAGAGATTAGCTAAAGAACGAGCATGTGCATTGCAGCTGACGATGATGCCATCATATGATGTTCAAGTCTCTATGAGAAATTACTGCCCATGCCAGCCCAGGAACAGTGCATACAGCCGGAAGTCCTCCAATTCAAACTGGAGCTTGGGCAGAAGCAAGCTGCGGGGCTGTGAGCAAACCATTATTTCAGTCATCGTTAAAGGTAAAGGTAAAGGGACCCCTGACCATTAGGTCCAATTGTGGCCGACTCTGGGGTTGTGGCGCTCATCTTGCTTTATTGGCCGAGGGAGCCGGCGTACAGCTTCCGGGTCATGTGGCCAGCATGACTAAGCTGCTTCTGGCGAACCAGAGCAGCGCACGGAAACGCCGTTTACTTTCCCGCTGGAGTGGTACCTATTTATCTACTTGCACTTTGATGTGCTTTCGAACTGCTGGGTTGGCAGGAGCAGGGACCAAGCCACGGGAGCTCACCCCGTCGCGGGGATTCAAACCACTGACCTTCTGATCAGCAAGTCCTAGGCTCTGTGGTTTAACCCACAGCACCACTGCAGTCATCGTTAGGGAGAATTTAAAGGTGAACCTACCCAACCTGCACTTTCCAGAACCATATGTGAACCAAAACAATGCCATGGCAATTCTGTGAATTTTGCAATGCGGTTCTTCAACCAAGAGAAACACTCAGAGTCTGTAAGTTTTTCCCTTATTCTGCAGGAATGCATTCTACTTAATTGGAAAGGGGGCTGGTGATTTACAGGGCAATCCTATGTGTTCATACTCTGAAGTCTCATTGAGTTAATAAGAACATAAGAAGAGACTGCTGGATCAGGCCAAGGGACCATCTAATCCAGCATCCTGTTTTCATATAGTGACCAACCAGATGCCTAGGGGAACCCCAAAAGCACCCTCTTTGCCTGTGACTCTCAGCAACTGTTATTCAAAGGCATATTGCTTCCAACAGAAGAGGCAGGACACAGTCATTGTGGCTAGTGACCGCTGATAGCCTTTACCTCCATTAATCTTCTCTTAATGCCATCCAAGTTGATGACCATCACTGCCTCTGGTGGGAGCAAGTTGTGTGAAGAAGTAAACTTCCTTCTGTCTGTCTTGAATCTTTTTATTTATTTCATTCATGTATTAAATTTGTCTACTGCCCTTCATGCGTAGATCCCAGGGTTGTTAACAACAACAACAACAACAACTACAACATAATAATAATAATAATAATTCATACCCTGCCCATCTGGCTAGGTTTCCCCAGCCACTCTAGGCTGCTCCCAACAGACTATTGAAAAATATGATAAAACACCAAACATTAAAAACTTCCCTAAACAGGGCTGCCTTCAGATGTCTTCAGATAGTTGTTTATTTCCTTGACATCTGATGGGAGGGCGTTCCACAGGACGGGCACCACCACTGAGAACACCCTCTGCCTGATTCCCTGTAGCTTCACTTCTCACAGTGAGTGAACTGCCAGAAGGCCTTCAGAGCTGGACCTCAGCATCTGGACTGAATGATAGGGGTGGAGACGCTACTTCAGGTATACAGGCCCAAGGCCATTTAGGGCTTTAAAGGTCAGCACCAACACTTTGAATTGTTCTCGGAAATGTACTGGGAGCCAATGAAGGCCTTTCAGGAATGGGGTTATGTGGCCTTGGCGGCCACTCCCAGATAAAAACACAGAATACATAATAAAAAAGAGGAGGGAGGGGAAACCCCATGAACCAGTAAACCCTCCCCCCCCCAACATTCAGCTTCCTATGAATTCCAGAGTCATGAGAGGGGGAGGAAAACTTTTCTCTGAGCTGAATGAGACTTAACATCCTTGCAAACAGCATAGGCTTGAAACCTTGCACCAAAAGCTACGTGGAACCTGTTGACAATTGGTGAAAGGAGCAGTGGCTTTTGTAAGCAAGCCTCTATCTTCTGTAAGAGACATTGAAAGGAATGCAAAGCTCATAGTACAGCACTGTATATTATTCAGCATTTGTTGTTATTTTTCAGCGCAGAACTGAGTTTGAAATTCCAGCCCTGTACACTCATTGTATGATGTGGCTGCAGATTAAAGCATTGTGAAAAAGAGTTTGTGTTCTTTTTCCTACTCCACATCTTGCGTGCTGGATAATAAGTTTCAAGTAATTCACCACAGGCAAGCCTCACTGCACCGATGGGAATAAAATCAATTAGCTCAAATGGTTTAAGATGCTGTCATACACGCCAGCATCAAATTCTGTCCAAGACGACACCATCCAGACCTTCTGAGATACTTAGAATAGGTCAGAATGTGCCTTTGCCTGTTTTCACCATGTCAGGGCATAGGTTCATCTTGTGTTGCCTTTCAACTAGTACAGCCCCTTAAATTTTATCTTCCTTGCACTTGGTTGAAATTAGGGCATATCTATGATTTCCACCAACACCATCAATGTTGTTCATATGAATCTGATAGCATTAAACTAGATGCCAGACAAGCCTCACTGAAGGATGCATTCAATGCATGGTGATAAATTGTGGCTTCCCACTCCACCAGGTCTCAGTTGAGATTTCTGGTCTGGATCTGGTAGGTTTGCACTGCCACCTGTGTTTTTTCTCTTCCCTCTCTGTCCATTGATTTTGGAGCAGAGGAAACTAGTGTCTAAAACTAGCACTGGTTTATCATTTTGCTCGAGTGGTATCCGATGACTTAGGGAACCAGATGTCAACAGTGTTTGATTCACATTGTATAGCTGGATATGACTACACAAGTTAATGGCCTGGAGAAGGAGGACACAAAAATGCCCAGTGTCTCACAGTGAATGACTTAGAAAACCAGGTCTGTTACTCATGCATTCCTGCTGCAAAGGCCTGAGGTTCGGCCTATTGTATGATGCTGTCTGGTTGTGCCTCGAAAGATCAAAAGCTCATATAAATAATTGTTTCCTGTTTTCCCCCTCTTCTCTTACTTTTCTGTGAGATCCCGTGCCATTTGAGTGTCTCACGTTTTGCATTTGTGTTCAGCATGTTATAACTGAGTGACTCACGCTAACGAATGACTCAGTAAACTACGCTAATTAAAAAATATGAGTAAAGGCAGGAGTTTACTTGTGCCAGCCCTTAAACAGGAGTTTCTATCACAGGGTGAAGCTCCTCTGAAGCAGGGGACCAATTTTTCTGTGGAATGCCCTGAGGGTCAAACTCCAAAGCCAAAAACAGAAGGCTGTGGTTACTGCTATGCTCTCTGCCCTTTCCCAAGCTGGAAGAAGATCTAGGCAAGGGTTCACCAACCTTTCAGAGACTGTGGGCACATCTGCAAACTGAAGACACTGTTGTAGGCACCACACAAACATCACCACTTTTCCTTGGGCCACAATATAATGCTTATTTGAAGCCTAGTTTTAGACAGAGGAGGAGAACCAGGGATGCTGCTGTGTGAATATATGTGCATTTCATTAAGATGAGAGCATTAATATTGTCTTGGTAAAAAAATCTGGTGTGTTTACAGCAGGATGGGGAATCTTTGGTCCTCCACATATTGCTGAACTAGAACTCCCAGCAGCTACAGCATGCAGGGATAATCGGAGTTGCAGTTTATCAGCATCTGGAGGGCCAAAGATTCCTCAGCCCTGATTTACAAGCAGAGCATAAGGAAGGCAATGAAGGCAAACAGTGGCGTAGTGTGGGTTGCGAGTGCCCGGGGCCACGTGGAGGGAGGAAATGGATGGAGTGCGTATGCACATTCAACTGCCTAACGGTGTCCATGTTACCCAGAAGATCACAGCCACAGAGATAAGAAAAGAAGAGTTGTTCCATTGTCTGGAGAGGTCACTTCCTGGTTTGCATGGAGAAGCCATTTGCAATGGAGCCCAGCAACAGAAGCACACAACTGTATTGAGGCAACACTGGGTCTTGAAATTTTGCACCTCTAATAAACTTAGAGGCTACAGGGATGTAATAAGTCTCTGAAAATGTGTTTATTGGATTTGCATCTCAACATTTCCCCAGCCAAGTTGGTTGCTGTTAGTGATGACACTGGGAGCGGGTTCACCAAGGTATTTGTGGCATGGAAAGGAGGTACCAAGACAGGTGGAGTCGCAGCATGCTTTCAGATTTTTGCTGGATGCTCCAGAAGCAAAATATAGACATTAGACAACATCAGCGCATTCATAAGTTAATAGAGTCTGAAAGATCACATGTTAAAGAGGGAGAAGTAGTGGAATAACTACAGGTTGGGACATACCAGTATCTTATGTGATTCACAAGCAAGCATGAAGCTACAGTAACACAAAAAAACGAAAGCAAAAAACACCTGCTAATGTAGATTGTACCCTGTTATGTATGCATGGATGCTGGACAGAATCTGACTGCCAGTTAAATAAATATCTGGAATATCATTGACAGATTTAAGCTAAAGATTCAGGAGGCAGCAGCAGAAGAGAGAAAAACAGTAGTTTAAAATAGGCTGGGTAGAAGACTGGCAGATACAGCCTCATCCTTCAATAAGTCAGGAAAATGGACTGTTGCTGCTATATTTTGATATTTCTGCTATGTTTAATTTTGTAAGTTGGCCAAAAGTACGGAGTAGCAAACACCAATGCTATTATCACTTTGATTCCAATTGAAAGGAAATTGATGAAAAAGGATAACTAATGTGGTTAACCAATGTGCCCTCCCCATGTTGCCAGCTACTATTCCCATCAGCCCAATCCAGCATGGCCAATGGTCAAGGATGATGGGAACTGTAGTCCAGAAACATCTAGATAACACCTCATTGGCTATTGCTAGGTTAGCAGTATGCAGACCTAAACCATGCATATAGTAATCTTATTCATAACATTCCAGAAAAGCTGCAGCAGTTACAGCTTGGGGGGGGGGGGATTCAAGGTTACTTGGAATTGACTGCAAAAGTCATTAGGATGGTGCAGAATAATGGCACTTTCCTTAGTATGTTGTCAAAACCTGTCAACAACATGAGCCCCTCTGGAGTTTTTTAGGTTTTGTTCTTTATTCCTTCAAGTCCCTGGAATTCCTAGGTCATGTCACTATGATGGTTTCTCCAGTGGAACACAGATGGTTGTGACTTCCTCCTCTGTGGTTCAGCAGCACCCCTCCTGAGGAGACCAGAAGCACTTCAGCTAGCTATGCAATGGGTGTGCATTCCCCTGTTGAACCTAAGTCTGTGAACTTTGGAAGTCACATTTCTGTGTATGTAATAAATTGCTCCTGTTATTCACTCTGCTGTTATTTTTTCTTGTCCTGTTACCTTTTCCTACTTCCACTCACTAACAATGGCTCATTCATTTATTCCTCTTCAGTACATGAATGGATTAGCTGGGAAAGTCCATTCCACAGCAGAATTACTGGAAGAACCAGTGGTCTCCTCCCACGATTGGTCTGCTCACTTAACATTTCTGTATTTAGTTCCTGTTATAGCTCTGCTCTACTAACTCTGCCATCCTCAGCTGTACGCCAGTAGCTCCCAAATGATTATCTACACCATCCAATTGAAACAAGCTGCAGAACTTGGTAGACCACTTATTAGTAATTACAAGGTGCTGTGCCTGTATGATATTCATTGTATTCGTATTGCTTCTTTTTTATTATATTTTGTTGTATTCCACAGAATTCAAATTGCAATACAATAAAATACAATGTAAGAAATAAAAAGCAATAAAAACACAATTAAAAAAATCAATATGAATATTCAGTGTGATGGATGCTCTGTCTCCCATTTTCAACCACAAATCCACATGCAATGTGGACCACCTGAATGAAGCTCTTAGATGACTGGTGGTCCATAGGCCAGTTCTGGAAATCCTGTTCTCCTTTGTTCAGCAGCTCTGACCATTCTCTTCCACTACCCTCAGTGCTTGTCCTGCCTAACATACAACATTCATTAACTCACAAAATGTCATGTATACCAAAACAATAAAGCAGATAATTGTTTTAAAAGAGGGTGAAAGGGGTTGGTGGTGATGTGAGCTAATGAAGGAAGTTCATATTATAAGTTCTTAGTAGAAGTTGTTGATCAAAAAGTTCTGGAATCATAGAATTATAGAGTTTGAAGGAAACCCGAGATTCATTTAGTCCAAACCTCTGCAATACAGGAATCTGAACAAGATCATAAATGATAGCCATCCATCAATGGAGACCTCATATCTGTATATGTCCCCTGAGCATCTTTATGAACAAAAGCAGTTTTTTAAAATATGTAATTGCTAGATCTGTTAAACTCCTCAGTCTATGTGAATATGGCTTTACCTGCTGCAGTTTCAGGAAACTGCAAAATAAAAGGAAACACAATCAAATTAACATGATCAAGAGCTCTAAGAAGATGAAGATTGGATTGTTTATTTCTTTTTTTATTATTATCATTAGGATTGCTCTATAAAATTGATGAATGCTAGAAAAATGTTGAAATGAAATTACTTGGCTCTTGTAAAAATGTCTAAAGAATTTGGTAAGAATGTTATGGTTAGGAGAAGTTGGTAAAAATAAGATTTAAGTTTTAAACTTTAAGGTTTTCTATAAGATAAGATGAAAATAGATTAAGGTAATGTAATGACAGAATACTATGAATTATGGAAAGGATTTGCTGCGATTATTATTAATCAGGATACAAGAAAAGGGAGGAGGAGGAGGTCAAAGAAAGAAGGTATTGAAAGGGGAGAATTTGAGAATGATGGTTTTATTATTATTATTTTTTTCTGTCTTGTCTTTTTTTTGTGTAATTTTTTTAAAAAAAAATTCAATAAATATCATTTAAAAAGAAAAAAAAAGAGCTCTAAGCCGCAACTGAGATATCAACTTCTATCCAATCGTGATGAGTTTTTGCTTGTTCACAACTGACTGAAAATAAAGGCTGTTTTATTAATTTAGCATGAGAATTAAAGCTCATAGTATAGCTTTCTCAAGTATGTTTTCTCTATAGATTTATGGGCTTATAAAAATGCCCCCAGCTGTTTGAAATCTACTCGCAGGAGTAGACATTAAACCAAGATGCAGCTGAAAGTGTTTGAAAGCAGTAGCATTTAATTTATTCTTTAGGGGAAAGAAGAGTCACAGACTTTTATGGTAATTTCTAAGTGTCCTGATTTTTTATTTTTTTTAATTATTGAAAATTCTTTGCAAGCCCTGGTTGCACCTGGTGTTTAGCTACTAACTCAGCAAATGTTTGTGTTCTTGTTGGAATTTAGATGCAGCTTGACAGAACGTCACTCTAGTCTGGAGGCAATGACTGTGATTTTTTAAATACCTTCTTCAACCATATCCTTTTAAGGTAGAAAACCTTACATCAACACACATCTCAGACAACTTCCTGTAACAATTACTTTCCTAAGAAGCACGAACATATCAGCAGTTTGCCACTAACTTCTGGTGCATGCCACAGATTTCAAGATGTTTGACATTTGATGTCGGGATGATTGGCCCACCAAATAAAAGAAAAAAGATAAAACTACTATTCTACCCTTGAAGACCACAGTGCATTTCTTAGCCGTTTTCCAGTTGAAACTTAATTTCCTGTAAGATGGCCTCAAGGATGAAAAATGAGTGGAAGAAAATTAAAGAGAGATGATGCTGAACAACATTCTGAATGCCCACATGTTTAAGCAAAATACAGATTCCAGACTATCTTTGCTACCATAGCAGAAATTGGCCCCATAGAATTTGATTGGTTCAGTAAAAATCAGTAATGCTTATTTGCAAGGAAATCTTGAATGGGATGTTTTTATTGGTGGCAGTGGTGGTGAGATTCCAGTGCTCTAAATAGATTGAACGGCAGTCAGCATGTTTACTTGTTTAATATTTAGTAGTTACAAAACTAAACTAGTATACACGTCATGTTATTTTTTGTGTGTGTTATACAAACAACTCAGGAAGTTCTTCCAATTGCCAAAAGTAGATGAATGGGAATGTTTTATTGGGTGGGGAGCAAATCAGTAAAGCATACTCCATTTGGTTTAAATATCATATTCAAAAAATATTTTTATTGAAATAGTTGTAAATATTTTAAGACTGGCAGCAGCTCAGCAGCATATGCTTCCCTTATGTAATTTAAATTTTAAGAAAAATATGAACGCACCGTAAATGGTTCATAAACCAATTTTAGCACATTCAGATTGCTGTTCTGCTTTGGTGGATATGTGGGGTTCTGTGTATGTGTGTCCTCATGTGCACAAATGCACACATGTGCATGTACTTCCTATGGGTATTTTATTTGACTGGTATGGTATACCTACGTTATGTGGATTGTTCATTTCATAAAAGAATGCAGTTTTAGAAGTGAAAACATTTCTGCAGAAAAATGCAAGACGGGGAAAATCGCCACCAATTTTTTTTCACCCCACAACAGTGTATTCTTCAGCCCTGAATAAGCTATAATCCTGTTTTCCTAGACTAGCCAGATATGATAAATGGCTGTAATACAGGGGTCAGCAAACGTTTTCAGCAGGGGGCCGGTCCACTGTCCCTCAGTGGGGGGGGGGGACTATATTTTTTGGGGGGAAATGAACAAATTCCTATGCCCCACAAATAACCCTGAGATGCATTTTTAATAAAAGCACACATTCTACTCATGTAAAAACACACTGATTCCCAGATCATCCATGGGCCAGATTTAGAAGGCGATTGGACTGGATCTGGCCCCCGGGCCTTAGTTTGCCTACCCATGCTGTAGTATATTTTATCTAATAAGAGTTGCCAACCCAATAGTTGCAAGCACCCATGTGCCCAGTACTTTTCTCTGGGGGTACGCAGGGGTACGCATACCCCTAAACATTTTGTGAATCTAAGTTTGGCCTCATTGAAGGGCAGTATTTCAATATGAATTGGAAAGTGAGAGTACAGTGGTACCTCGGGTTACATACGCTTCAGGTTACAGACTCCGCTAACCCAGAAATAGTGCTTCAGGTTAAGAACTTTGCTTCAGGATGAGAACAGAAATCGTGCTCCGGTGGTGCAGCGGCAGCAGGAGGCCCCATTAGCTAAAGTGGTGCTTCAGGTTAAGAACAGTTTCAGATTAAGAACGGACCTCCGGAAGGAATTAAGTACTTAACCCAAGGTACCACTGTACCCGTAAACATTTTTTTTAGAAAGAAAGCACTGCATGTGCCTAACAGTTGACTCCTACGGTGCGTCCCCACAAAAGAACTCAGTAAACAGCTCTTCACAAATTTACAATGGGGCTTTTTAGTTTAAAGAAAAGCAGACCCTCCAAGTGTCCCTATTTCCCAGGGACGCCCCTGATTTAAAGAAGCCATCCCGGTTTCTGATTTGATCCCAGAATGTTCTGATTTCCTTCGGATGTCCCTATTTTCATTGGAGGGTACAGTCGCAGAGACTGTGCAATCCGATGCAGGTCTCGTCAGAAGTAAGCCCCACTGATTTCAAAGAGGTTTACTCCCAGGTAAGCGGGCATAGGGCCATAGGCTCAAGGAGATCAACATGGGGGGGGGGAACCTACAGAATAAAGCAGGAGACATCTTCCATAGCGGAAAAGCAAAAAAATGGAAAGGTGTTTTTTTAGTTAATATGGTAGTATTTAAAAGAGCGTGGGGAAAAGTCGTGGAAGAGATGCTCAACACAATACTGTTTTCACATGCTTTCTACTTCAGGGCCTACTTACTATAATTAGCCTGCCACAAATGTTTCAAAATAAGGACAGATTGACGGAAGAAAGTGCTCCAAGGGTGAAGACTATTGTTAGGCAGATTTTTCTCTTTGGAAGTCAAGAGAAAAGAAGGCAAACATTTAAAGTGTGGGCTTTAATTGAGTACATAAACACTCCATAAGTGAACAACTGCCTTAAGAAACAGGAATGAGGAACATTTGTCTTGTGTGGACTTTCAGAGGTAACCTAATAGCTCAACAGTGGTCTAGGCTCTTGGGTTTTATCACCCAGTTTTCACCTCTCTTATCTGGCAATTGGTGACTTTGGCACAAGTGCAAAGTGACACATAAGTGCTGCTACTAACTCTTTAAGAAGGGGGAGATTGGGGAATGAAGGAGGAGCCAGCAGTGCCGGATTTACGTATCAGCTAAACAAGCTATAGCTTAGGGCCCCACTCTCTTGGGGGCCTCCAAACAATTTAAAGGAAAAAAACCTGGATGTACATTTCCAAAATATAACATAAAAAACAAATAAAATAAAACCTACATACAGCAACAGTGTTCTGTGTTGTGTAGGCTCCTATGGTGTAAGTAATGGGCCCCGTCTGCTAGCCAGCTCCCTAAAATATCACTGGTTTGCTCATTTCTATATATGGGGTGCCTACATTCTGCTATTTATAATTATTGGTAGTTTGCATCATATATTTACATATATTTACATATATTTATTATTTCATGTTATAGTAAGTTTCTAGAGACTATTGTGTTTCTGAATGAACTTTTGTTATTGCCAAATGCCAGTGTGTTTGCATTAAGTTTGTTATGAATAAAAAATCATTTTAAGTTAGAGCTTAATAATTATTTCACTATTAATATACTTATTCTTAATTGTATTTCAGTTCAACAATTACTTTGATAAAATACATATTTTGTTATGTGCAAATGGCTTTAGATACCTATTAGGTCCATAAATTACCATATAGCATATATTCAACACAAAAAACAGCGACAATTTGTTGTTGACAAAGGGCAGCTGGACATATAAAGGGCCCCATTACCTTCAGTAGCTTAGGGCCTCACCAAACCTAAATCCGGCCCTGGGAGCCAGTAATGCCCCCCCACACCTCGTGTTGTCTTTTATATGTGCTGCAAATTTTGATGAATTTATGTTTCGTCCAATTTATATAAAGGAAAAAAGGTTTTTATTTTTTTAAAAGTGGCCTAGCTAACATGCCACATTAGACCAGGGGTCAGCAATCTTTTTCAGCCGTGGGCCAGTCCACCGTCCCTCAGACTGTGTGGTGGTCCGGACTATATTTTTTGGGGGGGGGGATGAACGCATTCCTATGCCCCACAAATAACCCAGAGATGCATTTTAAATAAAAGCACACATTCTACATATGTAAAAACACGAGGCAGGTCCCACAAATAACCAAGAAATGCATTTTAAAGAAAAGGACACATTCTACTCATGTAAAAACATGCTGATTTCCGGACCATCCGTGGGCTGGATTTAGAAGGTGATTGGGCCGGATTTGGCCCCCGGGCCTTAGGTTGCCTACCCCTGCATTAGACCATAGTGCACAAAAAATAATATGGTCTAATGCGAGCAAGGAGTGTACTGATCCCACTCCTCAAAAGTTTCCTGCAGCACTCCTGCCAATGCCACGTCTCAGATGAAACAAACTGGAGTCTGGCATATTTTTTGTCCAAGGTCTTGAAATACATATGAAATGTGTTATGGTGCAAATACTAACAATAGCATCCTCCAGGGCTTTCCCCCCCAGCTGGAACTCAGTTCCGGCACCTCTCAGGTGGGTGCCATTGCCATTATAAGAGAACCAGGGAGGCATTCATGGTGAGTTCTGGCACCTCTAAGGGCTTTTTAATTAATTCATTAGTATTTGCCATGAAGCCTTCCCTGCGAAAATGCACTCTTTAACGCTCTTGGCAACCAACAGACAACCCAATTTGTCATTTGTTTCAATTCAGCATTAAAGAGTGGGTTTTCCTGGGGAAAGTAGTGGGGCACCAGAAAAAGAAAAACTGATCAGATATGGGCAAGAATAATGTGGGCTTGTGCCTAGAAAGCAAGAGGTAAGTGTGGACGAAAGGGATAGTGACATAAATCTTTAGTTCTTAGAGGATTGTACCACATACTTTGCAAATCAGGGAATGGGTGTTCGGGTGGTCTCTGACATCAGAACTCTGCATATAGACAACTAGCGCATCAGAGAGAGGACCAAAAGCTCAAATCTTTTTCCTTGATATGCAAGATGCAGGGAAGTTTTGTTTTGAAATTGAATTGAGAATTCAAAAATTCATTGATATAAACTTCATACATGCAAACTGAAACGGGACAGTCCTGGAAATCTAATCCTGCGTGCAAGACTCCCTGGACACTTGAATTAGCTTCAGCTACCTGCTCATTTCCAGTAAGAAGAAAGGGAGCGGGAAACAGAAAACAGAGGAAGCAACACTGAGAAAGCAAGATAAATATACAAAGCTGCTGAGTCACAGCCTCAAGAGGGGAGGAAAAGGCAATGCCATAATGGCAAAATACAGTAAACGCACTCAACTAAGTTATTCTCCTCCACGCACAAAGAAGCTACATGCAAGTTTCTCTACCTGCAGGCTGTTTGTCAATGAATGCAGCACGGGCTCTTTCATATCAGATCTGCCTTTTAAATCACCTTTGCTTTGAAATAATCTCCACGTGTTTCGTGCAGGTTGGGAGCAGGTCACTGTACAGAGCTCTGACTGACAAAAACTCAAATCTCCCTTTGCGTGCATGCAGCTCGTTGGGTCATTAGGAAGTGTTTACATTTAAATGACATGATTTTCATATGACCCATTCGTTTAGGACTGAATGAGCATTTCCACAGGAGAACTAACTTGCATTTCCATAGTAGGGAGAACAACTGCACTACAGTGGTACCTCGGGTTACAGATGCTTCGGGTTACAGATTCCGCTAACCCAGAAATAGTACCTCAGGTTAAGAACTTTGCTTCAGGATGAGAACAGAAATCGGGCTCTGGTGGCGCGGCAGCAGTGGGAGGCCCCATTAGCTAAAGTAGTGCTTCAGGTTAAGAACAGTTTCAGGTTAAGAACAGACCTCCAGAACGAATTAAGTTCTTAACCCGAGGTACCACTGTACTTTAACCACTACACTTGCTGCTGGGAATGTTTTCTTTGAACTCCTTACTAGATCAAGCCCCTTGTAAGGTACCCCCCCGTCTCTAACACATCCTACAACCTGAGGACCCCAGCCTTTGCTCAGGATTTGGCTGAGCTAGCTTAACAAGGGCATTGTGAAAGATTGTGCGTCTTAGGGACATGGAGTGTGTGTATGTAAACTTAAATATGCTTATTTTTTTTAAGTTGCATTTTGTTAATGTTATTATGTTTTACAGTAGTACCTTGGTTCTCAAACTTAATGTGTTCCGGAAGTCTGTTCCAAAACCAAAGCGTTCCAAAACCAAGGTGTGTTTTCCCATAGGAATTAATGCAAAACGGATTAATCCGTTCCAGACTTTTAAAAACAACCCCTAAAACAGCAATTTAACATGAATTTTACTATCTAACAAGACCATTGATCCACAAAATGAAAGCAATAATCAATCTACTGAACTATAAAATAAATAAGACAGTATTGGAGATGATAAAAATTAAAATTAATATTTTTTCCTTACCTGCACTGATGATAGTCATTGTTTGGATGGGGGGGCTTTTATCCATTTCCGCAGTCACACAATCAATCAATCAGTAGATGAACTGGGTTCCACACAGTCACAAAAACAAATTAACTGAAAAAGCCTCAAAAACAAAAACACAAAATAAATAGCAAATACAAAAGCGCCAAACTTAATCTGTTCCAGAAGTCCGTTTGACTTCCGAAATGTTCGAAACCAAGGCACAGCTTCTGATTGGTGCAGGCGCCCCAGAAACAATAGCTGACAGCTACATCGGACGTTTGGCTTCTGAAAAACATTCAAAAACCAGAACACTTACTTCTGAGTTTTTGGCGTTTAGGAACCAAGGCGTTTGAGAACCAAGGTACCACTGCATTATGTTATTATTGGTTGTTTGTAAGCCGCTTTGAGATTCACTTGACTGAAGAGTGGCATAAAAATACAATCAATCAATCAAATTGGAGTAGTGAATAAAAAGGTGACCAATAGTCCAATTCATAGCATTGGCACAGTTATGGATCTACAGTTCTTTCTCCCCGGCAACAAAGCTACAGCAGCTGCTGAGTTTCTGCCTACTGCTGCCTCGCTAAACTAGGCCCAAATCTTCCTCAATCTTCCTTCGTTTTCTTTTATTCCCGAATCATAAACACTCATGGAATGATTCTGGTAATTTTTACTATCTGTTTATAGACAGTTGCCAAGCAAATAAAAAGGGGGAAATTATACAGCATGAGTTTTGCTTGCCTTGCTCTCATAATAAAATGGGTGAGAAAACAGTGGATGAGAAACACGGATGATGTGTTTAGAAATCTACAGAAACCTAGGTCCCATCAAGGCAATCGCCATGTTAGAAATCTCACATTTGATGATAAACAGATTATCTCAATCGTGCAATAAACATGATTTCCACCCCCATCACACTGAAATAATGTCAAGCACAATATGTATAAGCAGTTTAGGGAACCCTTAGCCCTCGCTAATGGTGCAATGGTATCTCCTTCCAGGGACAGGATCCAACTATCAACACACATCCTGGTGGTATCTCTGAAAATCTTCCTCCTACAGACAAGCAGAGTTCTGAAGAATGCAGAAGGAGCCCTTTACTTGCACAGCTGTGTGCTCAGGGGCTCCATCTGAGTGCTCAGATGAATAAGGGGCAGGGTCTGCCACCCATGAGCTACAAGCACTTAGTATCTACAGATACTAATAATATGGAGAGTAAGGAGCAGAGAGATAGAGCAAAAACCTGAGTGAGGCTAGCAATGGAGATGGCTTTCTAACCTCAGACGCATCTGCTGTTATGGGCATCTGCTGGAATATTCCCAGGGTGGGGTGAAGCAGAGCACTGAAAGGAGGTCTGTACATTATACAGTGGACGCTTGGGTTGCGAACGTGATCCGTGCAGGAAGCACGTTCACAACCCACATCGCTGCGTCTGCGCACGCATGGGTCGTGATTTAGTGCTACTGCGCATGCACGAGTGCCAAAACCCGGAAGTAACCCGTTCTGATACTTCCGGGTTCGGCACGGTGCGCAACCCGAAAACGTGCAACCTGAAGTGTCTGTAACCCGAGGTACGACTGTACCTCATATCTCAGGTTCTACAAATTCTAGAAACTTACTCTTTTTTTAAAAAAGAAAGAAAGCTTGGAACCTAATGATTATGGTTTATATGGGGCAGGGCTTTTTTTCAGCTGGAACTCAGTTCCAGCACGTCTCAGGTGGATGCTATTGCCATTATAAGAAAGGAAGGAACGTGTTCATGGTGAGTTTTGGCACCTCTTTTTCTAGAAAAATAGCATGGGCTGGGAGGATAACAGCCTCCTTGTCTCTTCCCCGATTGACTCCTGTGGGACTGGTACAATTTTTGGCTCCTGACATCCTTATTCGTATGTATCAGGCTTGATGACTCAGTGTAGGTTTACATGATCATCAATGTTCTCTAGATGAGCCTTTGCCAACCAGGTGTCCTCCAGATGATGTGGATTACAACTCCCAGCAGGGCCAGTACAATACATCTGGAAGGCACCGGGTTGGCAAAGGCTACACCAGATCACTTTAGGCAAGGTCCTGGCCTGGTTCAAATGGGAAATCATGCTTCCCTGTTATGAGAACACAGTGCAGAAATGTCTTGGGCTCCTCTCCCCTTTCCTTCCTTTGCATGTGAGAGAATGAAATTTAAAGCTTCTCCCTGCAATTTGGAACAACATGATGGTAAATGATCATTTGTTCCACCGTTTCCAGTCAAAGTGAGTTCACAAACCAGAATTTGAAACCAGTTTGATATTAGTTGCTAACTATTTCTCGAACACTTTTAAATTGCAATGGGAACCTCAGACAGAAGCTTCAGGAACTTCCCCACCTGGTGTCTCAAGGAGGGAAGGAAGGGGAAGATACGAGTCTGATCCTTGCTACAACATGTTTTTATAACAGGAATTTTTTTAAGTCTGAGAGATACAGTCGTACCTTGGAAGTTGAACGGAATCCGTTCCAGAAGTCCGCTCAACTTCCAAAACGTTCAAAAACCCAAGCGCAGCTCCTGCAGCCAATCAGAAGCCGTGGAAGCCGTGTCGGATGTTCGGCTTCCAAAAAAAGTTCAAAAACCGGAACACTCACTTCCGGGTTTCAATTGTTCAGGAGCCAAAATGTTCGGCAACTAAGCCATTCGAGATCCAAGGTACGACTCTAATTAAAAAATTAATAATCAAGTGTCCCATAATAGCTTCTGTCTCTATGGACACTTCCAGCCTGTCACTGTTTCATGTGGGATTCAGTCACATACCAGCACATTTTGATTATGCAGTTGACCCACCCTAGTTTTTGTGACTGGTTTTTCTTTTTTTGTAATTGTAGGTTTATTTTAATGTTGTATTTTAAATTGTTGAAAGCTGCCCTGGGACCTTAGGGTGAAAGACAGGTAACATATTAAAATAAACTGCTGCTGCTGCTGCTAATGATGATGTGCTGATTTGTGTTCTAGTACCACAAAGCTCTCTCCTCCGTGCAACTATTTGCAGTAAGGAAAGTGACAGTGAAATGCATTCACAAGGGAGGATAACCCTTGCTGCTTTGCACACATCCCAGAAAACAAATGAGAATGAATGTTCAATAAATAGTCGATGCTGTGTGATCTTCCCACAAACTTATTCAAACGAATCAAGATGAATGCTCAAGAAACAGTTCACCTGGAAGTCACCCCTGTGAATTTGCAAATGCCTTCTTCTTCTTTTTAAAGAAAAACTGGAAAACCAGTCAATGCAGTTCTACTTAACAGTTGAAGAACCATCCCACCCAACTCCGTCTTCCAAGAACATAGCCGTGGAAAGGAGTAGGTATGTTTGGATCACTTCCAGATCTGTCACAGTTCTCTAAAATTGCTATGTCTGTCTTCGTCCAAAATAGCTGGAAAGTTGGGTTTCCCCCTTTCGCTTAATATGCCAAAGACATCCACAATGCCAGTTTTCAATTTCTTGGCACTGCTATAACATTGTTTGTAAAGCTGAACTTCCTATTGTAGCAACTAGAGGCAAAAAGTGAAGGATGTCACTTCCTTGCATCAACTGAAAATGGATTCTTTTCATTCCTTCTCTGGAGGTAGAAAGAAGCTGGTATCAAATAAAGAAAGAGCAAAAAAAAAAGGCTTGCCTCTCTTCCAGCTCCTTATCAGTCTAAATATATTTGAATAGCAGATTGCGCCAGGAAGTGGTTCTAAATATGCTGCTAGTTGGATATTCACTTTGAAAAGGACTTCCAAAGTCATGGAGTGCTGCTTATAGGGTGAAGTGTCACCTGTTTGCGGCTTGCTAGTTTAAATTTAGAAGAAGCTGAACTAGGCACACACAGCTTTCATCAAAGAAATGTGGAAACTATAGTTCACCACTTGCACAGCTACAATTCCCAGCACCCTTAATAACCTACAGGATTCTTTGTGGGGAGGTTGCATGTTTTCAAAGTGCTTGAAATGTATGGTGTGTATTGAAGCCTAGGACTGCAATCCTATACACAACAGAGTAAGCCTCATCGGACTCAATGAGACTTACTTTTGAGTAGGTGTGCATAGGCTTGCACTGTAAGCTCTTTTACAATAAAAACCCCCACTGTAATAATGTTAGTCCTAAGCCAAAAATAACAGGAAAACCAGTGATGTGATTTGAGGTCATGTCTTGTCCAGAACCTCCTACAGATGTTTCATCAACAAAACAACCACTGGAGTTCATGTTCTGGCGCAAAACAGCTTTAGACCATTACTGTCCTATATGCATTTTCCTCTCAGTTAATTTTGTTGATCCGAGTGTAACAGAAGCCAGAAGTGCAACGTGGATATTATATTGTGCATGCTTGCATTAGTCTATGGGCTTATACCTGTGGATTTCTTATGATGTCTGGATTGCAATAACATACCAGTTGCTCAGCTGTAGCCTGCTGACTTAAAAGTACAGAAAACATGGGCAAATGTGAGTTGCTACTTAATTGCATTAACTGCATCATAGGTAAAGGTAAAGGTACCCCTGCCCGTACGGGCCAGTCTTGACAGACTCTAGGGTTGTGCGCTCATCTCACTCTAAAGGCCGGGAGCCAGTGCTGTCCGCAGACACTTCTGGGTCACGTGGCCAGCGTGACAAGCTGCATCTGGCGAGCCAGCGCAGCACACGGAAACGCCGTTTACCTTCCCGCTGGTAAGCGGTCCCTATTTATCTACTTGCACCCGAAGGTGCTTTCAAACTGCTAGGTTGGCAGGCGCTGGGACCGCACGACGGGAGCGCACCCCGCCGCGGGGATTCGAACCGCCACCATGCAATCGGCAAGTCCTAGGCGCTGAGGTTTTACCCACAGCGCCACCCGCGTCCCAACTGCATCATACCACATACATTTCCCCATAACTCACTTTTGCAGGAGCCAGACACACATCTGGGCTCCTCAAAAGCCCATTTGCACCCTAGAAAACCTCAGTTTGGCAGTTACGAGAGCATTTCTGCAGGGAATACACTGTCCTAAAGCCAAAAAGCATCCGAAGTTAGAAGTGAACTTGATCAATAGGGTAACCAGATGCAACACAGGAGAGAGTTCCTAGGTGAACAGGAAAAGGCAGAGGGTCTTGGGAGAAGGAGAATATCAGGCAGAGGTGAGAAAAGCTGAAACTGTTGATGTTCCCTATTTTGCCCTTTGTACAGTGGTACCTCAGGTTACATATGCTTCAGGTTACATACGCTTCAGATTACAGACTCCGCTAACCCAGAAATAGTACCTCGGGTTAAGAACTTTGCTTCAGGATGAGAACAGAAATCGTGCTTCAGCGGCACGGCGGCAGCAGGAGGCCCCATTAGCTGAAGTGGTGCTTCAGGTTAAGAACAGTTTCAGGTTAAGAACGGACCTCCAGAACGAAATAAGTACGTAACCAGAGGTACCACTGTATCTGCTAATTTTCTCCAGAAGGGATGATCAGGAAGTTGTATAGGAGCTGTAGTTTGTTAAGGGTGCTGGGAGGTGTTAGGAGGCCCTTATTTCCCTGCACAGAGCTAAGATTTCCAGAAGGATTGATTGTTAAACCACTCTGAGAACGTTAGCTCTGTGAGGGAGATAAAGGGTCTCCGAACAACTCCCAGCACCCTAAACAAACTGCAGCTCCCAGGTTCCTTTAGGGAAGCCATGCCTGTTTAAAGTGGTATCACAGTGCTTTAAAGATAAGTTGCAGACATGGCCTCTGTTTCAGTTGCTGCTCTAAATTCTGCAACACACACTTAGAGTCAAGGTGACGCAAATTCTTCATGTGCCGTCTCCACCTGAGGTCCGGAGAGAACATGAGAACAGGCTTTTTCTGTAGTGGTTCCCTGTTTGTGGAATGCTCTCCCCAGGGAGGTTTGCCTAATGCCTTCATTATATATTTTTAGGCGCCAGGTGAAAACGTTCTTCAGCCAGGCTTTTGGGTGGTTAATATCCTACAGCCTTTTAAATGTATCTGTGGGAAAGGGATGGGGGTTATTGTTTTGTTGTTTTGGTTTAATTATTTACTTGCGTTTCATCTTGTATTTTATTTTGTGACCCGCCCTGGGATCTTTTGATGAAGGGCAGTATATACATTTAATAACTAATAATAATATACGGCAATAATCATTAAGCAAAACTGCAGGCTCTTGGAAAAGGATCAGCTCTACCATCCATGAAGGATATGGAAGCACATCTTAAGTTTGGGTTTTTGTTGTTTTCAGAATAAGGTCCAGCTATGAATGACATGATAATAACGCTAAAGATAAAAGAGCTTTCCAAACCTGGCCAATGACATGGAATGCCCAAGAAATTCTGGAAATAAAATGCATTGAGGGTCTAATTCCATGGTAAGAACTTTATTTTAGAACATGGCTTTCCAAACAGACATCTGGTGTAGCATCTGGTGGTCACTGTGAGAAATAGTAAGCTGGGTTTAGATAAGCCTTTGGCCTGATCCAACAAGAACTCTTATGCCTTGCTAAGAAAGGGAGTCTACGCCAGTAATGTGCCTGTGCTCCTCCTCCTCAAAAAAACAACCCCAAAACCCTTCCTCCATAGCTGCTTTTCTCCTTGTTTGGGTTCCAAGACCAGAAATAAGCAGGCCTGGAGAACAGTGTCTGTCAAAGTTGGGGCGAAGAGAGGTGAATTCAGGGACAAAGCTGGTGGTGACTGGAACTTTTTTGGAACTGGAAGAGAAGAAAGCAGGGAAGCCAAGTGTAAGTGGAACCAGAGCCAATGACAAGCCAAATTAGCTATTTCTTGCTCAGTCCCCATGCTGCTGCCAGCTGAGTTCTACAAAGACAACAATGACTGTCAGGCAGGGCCACTGCCTGGGCTGGTTGTAAGAAGGCAGGCAGGTAGGTGAGGGTAGACTGAGTGCCTCTCTCACCCTAAGAGACCAGCCTCCACTGCAGAGAGCATGGAGGAGGGAAGGATTCAACACCTCCCTACGTCTTCTCCACAGGGAACTCTTCCTCCATCCACAAACACTTTCTTTTTTTTGTGGCCACTTGCCTTCTAACGGCTGAGCCATGCTGCTTCCACATCTTGTCAGATTCCAGGAAACTGGAATGAGTGTGGGATGTCAAGGCTGGCCTGGAGGAGGCAAAGGAACTCTGGGCTTGATGGATACCAATGCAGTGACTCAGCCTGAGGCCAATTGTGTCTTCCTGCTCCCTTGTGGGTGACAAGATGCGAAAGGAGAGAGGGGTGGGGAGACTGGGCTGCTGGATTTTGAAAGCTGTGACAAAGGCATTTCAGCAGGCACAGCTTTTCCTCACCTGCTCATGAGGAGAAGCTCTTTTCAAAAGGTCCTCGTCTTCAACAGCTCCTAAAGGAATAGAGAAGCAGTGTCCTCCTTCACTGCTCTACCATCCCAGTTCACTCTCTGCTTGTAAATAAAAAGAAAATGAACACATTTGGCTCTAATGCCCTCTCCAGTAAAAGAGGGACCATAGCTCAATGAGAGAGTTTCTGCCTTGCATGCAGAAAGTCCCAGGTTCCATCCCTGGTATCTCCAAGCAGGGCAGGGAAGAAATCATGCCCATCAATACAATGGGCATGGACAATACAAAGCAAGATGGACCAATGGTCTGACTCATTATAAGGCAATTTCCTATGGTCCTCAAAGAAACCTGTATTGGAAAAGATTAGTTCAGCTTCCTGTCCTATCTCAGAGACAGACAAACCAAGAAACAGTCCCCTTTTTACACAAAAGCTGGTAACTAAAACAACTTCAATGAGAACCAAATCTATCACACCAGAAACCAGTCCTTGCAATTGCTCCCAGGTCTACTCTCTAAAGTTCTCAAACTTCGCGTAAAAACCTGGACTGGAACTCCTCCAGCCTCCGGTGAGCACATAAAACACAAACCAGATTCCCTAACATTACGCATCCCATTGGCATAATTTGGAATTGCTGGTATCTACAGAATTCTGCCTGCTACAATGCCCCAGATAACCGTTATGACAAAAGAGTTATAGCAACATGACAAAGTCATATTGCCTTTCATTTATATCAACCTAATGGCCATAGCTTCCTTCAAAGGATCATTGGAATTGTATTTGGGTAGGGATACTGAGAATTTATTTATGTATTAAATTTATATCCTGCCTTTCCACCCAAAGTAAAACAAGTGATAAAATATCTTTAAACAATTCCAATACTGATGTAGACTGGGAAAGATCTCAGCTTAAAAGATTTCTTTCTTTCCTCTTTCAACAAGCCTTGAAATAATTCTTACCTTCACAGGAATAGTGTTTTGGAAAGAGAAGATGCATCTTAAACCATATACAATACTTATCGTGTAGACTCAATTCAGTGAGCAAGCTGCAAAATAGTTAGGATCCAGAGTTTCTGTCTCGGCGTTGCTGCTTCAGGGTGGGGTGGGGGGGTCATTAATTGCAATGGATTTGATACCTTCAAATCCCCTGATAATTTTCTGTTTTGATATTTTGATATTTTTGTTTTCTCAAAAATAGCCTCCTCCATACTCTGGGACAGATACCACAATCCTGTTCCAGGTACACTGCTCCCATACACACACCCATGGGAAGAACTCCAGAACTGGATCAAGGTTCATGCACACTGAGTGACGACAAACACACTTAACAATTTAAATGCCTCTGTTTCAAGATCTAAACACTTCCCCCCCAAAATCAGCTTTGCATCATTAACAGCATAGTTAACATCACTTTCAACATGCACCTCCATCCTAAGTACAGTTGTACCTTGAAAGTCAAACAGAATCTGTTCTGGAAGTCCGTTTGACTTCCAAAACGTTCGGAAACCAAAGCGTGGCTTCTGATTGGCTGCAGGAAGCTCGGAAGCCGCAGAAGCCCCGTCAGATGTTTGGCTTCCAAAAATAGTTTGTAAATCGGAATATTCACTTCCGGGCTTGCAGTGTTCGGGAGCCAAAATGTTCGAGAACTACGGTAAGTTTTTGAAAACCAAGGTACGACTGTATATTGTTTTGATTTTCTGGGTGCGAGACACCCTAAACTCCTGGGTCTAATAGGTGTTAGAATTTAATCAATGGCAAACCAGTGTGTGTTAAGCCAGGCCTGTGTGTGTTAAGCTGTGTGTTAAGACACTTCTAAATCCTGTAATCAGCAATTGCCGAAAGCTAATTAAGCTAGGTTAGTCTTCTGTGTGAGGTTATAGCCACACCTGTGCATTAGGCTGTGTACTAGACATTTCTAAATCCTCTGGAATTAGCACGTGTTAAAGGCTAATTAAGCCCAGCTGGCCTCCTGTATGAGATGATAACCTGGGGATGGGCCATTAAGAGGAACACAAAGCATCAAAGGGAACTCTGAGTGAGATGGCAGGGGGGTGTGGATCCTGTCACTCTGCAGGTAAAGGCAAAGGTTAGAGAAGTTGGGGAGGAGTTATGTGATGGAAAAAGCAGAGAGCAGGGGGATAGCAATGGCTGATGTCCGTTTGGATTCAAGACTGTGCCTATGGAGGGAGAAAGAGTATAATGCTGAGAAACTCTCCCTAGCAGGCTCAGGTTGTATATATGTGTAAATCAACCATATATCATAAAGACACCACAGCCTCTGCTGTGCCTTATTTTCCAAAAGGAAACACAAACCCTGGGTGAGTGCACCTGGAACCACTAGAAACTTGAACAATTTGGAGAATGCAACAATATTATTAACTAAGAGATCCCACTGACTTCAAAGGGGTTTACCCCCAAGTAGGTGTACCTAGGATTGCGACTAGACTTCAGTCTTAAGCACATTTACCAGGGAATATGTCGCATGAAATAAATGGGGGGGGGGTCTGAGTAAATAAACATGTTTAGGATTAGATTCCCCATATTATTAGGTATGTATATTCTTAGTATATTACGGCATACTTAGCAACATATCCATTAGTGGGTTTAATTCTAAGTAAGCATAATAATAATAATTTTATTGTTTATACCCCGCCCATCTGGCTGGGTTTCCCCAGCCACTCTGGGCAGCTTACAGCAAAATATCAACAATAATAAAATGTCAGACATTAAAAACTTCCCTGAACAGGGCTGCCTTCAGATGTTTCCTAAACGTTGTGTAATTCTCCCTGACATCTGATGGGAGGGCGTTCCACAGCAAGGGTGCCATTGCTGAGAAGTTCCTCTACTATCATACATAAGGTTGAGACCACATGCACTATTATTTTGTTTATTTTAGCTTACAGATTAATAAACTGCATCATAATCAGAAACTATTGAAGCACTGTACACTAAGATAAAAGGGAATTGAAATAAAGATATGAGAGCTAAAAACAAGATGAAAGATAAAGACTCTAAAACAATGAAACCATTTCCAAAATTAATAAATATTCCGTAAACGACTGAGTCACACTTCAGGGAAAGCCTTCTTAAAGGGAAACATATTGAGTGGCCACCTGTTTGGATATGACAGCAGGTTTCCTTATTCAGTGGTACTTGAACAAAATGACTTCCTGGTGCCTCATCTGGTTTATTAAATGGTCTCTTAATACTTTAATTAATGCATCAGATATTTTATAATGTTCCCCAGGATCACTGCGTTGGGTTTGCTAAAAGGCATTGTCTGTGGGCTGTGAGACATCAACAAACTAGCTCTGCACATTTTTCGTGTTACTGCAATCCTCAGGAATCAATGGCCAAATCCATTAGCTACAGCTCTTCCACTTCCAGAAGTATCAGGAGCCAATAAGACACTTTGGGACTCTCAGTCCCAATTCATTCGCAGGATGTGCAACCACACCCACTAGTTATGCATTAGAAGCTTCAGTTGCTGTTGGCTTTTGCTATTGATATGTTGTGAATGCTTTTCGACCCACAAACCCCTCACAGCACCACACTCTCCCTGCCGAGTCCTACCTCACAAAGACTCGCGGCAAAACCCTGTCATTTCAGGTGCTTCAAAACAGGCAGTTCTGCAGGCCAGTGATCCTGAAAGCCAACAAATGGGACTTGGCAGAGCTCCTGTTTTTCTTGCCTGTCTAGAAATTCAAAGTGGGACAAGGTTTGGCCTCCATCATAGGGTTGACTAACGGAGGAAATCAATGTAGGGCTGTCACTTTTTAATGCCCCTCCCTGCCATGGTGACATAAAGCAATAAGGAACAACTTGTCCAAGTGAACTTTTTTTTTTATCCCCTCCAACTTCCTGAGGACCAAAATCGGGATGCTCCTTTTTTGGCCCTGAGCTCTTGCGCCTGTGTGAAAATGTACAAACCAAAGTTGCTGTTTTCCGGCTTTCATTCTGGTGTTCTGGCTTGACCCAACTGATTCATAGCACAGTGCCAAACCAAAAAATGGGACATTCCAGGATCCAGTCAGAAGTCAGGATTGGCTAATGATTGGGTGTCCCTCTTAAAACATGGCAGTTTAGCGGTATGTTTTTCTATCATGGACATACATAAGTGTTAGAAAACTTAATTTCTGTATACAGTCGTACCTCGGAAGTCGAACAGAATCCATTTGACTTACAAAACGTTCCAAAACCAAAGCACGGCTTCTGATTGGCTGCAGGAAGCTCCTGCAGCCAATCGGAAGCCACAGAAGCCCCGTTGGATGTTCGGCTTCCAAAAATAGTTCGCAAACCAAAATACTGGCTTCCGAGTTTGCTGAGTTCGGGAGCCAAAACATTTGAGAACTAAGCTGTTCGAAAACCAAGGTACGACTGTATTGAACTATTGTTTTTTAAAAAACAAAAAAGCAAAAAACAACGCAGGCACCTACCCAGCAGAAAAGGTGACAATCCTAAATCTGTGTCATCTGAAAGTACCCTTGGCTTATCCTAAGAAGTACTATAAGACACCAACCAATTGGACTGAAGTTATTGTCTGCCACATAGATAAATATGACATTGCCCCTGTTAAGGCAGCTTTGGGGAATATTTTTAACTCAATCGGTCAATGTGATTTAAAAATGCTTACAGTTGAAAAGAATACTGGAGTCAGTTTCCTTGTTTTAGTGGGTTTTATCCAGGCCTCTGTATCTTGCAATAATCAGCAGAGTTTGGTTTTTATTTAAACATCCTTACCAGAATATGGACTCCCACAGCTCAGCAAGAGAAGCAGAAGTCTACAGGGAGTGAGCAAAAAATTCAGCTGACCTAGCAAAGCTGTACCAATGCAAGTCATTAAAAAGTCTTTGGTGCTCCAATTACATATAGACAAACACATCTGTAGCCAATGGGAGTTCTTGCAGACACAGAATCCAGCAGCTAAGCAAAATATGGTCTTGGGAGAACAGGAATAGGTAGAGAAAAAGGAAAGCTCATGCTGGATGCACACAAAATAAGGCACAGAAAAAAACAAACCACTACCTTTTAACTTTTTTATTTTTTTAACTATGCTTGAGTTGAAATTAAGGGTGCAAACTGAGGTACTATAACGCAAATACGTCTCTGTGTTTATGTGTCCCTAAACAAGCCCAAAGGTGCTTGCAGAAAACACTCAGAATTAGGCTTTGACAAATCTTTAAGGGAGGTCTACAGTTTCTGGGCAGTCGCTATCTGAATTTGACACACAGGAAACATCCATAAGGTTGGGCTGCCAATCTTTGTTTTTTAACTGTTATGGCTTCACCCAAGAATTCTCAAAACTGCAGTTTTACGTGAGTGGCAAGACATGGTCCCTTCCAACTCTACAATTCTAAAAAAAAAAAATTGTTTTGAGATCATCCCCTCACTGAACTATAGTCTCCAGAATTCACTGTTGGGAGCTTTGACCAGCAAATGGATCTGAAACTGGTTTAAATGTGTTGTGTGGACAGTGTTGGGAGTAGGTGAATACTGAAATATTGACTTATGTAGAAAATGTTATCCCAATGTATTTTTAGCAGCAAAGGTTCAGAACCCCAACAACTTTGGAATGGTTAAAAAACAAACAAAACTGAAATGCTGCTGTGCAAGTAAAGTCGGCCTAATATTCAATAAGTTATTTCAGAAAACAAGAAAAAATCTTTTAGGAAAAATATGGATTTTTGGCTGAAAACCTAATCCCATTTCCCTTTGGAATGAACCTAAGATATATATATATATATATATATATATATATATATATATATATATATATATACTTTAACTGAACATGAGGAATTTTTATTTAAAAAAGCAAGTTAATTAACTCAGCTCCAAGTAAAATTTAGTTGAATACAACCCACTACGTTTGAACATGAAACTTAAATCATCTTCCTTCATGACTACTGTTTTTATTTTCTGTGAAGACATACCGAAGTTGGAAGAGGTAGCAGGTTTTAGAGACTATTAGAGAGCTAAAACCATAGTCTCTTCTATGGCTATATTCTGTAGGCTTTTTAATGCAATTTCCTCTCTTCGTTGGCAAAATATGGGATCAGTTAAGTATTCAGGAAGGGTTGTTTGAGGATTTGGAAACTTTCAGAATTCCCTTGTTTAAATCAATCCACATTAAAAGCACGGGTTTTCTTTATTATCAAGTGAAGAATAAACAGAATATATTGTGTGATGAAATATGAAACAGATTTCTTTTTCCTCTCTGTCAGCCAAACCAAAAATTGAAATAGTGTTGTGCAGAGGAACCAGCCTCTCATTCCCACAGCAATTGTGGTCTGGTGGCAAAACATTACACCAGGGGTAGACAACCTGGTGCCCTTCAGATATTATGGACTACAATTCCCAGCAGCCCCAATAGTCAAGGATGATGGGAATTGTAGTCCACAAGAAGATGCTTTCCTTATGGTCATATTCTTTCTCAGAAGTGTCTTAGTACTACTTCATATCATATGCAGATAACAAAGTATATCAATGTGGTGTGGTTGAGTGTCCAGCTATGACCTGGGAGACTGAGGTTCAAGTCACCACTCGGCCATGAATTGGGTGACCTTGGACCAGACTGGGTGACCTTGAGCCGGTCACAGTCTCTTAGGCTAACCTTGAGAATCAAATGAACAGAGGAAAAACCATGTGCACCACCTTGATATCCTTGGAGAAAATGCGGCATATAAATGTAATAATAAGCAAAACAAAACACAAAGTACGGATAATCTTGCGTTGTGTTGTCCGTCCCAGAGATAGCGAATAACAAATGGGGCACTAATTGACTACCGACTTGGGTTATCTGAAGTCCTGCTCTTTACAACAACAGGTGGAAGGGAAACAGGACCAGAAGAACAACAGATGGGAAAAGCCAAGGCTACCTTGTTTTTGGCAGGTTACATCCTGGCAAGGAGTTTCAATTCAGTGAATGTAATTCTGCGTGCCGTGGGTTAATAAGAAGAGGCTTGCCTGTGTTTGTGCCTATTGTGTGCATGAATCTTCACAACAGTTTAAAACAGTAGAACTAGAAAGCTGGTCATGAGTTGGAGCCCCTGACAAATAATCCATGATCCAAGTGGGTTGTGATGGCATTTTCAGTTACACCTTAGAGGCATCCCACGTCTTTTGGGGCAGACATACTTTGTCTAGCATTGCCTTCCTACTTTCTTTTTCTTATCCCCCTCCCACTGGAAGAAATAAGCTCTGGGAATAACCACATACAATGCAAAACACAGGAGGCACTGCCCCCTTTCACCCATACTGATGCATATAGGTTATTCTATGTTAAATATGAAACACTATAGACTTTTTGTTTCTATATTGCTCATACTTTACTTCACTCCTACATTTCTCCAAATATAGCGGTGGTGTTGGGGTGGGAGCATGTTTTTTTTTTTAAAGATACATAATTTTTGTTCATAAAAAAACTTCTATGTGTGTATAAGCATTGGCTGCAGAAGGTATTTTGTACGTTAATCGGATGATCAGTCATCCTGGAGCTATTTCCTGTTTCCATCAGTTTACTACAGTGTAGTCGATGAGATAAATAATTCTCAAACATGCAAAAAAGGGATAGTTTTTGCTAGGGCATTGCTTCTCCCTCTAGTGTAAAATAATTCTAGAAGAGGCAGCTCCCTATGTCAATAATTCCATGCTCCTCTTCTGTGAACAGATGACAATGAATACTACAGCCCAGAATGAGAGAACAAAGGCTTATCTGCACATTAGTTTGAATGATTCCTCAACTACCTCCACACACACACACACCCCACTCACTACTACACAGCTTACAAAAGTTTAAAGTCTGTTTCTGCTTTTGTTGTCCACAAACGCATAGGGCTGATGCTATCATTTGGCCAAATAGGGTGCAGACCTCAGAGGGGTGCAGTATGGACCTTTGAGGGCCACAGTTTTATACAGATTAATTTATGTGATATCTTATAAATTTCTGATAATATTTCTATTTCCTATTTTGAAGGGTTTTATCCTTTTTACAAGACATATGTTTTGGAAAATTGATGTTAGACTTCTTCTTTTTTTTTGAGGAGGGATGCCTAGGGAGCGAAACAGACCAACACTGCAAGCATGGTAGCCTTTTTCTTCCTTCCTTACAGACGGTTCTACAAAGGGAAGGGAGAGCGTTTCAAGAAAAGCATCCCCAATTGTTGTGGCAGGTTAGCCAGGGAGGGTGGGCAGAGGGAGCAAGAGCTGACAACTGCGAGTTAAGGATGGTTGGGGCATGAGAAAAAATGTGAACTTCAACGATTCATAAGACTAAACTATGCACCACAATCAACGCCATGTGTGTCAAAACCCCAATGGATCCTTTTGTCCCTTGCAAAGCATACTTTGGAGGCGTTATTTGTATTGGGGAAATGACAGGAGGGAAGGAAATGTTTAATCATTCCTCTTCCAGTCACTTTCCCCCTGAACCTCCCCTCCAGGCAACCACTGGTTTTGCTTACCCCCATCGCTGGTGCAGTGCAACGATGGATCTGGAACCCTGTAGTGTAAAGGCAGCTGGATGGAGGATAGTTTTGCTGGGAAAACTGGTGTCAGCAGAAGGGCTAATAATTCCTTCTTTGCTGCACATCCATCACCTGCTCCCCAAGGCTTTTTGCAACAAAGTTAAGGATCTATTGGGGCTTTATTACATGGGGCTGCAGTGTGCTGTGTCATTCAGTTGCCCCCTATGAATCCTCCAGGTTCAGATTTCCTCTCATGCTTTCCTCTTAGACCTGTCCCAATGTCCCTCAGCAAGCTGGATTGACAGTTCTTGTGCATATCGGTCCCTCCAGGCCATGGTGTTGGGTTGCATTTAAGTCCAACCCTCATCCTCTCCTATAGCCTGCTGAGTTCAGAAATAATGGCAAGGAGGAGAAAACAGTACAGGTTGGTTGTGCAAGAATGGCAGAGCTATGAACGAAGCCAAATTGAGCCATCTGGTGAGAAAGTAATAGGACCTGATTCAAAATTACTAGTCTCGCTTTTTAAAAAGGTATAGCTAAACAGATCACAGACCATGTGCACTGTGGAATTTTCCACTGAAAGGGAGAAGGGAGAAGCTTGCTTTAAAGAAAACATTAAAATGCTTAGAGTCATGACTTAGCCTGCTGAGATTTCTTCCCTGAATGTAACCATCGGGGGAAGAAACACTTCATAATCGTTGTGTAGTTAATCTTGATTACGTTCCATGTGGGTGGATGACGATATGTCTGTCAGGGAACCTGAGGTGTGGGGAAAACCCCAGAGGGCTATATGGAGTTGTCTATTAGTTTAGGCCTGGAAGGTTTAATGTAATGAGTGTTTCCAGAAAGTATTGAGCCGAATGTTCAAGAGCATTAAGATTACCCTGTTTGCAAAAGCCAGCCAAGACAACTTTGCTGACTGACGGAGGCAGAGGACCAGGCCGTCTCAGAGGTCCAAAGAGACCTGGGCCACTTCCAGCTTTTGAGGGCCCTAGCCATAATAAAAAATAAAAAATGTCGACACACAAAAACAAGACACCCCCCAAAAAAGAGTGAACAGTTTGTTTATATAATCAGCTGATCTGAGAGGACGCATTCATCACAGTCTCATCTTGCGCCATCAGTAACAATATATTTTTATTAGCATTTATGAACAAATTTAACTCTTGTAGGACAAGAATTTTTTCAGCTAATTATGTCTTTTACATCTCTTAGTTGCTGAAAATTGTAACCTGAAGCATAGAGTATGTGCCGCATTGTGAGTCTGGCTCCAAACCTGCATCGAAGTTGCTGTTTCAAAAATGAAAACAATCTACTTCTCTGTGTTATATTGCGAGTTGCTCAGTGCAGTTTTTCCTTTAATCATGACAAATGTGTTGTGAGCTGCCTTGAGCATCAGGCACATCAAATAACATGTTAGGGCTCTTCCAAGCTGCCCTAACCATCCACTGGAATCTAAGAGAATGAGGGAGGCAGGGACACATTTATTTGACCTGCACCAGAACCAGGGGTGTCTCCCAAACCAGCTAGGAAGACAGCATGCCAAAGCTTTTAGCACCTCCATAGGTGGTGAACATGGCTGTGTTCAGGGCTGCCCCGAATCGCCTGGTGACTTACTGTAAGAACTTCATGGGGTGTTCTGGCACTGAGCAAGAGCTATGACCTTTTCTCCTTCCCCTGAATTCCTGTTGAGCAACAGCTAGTATGTGACCCAGCTAATATCAGTAGGACCTTTTAAAATCTGTTACCGTTCCACATGAATAAGTGTGATGGAATCCTGTTCTTTGCAAACGGAGCTGTAGCAGCGAGACTTGATAGGAAAAAATAACATAAAAAATTGAGCGAGAAGCTCTTGGCAGTATTAACAGTTTAGGTTCTCTGTCTAAACCTGAGGGACTTAGGCAAGCTTTTTTTACATTTCTAAAGGGTTACTGTGAGTGTAAATATTATTTCACCCACCCACTTGTATTTGAGCCTTTTGGATAACTACCAGAGGGCCCCGCCCAGGCTTGAACTCTGTCTCGATGCCATGGTTTGCAGCTGTGATAGATCATTATCTGGGTCACACAAAACTTATTTGCAAAATAGCGGATGCACGAAGGACAACTTCCCTTGTCCAGCCCCACCTAATGAAGCAGCTGTGCTCCAAAACTTGGTCAGATGTAAGGACTTCCTGTAAGGATCAAGGCATCTTTGCAGATCAACCTTAGGTTTATGGTATGCAAGGAGCAAGGCCAGCACAGCAGAAAGCAGTTGATAGGAAAGGAGTCACAAAACAACCCTCCTGAAAACATCATAGGCAGGAAAAAGAATTCTCCAAACTTTTGGGATTAGATTCTTACCCTACTTAAACTTGGCGCGTTGGCCAAAGTTTTCATTTTTTCCATGTGTTTCCAAACTTTTTTTTTAATAAAAAAACAAAACAGTCCTACACCACTCAGAGGTGGGCTGGGGTCTCTTTACAGGAGTATCACTCCTAAGTGTGGCCTGCAGGAAGGAGCCATTGGAGGCAAGCAAGAGGAAGTTCTATCCATAGCTTCCATACCCTCCAACATTTCTCTGATGAAAATAGGGACATCCTGTTTCTCATTGCCACACTTCCTGTCAAGACCCAGAAATCAGCAAACCCCTTCCTGAAAAGAGGGTGGAGGAGAAAGGAAACAGAACATCAGCCTCGCGGTACTCTTCCAATCTCCAAACCAGGATTGGCGATTGGGAATAATTCTGAACCAGGCCTGCCACCTTATGAATCACTGCGATTTGAAAAGGCACTAATTCTAGGCATAGGTCTATCACAGCCACCTAGCTTCTGAATATTTTAGATATCTTTTTAGCACTCTGCTATCACACTTCCATGCTCTCCTTGCAACAATGTGGACTAGAGACTTGCTAAAAAAAAAAAAGGAAGCAGCAGCAGCACCAAAGCTGTGATTCTCGGCTTTCTAACAAGAATGTAAGAGGGACTCAAAGTATCCTCAGGGATTTCATGCCTCTCTCACAATATAACAGCCCAGAAGACAACCATGTAACACTATCAGATAATTGGCTCTGTTGTTTCTTCAGGATACTGGATATGCCTGAGAATGATCTGGTTTGATTTATTATTATTCACATCCAACTATACTTGCATATGTAATTCAAACAAACAACAAAAAAGCTTTGTATTAAGCCTAATATTATTGAATGCCCATCAAGGTCTTCCTAAATATACACTGAGATTACCTATATCTGTATGATAAACTCAAGCCACCAAATGAGTTTCTGTTTAACATCACATATTGTAAAAAGCCTCTCCGGAAAATATCTGTGCCAGATTCTGATTTTATGGGGCAGTAAAAATCCCACCCCCCTCAGTACTATTTCTGAACATTATTTCTGGCACTGTCAAGGCACTTTTAACAGCCTAGTCCTGTGCACGTTTACTCAGAAGTAAGTTCTGCTATGCTCAATGGGGAATGCCGGGGGTGAGGATACTCCGACTAATGGCCTGCTGCAAGTCTTATTTGACCTGCAAGGACACTTTCCCTAAACCACACCTGCCTGTCCACCAAAGTGCTGGATTTACGTATAAGCTAAACAAGCTATAGCTTAGAGCCCCACTCTCTTGGGCACCCAAAAAAAATTCAAAGGGGAGAAAAAATTTAAGTTAGAGCTTAATAATTATTTCACTATTAATATACTTCTTCTTAACTGTATTTCAGTTCAACAATTACTTTGATAAAATACAGTACATATTTTGTTATGTGCAAATGGCTTTAGATACCTATTAGGTCCATATAGCATATATTCAACGCAAAAAATAGCGGCAATTTGTGGTTGACAAAGGACAGCTGGACATATAAAGGGCCCCATTACCTTCGGTAGCTGAGGGCCTCATCAAACCTAAATCTGGCCCTGCATCAGCAGGAAACATGGCGGCAAAGCAGACTCCTGCAGAGAGCAGGATTTAACCCTCTGCTTATCAGCTGGCGAGCAGAGTTCAATCCTGCTTTGGGCTGCTTCTCAAGTGTGTTCTTTGTGGGGAACATGGTGGCAAAGCAGACCCCTGCAGGGAGAATGAGTGAAGTTTTCACTCATCGGTTGAGCGTTCAATTCCTCTTTCAATGAAATCAATAGGGTTTGAGGATATGCGTGCCAATTCCATAGGATTGCAGCCTACTGATTTCACTGAAGCAGTAAGCACATGCCTAGCAAGTTATACCTATATATGTCTACTCAGGGGCTAGTCCCACTGAGTTCAAATTGACTCAATCTTAGGTAAGTAGCTAGACTCTGAACTGCAGCCTAAAATTCTCTCATTTGAATCTAATGCGGCTTAAAATATTTAATTTTGGTGGGATCATGCCCTTTGCTTTAAAGAAAGAAAATCTGTCCAATAAAATCTACTTTACATCCTCTAACTTTAATCGCTTTAGCAATCTCTCATCACACACCTGCTTTCCTAATCACCAACTCCAAACTTGGTAGCAAGCCAGATCTAAATGTGGACGGGTGTTTGTTTTCTTTTGAATGTATAGATGAGAGAGGTTTCTGTTTGCATACAATTGTGGATACAGAGATAAAAACCCACCTTAAAGAGATCCAGATATGACTTCAGTTAAATCCTTTATTAAATGTAAGCTGATAAATTAGTTGTACACTCAGAAGTTTAAACATGCTGGCTCGCTAATGATGGCACAATGTTCTTGTTTTACAACCATCTGTTGTAAGGCAGATTAGTTTTAAAGCAGTATTATATATCCAGTAATATTTTATTGTCTTACTTTAAATCAAGAAAGAAATGTTTTCAATGTATTAATATTTGCTCCCCCCCCCCCCCGAAGCAGTTTCTCTCTCTCTATTTCAGCTCTGACTATAAAAACAAGTGATGTCTGAATAACAGGTTAGCCTATAATGGATTTAATCAAATGAGCCAGGAAAAAAATGTTGACTCCCAGCCTACATTCACACCAGACATTTAGAGAACTATGATGGCACTTTAAACCATTATAGCTTCCCACAAAGAATGCTGGGAGCTGTAGTTTGTGGGTCCGGACACAGCAGAGCCACTGGTGGTGGGCCAAGGCATGAAAAAAAAACCCCGACAAAGAAACTGATGCAGAAATGTGGAGAACTGAGTTTAAGATGAGAAAAATGAGAAATGGAAATGGATGGATTTGCCCATCCCTATCTGGAGGGACCCATGGTCTACATGGTGAAACGGGGCCTTTTATTTCTGGCGGTGGAACTGTCTCTCTAAGGAAGGTTGTTGGGCAACAACGCTACTTCAATGTTTTAAGCAAGGAAAGCTTTTTAAAAGTGTTATTTTGCCAGACATTCTGGTGGTTAACTATGTGCTGGTTTTATGGGTTTGGATTTTGCCGGGATTGTAAATGCTGTGATATTTATTATTATTATTATTATTATTATTATTATTATTATTTCCCCAGCCACTCTGGGCAGCTCTCAGCAGAATAGTAAAAACATGATAAAACATCAAACATTAAAAACTTCCCTAAACAGGGCTGCCTTCAGATGTCTTCTGAAAGTCAGATAGCTTGAACCAGGGGTCAGCAATCTTTTTCAGCAAGGGGCCGGTCCACTGTCCCTCAGACACTGTGGTGGCCAAACTATATTTTGGAAAAAATAAACGAATTCCTATGCCTCACAAATAACCCAGAAATGCATTTCAAATAAAAGGACACATTCTACTCATGTAAAAACATGTTTATTCCCGGACCATCTGCGGGCCAGATTTAGAAGGCGATTGGGCTGGATCCGGCCCCCGGGCCTTAGTTTGCCTACCGATGGCTTGAACCCTTCCACCTCCAATCACAAGGGCTATAAGGAACAATGCCAGAGGTTTCTGGCCAATCCAGGTTCCCTTGCCATCCAGCAACCCTTTTACAAGTTCTTTTGCAGGGCTTGCTGGGAAATGAATCCAAACGTGGAAAAGGCAGGCAGGTAGCGTTGCCCATCAACTTAGGGGGGGCACCCGGCCCCCTCAATTTTTATTGGGGGGGGCCAATGGGAGTTTGGGGGACCCTAGGAGTTGGCACATATGTGCAGATACAGGACCACACAGAGGAAGGCTAATGTGGACTGAAGCCCCATTTGAGAAAAGGACATGAAACTCCTCTGAAAATTGTATTTCTGTAAGGGAACAAGGGACTCCTAACAACTATTTGCACCCTTAACAAACTACACATCCCATGATTCTCTGGGGGGGGAAGCCATGATAGTGTAAAGTGGTATGATGCTGCCTTAAACTGATAGTGCAGATGGGGCCTTAGTAGTAAACAAAGAGAGCTGGCAGCCATGGTTGTGGCTGCATTCTTATTCTTATTTGGACTACTGCAATGCACTCTACATGGGGCTACCTTTGAAGGTGACCCAGAAACTACAACTAATCCAGAATGTGGCAGCTGGACTGGTGACTGGGAGCGGCTGCCGAGAGCACACAACACCAGTCCTGAAAGACCTACATTGGCTCCCAGTATGTTTCTGGGCACAATTCAAAGTGTTGGTGCTGACCTTTAAAGCCCTAAACGGCCTCGGTCCAGTATACCTGAAGGAGCATCTCCAACCCCATCATCCAGCTCTGAGGGCCTTCTGACGGTTCCCTCCCTGCGAGAAGCAATGCTACAGGGAACCAGGCAGAGGGCCTTCTCAGTAGTGGCACCTGCCCTGTGGAACGCCCTCCCATCAGATGTCAAGGAAATGAACAACTATCTGACGTGTAGAAGACATCTGAAGGCAGCCCTGTTTAGGGGAGTTTTTAATGTCTGATGTTTTATTGTATTTTTAATATTTTGTTGGAAGCTGCCCTGAGTGGCTGGGGAAACCCAGGCAGATGGATGGGGTATAAATAATAATTTATTTTAAAGAAGAAGAAGAAGAAGAAGAAGAAGAAGAAGAAGAAGAAGAAGATTTTGCCTTGGTCTAGATGATTACTTGCCTTCCATTGTGTGCCTCCCAGTTCACACTAGCCTTTTCTGTGACACAATTTGACAGACTGATCCAGCCCCCTAAACTTTCAGCGCTGTAAGCACAATGTGCATATGGGATGTTAACTTTCCCACCATGTTTCACGCGGGCACATCAGAGCAACGTGAACCGTGATCCCTGTCAAGGTATGCAACATTAATAAGGCAAAACATTCCTACTTGTTGCTAGTAAATAAATGGTAAGCGATTTGTCTTTTTGACAAATATACTGAAGCACAGAGCACCTCCTGGATCTATAATCCCCCCCCCCCCCCAGCCATCTACTTCTCTGTTTATCTGTTACCTCTGCTTCTTTGCCAGTTGGACCATTTATTTCTGAATGAAAGAGAAGAGAAGACAGATGTTTCTGATTATAAAAGGATGAGACTGTGGAGATGTAAGGGGGGAAAACTTGGCACAGCCGGCTACCTGAAGCAGCGATACCAGATGTCCCAGTCACAAAACAACTACCACATACAGTCTGTTCTCACTAGCAGATCTCGGTTGCAATTGAACAGATAAAGCGCGTTTTCCAATCTAGCCCAGGATACAAAGCACTTTGGCAACTTCAGAGCTGGGGAAGGAGGGACGGGATTTGGACTTGACAGAAAACACATTTTTAGATGAATGGTGACCCAGAGGGTTTCACTGTACTTTGCTTGAGGGAGGTCATGCCATTTCTGTGAGTTTTCAATTTGGACTCTGTGTCACTTAGAACATTTGGATTTTCTGATGCATAGCCAGTCCAAAGGTGCAAAGGGTGGTTCGGGTTTCCCCACTGCCCTTCAAAATGTAGGAACCCGCTATTTGACCATAACTGGCTGCTGTTTGCAGTTAGGAAGTAAGGAAGTAAGAAGGGGAAGCCTCTCCACCCGAGCAGGCAGTATCTGATTTCTCTTTGGAGAACTGTTTGTATCAGCTTATATGTCTTGTATTTTTTTTTCTTAACTGACACCGCTGTGGTATGTTGTAATGCTTAGCACTTTATAAATATTCCAAATCAATAAGCAAGCCTGGTTAGGAGGAGGAGGAGGAACTTGATCTCTGCCTTCCTCAATCACTTGGACACCAGGACCAATAATTTAGGGCAGGCACGTTCAACAGGTAGATTGTGATCTACCAGTAGATCACTTGATGTCTGTGGTAGATTACTGGCTCCCCACAAACAAGCTCAACAACAAGTTTAACAGTGTTGGCCTGCACCCCCAAAAACAGGGCTTTCCTTCCTAAAAAAAAAGCTCAACAACTTATTCGACCTGAACCCCTAAAAAGGGGGTAGATCACTGCCAGTTTTTAACTCTATGAGGTAGATCGCAGTCTCTTGGGAGTTGGCCACCCCTGATTTAGGGGAAGTGGGGACCTTGATTCTTTCCCATATGTGACTCCATTGAGACCCCCTGATCTTTTCCTCCTATTATTGAGCTGGAGATACTTCTTGGTTTTCTTCTTTTTTAATAAGATTTTATTAAAGCTTTTTCATAATACAGTAAACAATAGTAATAGTAAAAAATAAAAAAAACTAATCTAGACAGAAAGATGAAGAGAAAAGAGAATTCAGAGTCCTGTGTCAAAGGTAGCTCCTAACCTTTGTCTTACACAGAAAGTGGTGGATCCTCACAGCTCTCACCTTGGAGATCTTCCCTTCCCTGCCTCTCACTCAGGGTCCTTCACCAACCAACCATCACGTGTGTGTGTGTGTGTGTGTGTGTGTGTGTGTGTGTGATCCTTGGTCACCAAACCTGATGGTTGCCTAGCAACTACATTAAGCCCTAGCAACGGCATGGCAAAATGATCAGCCAGTCCATTCGTTGAGGAATGAAGCTACATGTGTACCACCTATACACAAGTGGGCACTGTCCTGAAGAAAGCACTGAGATGTGGGGCAACCCATTTATCTGACAGGCAAATGCTGTGTGAAGTGTCCTCCACAGATTTTGGACTCCAGTTCCCATCATCCCTGAACATTGGTCATGAGGGCTGCAGCTGATGGGACTTTGAGTTCATAACATCCAGAGGGCACCTCATTGGCTACTTCTGGAGTAGAGCCTTAGCCTGTTCTTTCCACAGAAGGCTCTGCACCCGCAAGGAATTGCGCTCCCAACGTTCTTTGGTTAGGGGGAAAATCCCTTAGACTTCAGGACATAGAGTCAAAGGCAGAGCACATGTATTTTGTATTAAGTTGTCTGGATTTATTTTTGTCATTCATATACTGCAGCACAGAGCACTCCTTGGCTCTGGAACGCCAGCTGATCTCTCTGTACATCCATTATCTCTGTACCTTTGCCAGCTGGACCATTTATTTCTGAATGAAAGAAAGGACAGGTGCTTGCAATTAGGGCTCTGTAAAAGGATGAGAGAGGTAAGAAGAAATCTGGCACAGCCTGCTACTTGGGTATCTATACCTGAGTACAAAATGCTTCATGGAAACCATCCCTCTTTCCTCCTGCTATTACAAACAGATGCTCAGAGTTGCTATGAATAGGATAGCCATGTGTCTTCCTTTATAGATGACAGTCTTCTAATTTGATGAGCTATCTGAAGGGTTGTCCAAACAGGAGACCCCAAACCATAAGGAGGGAGAACAGGGACCTTGGAGTTGTCAGTACCTGGGCTGAGCAGTCAATGGATCACACTTTGCCCAGAGGTGCGCTATTACTATATAAATTACAAAAATAAAAAATAATAATCTAAATTAGCATATGCAAATTTAATGGAAATCTGTATCCTCTTCTGTTTTTTGTGTGTGACCCCTTTTCTCTTTTATTTGTGAGGTTTAAGTAGCCACCTTACATGATGATTCCTTCCTGCTACATAGCTTCACAGTCCCTCCTGAAAAGAGTATTTTATTGCATTACATTTTGAATTCTATGGAATTCAAATTATAACACACTAAAGCACAATATATAAGAAAATAAAATAAGCATTAGAAATACAATTAAAAGTTATACCGCAGCCTGCACAGCACATTACATTTGCTACAACAGATGGGAAAATCATTAAGTGGCCGGCCAAGGCCCTCAGCAATTTTCAAGTCGTCTGTAGGAAGACTGCACTGCTCAAGAGCCATAACACTGGAGTCAAAGTCCCCAATAAAACATCTTCAGATTCTTTTAAATGTACTTGACAACTACCATCCCTTTGTATCAGTTAAGAATTTAACAAAGAAATCTTATGTTGAGAAAGGGGAGATTCTATGGCAGAGCTGTCGCCATTTCTTAAACCCTACCAGTTTACTGCAACCAGGGCAGTGGGGGTTTAGAGTGGAAGCTTCTGGAAATTAACTGTGCCAGATCCATGCTAGAGTAGATTAAGAGGCATCCCATTGATCCTCTGCTGCCAAAACACCTGGGAGTAAGTGTCACTGAATCCAATAGGACTTCCTTCTGAGTAGCCAGGCATAGGATTTCTCTCCAAGTCTTACTGAAAGACACAATACGCAGTTCAATTCTTTTAACACTCATTTTGTTCAGTGGTTACCTGAGGCATAAATATTCTATCAATGGCAAAATGCATGATGACTATATTTTCAATGATCAAGGGCTAGTTTCTTGAGATTATGAATGTCTCAGCAGAGGCTGATCTACCTTTGCAGAAGAAAAGAAAACATAGTCCGAAACTGTTCCGCCAAAGAGCAAATCATATTAACTGGCATAAATCAGTGAAGATCGACTGAAGTTAATTAATAGCTGTCAATTGGCACCGTCTGAGAACTTGGCAGGAGATCACATATATATCTACAAATATTGGCGGCCTTCCCTCCGACAGATGTTTCTCACATTCAATGTCTTCTCTACATGTGCTCCGTGTCAAGAATATACCCTTCTATTTATGGTATAAAACTGGCCAGATTTGGTCAACGAAATAGAGTTCTTCTTTAACAGGGATTTGTGTTTGGTGTTTTAAAGGTATAGTGTGTACACAGCTAAAGGGTAAATGAAAAACTAATCTACAAATGTCCCAATTTACCATCATGCCTGGATTTTCTCCTCCCTAATGCTGCAAATTGTTACAACGTGTGTGCAATTTCTGAGAAAATGGCAAGGGAGGAAATTCAGAGAACTTAAGGATAATTTTCAAATTTCTGCTTAACTGATTGGCTTAAATACACAGACATTGACTGTGAAGGTTAAGATGGCAGCTGTGCAGCAAACCGACTAGAGACCAGCTGGTTTCCCCTTATGACGTCTAATTTCACCCCTCTCCTCCTCTCTGTCAATCTTGCAGGTGCTTCTGAGCTGGGCCTTCAAGAAAAGGATTGACAGCTTCAAGCCCGAGGGAGAATACCCTCCGGCATTTTTGCAAAGCTCATGCCTCTTTTCATTGACATATCTGCTGTGAAATGTCCAGTGTCAGGGCTCATAATTGGAGACACATTGAGGAAACCCCACGTTCTGCCTCAGTAAGCTGAATTTTGATCTGCCCTTTTCAAAATATTAGAGGCTTGCTTTCAGCTTGTAAATGAACAGCACAGTCAAAATAGTTTTTCGAGGGAATAAAAGGGGGGGGGACAGTATCACAATGTCAGCTACAAGATTCAGGTGTGCTCTCCTCTCCTGGAACAGAGGTTAGGGCTCTGTGGGTACACCAGCAGAACCAATCCAGAACTTCCAGCAGTGTGCCAGAGAATCATGGGAACTGTAGTTCTTCCCCTTACAGAGAGTGCTTTTTCTGGAGGAATTTATTCATAACTTAACCTTTCTGTAATGATTCTTGTCAAACTTTCTGCTCTCAGGGAACAATTTCCATATTAATTTGTCTGCCAATGATCCTTTGTGGCTTGCGGAGGATTAGGAATGGGCAGATCTTTCGATTTCTCTTTGTTTCTTGTTTTTCTAAACTTCAGTTCTCTGCATTTCTACGTCAGTTTGTGAATTATTTTTTTTAATCTTATGAAAATTCAGCAGCATTTTGATGTGGATTCTGCCTAATAAACACATTTTTGTATGCCTTTCTTTGGCGTGTTGCACACTTTAAACCAGTATGTGCATTTTGGTACACATTACTTTGCTGGAGATCTGCATGGCAAAATTTGGGTAAGTGCAAATTTCAAAGGATGGCTGTGTTTCGGCTCAAATCTTGTTTCAGAAATTGTGAATTAGGTAAGTTTGCCTTTAAATGCCAACAAAGTAAACTTCCTACAGAGAAGTTGCATGAGAAACATTCAGGGAGAATACTCAGTTCACCCAGGGGAGCTGGCAGAGACTTTTTGACCTCTGGATTATACTTTGCTAACTGCGGTATAAACAAGACATGTTTGGGCTGCGTAACTGGTTTTTGTTTAGCAAATAGTTAGCGTTTGGTAGGGGTGGGGGTGTGCAAACTTGGACCATGACATTACAGAGGGCATATAACTCCCCTGCCCCCTCACCAGACTCACACACCCCTCCATGCTTGCTATTTGCAATGGGAGGAAGGTTTGCATGGGGGCCAATGGGAACTTTCCTTCCCAGGCAAATCACAGCAGAGTGGGGTTTGATTCTGATCAGGACTGGAGCTGGTCGAAAGCACTAAAGCTTCTCTTCCCATCCACACCACCACACCAGCTAAAGAGCAATGCAGGGCCAACCTACTTAATAAAAATCGCTTTAGCCCATATGAACCATATTTTCATTTTACTGAACGTGTATGATCAGTTATATGGACGCGGGTGGCGCTGTGGGTTAAACCACAGAGCCTAGGACTTGCCAATCAGAAGGTCGGCGGTTTGAATCCACACAACGGTGTGAGCTCCCGTTGCTCGATCCCTGCTCCTGCCAACCTAGCAGTTTGAAAGCATGTCAAAGTGCAAGTAGATAAATAGGTACCGCTCCGGCGGGAAGGTAAACGGCGATTCCGTGCGCTGCTCTGGGTCGCCAGAAGCGGCTTAGTCATGCTGGCCACATGACCCGGAAGCTGTACGCCAGCTCCCTCAGCCAATAAAGCGAGATAGGTGCTGCAATCCCAGAGTTGGCCATGACTGGACCTAATGTTCAGGGGTCCCTTTACCTTTACCTTATGATCAGTTATGGTAGACATCAGGATATCTTTGCCAGCTTATTGGTCATTACTGATCTGATCTAGGGACCCTTGAAGCTTCCAAGCCCTAAATAAATTTCTAGGAGTAAGGTTTGAAAGTCACTCCCCACTCCATGTTTGTTTTTGGGGTTTGTTTGGTTTTTTTTTAAAAAAAAAACTTTATTTAAACAAATAATGTCAACTCTGCTTACATCAAAGATCTTGGTAACTAAGGGCTGATCACCTCATACTCAATTTTTAATGTCTTCCTACTGCTGCTTGCAAATGACGCTTTTTGGAATATCAAAATAGGTCACTGCATGACTGTTCATCTGTGAAGAGAGATGAAATCTATCAAGATTCTGCCTCTCCTGTTACCTTAAACAGACTTTCCTCCCAAGTGATATGAAATGACTGCAGCTTGTGAAGAATGCAGCTGCTAGGCTGGTAAATGGGCCATGTGAAAATACTCAGTGCAGGCTTAAACCCCGTGGAGGCCCCTAGGCAGTCAAAATCTTGGGGTGGTGCCCTCACAAATTATCTCTTAATACTTGATTGTAATTTTCTTTCAAGATCAAATCAATATTATTTTGATCCGTTGACAGAGGGCCCCTAAAAGGCCATAGGCTGGTGCCTACTCTTCCTATTTGGTAATCCAGCACAGCTGCCAATGAACTACTGGGCCAAATGCAAGGTGTTCATAGTAGCCTATACAGTGATAAATGGCTTGGATCCCAAGAACATAAAAGAGTACCTTCCCTACTTACAACCATACTGGACTCTATGATCCTCAGGTAAGGCCTTGTTCGTGCCCAGTTGGTGGCAGCCCATGACAGGGTCTCTTCAGTGGCAGTTCTCTGTTTAAGTGACGTGAAACTGTCTCCCTTTCATTCTAGACCTTAAGGAGAATTTTCGAATCATTCCTGTTTGCCTAGGCAGTTGATAGCTGGGAGACATTGCTCCTAGTGACCTTTGAGATTACTGGTTGAGAATGCTTAAAAAAAACCACTAAAAAAAAATAGTTGCATGTGTTTTTTAATGTTTTATTATTGCTGTGTCTGCCACCCTGGGCTCCTTTGGGAGGAAGGGTGGAATATAAATCAAATAAATAAATAGAATTAATCTTAATTCCCTTCTCTATCGAAGGATGATGTGAACTCGAGATAACCTTCCATCTCATAAACTATGAGAAGGGCTGGGTAAAGGTTAGTTTGTAAAATCTGGGAGAAGGGTCTTCAACCCTGCCTCTCCATTCTCTCTTTTCTTCGCTGTGTCCCCTTGCTGTGTCTGCTTTCTATGAGTTCCTCCCTGTTTAACACAAGCAGTTCCTTCTTATAATTCCTGAAACACTGGTTGGATGTTGGTGAAGTGCTTTTCTCCTTGCCTGCAGCCCCTTCTTTTCTTGCCCTCTTGTGAAACACCAGTTTTTTTCAAAGGATCGTGTACAATAAAGTTCGGTTTATAGTGTGCCCTTTAAGTAATTGCCACTTTTGACAAATGCTCATCATTTTATAAGCAGCCTGTCAGACTGAATGCATATGCTGTCGTTGCAGTACGCAATGTGTCATTAACTAATACTTTAATTCTGTAAAGATTATTAAGCAATTACTGACTGCCGCATATTTATGTAATACGTCTGGTAAATGCATGGCAAATACTTTTCAGTTATGTCACCAGAGTGGTTTTTAGCTGATCACCACCTGCCTTTTAAACATATTAAATTTAAATTTGTCAGAAAGCAAAAATTAAAGCACAGTGTCCATAAACTAGATAAATTAGTCTCTCCCTTCAAAAATCTGCCTTTAGTGGGTCATCTTGAGAAAACCAAAAAGGAGCAATCAAGACAGATGGATGTTATTTTTAATTAGTGCTGCCTCTTTAATAATTAAAGAAATGTCAATATGAGTGCGAATTAATTGAGAAAGGGCTAATAATGTCAATATGAGTGCGAATTAATTGAGAAAGGGCTAAAATATCAAATATCAAGTAGCAGTACTATTCCTAAATCTCCATTTCAAGTTTCTACTATTTTTTAATGTCATGATTTAGAGAGTTCTTTTACCTACTCACTGCAATGTGCCTCACAAACAGGAAAACCGATTATAAAGTGAAAGAGGCCCATTATGAATTTTGGCCAAATACACAATATAAACCAGCTGCACACCAATTTAATAAAATATTTTGCCTTACTGATCTTCAAATTACCCCAATTTGGATTATTATTTGTAGCAATCAAAACTAATACATCCCTTCTTGCCTCCCAGTTCTCTAATCACTCACAGATTTTTTTATTCTATTTAAACAAATAATGTCAGCTCTGCTGACACCAAAGATCTTGTTAATCAAAGCATGATGATCTAAAGTTGTGCCATGCTCAATTTTTAATATCCTTCTCCCACCTTTTCTGGCATATCAAAATAGTTTGCGGCAAGACTATTTATCTGTGGAGAGAAGTAAAATCTATCAAGATTTTGCCTCCTCTGTTTTTGCTCATCTTAAACAGACTTCCCTCCCAAATGATATGAAACGGGGGTGGGAGTGGTAGAGGCAGAGGCATGTTGCAGGGATAACAAAATTAATCTTAATTCCATTCTCTAGCCAAGGATGATGTGACCTAGAGATAACCTTGCATCTCATAAACCCCAAGAAGGGCTGTATAAAGGTCAATTTGTGTAATGGTGGTTTTTTTGGGTTTTTTTAGGAAATTGCCTAAAAGCCATGTGATTCCAAAAGGCCCATTCCATAACCCAGAAAGCTTTTAGGTTATTTAATGTGAAAACTGTGTGTGTAATGTTATTGTGAACTTTGAATGGCTGCTTATAAACATTGAATCTGATAAATAATTACTGGCAGTAAAGCGAGTGTGTTGCATCTTCCCTACAATTATAAGCCAGTGCTATGTTTGCAAATACAAAATCGGTGAAATGCAAAGGCAGTAGAAAGCTTGGGGGGGGGCCTTCTGCTGATTTGCAGTTTTTCAGATAGGAAAATAAATTAAGGGCAAAATGCAAGCTTCAGATTTAAGTGCTCCGCTCTCCAGCTATATTTAGACCCAACTTCCTGTAGCTCCATCCCAACCGCTATACTAGCTTAGCGACAATTCCAAAATATTTCCCCAGTTATGGACCTAACTGCGCAGCTCCTTTTTTATTTTTTATTTTTGGGGAAAATGTCTATATCCCCGAGCAGCTAAAGAAGTCTGCAGCTCCTTTGGCTTTGGTGCAATGTTTATTTTTTTAAGGCTGAATATTTCAGCAGTCCTCTTTCTGAACCAATCTAGTCTCTCTGAAAAGAGTGGCCCCCTTGTGCAACAGTAGCGCTACCTTTGTTACAGCAAATGCAAGAATCATTGTCTAGTTTACGGAGACCTTGGTTAGTCTTTAGCATTGGCTGGAGAATAAGTGTGTCCTAGGAGAAAGGAAGCAGCTATTTTTATTTCCAGATTCAATATGGATAAAGAGCCTCATTTTCCCAAATCTGTAAGTGAATCTATTTTTAGCTTTGCAGCCTTGGGCAAGTTAAATTAGGAACTGATCCTCGTTCAGTTTTTATTTCCTCTCTGAGGTTCCTGCTAATATTTATTTATTTTAGAAAGCAGGACAGCTGTGTTGATCCGAAGCTTGCAGTTGGGAATCACTGCTTCATGGCTAAAATGTACTGATAGGAAGGACCACCATCCTCTATTCCTCAATTGTGTATTTATTACCCCTGTTAAGAAGTTCCAGTGATATTTAGCACATGTTTGAAATTTGTAGACGGGAGTTTCAGTGGCAATGTGTCTTCTCACTGCATCTGTAGTTGGGACCCATTTAAAATCCATTCCAAGTATGCTGGGAAATGTAGTTCTCTCCTCACATAGCTGCAATTCCTAGCACCCTTAACTTACTACATTTCCCAGGATTCTTTGGGGGAAGCCATGTGCTTTGAATGTATGGTGTGTATGCAGCCTTCATCCTTGTGGTTATATTTCTGACATGGTGTGTAACAGAGAAGACAACAGCTCCCATAGGGATGATAGCCCATCTATCAGGCTAGCGGTCACTCAGAGCTGCCAAATGCGAGGAGAGAAGCTGGGGGGGAAGAGTGTGCATCTTACAACCCGTTCCCATAGGAAAACTGTGGTTCTGCAGATATTCTTGGACTCCAGCTCCCATCATTCTTGACCATCAGCCATGTTGGCTGCAGCAGATAAAAGTTGGAGTCTTGCATAATCTGGAGGGCCTCAGATTCCCCATTGCTGCCAGGAAGTCCTCAGTTTGAATCTCAACCTGCTCTCTGAATTCACAAGGTAGTCTTAGACAAGCCACTCTCTCAGACTCAGACCCCAGATCTGCAATATGGGGTATAATAATGTTGTCAGGATTATAGTTCCAGGATTTCCTGCTGTGTAGACATAAAGGATTGTGCTTTAAGTCCTTAACCTCAATGAGGGGAGTTGTTTCACACTCATTTAACAGGGCAATCCTATACAAGTCCACTCAGTAGTGAGTCCTGTTGTTTTCAGTAGTGAGTCCCGTTGTTTTCAAGAAAGTGAGGATAAGATTGCTGCCTTGCACAATCTCTCTGTTAAGCATAAACCCTCACAGTAAGGAAGCTAGTGCTTCCAGAGTGTCAGTATTTTGTGGGAGGTATTCCAGTGCATATTGGGAAATTTACCGTATTTTTCCCTCTATAACACGCAGATTTTTTCTCCTAAAAAGTAAGGGGAAATGTCTGTGCATGTTATTGAGCGAATGTGTGGTCCCTGGAGCCGACAGGTGCGAGTGAAGGCAAAAATCAGGCAAATATCAATCGTCCGGAGAAGGGAAGCCTTGAAAAGAGGAAGCTGCTGCTTTCCTGCATTCTGCCTCAGGGTCTTACTGCCTACCCGCTTCTATTTGTTACTGTGTTTGCTCAAACGGAACAAAGAGCAGAGAAAAACCCTCCCCTTCAGGCAAGCAGAGGGGAAAGCAGAGCGTCCTTCCTTCTAATTCCTCTCGTGCTCCGGTGCTGCAACATGCAGGTGGGGGAGAGAGAGAGCTGGCTGGCTTGGGTGGGTGCGTGGGGGGACTTTGCCTTCCTTTCCTCCCTCCGGTAAAACCCCTCTCCTGCATTCTTAGCCAGCTGCTTCTCCGCACACCCCTCTTGGTGCTCCGTGTCCCTTCTATGTTTTTCCTTCCTCCCCACTTAAAACGTGGTTACAAAGCACGGATCCACATGGATCCTCAGGATCTTTGCATAGGGTCACCCCAAATTCACCATCATATCACATAGCAATGATATGATGCAAAAACAGGGCTCCAATGGTGCAAAAACGTGGTTACAAAGCATGGATCCACATGGATCCTCAGGATCTTTGCATAGGTCACCCCAAATTCACCATCAGATCACATAGCATGTCCATGGCTACAGCCTGCACCCAAACAATCACGCACCCACTGTTGCCTGGGGCTGCAATGGTGCAAAAACGTGGTTACAAAGCACAGATCCACATGGATTCTCAGGATCTTTGCATTGGGCTACCCCAAACTCACCGTCAAATCACATGTCTGTGGCCACAGCATGAAGCACAAAAATGATACATCCACTGTTTCATTCATAATTTTTTTTCCTTGTTTTCCTCCTCTAAAAACTACATGCGTGTTATGGTCAGGTGCGTGTTATCGAGCAAAAAATACGGTAGGTGTGGGCTATCAAAGGGAAAATACACATTTCAATAATTGTGCGATGAGAAACTGCTTAAGCACACATTGCAGATCAAAATACTTTTGAGTTAAAATGTTAGTTGAAGCCACCTTCAAGCGCTCTGTTGTCCTAGTGTAGAAAATCCACTTTGAGAAAGAAACAAACTTTTCATGGTTAGAAAGGTGATGG